GGTCGAAGCTGCAGTGGTATCGTCGTGTAGCATGCGTTCAAGAGCGGTACCAACATCAATCGCCTAGAAAAATCAGCCTTCTGTTTATATAGGGGTTATAACAAGGCTTACGTGAACGGGCCAGAAGCGTTGCTGGAGGTGGTTCGCAGTGAACAGGTTAGTCGCACTGGCAAGTCTGTGAAGAAGTCGGTCCTCGAATCCGAACATGGGAGCGGGTCGGACAAGAGTGGTCTCTGGGTAGATAGAACGTGCTACTTCCTCACCCCATCCCTGTAATAATCAGCCATCGGTTCGACAAATGTCTAACAGGAACAGACCTTCGTGGCGAAGAACTCGGAGGGGGAGCTCTTGTCGGCGTTGTACGAGGAGACGTGAATGAATCGGTCAACATCGTACTTGGCGACAGCCTCGGCGATGCGCTCGGTACCGTCGACGTGCACGTCGGTGTATGAGAAGTTCCTAAGCGGCGATTAGCAGACCGCTAGACCATAGTGTATTGCGCAACTAACTTGGTAGGGTAGTCACGACCAACAAGGTTGTAGACGACGTCGGAATGGCGGACGCTCTCCTCGATCGACTGGGTGTTTCGGAGGTCGTATTCCTAACATTCGCGTTAACTCGTGTTTCGTCGATTTGCAACTTCGGTATATCGTACAATGAAAACAACTCTTCCAAGATCACCGGTAACCTTGAGATGGCGCTTCGCCATCTCCTCGCGGTAGGGTACGACAACAGTGCATCCCTGCGTAGCTGAGAAGATGTCAATTTAAGGAAACCCCCTCACATCAATCGCCGGACATACCAAGCTTGTGCACAATGTAACGACCCAAGAAACCGGTGGCACCGAAAACGGTCGCAGTGTGTCCTAATCACGATTTGCGTTAATCCTAGAAGCTCGTGCGAGGTGGGCTGGGAATCAGGAAAGGTTTCGTCAAGTACCTCCGAGGGATGACCTATAAGAAAGCCTGTCAGCGCTATACATCATATCGCGGAACAATTGGGCAAATACCTTCCACCCTGGACCTTCAGGAGAGGCTTTCCAGTTCTGGTAATAGAGACATCTTGAAGAAACCGGCGTTGAGCCTGGAATTGGACTCGGGTGGGGACGAACGCCCTGGACCCTACCACGGGATTGATGGCCCTGCACTTCTGCATGGTCACTATTTCAGTCATTAGTCAAGTCGGATCGCCAAATTGAATGCATCTGGGATACATACAACACCAAGTAAGAGCTGGGAGAAGGAGGGCGCGAAGCTCGGCAAGCGGTCGTTGATGAGGTCGAAACTCGTTCACCTCCGAGAGCAATCTGTTGGCACGGGACCACGACGCTAGTCCCAATTCGTCACACAGACCATTAAGTATCGATTCATTATGCACAACCAACCTAGTTTGAGCTTCTTTTACATAGTCGGAGGTCAGATTATATCGCTCTATTTTGTAATATTAAAGTTTTTCTCTGGAACTGCCCACAACTGCGTGAAGCCTCTCTGCGTATGACTATTCCTGATCTCTGATTGGTTCTTTGAATGATGCCTGAGGCCAATAATATTCCAGTGTCTACCAACGACCAGCATCCATGCTCGACCCGAAAAGTTGAATATAGGAATGGAACCGGGAACAAGAAAAAAAAAAAAAGAGAAAAAAAAGAAGAACACACAAATTGAAATTCTGTCTATGCTCAGAACAAAGTGTAGACAATGTGATTCTGGGGCAATTCCTAAGTATGCAGCTATGCAATCTCATCGGTTCCCCCTTTAACATGCTTACCAGGTTGGACAGTCTGCTATCCTTTCAATAGAAGCATAGAAAGTCTTGATAACCATTGCTAGACATCCCATTATGCGAACTACTGAGCCTGTTATCATTCTTCTCTTATGAGGAGGGTTGTAATCAGGTCACGTGACCACATATGGTGGTGGCTATACTATAGTATCGCACGGCGTTATGTACCTTGAAGGATCTAGTAGATAATTACGCTGAAAAGGAGCTAGAACTATGATTTGTGGAATGCTGTACCTCGGGTATGTGGCGCCAGACGCAGCTGGACTCCAGACCTGTAGAAGTCTCCGAATAGAACTCTCCCTTTGGATGTCTCCGATAACTCTCCGGATAGAGAGGTGGGCCTGGGAATCGAGGGGCATAAATACTGAGCACTTGCCTGGTTTACCTTGTATCCTTCTAGTATCCTTATACTCTTGATCAAGTTTCAGGAAAACCTGACCCATTGATATTGTTTACTTGGCGCACGATATCTTTTGATATTGCATAGCAACATGACCACCGACTTCGCTGAGAAGAACCGTGAGGTTTTCGAGTACGTTGTCCGAAGCCGAATTGATTAAGATAAGAGAGCTCACATTATTGCAGAAAACAATCTCGCACCTACAGGTCCGAGTTCAGCAAAGCAGTGGAAACGTTGACCAACGTTGCGAAGCACAACCGTACCTGGGTTAGTGATACATGGACCGACACCGAGGCAGGGAACGGAAAGGAGATCAAGGTGCTTGAGTATGCTTGCGGCCCTGGTCATATATCTTTGGTAAGTCCCCGAGTTTTGATTTAGAGGCTAGAGTTGGATATCTAATCGGCTTAGGCATTGGCGCCATATGCCACTCGTGTCATCGGCATGGATATTTCGGATGGCATGATCGATGAGTTCAAGAAAAACATCCGCGAAGAAGGCCGTTCGGATAATGTAGTCGCAATCAAGGCCAATATCCTTTCGGACTCGCCGCCAGCTGAAGTATCAGGGCCTGAGTTCTTCGATTTTGACGTCTTGGTTGTCAGTATGGCTACTCACCACTTTGAACACCCTGGACAGGCCTTGAGCCGCCTTAGTGAGAGATTGAAAGAAGGAGGAATAATGATGATCATGGATTTAGTCCCCGAAGAACTTCCGGACTACGGAATGCATCAAATGGGAGACGTTGTCCACACAATTTCGAAACACGGGTTCAGCCTTGAGGAGATGCGAACAATGTACGATAACGCAGGAGTCAAGACTGGGTTCAAGTATGAGGTTATCGATGAGCCGTTGGTGTTTACCAAGAACGGAAACACATTCGAGAAGACGATTTTCATCGCTCGGGGGCAGAAATGAGGTTCTCCTGGGAACCAGACTGTAGCTAGCGGTTGCTATTCTCATCCTAGTTGTACTTTCAGATGGCTCCAGATAATTGATAGGATACACCAATGAAACCACGGCTTTGCCATATTCAAGCGTTAAGTGTCAAGTTTTGTAATGGGGTGTTGTAGTGATGGTGAGGCTGTAGATAGAAGAGGAAGATGGGGGAATGTGGCTGATGTGGCTAGTGCGGGCGAGCCACCGCTTGAGGCTTGAGTGGTGAGCTTCCATCAGCGGCCGACCATCCATCCACATCCAACTTTCCTCTCCCCAAACAGCTCCCTTCATTCCCTTATCCGCTCTATCTTCCCCTGATACCCTCATATATTAATTCTCGCGGTCGGTTCTCCCGTTCTTTCATCATGGAGAACCAGAAGATCTCCGATTTCCTCGCCGAGCAGCTGCAGCAAGCTCCCGAACAGTGCCAGGCGTCGTTCTTGAGCTTCGAAGACTTCTGGGAGCGAAAGCTATGGCACCAGCTCACCAATGCCTTGGTTGATTTCTTCCGTCTACCAGAGAGCGCTCCCCAGCGGTTACCGATATTCAAGAACTTCGTTCTGAGCTTTGCGGACCGGATCAACCAGCTCAACTTTGTCTCGTTGGGGCTGATGGCGTCAACAGAATGCGCAGGTAAGTCCACCTTCCCATCGTAGGGGCACAAAGAGCTTCGCTAATAATTTGCTGCTATAGATGACCAAGAACGACTATCCTTCCTCACATCACTCGCCGATAAGGTGAACAAAGTAGACTCACAAGACGCATATATCTACGCCCTTGCGGAGGTCGCCAACGTCAAACAACGGCTTCAGAATTTGGATGGAGCGCAGAAGGATCTAGAGACATGCCAAAGAGTTTTGGACTCGTTCGATGCAGTCGAGACTGTGGTACATGCGTCATTCTACAAAGTCAACGCCGACTACTATCACGTACGCACCACTTTTGCCCAATACTTTTAACTAGCACTGGAACTAAGAATCAAACAGGCCAAACAAGAATTTGCCTCCTTCTACAAAAACGCCCTTCTTTACCTCGCTTGCATCAACCTAGAGGACATCCCCGAATCCGAGCGAGTTTCCCGCGCCTACAACCTGAGTGTCGCCGCTCTCGTCTCAGACTCCATCTACAACTTTGGAGAACTCCTCCTTCACCCAATTCTGGATTCCCTGGCAGATACACCACACACTTGGCTCCGAGACCTTCTCTTTGCCTTTAACCGTGGTGACCTAACCGCCTATGACGTCCTCGCGGGCAACGTCTCCAAGAACCAGTTCCTCCATTCCCACCGCTTTTTCCTCTACCAGAAGATCTCGCTTTCGGCACTGACGGAAATGGTATTCCGCCGCCCGCCGCACGACCGCAACTTGACCTTTGCGTCCATCTCCGCAGAGACCAAGGTGGGGCCCGAGGAGATCGAACACTTGGTTATGAAGGCGCTGTCGCTGGGACTGCTGAAGGGTGCTATTGACCAGGTTGGTCAGGTTGCTCAGATCAACTGGGTGCAGCCCAAGGTGCTGGATATGAAACAGATAGAGGGCATGCGGAATAGATTGAAGGACTGGGATGCTGGTGTTAACCAGCTGGGTCACTGGATCGAGGGTGTAGGCAAGGATGTGTGGGCTGCATAAGGAGTTATCTTCTGATCTTCATTAACGGTTGGGTTGATCTATAAAGGAACTTCCTGCATGTAGCTATGTACAACCCGTACTAGACTTATATCACAATCGAAACGTATGAAAAATGACATATTCAATGTGAGATTGAAGTTTACTATATACTATGACGTGCTGCGAACCGCCTGATGCTCAAGCTCAACAAGCACATTAAAACCAGTACGTAGTACTAAATTAATGCTCTATCTATTGCCCATACTCAACGGGCAAAAAAAAAAAAAAAAAAAAAAAGGAAATAATGCGTCGAGGTCCTAAAACAATGAGCTCCCCACAACGGCCCCTCCAACAACCCAAGCAGGCCACCAGACACACCAAACAACCACTTGCGTCCACATTCCCCAAACATCCCACCCAAATGCCGCCTCGGTAAGGACGGTCTCAACGTCGGCCCCGAAATATGCACACCCGGCCAGCAGAACGATCGGCGGCGAGAGGATATTCAGGAACACCAGGGAGAGGCTGGAGAGGGCGTAGCGCACAGGCTTTGATTCGGTAGTGAAGCGGTGCACGAAGGATAGAGGGGCGCAGAGGAGGCCGATCATGAAGGAGAGACTGAAGTTGAGGGTTGCGAGGGTTGAGAGAAAGAGGCCGAGGAGGAGGAGGGAGAGGGATTTTATGAGGTGGGTTTGTTGTGCTGTTGTGGTATTTCGGGAGAGGAGGGGGGCGAGGGTTAGTGGGAGGATGGCGTTTGTGGCTATTGAGGTGTAGGTTGCAAGGGGGTAGGTCTGTACGCGATTAGTATATGCGTTGGGCGTAAGGAGGGAGTGTTTTTTAGAGTATTTTATGGAGTGGACTGACCTCGTGAGAGAGATTGTTGAAGATGTAAAGTGGGACGAGACCTAGTAGGTGTAGACCGACGACAAGGGTGAGCGGCAGCGCGAGCTGACGTTCCGTAGCTGTACTGGTAAGATCTTGCCCATTAGAGATTTGGCTCTCAGGAACGAGCGGTGTTTTCTCCTTTTCACTTGTCTTATCATCGCGAGGCTCAGCGGCGGGTTTAGACGAGCCAGCGGGACCCTTGTAATAGCCAGTCCGTATCCACAAGGCAATGGCCATGATGGTGAAGTTACCCGCAATGAGCATCGCACTGGGGAGGTAAGTGCCGATACTGACGAAGCGGTGGGTCTGCATGAGAAGGTAGAAGAAGAAACTCTGGTGCAGATGTTCCAAGAGATTGTTGAGACTGCGGCATAGACCTTCCACAATACGGCCCAGCGCCATCTCATCTTGCCAACCGTTGCCCTTGGTCTGAAGCGTGATAGCGTCGATATGGTACGGCATGAAGCTGCTATGGGCTCCAGCGGCGTATCCGAGGCCTTGCTTAACCATCCCTCTCAGCATGGTCTGGAGCCGCTTGTTGTATTTGCCATTGTGTTCCCACATTTCTTGAAGCCGGGCCCCGATGCCCATCTGCCCACCGGCAATCGAGACAGCAGTGTTGAAGAGATCCAAGTTCGGTAGTTGACCGTTGACTCCGTCGTACACGATATGGAGGTTCTCGAAGCGGTGATCAAACGGATATTCGATAACCAGTCCTCCCTGCAAAGCACCACTCTTCAGAGGCAGAGGCTGAACAGTAGCCGGCTGCATATCATGGTATGCGTCCACCCACGCCTGAGTACCTGACTTACTATCAGGCGGAAACACGAAAATAATATCCTTCGACCAGAGAGACCAACCTGTACAGCACGTTCGTTAATTGGAGGTTGTAGGACAGGACCCGAGTAAAAAAACTTACGCTTGAAATACCGCGCAAGAGTCAGCCCAAGCGTAACCCCATTGAGATTCAACTCGCCATCCACCGTCTTCCAAGCCGCAACTAGAACAATCGCCTCAGTCGCGTCTCCGCGCGGCGCTTGGATGATAGCATAGATGTTCTCCCCCTGGTGCGTGATTCCCGAAGAGGTGTACTCGTAGCCCTGCGTTGCGACCTTCAGCCCGCTGGCTTTCAGGATCGACTGTATCTTCTCCGAGATCCTAGACGTTATACCCAGAATCAGCACACGATTTCCTTCGTAACTCTCGCGAACGGATTGGGGGATTCTTTCCAAACATACACCGGTGTTCGTTCCTCGTTCTTCAGCTCCTGCTCCTGCTCCTGCCCATGTTCCTGCACCTCACCACCTCCGTTATGACCAGCATCCCTCCCTAATAACCCCTCAAGTTCCTTCTTATACCCGCGAAAAATATGCTGCTCGCTGCCCGAAAAATACGCATGGACTTGGCCCGGCAAGAGCGCGTTCTCGGAGATGTAGGTCCTGCGGGAGTAGTCGTCGAGAGGCAGAAGGAAAAGCCAGATCACGCCGGCAACAATGCACAGGAACGAGAGGATGTACGGCAGCCGAACGAAAAGGAAGGTGGGGTTATTCCGCAGATTGCGGATTGAGGCTGTTGGGTTCCCTCAATGTTAGTGATGTGATTGAGCTCATGTGGCCTTTGAGGAATCCGGGGTGAAGCCGCGCAATTGCGGGGTTTCACTGTCGCGATGGGCCTGGGGTGAAGATAAAGGGGCAGTAGAGGCACACTTACATTTCAAAGCCATGGATTCTGAGGCCTTCACGGACTCTGGTCCATGGGAGGGGGAGAGGGTGAAGGTGGTCGAGCTGATCGGCTCTCCACATGGAAATTTACGTCGGCCGCTAGAGACCAGCTGCACATCCTGATACTGCACCGTACAGTGGAGGAGAATAATCACCATCACCATCGCCATAATTCATTATTCTATGGAATTAAGTACCTGAAGCTTCTATGGCTAATTACAAAGCGATATTTATAGTTAGATATGCACAAGAAGTGAGAATGTTTTGGTCTGCACTGCACAGTTTTATGGCGTCCCCAGACGCTGCGACGACCCCACGAACGACATTGGCGTTCCTCGTTCACCGGCAGGCGCGGCACTGGTTGGAAGGACTCCAAAGCGACCGTATGTCTTTTGATCGACTGATACGTAGTGCGGCAGCCGTCCCAAGAGGTTCAGCTTTCCTTCGATCCATCTCAAGATCTTCTCAGGGGGAACAAGCACTTTCAGATAGCCGAGGCCGACTAGACATGATGTATTAGCTGTGGAACAGAACGATTAGACCTCAAAAACTTACGTAGATACCCAATGGCGATAGCGCATAAATGGCCAAGGAAGCTCGTGTCGGAAACCAGCATTGAGACAACCACGCACACCACCAGCGGGGAAGTCCACGTAGGAATTTTATAATTTCCAATACTTAAGAACCAGTTAGTGCAATCCTAAAGAATTTCCACCCGCGAAACATACCTGAAATAGGGGTTGGACTTGAACGTCCTAATAGCTTCGGAAGCGAAAAGAAGAAACACCCAGACACTAAGCAAACGTTAATCGCTGACAGAGCCACGAGCTGGCAAGATATTTACCTTGAACCGACAATGGCATTATTACTATGCAGAATGAACTTTTCAATCAAGATATAGATACCCGCGGGGAACGTGGAGAGAGCTAAAAAAAGACACATCAGTATGAAAATCGGCCAAATATAATCCGAAGGGTCAAACTCACGTCCCATGAACAAGGCAACAGCAGTCAGAGTGCCGTGCTCCGCTTCGAAGCGCTCAAGTAAAGGCGTCAAAGCCAGTAGATTGAGCAAGGTATGGAAGAAACCCGTGTGGATGAACGGGTAAGTGTTGGTTCGGTACACTGCGGGTTGTCAGTATTCTCCATTTTCGATCCAGGAAAGTCGACCACCATACTGGTACTGAGATTCATCTCGTCCGGGATCACAGAGCCCCACTGTACAACACTCCAAACGGTCTGCAGCTCAAGCAACCAAAACACGATCATGGCCAGGATAACGAGCCGTGTGAACAGTGGGAGGCGGAGGAGATATGATCGGACCCTAGAAGGGTTGAATGGTAACGGAGGCAAAGCAGCTGGAGACGCCATGACGTTGGGAATTCCCTTCAAAGCGCGGGATGTCTATGCGAAGGGCGGATCGGAGTTGGGGGACGAGGACTCGGGGATGGAGACACGCGATATGGCAGGGAGGCGTAAACAAGCGAATTAACTCAGGCGCAAAGTATAAAATAACAGCCACGAGTTGTATATCGGTTCTAAGCGGCGCAGAGAGACAGGAAAGGCCAACAAGTCAACCGTTGGTAAGACCTAGGCAAGCGATCTTGAGACAGACGCGGAAGAATGCGAAACGAGGCGCAGTGGAATTGGCAATCGGGGCCTTCAATCCGGAACAAGAAGCACCGCCACTGAGGAACAGGCCAATGCGAAACAGGAACGATTAAAGGGCAGAAACACGAGGGGGCGCGCTTCTTGCTTGATGTTGACGGAGAAAGACTGGACTTTCAGTGTCCGACCTGCTCGTTCCTGACTGCTGCCGGTGGAGACTTTCGCCGATCCCCCGGGTCACGTGCATAAATATATACCTGAGGCAGGAACATATTATATAGATCTAGATGGTTGCTTGATTTCTGCAATGGTACATTTTTGATATCCTATCTACATTACCGGAAATCTATAAGCAAAATTCATGCCGCAGCCACTGAAGTTGCGTTCACATCAGGATTCTTGTACACATTAGTAGCTTCCGCCTCTTTAGCAGCCTTATAAGCCTTCATCTTCTGCGGCGCAAGACCGTGGGCCTCAAACAGAATATCCATGTCTTCCAGCGGCACACCGTTGGTCTCGGGAACCAGAAGGTACATGTACAATGCGCCAAGAACAGTCATTGATCCGAAGAAGAGGAAGGTCCCGTAGGTTATGTTGGCAAACATATAAGTCACGGCGTACGAGGTGTAGAACTCGCCCAGCCAGTGAGAGCATGTCGTCATGACCATGCAGAAAGAACGGACGCGTGTTGGGAAGATCTCGGCTGCGATGATCCAGGGGAGGTTCCAGCCGAGGGACTGGGGTGATATTAGTATACCTAGACTAGATAACATGGACAACAGGGGGACTCACGTATCCAGCGCCAAATATATAGATAAATGCTGCAGCCGAGTTACTGGCTGCATTTTGGTCTTGGCTGGTGTTGAAGGAATTGGTTATTGAGGAGTAGGCTGCCACATAGTACATTGAGAAGGCGCACATTGCAGAGCCAACGAAAAGAAGAGGCCGCCGTCCGAAACGGTCTACTAAGAAGAGGAAGGTGATAGTTGCCATTATTCCCTTGACTATGCCGTATATTCCTGTTGAGAACAGTTTCGCCGACTGGAGAGTCAGTCAGCATCAGAGTCTGCAATACAGGGGAAGTAGGGAGACGTACAGAGCCCTGGAATCCAATGACTTGGAAGAAAGTGACCGAGAAGTTATTCATGGCATTGATCCCAGTGCTATTCTGAAAGATCATCAAGAGACATCCGTGAATCAGACGGGGGATTATCTTCTTGTTGAATGTTTCAGATAGCACAGCCCGGAAGCCCGAGGCCGATGTGATCAGGAGTTCATGCTCCATCTGCCTCTCGTAGTCTGCTAATTCACCTGCAACATAAGGATGCTCCACGGGGAGCTGTCGAAGCCAAACTAGAGACTTCTGTGCTTCTTCTCGACGCTCTCGAGTGTAATACCACCGCGGTGACTCGCAGAGGAATATGAGCCCGATGATCATGAGCGTAGCGGGAATAAACTGGAAGGTTATAGGAATGAACCATTGTCTGTCACCGCTTGGATCGACCTGTAATCAAAATTAGTGTCTGGAAGATGTAAGACGGGGCGGCTATTGTCCAGCTTACACCCTTCTCAACGCCATAATTGATCCAAAATCCTATGATTGTTCCAACCTGCACACCAATCTCAAACTGGATAAAGGGTCAGCTCGTGGTCAATATAATATATGTGAAAAAATCTTACACAACCAACTATACCACCTCTGGCAGCAGCAGGGGCACATTCCGAGAGGTATTGCGGTATAACAAATGTTGTGCCACCAATCCCAAACCCACTAATAAGTCGACCGACGTAAAAAACAGGTATATTGCCATGGCAAGCAACCTGAATTATTACTCCAACATTAAAGACACAGCCTGCGGCCATCAGTGCGAAGCGGCGGCCAAAACGCTCGTTGAAGTAGTAAAACAGCATGACCCCGAAGAAACAACCGCCCTGGACTGTTTATAGAATAGAGATTAGCTGGAAGTCCAATTGAATAGGGGATATGGAACCGTACAGGTATTAACCATATGAGCCTGTATAGCACTGGCATTTTTATTCTCGAGCTCGAATCTCCTAATAAAAGATGGCAACGAAAACACTCCCCCGATAAAAGCCAAGTCATATCCAAAAATGACAGACCCGCCAGCTGCAGTAAAAATCACCCAGAAGAGCTTCCAGTTGAACACCTCAGGTGGAGTGGCATTGTCTTTGGTATTGAATGCGAACCCCATCGTAGCGGGATGGGGAAGGGGCCTTGAGTATGGAGTTAGAGTGGAAGAATGGAGTAATTCGGACGAGAGAGCCGTTTTATAGCGAACAAGAAGGCTGTCACTCTATTCTCCAAGACAAAGAACAATATCATCTGATCCGTGTTATCTCGGCTGCTTATAGGGATGAACGTGAGCTATCTGTGGACATCACGGCGGCCATTGGCAGCTGGAATCTGTATTTGGAGACGTTTCCCCACGGGGTAAACTAGAACTTATCTCGGTGGATCCTTTGCATATCAAAGAGATTCATTATCACCGTCGGCGTTGTCGTCCGATGCGTGGACTCGGGGCTGTCCCCCGCAAAGGCATTTCGGAGCTCTCGTCCGGACGTCGTGCGGAGAACAGAGGGATGGCCCAGTCTGTAAGAGTTTCCGTCCTTAAGCTCTCTAGTCAGTAGCAGGAGACAAATAATATAAAAACGACGGACGCCAAGGTGGTTGTGTGTTGTAGACGGTATTCTGTAGAAGTTTGCACCAAAGAAACCCGCAACATGGGATCGATCGGATACACAGCGCCAGTCGGCGACATTAAAGTTTCAATAGGTAAGCTCTCACAACAGTATGGCTTACCTATTTTATATCCCATAGCTTACAGTGAGTTTATAGACCGCGGTGGCACATTTACAGACGTCGTTGTCATCTATCCCGATGGCACCGAGAAGGTCTTCAAGTTATTATCCAGGGACCCAAAGAACTACCAGGATGCCCCGATCGAAGCCCTACGGAGGATCGTGGAGGAGGCAACTGGAACCAGTATTCCCAGGGGCGTGCCGTTGGATATGAGTTGCATAGGTGTGTATACTAACTACCAGAAAAACTAGCCCTAAGTTTACTGACTGGTAGCCAGGCTCCTTAAGAATGGGAACGACAGTGGCTACGAATGCTTTACTTGAGCGACAAGGTGCTAAAACTGCGCTGTTCATTACACGCGGGTTTCGAGTGAGTTCGACGAATGCAGTTGAATTTCCTGTCTAATGGGATAAATAGGATCTGCTCAAGATTGGAAACCAATCCCGACCAGATATGTTCGCGCTGAACGTAAAGAGGCCCGACTTGCTGTATTCCAAAGTCGTGGAGACCCCTGAGCGTGTGACTTTATATGATTCGACATCATATAGAAGAACCGGAGAGAACCAGCCTAAAGAGGCCTGCAATGGCAATTCCTCTACTCCTCAGACAAACGACGTTGTAATTGGTCTATCAGGCGAAAGAATCCGAGTCCTCGAGAAGCTGGACATGGACGTAACCAAACATGCCCTCGAACAGACATACGCCGAGGGATTCCGCAGCATCGCGATCTGCTTCCTGCATTCGTACACATTCCCAGACCATGAACTGGCAGTTGCCGAAGAAGCCAGGAAAATTGGATTCACGCAAATTTCCATCTCCAGCCAACTATCGCCAGCAATCAAGATGCTCTCGCGCGCAAACTCTGCCGTTACAGATGCCTACTTGACACCGGAGATCCACAGCTACCTTGAGGGGTTCAAGGCCGGTGTTGACTCTAAGAGCCTGCAGTCTGTCAACTGGCGGATCATGCAGTCTGATGGCGGCTTAGTTCACCCGTCAAAATTGTCGGGGCTGAGGGCATTGCTGTCTGGCCCTGCTGGAGGCGTGATAGGCTATGCACGCACTTGCTATACGTCTCAAAACCCAAAGGCAGTCGTGGGTTTTGACATGGGAGGCACATCAACAGATGTATCCAGGTATGCAGGAGCCCTAGAGCACGTATTCGAATCTACCACTGCCGGAGTCTCCGTGCAAGTTCCACAACTCGACATCAACACCGTTGCAGCCGGCGGCGGCAGCGTGCTGGCATGGCGGAAGGGGATATTGGCCGTTGGACCACAAAGCGCTGGATCCCACCCTGGCCCTGCGTGCTATCGCAAAGGAGGCCCGGCGACTATTACAGACGCGAATCTGGTCCTTGGCCGGATTCTACCAGAGCGCTTCCCGTCTATCTTTGGACCGTCGCAGGACCAACCGCTTGATGTTGATGCGTCCTATGATAAGCTAGCGGAGCTGGCTCATGAGATCAATCTTGACCAGGGAACCTCACTCACTGTGCACGAGGTAGCGAGTGGTTTCATCACGGTGGCCAACGAGACGATGTGCAGGCCGATTCGGGCACTCACTGAAGCAAAGGGGTATGCAGCATCAGACCACATCCTTGCTGCGTTTGGAGGTGCTGGAGGACAGCATGCCTGTGATATTGCTCGGGCACTAGGTATATCGAGGGTCGCGCTACACAAGTACTCATCCGTTCTATCTGCGTACGGGATGGCACTCGCAGATACAACCCAGGAAGAAAGAAAGCCATGCTCTGAGATCCTGTCGAACCCTGTACAACCACATATAAGAGTCGAATTTGACGACCTCGAGGCGAAGACAACCAAGTCTATCCGCGAGATGGACCCAACATGCAAGACCATCGAATCGAACTACTTCCTCAACCTCCGATATGAAGGGAGTGATACATCCCTTATGATCGAGAAGCCGAGCCAGTCGTGGGACTTTGCCACGAAGTTCACGGAGCAGCATCACCACGAGTTCGGATTTACACCCACAGGACGAGCCATTATCATAGACGATATCCGTGTCCGAACAACAGCGAAGACCATCTCAACCGACACAGCTGGCCTGAGCGAGCTGGACTCTATAAAAATAACCCAAGAAGCCCACTCGAACAAGACCACACGCATGTTCTTCACCGAAACAGGGCTCATCGACGCCCCAATGTTCCACTTACAAGATATCAGCGCCGGACAGACAGTACGCGGTCCAGCGGTCGTCATCGATCAGACACAAACAATCGTCATAACGCCGAATGCCACCGCAACCGCCCTCTCATCTATGCTGGTCATCGACGTCGAGAACCCCCCTGCCACGGACGCAGACACCGTCATCGACCCCATCAGGCTATCTGTTTTTGCAAACCGGTTTATGGGAATAGCCGAACAGATGGGCCGTGTGCTTCAGAAGACATCAGTCAGCACGAACATCAAAGAGCGCCTCGACTTTAGCTGTGCCATATTCTCAGCGGACGGCGGACTCGTGGCGAATGCGCCCCATGTACCGGCGATGCTGGGGAGTATGGCGAACTCGGTGAAATGGCAGATACAGCATTGGGAAGGGAATATCAAAGACGGGGATGTGTTCCTGAGCAATGCACCTGCGTCTGGTGGTGCCCATTTACCGGATTTAACAGTCATTAGTCCCGTGTTTGACGCTGCAGGAAAGAAGATCCTATTCTGGACTGCGTCGAGAGGACATCATGCAGATGTGGGGGGAATCGTCCCTGGGTCTATGCCCGCTACGTCGAAAGAGATCTGGGAGGAGGGGGCCGTTATCGAGAGTATCAAGATTATTGAGAACGGAGAGTTTCAGGAGGAACGCTTATATGAGGCTATGGTGACGGCGCCGGGAAGGTATCCTGGGTGTGAAGGGGCACGATTGTTCCAGGATAATATTACCGATATCAAGGCCCAGACTGCGGCGAACCATAAAGGGAATAATCTTATTGGGCTGTTGATTCAGGAGTATACATTAGACACTGTCCTGGTAAGCTTATTTGCTACGTTGGGAAAACAATAATGCTGATCAGCTGGCAGTTATACATGGGCGAAGTGCAAAAAGCCTCAGAGAATGCCGTGAGAGAGCTGTTCAAGAAAATGGTCAGAGAGAAAGGCCAAACCGTCTTCGAAACAGAAGATTTTATGGACGACGGTTCATGTATCCACTTGAAGATCACAATCGATCCAAGCTCAGGAAGCGCAGACTTTGACTTCACAGGAACAAGCCCTCAAGCATATGGTAGGTCATCGAGCACGAAAATACATACAATGGCTGACATGTTTTGTAGGAAACTGGAACGCCCCCACAGCCATATCCAACGCAGGAATCATCTACACCCTCCGATGTCTCGTTGACGGCGATATCCCCCTGAACCAGGGCTGTCTCCTCCCCGTCAACATCACTATCCCAGATGGGAGTCTCCTCGCACCAACAAAGGAGGCAGCTGTGGCAGCAGGAAACGGACTCACCAACCAACGCCTTGTTGACATTATCCTCAAGGCCTTCGAGGTCTGTGCCGCAAGTAACGGATGCATGGCGAACTTTACCTTTGGAGTTGGACAGAAGGATGGGTTTGGATACTATGAGACCATTGCAGGCGGTAGTGGTGCTGGGCCGACATGGGTTGGCGAGGATGGCATTCATTGCCATATGACGAACACACGTATAACAGACCCCGAGGTGCTGGAGCGGCGGTATCCAGTCTTGTTGAGACAGTTTAGTCTGCGCAAAGATAGTGGTGGGGATGGATATTTTAGGGGTGGTGATGGGATTATCCGTGAAGTCGAGTTTCTTATTGACATGCACGCCGGGATTCTTTCTGAGCGGCGGGTCTTCCAGCCATATGGCCTTGCTGGTGGGAAGCCGGCTGCAAGGGGCCTGAATTTGTGGATCAGGAATACTGGACAGGTTATCAATGTGGGTGGGAAGGCGTCGTGCTATGTCAAGGCTGGAGATCGGCTGCGGATTTGTACACCTGGTGGAGGAGGATATGGATCTCCAGAGGATACTGATGGCAAGGTGAGCTTGAAGAGGAAGAGTATATCTGAGTAGAGAGACGTGGGTTGTCAAGGTACACATCGTATTAGAGATGAAACCATTTTCTTATTACTGTATAAGTTGAAACATGCAAGTATTGTGAATATCCAACCGACTACCTCATAACGATATCTCATTAAGCTGTAGTAGAATCTATAAAATAAGGTCAGCACGATCGTAATCAAAATTCCACTATGGTAAAAGGCACTCACCTTTTCAATATACTTAACCCCAATCCCAATCCCAAACTCATCCTTAAACTCATCCTCATCCCCAAAGTCCACATTATCGGGTTCCATACAGGTCAAACAATTGACCACAACGCCAGTGTACTTCTCACCCATAGCAGACGGGAGACATTCTTTTGCCAGGGCCGTGAAATGTGCCTTGATATTGGCTACCGAACTCAGCTCGGACAGTAGTATCGGAGATGAAGAATCGCCAGCAACGAACGACTTCCAGAGCCCGATCTCAAGTAGACACACGCCAAGACTGTAGATGTCGTGCTGCATTCGGTGGTCTGTGCTTGGGTCTCTACCCTGTCGTTCTGGATGCTGGTATATATTCTCAATCCTGTCGGCAGTGGTTAGACGGAGAGATTTCCCGTCTACAGTGCGGAATGTTTTGAATCCGACGAGGAATAATGGGCCGAATCCATGAGCCAGTGATGAAGAGTCTAAGCCGTGGCTTTTAAAGACCAAAGCTGTTTCAGGGCGTATATTCTTGTGCACGAAATCTAGGACATGGACGTAGCTGAGTGCCGTGGCCAGCTGCTTTGCCAATTCGAGTCTCGCAGTTAGAGACGGGTTGGTCTGTGATAGGAGAAGAGAGCGCAGACTCTGAGGTTGATGGTGGTGGCAGTCCTTTGGTATCTTGAAGATGAAATTGAACGAAGTCACTCGCTTTGTGCTTGGATCCCTGGTTCTTGTGACGCCATGGCATTGCAGAAGATGGAAGGCTGCTGCATCAATTTTTTCAAGTCTTAGTGCCAGGTCTCGCACATTCTTCGCAAAGACAGCATCGTCTTCTACTCTTGTACAGTCCACAGAGTCCAATATGTAAGAGGTTGGCTTTCTGGAAACTGATAGTGTGATGATTTGCGAGGTGGAAAATGGGATATCAGACCGATCTGCCGAGTTCAACGTTGCTTCTCTAAGGAACAAGCCCTTTGTAGACTGCTCGTTTGCTTGCAAAGCATCTCGGATATGTCGAGCGGCTTCGAGCCTGTAGTTTCTATCATTAGGAGCAAGAATTTGACCCTGGATCTGGTCTTGACTTGGTGCAGAATCTATTTCCTTGTCAATGGCCGTATCAGCCATTCGTAGGATCAACCACCAAGTCGGATCAAACTCCGCCGCCCATGCCTGTAGACGCTGAATAACCAAGTCCAAAGGCCTCTTCACAGAAAGAACATATTTTGCCGCTCTCAGTCGCCGTTGCGCACTACCACCGGAGTCAGAAGATTGCTCGAGTTTGCTGACCTCGAGCACACTTAGCTCGAGCTTATTATGGAAGGCAAGAAGAATACGCTGTTGCAGGTCTCGGTGCTCTGGATTGAGACTGCCACAGATGCGATTAAGGAAATCCAGCTGCTGGGAGATTTTAGACCAGGTTGCTTCGATTATCAGCACTCGTTCGTATATCTCGGAGCCGGCGTCCTTGAACGTGCGGTATTTTGATACTACGATTTTGCCCAGTATAGTGTACGTTAGCCTTGCGTGGTGCCCAGGAAGTAGAGGTAGTATATATACTTTATGCATGCTTGGATCGAGTTTATGACTCCAACGATGCCGAGAGCTAGTTCAGCCATAGTAAAGAGCACAGAGGAGGAGTGGAAGTTGTAAAGGGAGATTAAAGGTTACTGAAGAGTAAATACAGCCTTGCAATGAAAAGAAACAAATACTAGTGCGGGGTAGTCTGCATAAGCTGAATCGACAAGGCTGATTTAGTGTCAGCCTAGAGTCTCCATTATTAACATTATTGTCATAAAATGATACAGGTGCGTGGTGCTGAGCCCTATAAATCACGGTATTCAAGCTTCTTGTGCTCGGACCAATATTGAGCCCATTTACCGGCCAGCCCCGGCTTTATGCACTTTTCGAGATCTCTTTTGGCATCAGCGATAGCTGCAGGGGAGCTCCCAGATGCCTCCTGCCTGGCTTTGAGTACCTGTTCCAACAGCGTCACTGCTTCCCCCCGTCTACCCTGGTGCGCAAGGGAGAACGCCAACGATCTCATGGCATCTAGAGTTTCTGGGTGATTGGCTCCAAACAACGTGTGTCTACCATCTGCAACAATCTTCCAAAAGTGCTCACTCATACTGTACCGCTTCAGCTCATCTAGCGTCACGCCAATGTAGTAGTATGTTGCTATTGTTCTCTCGTGGGCTATCCCGAGAGTCTCAATTTGAACATCCGATACTCGATAAAAGCTTTCGAGTGCAAGTTTATATGACTTCCTTGCATAGAGGGTTATGCCCAAGCTGAGATCAGTTTTTAATGTTTCCTCGTGGGTTGGCCCAAAAAGCTTTCTTATGGCGGGCAGGGCCTGCCGGAGAGTGTCTTCTGCAGAGGCATACCTCCCCAATTGGCGGTATGAAGAACCGAGACAGCGTAGGTACAAAATCACGTCTTCATCGTTTGAGCCTAGCTTGTCCCTCAATGTCCAATAGGCGGTTTGAATATAGGAATGTGCAGCCTTATTTTGGCCTTGACGGTGGAGTGACAGGCCGAGCCAAAATCTCGTATATGCCTTATGGAGATGGCCAGCTGCGACAGTATCGAGTTGGCTTTTCCTGACTGATTCAAGGAGCTCCGTGGCTTCATCATATCTCTCTAGGTGGAAGAGTGAGCGGCCTAACCACGAAGCCGTGAAAAGCGTATCTTGATGTCGCCGTCCAAGAAGCAATTTGCGACCCTCCAGTGCTCCCCGAAAGGCGGCATATGCTTCTTCATAAACCTTATAATTGCATAGTGCCACCCCAGTATCATGTAGTTGATCAAGCACTGATTGCCTGGTCCTTTGTGGAAGAGGTTCCCGCAGAATTTGACGTATATTATCCTGTGCTTGGGAGGCCTTGCCTTGCTGTTTGCAGAGTGAGGATGCAACCCACCGTGCCGAATCGATGGTTTTCTCATGTGCTGAACCGAGTGTATCTTTACGATACTTTGAAACTCTCTCGAAAGAACGCTGCGCATCACTGTATTCTCCCGCTTCATAAAGTGACTGGCTGATATCGAATAGCAGATCCATTGATTGAGCAGGCTCTGATACCATCGGAGAGGCTTGTATTATTTGCTCCAAAACAGATTGCGCTTCTTTATATCTCTTCGTCTTATACAGGCAGAACGCAAGTGATTGATGAGCCTCAAATGTGGTTGCGTGGTCATTTCCTAGTACAGAATCGGCTGTTTGTTCGAGGACATTAAGAGCGTCATCATATTTCTCCTGTTGACAGTATATTTGGCCGCAAAGGCGTATAGAGCTGATGGTATCTTTATTTTGGAGGCCTAGAATTTCTCTTTGTATTTTCATTGTCCGTTCGATAATATCCAGTGCTGCGTCCAGCTTACCCTGAGCTAAATGCGAACTACTCAGCCAGTAACTCGAAGTCAGTGTGCTTGGATGAGTCGTTCCAAGAGAGTCGGTCTGTACATCCACGGCGAATTGCAGTTTCCTTTGCGCATCCTGGTACCGACACTGGAAGAAACATGCCACCCCCACTTGCTGTATTGATTCCACTCGGTCTTTGTGGTGAGCACCTAGAATCGCTTTGCGTCCATCGGCCGCTTGTTGGAAGATAACTTCGGCTCGGGAGAAGTTCTTATCTGCGATCAACTGGAGTCCACTGTTGTGAAGAGCCCTGAGTTCATCTAAAGTCTTTTGTTGAGGGTCCCCAATACGCAACTCTTCTATTCGCGGCTCTGCTAACCTTTCTGGTTCAGATATAGCGCCCATTGAGTTTAGAGCCTGCTCCTTGCTGGTTGGGGTCGGGCTCCATGTGCTGGACATTGGCCAGCTTGCTGAAGCGTCTGTAATGGAAGGGAGTGCTACAGACCGATTCAATATCCCAGAAGGAATCTCCTCTGACAAGCCCGAAGGCACTTCACCGCGATATTCCTTCAGCCAGGTATCCTCCAAAGCGACAGCTGCAGTTAAACGTTTTTCTGGGTCAACAGTCAGGAGGGCCTTTATGAACTCGCATCCTTCCTGACTGATACGCCGTTGCGATAGCCGTGCAATGGGGAAAGAGGCGCCTTTGAGATATTCCAATAACTCTACACCCTGGAATGGGTAATCATGGCAGAGCATGTAAAAGACCGTAACCCCCAAAGACCACATGTCCATGGGGTAAGTGCAACGGGATCTACCACCAGCTTCAGTATCTGGACCAACCCACTGAGGAAGTAGCCCTAGCACTTCCGGTGCAAAGTATTTCTGGGTTCCAACAAAGGAATGCAGACTGTTGTCCCCACTGGTCCGTTTGCTGAAGCCGAAATCGCCGATCTTAACCCACCATTCGGGGTCCTTCGAAGCAACTAGGATGTTCTATAAAAGTCAGTTTATATCATTTATACGAATTAAGCAGACACACATCAGGCTTGAGGTCTCTATGGACAAACTCGTTTTCGTGGAAACATACTAGGCCCTCCAGGATTTGGACCGTGATCTGTCTAGCCTCATCTTCTGACAAAGGATGAGTTAAATGAGATGCAAGGCTGCCGTGTTCAATATGTTCCATGACCAGGAATACTGATATATCGTTCTCATACCATCCAAGGGATTTGACGAAAAGGCCCTCATACTGCGAACCATTAGTAAATAGAATGTATCATCCAGTGCAACATCCTGACCTTGCTTGTGCTCTGGGAAAACTTGGCAATTGTTTCCAGCTCTTGGTAAACGTCGATATGGCTGCCTTTTGAAATGACTTTCACTGCCCGCACTTGGCCCACCTTCTCTCCTGTGTGGCACTCCTCCAGCCATACCTCTCCAGTTGCGCCCCCTCCGAGGCGTTTTGTCCTCGTCCATGTCTCCTTTTCCCATGCCCGTCTGCGAAGCTGGCCAGTGGTGTTGTTGCAGACATTAAAGTAGTGAGCATGGGTCTCATGCAGCTCCACAAGCAATCTTGAATCATTCACAAGATCTGGCAATCTTGTGGTAGCCATGATTATAGAATATTGCTAGTAGCTATGACAGCATAGAGTTATATCCGTTGCGAGAAATAAATTTGGGGCTGGAAGATATCTTCACAGGAGCCTCAGGGGCGAAGTCGCTGACTTCACTTTTTGTTAGAAGACCTGAGCCTTGCTGTGAGCCTGTGTTGATTGGCCGTGTGAAGCAGGGCGTCACATCCTTACCCCGTGTTTCTCGTGCACGGACGCTATGCTCCCTGCGGAACAGAGCTCCTCTTTTCTCAGCGCTTCTATTTCAGTATGTCTTTTATTCGGGATTGCAAAAGTAATTCTCTACTTTGTTCCAATTATTTAAAGTACATAAATTCGGTGCGTTGTTCCGACCATCTCCTCGTCGCTTTCAATCACATTGGGTAGTGAAATATATATATATATATTGGCAGTCTGATGAGTGTTATCACTGTAATATTTTCTAAACAACATGGTGACTTTTCGTTTGCATATAGGACGCATTTATTTTGCCAGGAGCAATGACATAGGACAGGCTTTAGTACTATACCTATGCTGTACGTAATTTTATGTATGAGGCTGAAGAGCGGGGTGCGGGAGGCGGGACGGGTCCGGGAGCCTATTTATAGTCCACTTTACAAGCGTATATTGTCTCCATATCCTTGGGTAGGGATCAATTGGATCAATTGGAACGTTCAATTACAAGATGGAAAATAAAAGGCTCAAAGTGACCTCGCTATGTGCGAAGTCTCCTACTGATATTATCTGTGCTAGTTGGCGTGGAGTGCGCGGATGGCATTGTGGCGAAGGTTCCTCATTGTATGAGAAAGATCGCCAGGGGGAAGATGTTGAAAATGGAGATCAAGGACACAGAGACGCAGAGATGTGTTCTGCTCATGCCACGGCTGGTCATGACTTCTGTCGCCGGGAAAAAGTGAATCAACCGGTAAAGCGTTCTGTCCAGTGGTATACACCAATGCAGTCTATTGATGCCACAAATTAGGGGCCTTCAGTAGATCAACATGTCAAAGCTTTTGAAGCTCTGACTCGAGAAAGGCGTAGCGACTGCTGTGCCTTGAATTAGTCAAGCATCTGTAAGAGTAAGGTGGTAGTATTTGATAAATCTAATTTTCTCGTGAATCATATTTGGAGATGCAGGCATTAAAGGTCCGGATCGTCGCAGGACGACGGGAAGTAATATGGATCCCGAAAATTGGGCGATGGTATAGAAACGCCCTCTCGGGAGGAAGTCCTGGTTGCGGGCCAGCTGTCGTATGAAAACTCAACCCCGGCGTTGACAAAGAGAGATCTCTCAGCGCATTCCATGTCCATTTTGGCCTTTTCGTCCCATCTCACCTCCGTCAGGTTTGGGAATTGCCCCTTGATAGCTGCCTGGCCAAGGCCAAGAAGGCCCCGTTTCAGCCGCGGGAGGTCCTCTTTAATATATCCAGCAAGGTGTAGAGAGTTTAAGCCGGCAGGGAGAATGTGGATAAAGAGCTGGGATTTGTCCGTGCAACGGTGGTCGAAGAACCGGCTGTGGAATTCGTCCAGGTTCAAGAAGAGGTGTTTCAGGGCAGTAAGCTCGCAAAAGCTGAATGTGCTCGGGGTGGCCGGTTCGCCTCCCCGGTGTCGGAGATCGATATGCACTGATTCGAGTGTCGTGCAGTGGCGGGTGAGATATCCTGCAGCATTGCGGAGCTCGAAATGATCACTACAGTCCCAGCTTGGACCTGTTGCATCAATGACAAGGCGGCCTGCCTCGTACGTAAAGCTGCGTAAACCGTGGCAAGAGTTGAGTATGTTTTCAAGACCTTTCTCGTTAAGACGACTAGACGTGATTCGAATATGCTTAAGGCTCGGCAGAGAAGGAAATGCGGCCCGTTCGCGAGTCCAATAGCACTTATGCAGGTTAAGCGTCTCAAGACAGGGAGAAATTTTCAGGAGATCTCGTGCTTTGCTGGAAAGATCGAAACGGCTTTCAAAATGGCCCGAAAGATTTATAATTCTCAGGGGCAGCTGCGGGATTCCGGCAGCCGATAGGCTTTTAGAGTAAAGAGCCATCTTTTGTAAATCTGAACCAAAGAAAAGGCTGCAATATTCCAGGTTTGGTAGCGCCGCAAGCAAAAGAATAATCAAATGTTTCGCTGATAGCCGCCCTGGGCCTTTGATGTTTAATGCAACCCCAATCTCGCGGAGAGTGTCGACAGCCTCATCTTCCAATATGGACTGCCTTAAAATTGGCTCTCGCAGACCATAGATGTCTCTGAAGAAGGCAAGATCTTGCTCTATTTCAAGGGGAATCATCAGGTCTTTCTCGTTTGGCCTCGGACCCCAAGTTTCCAATTCTTTTCGCTTCCTCTGCAACGCCTCGCGAGAGGCTTGGAGCAGATAGGGCACTACATGGATCCTCTTCACGAAGCTGGCCAAGTCTCGTCGCTGAGCCACTGTTCGCACGAACGAAAGGAGTCGGCCGTCCCATGTATAAATCTCGGAGAGCCACGAATCGCCATACCCAAGCATAAATTCCTGGTATAAAATGGGTTGAGTGGCGCTACACAAGCGCTTAGACACCAAACAAAGGCGTACAAGCGGCTGAAGTTTTAACGAGTACCAAGATGGCTGGTCGCGCTTCTGTTGACGATAGCGAAAGTGGGCATCTGGTGGTTCTATTATGCCTGTATTGTGGGGCTCACAGCCTAAGTGGGCTAGTATCATGTGTAAAAGCTCAGGGGGAAGGTCATCCAATGTCCGTGGCATGTTGAGAGGAGAATTGGAAAGAAGCAGGAGAGAAACAAAAGAGAAGTTGATTTAACGTAGAAATTCATGCAGAAATGGACCCCTGAGGGGTGTTGATGCCTTGATGCCTCACTGCCCAATGCCTGAGGTATACCATCCCATCTATATAACTAGAATAATCTTCAACTGAGAATAAAACCAAAACCATCTTTCGGACCCAATTATAGATATAGAGACGTATTACCCTACTCTTCCAAACATAAATGTCTCTCAGGACTCAGGCATCAAGCAATATCGCTTCCGTCATGCTCCAGGGGATAGTCTTAGGTACTATACCTCGATAGAAACCATTGAGTGGCATAAGTACTGAAGGTTATCATGTGTCAATTTATACAGTTTCCTGTATGTAAAATAGGTACCTAAATATGTGTTTATCAAATGCGTGGAAACTGGCGCTGCTTGTAGCTAACTGCGCTATCCAGTTTATACATCAGCCCAACAAGCCTCGCTTAATTTATATCTGGTAGAGCCTCGACTGCTTTAACACTACCGCTTGATAGTAACGACGAGTCCTGCTGAACAAGCATGAACCTCGCTCCCAAACCTTTGATAATCCAGTCCTGCAACGCCGGGTTGTCATAGACGCCCGCCACACCAAAGACCTTCCCATGGACACGACAAGCCTGACTGATCTTCTCAAGTGACGACCGATACTCAGGCTTATCAAACTGGCCTCCAATTCCGAAATCAATCGTCAGATCCATCGAGCCTACCAAGACAACGTCCACCCCCTCGACAGCGGCAATCTCATCCGCGCGCTCCACGGCATCCCTGCTCTCGATCATTGCGAATACCGTAGACCCGGATCTATTGCAGAACTCAATAGTCTGATCTACTGCCATCCCGCGCATTCCAAAAATCGGCATCTGGCCTGTCATGGATCTGCAGCCGAGCGGAGGGTACTTGCTTATCTTCACGGCTGCCTTTGCATCATCTGCTACTGGTTAGTGCGACCGACCTTTCTCATATACTTCAATAGTGTCCAGACCTGCATTATGAATATGAGGGAAAATAACACCCATAGCACCTCCATCTAGAACGCGCTGTACATAGCCATTTCCGCACTGGTGCGGTACACGCACGAAGGGGGTGATTCCGCATAAATGCCCGACGTTGCAGAGATTACTTGCCTCGGCGAGTGTCAGCCAGGCGTGCTCTAGGTCGATGAAGAGAGAGTCGAAGCCGGAGTTGCGTGCGATTTGCACGACTTGCGCGTTGGGTGATATCTTGATTCCGAATGCTTTGCAGAGTTGCCCTGAGGCGGTGCAGGTTTCCAGCGTATTCGTGTAGAAAGATGTCATGATGCTCTTTCTGGTTTATTGACAGAGTTTACCTACTAATTCCTAGACTATTTATTGGAGTTTGCGCAGCCTTTATTCGTCTAAGAGGACTTCGGAGGACGACTCCGAAGCACGCCACGTTGAGTGACCTTTAGTCGAGAATTCGGCTAGAGATGTGGCATATTGGAATTGTATTCAATGTATATGGGTAAATTCTATTTAGAAAACAGCTCTGAAATCCGTTCAGTGCCAACATTTCCTCCACTCAGAATGATGCCAACATCCCAACCAGCCTCGCCCGCAGTACGCTCTACCATTTCCCTAAACTCCTCGTTATATAGAGCAACAGCCAGAGGAACCGCAGCTGCAGGCTCAACAACCAGCTTCAGTCTCTCAAATATAATTTTCATGGCATCCAGTATCTCCTCCTCAGTTACAGCATACAACATCTCCACCAGCCGCCGCTCGTATATAATCTCCCACGGATAAGCCCCAAGCTTCCCAACAAGCCCGTCTGCAATCGTATTCGTAGCTACATGCGTGATCCTCTCCCCAGAGAGAAACCCTCGCCTCCCATCATCCGCCCCTTCAAACTCCGGCTCAGCCCCATACACCTTTATGCCGGTGCCTTCGCAGCTTAGAGCAGTCCCTGAGAGAAGCCCGCCCCCGCTAGTCGGCGCGATGATAGCATCTACCTTCGGAATCTGCGTCTGCATCTCCAAGCCTACACTTCCCTGTCCCAGAATCACATCAGGGTGGTCGTAGGGTGGAATCAGCCGGGCCCCTGTCTCCTCGACGATCCGTGCCGCGACAGCCTCGCGCTCAAACCGACCGCTGAGAGTCAGTTTGGCGCCGTAGCCCTCAACAGACTTGATCTTGACTGCGCTGCTGGTATCGGGCATTACGATGTGCGCGGGCATTTTGCTTTCGCGCGCTGCTAGGGCGACGGCCTGTGCATGATTGCCTGGCAATATATAGTTAGAACAGACCGTATAACGAAGAGAATGAATTATTTGTACCAGCACTGAACCCAACAACACCCCTACTCAACCCACCGCCCTCAATCCACCCAGGCTCCTGTTTGAGCTTCTCGATCGCGTGGAATGCACCCCGGACCTTGAACGCGCCGATCCGCTGCTGGTTCTCGCATTTGAACCACAGCCTGAGAATGGGGTTTGCGTTCTTCCGCGGTGTTGATGCGAGTTGATTCAGGAATGTGCTTGTGACGACGGGTGTGCGGTGAATAAGAGGTTTTATTATCTCGTGCGCGTCAATGACGGACTGCCGCGTGAGGGGGGCGCATGTTGTTGGGTCTGCCATGGTTATAACAACGGAATGGTGCTCTTGATGAATTGATTTCCGATTATTTGAACCTGGTACGTAGTAACACATTATCGCGGGGTATGATCAGGCTTGGCGTTGGAGTCGATGGTGTGCTCGGAGTTGTGCCCCGAAGTCGTCGATATAGGGCAACATCCATGATGCCATGCTTGGGAGTGTATGGATTGCTTATCTTGGGCTTCCTTGCATAGAGTCCGCTCTCAGTGGGAGTGGATGGGTGGACCAAGATGTCCTGCCTCGTTTTACACTTGATCAGGTGCTGGAAGAACGGGGCTTTGTGTCCAATATTCGTCTATACAAAGCCTAAATACCGGAGCTTGGCGTGCTGAAGATCCTCTTGTAAAGAAAAAGAATCCATGTGAGCTCCGGTATGTTTGAATGAGAGCGATACCAAAATTGATTAACATTGACTGACTTGAATAGTTATCCTTTACAACAGCCGGAATGCCTTATACATCTGTTCTCGATCTCTGTCGCAGGGTCTACTTACCGTGCTACTTGACAATCCCCACCGCTCCTGTCCCAGAGAGGCGATATATCGGCCAAAAATTTTCTAAAACCGATCTCACGTCGATTCATGACGAGAAAGGGGCTTCCATTCGGAGCTTCCATGCCACATGAAAGGTGAGTTCTTGAGACTCAGACATAGTACCAGGCCGAGGTACCATATCCAGCATCCGCGTCGAAAGGCGTACGTTATGGGCAATGTATATGGACCGAAATAGCTGTATGTGGGCTTCTATAGCCGCGGATATACAAAAGGACACCGTTCTATGCTCCATACTGAGGGGCCCAGGCTTGCTTACGGCTGAACGTATACTTCTGCGGCGATTTCCTCGGCACTGCAAGGTACCCACTCCATAGCCGCGGGACTCAAGCCATAGTATACGCTGAAGGGGCGACTTAAAAGGGTCAATGAGATCCCCCGGATTCCATATCAAACAAAGCACATTGGCATCGTCTGGTCATTGTCAGTAACCCAACACAACGACTCCATCGCACCATGGCCGAAGAGGATCTTGTTCGCCTTGATATCAACGGCATCTTTGCCGTCATCACGCTGAACAACCCGAAAAAATTCAACGCCTTGACGCAGAGCCTGTATTATCGCCTTGCGAGCTTGCTCCGAGAGGCCGAAGAGAATCCGGATGTCTACGTGACTGTCTTGATTGGCGAGGGCGCCTTTTTCTCGGCGTAAGTTCTCTTGAAAAGGGTCAATAACAGTGGAATTGATGGCGAGATGCTGATGCCTGCTGTTAGAGGGGCTGACCTCAAGGGGAAGCCCCCGTCTATGGAGGAGATGTTGTCTCGCCCTCACTGGCTTCCGAAATTGGTGAATAACAACATCGACGTGGCGAGAGCGTTCTACAGCCATTCGAAGATTCTGGTCACGGCGCTGAACGGACCGGTCATCGGACTCTCTGCCGCGTTGATATCGCACTCAGATTTCATCTACGCGGTATCTGATGCTTGGCTGATGACTCCTTTCACATCTCTCGGCCTCGTTGCTGAAGGCGGCTCCAGTGTCGCCTTTGTGCAGCGGATGGGTCAAGGGAAAGCAAACGAGGCACTCCTCCTTGGCAGGAAAATCTCCGTCAGCGAGCTGGCTCAGGTTGGTTTCGTGAACAAGGTCTTTGAAGGCAAAGGCAACTTTCAGGAGCAAGTGATGGGGCATCTGCAGCAGACGTTCGGCGAGCATTTGGTCGGGTCGAGCCTTCTTGGGACAAAGGCTTTGATGCGTCGCCGCTTGGTTAGGGAGCAGGACGAACAAGCACCGCTAGAGATGTTTGGTGGCCTCGACCGGTTCTGCCAGGGTATCCCTCAGGCAAAAATGGGAGAGGCTCTGTCCAAGAGCAAGGCTTCTCGACTTTGATTTGCTGAGTACACAGTGTGCCCTAACTAAGCTACACTGCACACTTCTTTAGTCATGGGCATCACTGCTTCGTTGCACATGGCCTAATGTACACTTAGAACTCTTTTTCTGTCTTTTTATTCTTCGCTTCTGTGCATAAGGGTTCTCAATCCATTTTCCTGTTTTGGCCCCTAACACAAACGGAGCCCAACGTCCAACTTCCGTCGCCTAGCAGCAACGGTAGCCTTGAATACCCTGCCGCTATAATATTGATGCATGTATCCAGGGGTAGCTTTGTTGCCGTAGCGTTAACCCCGCCAGAAATACTTATACAAGAATGGCTCAGGGACAGCCGAGGCAACAACTAGATCTGACCAATCACAGCTGCCCCGTGTTGCCGAGGCATAACCGTCCCTTTCGAACCCTAAATGTCCTCCTTATCCGCGGCAACATTCCCTCATTGGGCGACTTCGTTCACAACGACACGACTGCGGTTTCCATGATGCCCAATTCTGCAGAGAGCCCGCGGAATGCTCGCAGAATGGGACGGTCCAGAAAGCGAGCACCCGTGGCCTGCCAGTCATGCCACGCCCGTAAAGTAAGATGCAGCCTCCCACAAACTGGCCTACCCTGCACCAACTGCTCCTTAGATGATGTTTCCTGCGTGCCGCGGGAAAGCAGGAGATCAAAGTAAGCGAAATGGGAAGAACCCCTTGGGGAGCCCGCTGACGAGCTGCGTAGTAGACGTGGCCTCTCTTACCACCTTAGTACGGTGCCTTTGCGGTCGAATGACGACCCCGCGATACAGAGTACTCCGCTGGAGGATGGCAGCTTTCCACCCGGCCCTGAACGCCTCGTTGCGATGAGGGATGTATCTGCGCCGAGCGGACCGAGTCCCACAGCTCCAGCGGTAGGTGATACTGGAGATGGCATCGAAACCCCTTATCGCCCGTTCAACGAACATTTCAGCCATCACAATGGAGGCGACACGGGCGCGTCGCAACCAGAGGGAGACGCGACGGATAAATGCTATTCGCCGCTATATGGTGAGAATCAAACATTTAGCTAGCCTTTTGGAGATACTCGCGCCCAGGAATGGTCCACCATGATGCTGATTCGGGTCACTTTAGGGGACCCTCGTGGCGTCGGTCTGGTGGCCGACATCTGCGAGCCAGAGCCAGGGGAGAAGAGTGGCCACTTCCTCATCCCACGGATTAGGCCCACTCATATAGACCAAGATACGATTGAGTACTTGCGTCGTAAGGGTGCCTTCAGCTTGCCCACTCCTGCTGTCTGCGAGATGATGATCCGGACGTACTTCCACTATGTGCATCCCTTTTTCCCCGCGGTTGACGCCCATTCGTTCCTTGATGCGTTCGAAAATGAACGCAATGAAGTGAGCGTACACCTGTTGTGGAGCATGTTTCTAGCTGCTGCAAATGTACGCGTACCACTCACTCCATCACTTTCCTCGTTGGCAGCCTAACATAGAAATAGTTCGCCGATGACAGTACCCTCAAAGCAGCCAATTTCTCGTCTCGAAAAGAGATGAAGCGTGCGATGTATATTCGATCTAAGGTCGTAGCTAGACAAGGCAGTTTTAGAGAGAGTACTAGCTAACCAAGGCCCATAGGCTCTATATGACGCGGAGTATGAGAGAAGGAAGATTACCCTAATCCAGGCGGTCCTTCTGACAGGATTCTGGTATTCGGATACTGAGGATAGAACCGGCCCTTGGCATTGGAACGGCATTGCTATCAGTCTATGCCAGACGATAGGGCTGCATCGGTGGCCGGATACGGGCCGGAAACACGGCAAAGTCATCTCGACGAGTGACGGCAGCATCTGGAGGCAGCTGTGGTGGTGCTGCATTTACCGTGAAGCGTGGTTCTCTGCCGGCATGGGAAGGCCTATGCGCATCAACCTAGCCGACTGCAGTACCCCAATGCCAAATGCCATCGATTCCGATAACCTGCTCTCTGGCATTCCGGAGAGTGTTCGACAGAAGTACCTTCCAAAGGGCACCAATGACTTGTCCAACTTGTGGACGGAGCTGTTGGCACTCACGGTTTCTTTAGCGAACATTCTCTCATGGCAAAATCGAGCGGAGCGGACACGACCAAATAAGACTGAAGTACAGCGCATGGACGATGCCATCCGACAGGATCATTTCTGCAAGGATCGCGCCGTAGCCCACGGACACAGTCACGTCGTCTCCCTACACGTGTACTATCTAGAGCTGTACCTAGAGTAAGTGAAACCATGATTGTCGTCCTCGACAGGCTGACGTTGAAGCTATAGGTCCGTTTTGCTTATCCTATACCGGCCGTTTCTTTTTGATAAGCCAGGAATGAACCCGCCGGATCTCTCTGGGGACGAGTGGACATCAACTGTACTGCGGAGGACCAAAGATGCTGCAACGAACACCAACAGGATCCTCGGTAACATGATCGGTGCTGACATGGTCAGCAATACCCAAGCGATGGTGTACGTACATAACCAGAGGACAAATAAGGTATTTAAGATTCAGAGTGCTAAATCTCGCCAGCTGCATTGCCTTGGTCCCCACATTGCAAGTCCATCTTCTTGACGCCACGTCTGAAAAACAGATGGTGCAACGGATGGGCCGCCACAACCTCGAGTTTTGCATGATGGTGGTCGACGAGCTCAAGTCCGTGTATTTTGGCGCTGAAATACTTTCACGGATGTTCAGCAAGGCAAAGAACCAGATATACCATCGGACGTTTGGTCCCGCCACTGGGCCCAGGGACCATATGCCTCAGCCATCGCATGATTCCACAATCGGTTCTATTCCAGAGCTGCCAGATGATGCATGCCAGGATAATGGGGAGATGTTTGATGCCTTTGCGACTATGTTCGGTCCTTTTGCCCCAGTCTCAGCTGGCGGACCCTTCGATAATGATGAGTACGTTTAAGCTTTGTTCTGGATCCCATTTATGCTGCATGAACTGAGTATCACTTTCAAAATACTAATCAACATGTGATAGGCCGTTTTCTTTCGAATCCGCAATGACGTTTGAGCAATTGATGCTCCCTGAACCCGATTTCTCAGCAGATACACGCTAGATCTCTATCAGTTATGGACCTTCTGGCTGCTGTTGAGATATTCGCGTGCATTCTTGTATGACTTGGTAATGATCGCAAATCTAGCCTAAAAGGCAGTGGTGCATAAGCCTACACCTAGCTTGCAGCCCCGTTTGACGACGGCGTTCTTTAAAATGGGCTCTTCTGGTTACGGCACTTATACAAAACCCGAGGATTCCTCTGTTGCCACGGAGTGTCTCTATCTTTGAGCTATACGAAATATACTTTTCATATCCGAGAAGATTCTCCTCTTTGTGGAAGAGTTGGCACAACAGTGGTGGGGATACGCGAGCGAGAGTGATATCGGATTTGCGGGGTCGGGCCACTGTTGGAGTAAGGGCTTGCTTGGCTCTCTGCTCTGTACTATCTGACCCATTGTCGCCTCCAATAAAAGACTGGCTGCGGGCTCTTTATGCTATCTAATCTTCCCTGCGCCAATTCAGCTTATCTTCTCGGTCGTCACTCCCGACGTCCTCTCAACCTGCTTCCCCTCCCTTCCTGCAACCCTTCCCAGGTCGGCTTTCATACGGAGGTCTCTTCCATGTTCTCCTTTCGATTTATGACGCCCCGGCTATCTTGGTAATATTAGACATGCCTCGAGGCCCGAATCCCAGCCAAGCCGCATCTCGGCGGACAACCCCGAGCCGTACTCGTGCTGCGGCAAGAGACCCGTCTAAAGTGGTCATCGCGTGGGTTCCCATTCCAGTAATCATTGATGCTTTGATAAAGTGACTAATGGATAACTGTCTAGCTGCTTGACCTGCCGCCAGCGAAAGGTCAAGTGCTCCGGCACAAATCCGTGCTCCTACTGCTCGAAGCGCGAACTAGATTGTAGCTTCTCCGAGCATGGGAAGAGGCGAGCTTACTCAGTAGCGTACGATCTCTATTACTGTTGTGGTGGCTTAGCTGACCAGTGGTAGGAGAATCGAGTATCTGGAAGCGCGCTTGGCTCGTTATGAGAATGCAACTCCCGCGCTAAGCCCTGGTATGTACAGTCCACTTTACTACGACTTAATAGGTATGGCAGCTAACGTATAAATATGTTATAGTCTCGCAAATAGACGACGCAGTTCGCCCACCGCTCGAAGGCCCACGGACGAAAACGCCCACTCCATCAAGAGCTCGTCGGAACTCTATACGAATTGGCAACAGCTCATTCCTCGTAGACTCACTCGGCCCTCCTGCAGGTATTCCTCCAGAATTGGGAGAAAGTGCTACTGTATGCGCGTCGGAGCCGTCTCCCGCTTCGGGTAAGACCAATAATATCTCTCATCCGTGCTGGTGGTTAATATCCTCGCAGCAATTGCTGCAGACTCATCACTGAGCTCTAGCTACGCCTTTGGATCCAGAGTCCAGAGTCTGCTCGATGGGTCCAGATCAGCTCCACGACGGGACTATGCTGCATGTACTACCGATCAGCTACTAGTACCAAAACCTAGGAGCACTCATGTATTCGACATACCTTCACTACCTACTGAGCAGGAAGCATTCGGGCTACTGGAAACGCTTGTAATATACATCGGACACACCCAGAATTACGTCGACGCGCGGGAAATCTCTGACAAGATCGGCCTTCTCTATGCGAATAAGAATGACACCACAATCGCTGAAAGCCTTTGGACTCTGGAGATCCTCATAATCTGTGCCATTGCAAGACTCTTCAAGGGCGACTTTGGAGGCGATGCACATAGGACGGACCCATACCCAGGCTATGCCCTCTTTGACTTTGTCAGGGACCGCATTCCACCTCTGGGCCAGCTGTATAACGTTGGACGGGCTGGGGTTGAAGTCCTCGCTTTGGTCGCCGTATACCTCCAGAACATTTACTGCAAGGAGGAGGCATACGTATATGTATGAGAGCCGACCCAATACCATGTAGCCCCTAACACCATGTGTATAGATAAGCACCGCTCTGCGACTCGCAGTTTCCCACGGCTACCACCGCCAGTCTACCTCTGGGCGGTTCTTGCAGTCGGAGGCTACGCATATAAATCGTCTATGGTGGTCAATCTACTCTCAGGAGAGGTATTTTACCTACCGTTTTTCGCGCAGCTATCCCACTGACCACAGGAGCAGACGCATAGCGGCTGCCACTGGAAGCCCCCAGGGTATCAGCGATAGTGTCATTGAGCAGCCGTTACCAACGGACTCGATTGGATTTACCCCAGCTGCGCCGATGCGAACAAGTATAAAGCTGGCTCGTGTTTACGGGCAAATAATGACGGGTGCGCCACCTTATAATATATCCAGACTTAAGGCTAATATTGTGTCTATAGTGCTATATGGCTCAACGCTTCAAACAGAGGATACCTTCATCTCAAACGTGCAAAGCATCATCAGAAGCTTGTATGATATATCAGATGAAATCCCGCTAGGGCTGGCAACTGGTATGCCGAAGCTGGGGCACGACCTGTCGTTGAGGACTTCTGCTGCGCTGCATCTGATGTTTTACCAGGTATGTTTCAACCTCCGTTTCTCTTGCAAATGCCCCAGGTAGTTAACAGTTATAGGCTCTCCTGTTAACGATCCGCCCCGTCATGCTACACATCGCCCAATTAATCCTCAGCGGAAAACCACCACTACCGAGCATCCTCTATTCGTCACCATTAGGAAAACTCTGTCGAACATGCACAGAAGCCGCAAGAAGACTCCTGAAAGTCCTAATGACACTCCGCCAACATAACTGCATAGGTTAGCCAACCCGTTCAACTCTTTATTCAAACAGACTACAGTGCTAACTCAAATAATACAGCCCTCTTCGGCTTCTTCGACTTCGACGGCATATTCTCCGTAACGTTCATCATGATCCTAACCGCAATCCTAGACTCCGCCTGCAAAGACCCCTCGCAGCAAATCCACCCAGCACCCGGTCTCGCCGAAGCCCTCGATCTAATCCAGTACGTCGCAAACCACCATAATACATTCGCAGCGCAGTGGTTGCGCGAGATTAGAGGGACCTGGGCGCAGCTTTGCACGCGCCTTGATATGCCGGACGGGTATAGGGCTATTGAGAGGAGGTTAGGGTTCCCGGTTCAGGCTTCTACTGCCGGACCCAGAGGAGACTCCACTGGCAGCCGTGGAAACGGCTCACCGGTGGATGCGGCGGAGTCTGGTAACGCGTCCTCGTCGCTTTCCGTTCATAATACTAGTAATGGTAGCGGTGCGTACGAGGAAAACACCACACCGTTTCGCAGTGGGAATCCGGGTGGCAGTGGCTTCTTGAACGGGGATTCAGGTGGTGTACCGGACGTTGGTGCCGCCGCACCGGATCCCCAGTCCCAGTCTATCCTCGCGGACTTGGATATCTGGAGTGATATCAATCACCTGTGGGCGCCTCTTCCGGAGGATTGGGGGGAGGTGTTTCAACAGGATGATGATGATGATAATGATGATGCGGCTGCTAGTGCGATTCCGCAAAGCCTGTATCAGAATATCTACGGGAGTAGGGAGTGGACATTCACTGGCGAGGACATGGGTGATTTTGCGGAGTTGGGGAGGCATGTTGGTGGTGCTTTGTAGACTGGATATCTCTTAGCCAACTAGGCTAGTTTCAGTAGATTACAAATATGGCTTGACGAGTAGAGGCGAATAATATATCCTGAAAAATCGAATTTTGAGAATACATCGGCCTTCAGGACCGGACCCTCGGCGTCGTGGTATCCAGGCCGAGCGGATCCATTCGGACACAACGGCCGAGACATATAGTTGCACGGCAGAGTGGGTATTGATAAGCTCCAGACCCTGCGTCGCTCAGCTAGAAATGCTTATTCAGGAACAATAAATACTGTCGGCAACGATGGACCCAGAAGCAGAAGCAAAACACACAGGCACCGCCGCACGCCTGCAAGCCCGACGCGGCGAGATAACCGGGTCCAACACTGGAATCGCCACGGGAGTCTACTGCAATCTGGTCGTTGTCCCGCAAGAATTCGCTGCGGACTTTAGACAGCCATGTCTCCGTAACCCCGTTTGTCTACCTCTACTGGAACAGACAGATCCCGGAGCACGGAAGAGCAAATTAGCAGCCGGTAGCGATATCAGCACTGATATCCCGCGATACAATAATTACCAGGACGGAAAATTACATAGCGCAGGTGTCTCCAATATCACGGCGCAATGGAGCGATGAGCACGTCGGTTTCCTCCTCGGTTGCTCTTTTACATTTGAAATTGGGCTCGCGGCTGCGGATCCTCGTCTCACGGCCCGGAACATGGCAGAGGGAAAGGCGCCTCCTGTCTATGTGACTTCTGTCCAGCTTAACCCTAGTGGCGTTTTCACTGGGGCATGCATGGTTGTTAGTATGCGCTGGTACAGGAAAGACGATATACCTCGGGTCCGGGCTGTCACCGCGCGCTTCAGCAGGCAGCATGGTGAGCCGGTAGCATGGGGTTGGGAGGGGGCCGAGTATCTGGGGGTTGCAGATCGGCTCAAAGCCAAGGCTGTGGACTTTGGCGAGTGGGTTGAGCCTGTGGATGGCGAGGTTCCTGTGTTTTGGGGGTGCGGTGTCACTGGGGAGATTGCTCTGCGGGCAGCGAAGATACCAGGGGTGTCGATGACGCATTATTCGGGGTGCGTACAGAATACTTGTCTTTGTTGTCTTGTACTTTTGTTGACCATCCAGAACGATGTTTGTCACCGACCTTACAGCGGAAGAGGTGGAGAACCGTGGGCCAAGGCTGGAACCTCTCTCGCCGGCTATCACGGAAGATGCGCGGGACAATGGCCTCGCTTGATCCACATCGCCGACAAGGTCTCCCGCTGAATCAGGAATTCTTGGTCAACACCTTTCGTTTAACGGAGCGAGATCCGTCCACCCTGGCGAACGGGATGCTAGCGAGACTGGGATCTGGCATTGGACGCTGAATGGACCAATGGAGGGAGCAGTGTCAATCGTGGATGTTTCATCTTGCCAAGGGTCTGTTCTCTGATAGTCGATCACATTCGCGAGTTCTCGCAGCCGGTAACAACTTCAGTCTTCTCTTCTGTTACAGTATTGACATCTATGATTCCTATGGTAATCGCTGCTGTGATGAGTTGGATGAGTTGATGAGTTGATAAGTGGATCTTTGGTTCTTCAGTTCTTCACAGTTCGGCGGAAACAGTTTAACTCCGAGGAACATTAATCAGCGATACGCAACTGTACCGTAATATCGCGATTTAGTATGGGCGCCAAGGCGGTGTACGCAACCGGTACAACCCCCGCCACATTGCCGCAAAACGGCAAATAAATATTTCTCCTCATGCCCCTCGGTTCCCCTCATCGCCCCCTAACTCTTCACATCATCTTCTTCTTCACCTCTTCACCTCTCAATCTCTCAGAAAATGGCCTCTAACGCCCCCGGAGCCTGCTGTGCCTCTGGCTTCCGCCACGAGGGCACCCCCGCCGGCGAGACCAAGAACATCAACGGAAGTCAGTGACCCCCGCTTCTTTGCGCGCCTGTGCCTATGCCTAACATCCGCCTGCTACAGCCGAGACATACATCGTCTACCCTAAGGGCAACCAGACCCCCGAGAAGGCCGTCGTCATCCTCAGTGACATCTTTGGTATCTACGTCAACGCCCAGCTCCTCGCCGACGAATTCGCCGACAATGGCTACCTCACCGTGATCCCTGACCTGTTCCGCGGTGACGCCATCAAGCTCGAAGATATGGAGTCTGGAAAGGCCGACCTACCTTCTTGGATCCCCAACCACCAGCCTGCCGCTGTTGACCCCGTTGTTGAGGCTACCATCAAGTATGTCCGCCAGGACCTTGGTGTCAAGCGCGTTGCTGGTGTCGGATACTGCTTCGGTGGCAAGGTATGTAACACCTTCCGCCGGACCGTGAAAATATGTCGGTCAAATGTAACCCCAACTAACAATCACAGTCTCTCTGCCGCTTCCTGAAGCCCGGCAAGATCGACGTTGGCTACACTGCCCACCCCTCGTTCGTCACCGAAGAGGAGCTCGGCGCTGTCTCCGGTCCCCTGTCCATCAGCGCTTCCGGTGAGTTATCCATCCTCCTCAGCAATGCATTATACTAACGAGGAATAGAAATCGACCAGATCTTCACCACCGAGCAACGCCACAAGTCCGAGGAGATCCTCGCCAAGACCGGTCAGAACTGGCAGATCAACCTCTACAGCGGCGTCAGCCACGGCTTCGCTGTCCGTGCCGACCTCACCAACAAGCACCACAAGTTCGCCAAGGAGCAGGCTTTCGCCCAGGCGATTAGCTGGTTCAACCAGTACCTCTAAATGTCTGTATAGCGTAGACTATGATTAGGAATGAATAATATATCTATGACCTTATTTAAGATGCATGAATGTCTGCCATGTGGCAGGACCCGCCATAGACGTAGCCCTGGTTAAGTTGACGCCACGGCCCAGGAACGCAGCCACAATACAACAACCAATAAAGTGCAGTAATATGCATTTATATTTTACTGAGATATCTTCAAAACGTCGACAACTATCTAACAATACCAAGATATCTATCTCACATCTATACCTGAAACCCATCACCGATTAATCCCTACTCAAACCACCGATTCAACAAATGGCCAACCCTCCCCCTCTTCGGTCTCTCATAAAGCTCCTCATACAGGTCAATATCATCCTTCGTTGAACCGATCTTCAAATCCGCCTCGCCAACCCTAACATACCGCGTCCTTTTCAGCAGCTTCCACCCTAAAAACGCCACAATATAAAACGCAACCATGGTATAGCTAGTAAAAAACGTCGTCGTATCCCACTGCCCATCAATGAATACCGTATACCCCAGAATCAGCGTCATAAGGAACGTCCCCACAAGCGCATACCATGCCGCATAGGGCTGAAACCGGCCTTTTAATGGTAGATCATCCCGACTGAGCCCTTGTCTCTGCATAGTGTAATAAAAATGGAGATACGTAACCACAGTCCCAAAGTAATTCAACAGGGTACTCGCCGTACATATATCAACCAACCAATCCAGCACCGTGGAGGATGTATTCCCAATCTGAAGCAGCGCAAGTAGACAGAATGCCAGCGCAAATGTGACGGCGTAGTAAGGCAGACCGTGTTTATTGCATTTCGAGAAGAAAGAGGGTGCTTTCCCGTCTATTGCCATGCCGTGCAGGGTCCGCGCGGCGCTGAATATCACGTTGTTTCCGGCGGATAGGACGGATGTCATTATTAGTGCGTTGACGAGATCGGGTACGCCTTGGATGCCGAATTCGAGCATTGAGATTACATATGGTGATCTGTACAGTATCAGAAACGTGACTTGAAATGAATATTTTTGGAACTTTAATCTGGTGTCGGGGTAGGCACTCACGCAGCACCAGTCCCGCTCCCTTCTCTCTCGCCGGAGATAACATCAGCCAGCATCTGGTCGTTATAAGGGATGACGATTCCCACGCATAGCGCGCCGCCGATGAAGAAGAACATGAGACGCCACGGGAATGACGCGTATGCTTTGCGCATCAGGCGGCGCGGGTTCTCGGCTTCGCCGGCTGCCATGGAGATGTATTCCGGGCCGACCATACTGAAGGTTGTTAGGCGATGATTAGATTGAATATGTTTGGTAGGTGAGGACGTACGTGAAAGAGCCTTGGATCATGCAGGAGAGAAGACCGAGAAAATGGCCTGTGTCGCCTGGGACGAGGTATTCGACGAATGAGCCCTAGGCCTATTAACAAATGGAATACAGGGTGAGAGTGGGGAGACACACCGGATCTTGCCAATATCGAAAGCCGTACGGGTCTTTATTCGGGTTCCCGCCGACCATGGTGATGAATGTATACATCATGAGCCCGAGCATAAGGAAGATCTTGAAAATGGACATGTAGAACTCTGATATGCCGAAGTATTTGACCGTGAGGCCGTTGAGCACGCTGAAGGGTCAGCGTAAGTATCTTGGAGTAGAAAGACGTACGAGTATATCACGAGGCAGATGGCGACTATGACGCCGATGTGGACCTTGTCCGTCCAGTAGGTGATAAGGACGTGGATGGCGGTGATTTCGTAGGGGATGTTGAATGCTACATCGATTAGATTGTGTAAGTTAAGAAAGAGGCAGCATACCCATGAGGAAGAAATAGTTCCATCCCATCGCGAAGCTCAGCGCATCGTCGACCCAGAAGCCGGCCAGTCGGACAAAGGGCGATGGGATGGGCATATACGTAACCATCTCAGCTATCTGGGTTAGAATATTTGGTATTCCAGTAGAATGGAAGCATACAGAAACACTGGTTTACGGAGAGGACGATAGTCCCGTACACCACAAAGCCCAGGAATAACCCAGCTGGCCCTCCTTTGGGAAGAGCTGCTCCCATCTGGACAAAGAGAGCTGCATACTTAGAATCAACAGAGATGTATAACACTTAAGAAACAACGTACAAGTTCCAATTGCACCACCAACAGCAAACAGCTGAATCTCCTTCCCGCCCAGTCTCCGATGAAGCTGCTGCGACCCAGCAGAGATCAACTCGCCAGGAAGAGCGGTCTCGGCAGGCTTGTCATCGGCCTTCTGATCGGCCTTCTGATCAGGTCTTGGACTCGGCCCGGAGTCTGCATTATCGGGACGAGCATGACTGGTGCTGGTATGGGTTTCGGGGTTCATTGTGGTGTGAGGATGCGGGGGATGTCAGAGGTCCATGGCCAAACGGGCTCTCAGCACTTAAGAGAGACCTTTTGGCAGTCCTGCACGCAAACCGGATATCCTTCCATTTTGGTGGCGACCGCGCGTGCTCGTGTTTGTTGGGACCGCCGATTCGTGAAGCTTGTCGCACGGTCCGCGATCATCGAAGCAGGATCTGAAGGAGGATATTAATGTGGTGACAGGTGAGGGGTTGTCTGCACGACCTGCATGATAGCGTGGTTGACCTGCAGAAGTCTGATACATTTCTCCTCTAGTAACTTGTGGCGTGATGATGTTTGGCTGAGGCCAGAGCAGTGACCTCGCTTCGTAGCGAAACGTCCAGAACCTGTTCAGACATAGCTCTATATATAATTTGGTTAAGTTTTAGTCAACTGAAGCATTGGCTGACGTCTAGGCTGATAGACGCAAAGTGGCCAAGCACGATAGTAGCAATTCTTAGTCAAAGAGATTCCTCGTTATAATTAATTCGTATTCGTAATCTAAAAGAAATGAAATTCATGGCCCGCTTATCACAGACCATGGCCGCTCGATAAATATAGGGTCTCGCATTCGGATGTTGATAGGCAGTGGCAGCTTCTCGGGATCATGGGTGGTGAAGCTGATCACGTCCCCAGATTGGATCCACCGTGGGGTCGGGCCGTCAAGCTTGTAAATTAGCCCCGTATGTAAGAGGCGTCGGTGGCACTTGGAGGCTGCGCCAGGCGTGGTCTCCATCAGATAACCAGAAAAACCCAACCGTGAGGCGTTTCCGGTCGGTGGAAAGCTCAATAGGCTTTAGGGCGAATCGGCATTGGCCCCAGAGATGGTGGACTATTGGCCCTAGACATATCAAGTTTTCCAGGGTCTCGGTGCCCTGGTCGCCAGAAATGGCTGCTACCCCCACCTTTCAATTCTCTCGGCGGACCAGAACATAAAAAGGCGATCCCAGAAGAACCTGTGTTCCCTGGACCCGGGTTTCCAAGTGAAAAAGGGTTAGGGCTGGGAAGATGCTTGCGCTCTATATCGGCTTGATGCTGCGGAGTCCGGGGTAACCTTAAAGTATATTCGAAAAGAGACAGCATGGGCGTATGCAGAGCGAATGGCAACCTGTGTTGATGAAACTTCGTATATATTCCCCACTGTATAAACTCATAGCAGGCCGAGGAACGGTTCATGGACTGTCAAAAGCCAATAAGCCATGAAATGGCCTTCTTGGCCCAAACAAGCACAGAGGTCCCGGATGAACCCTGATACACATGCGACCTTTCATAAAGCCTCAGGACGGTCCATCCTCCGTCATACTGAACTGGAAATCTCAACCCCTCTTTTACCACCAATACCACGCATCCCTTGACGCACGATGGCACGATGGCACTGTCCAGTGCCTTGGCGTAGGCTTGTGGCCAATTGAGTGGGCGATCTGATGATCGAATACGAGGTCCAAAGGCGTCTTCACTCCCGCTGGGTCCGAGGTAACAAGTTACCAGTTGAGGGCATCCTCCCAATGCTTGTCTCATCAGTCCCTGCATCTCAAAGACGCTGGCTGTTAACGGGTGATTGAATTGGCAGTTTCTCGTATCCACAGCGCATCAACACCACCAGGTGCACCATGAAAACAATTGTTACTTCAACGCCCCTTTCCCCAGGGAGCGAGACGGATTTTGTCGGATTCTACCATACTGGAACGAGAGGTGAGTTCCCCCCTGAGCTGCTGCTGCGCAACTCTGACGCGTCCATTGCATTGCATATCTGATAATTCCTTCCTAGTTCAACCCCTAACATGCCACCCCTCATATACCTTTGGACTCAGAACCGAGTCCGAAAACAACGGCGCCTGCTGTCAGACCTTGGACGATGAATCGGAATCGGAATCGTGCTACTACGCGACGAGATGTACAGACGGCCTGCAGGTATTTAAGGATGGGAAGAGCGCTAGTTGGTGAATCCCTCTTCACCCATTTACCCTACTCTATGGTGAAGAGGACTGTTGGCTAATAGATGGCATTGGAAGTGACGGCGGCGTTCCCTGCGTCGAGGTGCCCCTGTACGAGTGGGAGACATCGACTGATAGCGGATGGAGCGTGACGCTGGCGTGGTGCTTTACGAGCTTTGGGAGTGAGCTTGCTTCGGCTTTTTACTATAATGCTATGACGACGTATTCGACAACTGGTATGCTTTCCGTCTATAAATTGGGACTGGCTAACCGATAGGCGCTAGTCAGCGACGACTACGTGACATCCACCTTGAACCCTGAAGGGAGAACGACGTCAACAGAGGCCTCGCGGACCAACTCGCCAAATGCTGAGGAGACCGGCACGACCACGGGTATAGCGCTGGGTGATTCCGGGAAGGGTGATAATGATGACGACTCGGAGACAAATGTAGGGGCTATTGCGGGTGGCACAGTTGGCGGCGTCGTAGGTCTTGTGCTGATTATGTGGACTGCATGGTTTGTTCTGCGGCGACATAAGTTAAAGGGACAGGGACAAGATATGAGGGAGCTTGGGATAGGATATGTGCAGGGTGATAAATGAACAAGTCTGCTACAAGGCTGGAACGGCCTGCTAGGCGTAGAACATCACTGCTGAATCCCTGATATGGGATTGCGCACCGACCCCAGTTCGCAGCGCAGCCTCGCGAGACCCCTCTTTTGTGATAAGTCCTGCATTGCTTCAGCCTTGCCAGTCCGATCACAAACACCCCTGCCACCTCGATCCTGGCGTCTGGGCACTACCCGGGATAGCAATGCGATGGTTGATCTCGTATCAATGGCCAATGGAATCTGCAGCGCACGAGAAGCCAGGAGTGGTGGCGGTCGCTTCGTGCCAGCACGCCCAAGAGGTCAAGGTTGCTTCGGCTTATAATCAGCCATCCCGCAGTGTTGGACTTGGGCGCAGCAGCTCATGGATGATCACTACATCAGCACCTGTGTATCCGCCCACCGATGGAGGATTCGTTGGGTGGTTCCAGAACGGGACGGATGGTGAGATCTCCGTTCCTGGTCTGTTGGGAGAGGAAATATTGATTGATTCGTATTGCAGCGTCAAGGTATTGGTGCGGAGGCGATGAAACTTATGACACTGCAAGCACGGCGTCTACGCAGGGACGCTGCTGTACACCAGGCGAGGGAGAATGCGCCCCTGCAACAAGATGTGATGGGACAACAAAGGTTTATGCCAATGGAGATACTGTTCTTTGGTATGTCTGATCCCTGATCTCCGTCCGATAGTAATAAAGAGGGGGAAAGAGCAGTCGTAGCTAAACAGAACCAAAGTTCCGAAACGAAATCCTGTGTTGAAGCAACGATATACGAAGACCAGCAGTCGTCTGAGGATGGCGATGCCGCGACGATGGCGGCGTGTGTGCGCTCCCCATACGCGACGGCCTATTATCGCACTGCCATTACTACATTTACTACGGATGGTGCGCCTATCTTCTGCTTCTCATCGCCGTTCCTTAATAGACAGACTGCTAACCAATGTCCGTAGTCCCCGATGACTTTTCATCTTCCTCGTCTATACCACCACCGACAGCGACGCCTATTGATTCGGCTACAGATGACACTACGGATAATACAGAGGGCAAAGACTCAGAGTCTGGTAAAGACAACAAAGGAGCCATTATTGGAGGTACCATTGGTGGCGTTGCAGGTCTTGTCCTGATTATACTTGCCGCGTGGTATGTTCTGCGGCGGCACAGGGCTAAGCGTGCTGAGATGAGGGAGATTGGGACAACTTATGTTTCGCAGGATTCCAGGTGAAGGATTAAATGGTCTAAATAATTATTCTATGGGGGGAAAGCTGGCACACTTGACGGCCTCATTCAGCGGTGTGGACCGTGGTTCTTCTCTTGGCCCAGATGGAATATAATCAACGGGGTTAATTAGTGATAATGGATTTGCACTCTTCACTAACCTCTAGGCACTTGACTTAGCCATGGATATCCGGAAGAAAGCGATGAAAGGCCTCGCTGCCAGTATCGAATTTGCATCCCAGAGTATATCCCGTAAAGCTCGCCGTCAAGAGCGAGAACATCCCGATGAGGACGAACAGCACGAGGACTGGGAGCTATACCAGGCACAGGACGAGCTAACTGAACACGAAACCGGAGAGCCGGAAAAACAAAGGAGGCAGCCTCAGCAGGGACATTGACAAGCTTGTGGAATCGTTCATTCGGAATCATCCACCCCCAGAACCTGGGTCTTGGTCTGGTGAAGCAAGACTTCCGTACCCAGTAATTCTTCCCCAGCGGCGTCCTTCCAGCCGAAAACGCGGATTCATCCGGGCGTATGCACCGGTGCTCGAGGGCTTCGGTATAGACCAGACCATTTTCCTCGACTTCTTGGATACCGCAGAACGCGCTGGCCAGGCAAGACCGTGGATGAATGCAATAAACTTGGCATCCTTCGGTACTGCCATGCTACCGAGTGGAATTTCCATCGCAACTTCTATTGCAGTTCAGATGGCTGTCAAAACGGCTGTGGAGGTAGAAGGGAGGAGAAGGTGTGTATATTCTGCCATCAAGTACGGTTCAACTGGTGATATGCTGATTATAAAAGGACGAATACATTCTTCGATGCAGTCAATGATGGCTACTTTCGGCCGCGCGGTCTGTATTGTCTGGTCATGACGTCTAAACCCGAGTCGTCTTCTCCCTATGCAGTATTTGACCTCAATGCTGCTATTGAGCCGTCCCTCGACTATGGGGAAACAGGTCTGTTGGGAAAGTTCCGCTAAAACGAAACGAGACTAACAACCAAACGGGAAAGTGATTCCGCCCCACAAACTCTGACAGCCAAAATGTCTCTCCCCTGTCTCTGTCCTTATAAGTTATCAAGTATCAGCCCATTCAACATGCAATCCCCACTGAAACAGCTGGTTACATTTACCAGCCAAACCGCCGGACTAGAAAAGACTCTCCGCCTCATCCAGGCAACCTCGCAGATCGTCGGCGTAACCAGCGACGACAAGACCCTCTCGGCCCAATGTCTCGCAGCACGGGACCGACTAGCCCTAGGTACCTCATCACTTATCTCGTATTGAGATGCCAGCTAATATCGGGAAGGCCGTCGCTATTTCCGCCTCCTGGACTTCTACGGCTGCTTTGAACGCGTATATCTCCTCTCCACCACCACTTCCTCGGCAGGAGCCGTATTGGCCACTATGGAACTGGCCCAGTTTACCTTCTTGGGACTGTACCTGTTTCTTGAGAATTTTACAATTGTACTCTCTCCCCCTTTCCCCTTCGTATATAGTTCCTGACTAACGTTTCAGCTCCACGACATGAACGTCGCCCAGGTAGACTGGTACCGCCCGCTCATGACCGAGGCAAACAAGTTCTGGTTCTACGCCCTGGTACTGTCTATTCTGCGTATGACGTGGTTAATCCTATTTCCTGTTGCTGAGCCTGCTCCTGCAAAGGGTAAGGGTAAAGGCAAAGCCGGCGCGAAGACAGTCGGCCAGCCAAAGTGGCCCCTGGTGAAGAAGATTATCATCGATGGCTGCGATTTAACCCTACCTGGGTCTTTTATTGGGTGGGTGCCGGCCTCGGGGTTGCAGGTTGGGCTTGCGATGGTTGTGAGTACGCTTCTGGCTGGGCATAATGTTTGGTTGGCGCAGCAGGGGAGAATGCGTTAAATCTTGGATTTGGGGTAGTTGAGTTGCTTGGCAGAGACAGATAGACACTATAGAGATAGAGATAAGGGGTCGGGCCATAGAGCTAGATGAATAAACTCGGTTCTTTATCATTCTGATTCTACCAGGTGCTCATCATCCGATACATGGTTTGCCGTCAGGAACAGGGGCAAAGGTCTTCTGCTTGACCGAACTGGTATATCTGCATATATATTTGTGTGGGGCTGGGTCGTTTTATGGATATTGTCTGTTCCAGAATCCGCAAGATGGAATGGATATTGCTGCTCTGGGTGTCGTTTGCCCCTCTAGAGAAAGCATACTATAGTCTTGATATTAAAATGTACATACCCAACGGTGAGCGACTGATCAATTTTACCCCCCCCCCCCCTCTTGCTCTAAAACAGGCTGAAGATTTTGCATCCAAGTTTGGGCCGTGTAACCTGAAACAAACTATGGGTTCTATTCAGGAACACTTCCCAGATTTCAGCCAGTCTGTACTACCGGGATATAAATCGCGCATAGCACCGGTCTACATCTCATGTTGTGCACAGATTTATATTGAAATATGTACAGAGTTATTGCTTCATATGCAAATACATTGACGCACTGCGCTTGACGCGAATTTCACCGGCGTTGCGTTTAAAATCGAACTATGCAAGGCCTCCATGATGGCGAGTGGCAGTTGAGAGACCGAATACAGAGATGTAGCTTGTGCCTAAGTGTTCCCTATTTTCGCCTTTCCCCTGCGTTGGAAAGCATAATATTGCTTAATTTTGTGGCTTTGATGTTACGCAATATCGATCAATAAAAGCCTTTCGGAACAGCCTGCAAAGTGGGAACTTCTCAATCAGACAACATACTATCCTCGAATAAGAGCTTAGGAGGCAACTGATGCACTCAGAAATCTATAAATTGACAGTCGTATCTCCAAGACACCTCCCAACTATCACTCACTCACGCACTCACTCGTTCATACTTCACTCATCCAATCTTTATCACCAGCACGGTCTTTACTACAGGTAACAACCAACTACATCTTCCTTTACAATGAAGCTCAACATCCCCCCAACTCTTCTTCTCTCCTTCTCCGTTCTGTCGGCCCTGGCTCTCGCTTCGCCGGTCCAGAAGGTTGACGCTGCTGGACTTCAAGGTACGTAACGCCGTAAGGCAAAATTTGTCTTTGTTGCAAGCTCTCCTATATTCAGTGAATAGTATCTGAAAAATAACACCATTCTAGCACGCACTGCATCAACCCTTGAAGTCCGCAACCTCGGAAAGCTTCCCCTCATCAAGAAAACTGGCTTTCAGGAGCCTTGTGATGAGTTCGGTGTTCCTCTTGGTGGGAAGAAGGATGACAAGAAAGACGATGACAAAGAGGATGACGATAAAAAGGAGGATGGCAAGGAGGACCAGCACAAGGGTGTAGCTGGGCACGGCGGGTTCAACGCTCAGTTCGAGTTCCACGGCGAGGGCAAGGCTCAAGGTCAGTTTGGTGGTAAGGGTCAGGACGATGACAAGGGAGAGGAGAAGAAGGACGATGATAAGAAGGACGATAAGAAGGATGATTCCAAGGATGACAAGAAGGACAAGGACGAGGGGGAGCATGGAGGTGAGCATGACGAGGGGTATGGCAAGGAGCATGACGAGAAGCACTACGATGAGGAGTATGATGAGAAACACTATGATGAGACTCATCAGGAAAAGCATTACGATGAGGCGCATGACAAGGAACATGGTACAAATCACGATGAGGGGTATGGCCAGGGGCACGATGGCTATGGGCAGGGACACCATGGAAAGGACGACGGCAAGGATGAGGGAAAGGATGATGGCAAGGACGACAAAGATGATGGCAAGGGACATGGAGGACTCGGTCTCGGAGGCATTGGCAAGGGAAAAGATGACGACTGCTGAAAGGGACCATTCTCCTCACCAGCATAGTCATAATAGGAGATATCGAAGCTGCAAAATGTACTGTGGGGCGTAGTAGTAACATTCGTTCTGATAGTTTCGACATTCATATTTAATATATCTAAGATTGAGCAAATGGAAAATCACTTTCATATACATTCAGATTACTTAGTCTGCTAAATTCGGTGCATCATCTGCCATTAATGATGCAAGGCATAATATATAAAGTTGCTGGATATACATTTGAACTACAATACCTCTATACATATGCTCCGATCAGATACTGTCATTAACCCAGCTGTCTAAAGCCGACCAACCACATGCTCAAAGGCAGTTTTCTGCACAGACTCAACCAGGCCATACGAAAGGTGACCGGCAGGGATCGGGCATTGGCAGTTAGGGTTCTGCGCACAAACCATGTCGCCCTATAATATCACAAGCCGAGCTGTTAGTACAAAGTACATCAAAGCTTAAATTAGAAAATCCAGGCTCTGTAGGCTTACCTCGATACAATAATCAAGCACCTTGCGGCTTCTGTCTACCTCCGGGGCGAGTTGAGGAATGGTGCTGCTGCTATTGCTGGCGATGGCTTGCGCTGCGAACCAGCCTACAGAGGAGCTGGAGTCGTGTTGAGCAGTTTCATCTACGTTCGACATCTTTCCAGGAACTCGGTAGGGGTTTCCGACAAGAATAACAGACGTCACTGCTTCCAAGGCCCGGGCGTTGAGTCGGGCGAGAACGTTCAGCATCAGCGAGGCGCCCTGGGAATACCCAAACAACGCGTATGTCTGCTGTGGACATGACAAGAGGCCAGTGGTGATCGTATCAATCACAAATTCTTCGCCACTGGTTGTGTTCTGGTTCAGCGCAGCTGGGTATTCCACGGGGAGGCTGACTCCACCGGTCTTGTTGGCGAGGATGTTCTCGATGACGGGGAAAAACATGCTCGACACGCCTTGTGGTTCGGTCGTGCCACGGGCATCGATCAGCTCTGTTTGATTGCAATGAGCACCGTGTCTTCAAGCAGCTGGACCGCTGGGGAACTTACTATAGCTGGCGCATCGTTTTGCTTCCTCGGGGTCTGTAATGTTGGCGTGCGGAAGGGTAAGAGCCTGGCGCACTCCGCATCGGCACTCAAGTGCACTTGCCAGATGTCAGTAATAGACGACTGCTTTGGACGCGGCTGTTCTCACCTGGTTGTGTTTGCAGGGGCGAGTCCAGCCAGAGAAGGGCTGACTGAGACAAAAAGGGACAGCAACTGTAGCGAGCCAACAAACATGATTGTCGGATGTCAACGTTGTCTCGTGAATTTGTCTGTTGAATTTTCCCTTGAGAAAGAACGATATTTATATCCAGTATCTACGGGCAGGCACCCGATTTTCCATAGTGATATGCAGCACAGCCATCGTATCCTTAGTGTCCGCTCGCATCCTTAGTTCGTCTCCACGTTGAGGGTGCAGATCCTCACCAGGGAGCCGATCATTAACATTACGGTCTAGGCAGCCAGTTTTGACAGACCGACCGGAGCAAGGCTGGTGTCACTATTTACAGTAGCCTCAACTCCACATGTCCCGGCCAGACGAGAACGAGGTGCGGAAGACTGGGCGTTGCTGGGCACCGCGGGGTACTTGGCGAAAGTCGATTTTTTCTTCTCTCAGACTGGGATGCCTGACAAGATGTGAATGATGTGAGGCTCATCGTATTTTTTATTCCTAGTCTGGTGTTGTTAAGGATCTGCGCTCAGAATGAATACCGGCCGGCTAGAATCTACAGCATATCCAACCTTGCAAGTCCCTTCCATGCACCATTTAGCCACGTTTCCTGTTAATCCAGCTGTCTCGACCTCTCATGAACACTCAAAATATGAGCCATCTGCGGTCCATGAGCATAAAGGGCAGATCTACGTCCAGAAAGCGCACCGGCCAACCACCTGGAAAACACCAATGGACAACATGCGAGCCCCCAGCCTGGCCGCCAAATCCCTCGATCTGCAAACGAGAGAGATATTCAACACGCTTGTCTCGACAATTCTCTTCCCCGCCACCTACGCAGCCTTTTACAAACGGGTCGACCAAGACATCATCGCATTCGTCCGCGACGACCGGCGCGCACAATGCCCGAACATCGAATGGCTGGTGCGATGCTATGCAACGTGGTATTTCGCAAAGAAGCATAACGATGAAGAAAAACTAGCCGAGAGTCGGTATATCTACGGTGTGCTTCTTCGGTATCTAAGGGTCTCGCTTGAGGACCCGCGGAGGAGGATAGCGGATACGACCTTCGCCACTGCGCTGCTACTCGCTGTTTATGAGGTCCTAGATGGGCGTACTCCGGATGGATGGTTGGTTCATATGACGGGTATTAAAGGGTTGCTGCGGCTTCGGGGCCCTGCTGCGCATTATAGGGGCATTGGGAGGACGCTTTTTCTGGCTTGTCGGGGGTTTTTTATTGCTGAGGCTTTTGCTAATCAGGAGGAGTGTATTCTTGCTGAGCCTGACTGGGTTAATGTCAGTGCGAGGGCGTTTGAAAGGGAAGAGAGGGCTGGGAGGGGGAGTACCCTAGTTAGCATCATCGACCAGGCGTATAGGGAAGCCGTTCTTGTCCCGGGGCTTGTAGCTCAGGCGCGTTCAATTCGGCTGGACGATGGTGTTCGCGAGTCTGAATCCAAGGCGGCTCTATGTACCCAGATAAAGCACGTCCAAGGAGCTCTTCAGACACTGACACGCCAACTGAATCGGATTTCCAGCCGGGAGGAGGCAAAGACAGGAGGGCCAGGACGAGCAAGGGAGGGCTTTATTGACTCGAGATATACAGCTTCGATTGCGCGGTATAACCTCCAAGGGCTGTGTGCTATTGAAGCGCTGCTCGATCAGGTGCTCCCCATGTTGGATGCTGCAAAACCGCCAACGAAGCAGGATATATGCAGCAGACCCGTTTCGACGTCTCCGAGTCTTCGCCGTCAAGTCCCGGCTGGGGCTGCACAAGCAGAAACAGACTCCAGCCTGCTAGAGCGTGGGAACCTGGACGATATGTTTCTCTCCATGGGTGCGATGGCTATTTGCATGGATAGGTAATACACTTTCTCAGTAGCCTTTTGAACAGAATCATATTGGCGCCAAGGCTGCCTTTCGATGCCCAGGCTGTTTTGTATTGGACGGTTGTACTGGCCCCAGCCCCAACACGAGAACTCACGACACAGCGGGATATGATTCGCCCGAGCGGTATTGGCAGCAAGCTCTCGGACTTGCTGCTGTTAGGACAGAGGGTTCATAGAAGTAGATAAATACCAGTCTGGCCAGGCAACTTTGGCTTTCCAGTTGACAACTCTGGCCTGAATCCCACCCACTCCCAAGATGTCTATACTAGTACTCCTATCACTCTTAAGTCTAAGCACAGCGCAATGTCCAACCCCTACAGAGACCCTCGCCGTGGAATGGCCCAACAGTCTATACCGCAACATCGAGATCCTCGTTTCAGAGATCGATTCCTCCTCCGACATCACCACCTACGAGGCCGTCTCCTGTGACGGAAACCCAGGAATGACACTCGCATTTGGCCCTAATACATTCTCTCTGCAGCGCGCGGGGAGCAATCAAGCTGGGCATAGTCTCATCGACGAGTGTCAGCCTCTTAACTCTGGCATGACATGCACGCACCTGGAGGAGGGCGGCATGGAGAATACTATTACTACCACTCACGGAAGCGATGAGATGTATACGGTGTCGATTGCCGTTGTCAGGTCTGGGGATAGTAACACGGCGCTTCCGACCTTGACTGCGCCGCCGTATGTGGGGTGTCCTGATACATGGCAGCAGTGCGGGGATGAGCCTTGGTATGACCTCTCTTTAGGTCTATGGTATATCGTGCTAATGGTTCTTTAGGTGTTGTCCTACTACTGCTACGATCTGCACCACTGCGCCAAATTCGCATGAGGCGTGTGCGAGTGTTGTGAATGAGGAGTTCCCTGGCCCTGCTCTGCCGTATATTGACCCGACAATTACGGGTGGACCAGATGCCAGTAATGGTGGAGATTCGCCTGGTTCGGAGGATGGAGCTGGTGTCTTTGCTGCTCAGCACACGGGTCTCTTGCTTGGTGGGCTTGCTGGCGTGGGCCTTGCTTTGTTTTGAGCGTGGAGGCTGTTATGGGGTTAGGGCTCGATTACTCGGATTATGCTAATGTGTGCCAGCTTCAGCAGTTCATAAATAATTAACTGTCTGTTTCTATATTCCAACTTCAGATAATATATATTGATTATATACGCGCCCGCGCCCTCAAGGCTTCGCTAAATACTAGACCCAGCTTTGCGATAGCCTCTGTTGAGATCTGGTGGTGAAGGACAATGCGCTTTCCATCCAGCTTTACTCCATGCTTTCTCCCTAGCTCATTCCATCTCTCCGTGGCGAGGCCAGTCTGCTGGAGGTTAAGCCATACTTGATTTGTCTCGACTTCACGTAGTAGCTGTCCTCCTAAATTCAGCCACATCTCGCCCACCTCCTTTGCAAGCCCATGCACGGCTTGTAATTTATCTCGGCTCCCCCATGGTCCCAGTCCAAACTGCTCGACCACTGCAAACTGCGCTGCCGCTGCCAATGGACCTGTCTGCCTCATCGCGCCCCCTAGGCTCTTTCGTATCCGGCGCAGTTGTGTGATGAGTTTGTTCGAACCCAGCACCATCGCACCCATAGGCGCCCCCAGGTTCTTGCTAAAATCCAAACTGACCAAATCGCAGAGAGTGCAGTAGTCAAACAAACTACCACCCCCGGCCGCAACAGCCTCCCACAATCGCGCACCGTCCATATGGACCCGGATCCCGTTGCTATGCGCCCACTCGCTAATCCGACGCAGCTCAGCAACAGGAACAACACTCCCACCAGCCGTATTCTCAATACTTATAACCGCCGTCGGACATTTATGCACATCGTCCGTGACAATCGCCCGAGATTTAACATCCTCCAACACCATATACCGCCCATTCGACGGCCGAACCGTCTGAATCGCTGCACCGCTCATACCAAGTCCACCCCCTTCAAAGTGTATAACATGCGCCCGCGCATCCACTAATACACCACATGGCGGCTGCGTTAATAGCGTCCGGATAGCGAGCTGATTCGCCATCGTTCCTGAAATCACGAACGCGCCGGCCTCGAGTCCGCACTGCGCCGCCATCAGTGACTGGAACTCGTTTGTCACTTGGTCTTCTTGGAACACGTCGTCGCCGAGACTGGCTGTGGCCATGGCTGCTAGCATACCCATTGACGGGGTTGTTATAACGTCACCTGGATGAATTAGGATTTCGGAGGCGGGTTGGGGGATGCTGGGTGGGTGCTTACTGCGGAAGTCAGTCTCTGCGCGACGCGTCGTGCCCCATGCGACGTTCTGCATGTTTTCTGCGAGTGTGTTTTCTAATGACCTGACGGGGGCCATGTTCCTGGCGTAGTGGGAAAAAAGCCTTTGGTACGTAGGTAGTCACCTTCTCCTGCCTTTATACATGTGCCTCTTTCGCCCGGCGGGTCCGAGGCAATATCATGCATTCGCAATCCACCACACAGCCAATAAATGAAGAATAATTTGTTGGTTTCTTCAAGAATGCAGGCTAGCGGAATAGCGCCACCAATCAGGAATCCGGATCGAAGACTCAGCTCAGCTTCTGGGCCGCATTGGCGAATTTCCTGCGCTGATCCTTCGAGGCTGAAATTCCAATACCTGCCGCTTTTTATATGTGAGACTCCTGATATTCCAGTGGATAGCCTGCTGATAATTACGCAAGGACGAGCTGGCAGTACCAGGTTTAATACCGCGATTCAATAGACTAATCAGGAGATCAGGCTGTACTCTGCATCCTCGAAGGAACAGGTCAGCTCATCCACCGGTGATCCCTCTTTCTCATTTCCCAGCGCAGGGAAAAGCCTTATTGAGTATCGAGCTCAGGGATTGGAAATGAACCAAGCCAGCACAGGCCTCCTTTTATAGCAGCCTCATAACATGGCACTATGCGGGATGAAACTTCTCAAATAGCATTATTATGGGAAACTGATCTGGATGCAGCCATGGGGCCGAATGATTGGGTCCAATAGATGATCATGGAAGAATTGGGCCAGACCAGAGGGGCTGTATGACATCCCTGCAGGACAGCTGGTAACTGCACCAAGGGCTGAGACTGACCTGTCCAGCACTGGAATGGTCCACATTCAGGGGCTTCTCTGATTTACAACCGTTTGGCTGCGAAGGATCGCACCCCGGCCAGTTCAATCCTCTAATCCGTGAGGCCGAATGTTAGTTGGGGCTGTTGGGACCTTGTGCAGTCAGAATGCACGACACGCATTCCTCGTCTTTAAATGCCGTTGGATCGTCGCGAGTGGGTGAGGCCTCAGACGAGCTTGCTATCCCACGCAGTCCCAACCTGCCTACTCCCTCAGCAATGCATTCCGAGTCGGTGTACGACAAGGAAGCGTCCACTTCGACCACCTCTGTTGCCAGTAGCCTCTCTGATGAACAGGTCGCCCGACATGGTCTAGAGATAGACCCAGAAACCGGCTACATACGATGGCGAAAGGATAGTAAGGACCACCCGCGGAACTGGTCGACCTTCAGGAAGACGTACGATACTTCGCTCGTCATGTTTCTCGAGTTTTATACGTATGTGCACTTAACCACGCCATTAGGCATTGCTAACGTTTCATAGAACTGTTATCAGCACCACAGGAGTGAGTCACTGAGTTTTCACAATCGTCACCTGAACTCCGTTAACTGTTGCAGGCTGCTGCGGCTGAACTGGCGTTAGACAACTACACAACCAGTAAGATGACTCTGCTCGTCGCATTCAGTCTGACGTGAGCCTCCTCTCTTCCATTTTGGCCAAAACTGATTTGTTTTAGATATCAGATAGGACAAGCAATAGGCGGGCTTGTCATTCCCCCCTCGTCCGACCTGTTCGGGCGGCGCATGCCCTACCTTCTATCCTGTGCCTTGTTTAGTCTGTCTTGTCTGCTCGTCGGAGTTGTTCCACATCTGAGCGGCGTCTTCATCGGGAGATTCTTTTCGGGACTTGCATCTGCTGTCCCGTCTGTGGTTGTAAGCGGGACAGTGGAAGACCAGTTCAACACCGAGCACCGGGTATGGATTGTCCTGCTCTGGAACGCAGCTGCCACAGCTGGACTCGCTTTTGGACCAGTGTACGCATCCTGTATTTCCACAGTTGCTAGCTGGTATACCTATCTTTATTAATTTTGCGTATTGTACTGACGAATCTAGGCGCTGGATCTTCTACAGTGCCGCCATCGGCACAGGAGTCTGCAATGTGCTTCTCCTTGGAATCCGCGAAAGCCGCCCAAGCAAGCTACTCGCAAAGAAAGTTGCGTCTCTACGTGTTGAATGTCCGAATGCAGATCTGAAATACCACACCGCAGACCCATTCCCCACGCTGAGAGTATTCGTGGATGTCGTCTTCATCCGGTCCATGCTCATGATCGTTACCGAACCGATCCTAATCATCATCTCCAGCATCAGCGCCGTTTCCTGGGGTCTTATCTACCTCTTCACAGAATCACTAACAGGATCTTTCACAGCCCTGGGTCTATCAAAAGCAGAAGCTTCATGGCCCTTCCTAGCCTTAATAATCGGCGTACTCCTCGACGCACTCCCGCATATCTGGGAAGTGCGCAAACTAAAAGAAAAGCGCCGCAATAAAATCCCCATCAAGCCCGAGGATAAAATCGCCGGATTCACCTATGGAACTATCGCTCTTGCCGCGGGGCTTTGGTGGTTCTATAGCACTACACCTCCGGCCTTGATCTCCGCCAGCCCTCTTCTCCCTACTGCTGCCCTAGTTCCGATCGGATTCGGGGTTAATGAGATTGCGTATACGCTTAGTGGGTACCTCACCGATACGTATACCGTGTATGCAGCGTCGGCTTTTGCGGGTCTGGCCTTTGTGCGTGCGATCGTTGCGGGCATTGCGCCGCTTATTGGGCATGTCTTGTTTACGCCCGGACATACGGTGACGCCTGGTTATGTGATTTCTGCGCTGGGGACGCTGTTCAGTCTGGTTCCGTTTGTCTTTCATCGTGTTGGGGAGAGGTTTAGAGAGAGGAGTGCCTTTGCACGGTATAGTTGTGAGATGGATTTGTTGACGAGGGTGCAGGATGTGTAGGCGGTCTACTAGTGACTTGCTTTGAACAAATATTGGCTACCTTGAGTCTGTTAAACAAGAATCCTGTTTTATAAAACGAAGGCTTTAAGGAAGGATAGTCTTCCATCGTGTGAGCACTGGGGCCCTGGAGTAATGGAGTTAGGGCAGACCACAACCAGACCCTGTTCCTAGCCCACTGCAATGGATACTTGAAATCAACTGCATTTACCTACACTACACAGAATGAAAGTATCGTCTAATACCTGGCGACGCCCGACGGATCAACTCAATCTCCCGCTCAACAGCAGCTACATGCGCTGGGCCTCGCTACCTGGGGACATGCTCTGTCAAGGGGGGTTGCTGAGATTGCATGTCATCGTGGGGGATCAACACGCTAACAGTGATCTGTCTTGGGACTTGATAAGCCAATAATATTATTTGCTATCTACTCCCTACCCAGAAAACTATAGACCAGCCTGCCCAGCACACATTCTCCCTTTGTATTAGCAGACACAATGCGCCGAGTATGATACCGCTTGCCATCGATCACCTCGAACCCCCATATCTAGCCAGTCAGTACCCAAATAGCACAGTCAAAGCAGAAACTCACCTGCTCAGCCGTCCAACCAGAGTCCAGATTCCTCACAAACGTATGAAGCCATATGTGCTTACCCTCTACCGGCTCATCCAACTCCCACGCCGTCTCCTTCCCATCCTCCAATATCTCCCCGCGCATAAACTTCTTCACCCTTTCTTGGTCCTTCGCAACCTTTGTCTGCAGCTCAAACTCCGGCAATGCGCGTCCTTCCGCAGCTCTCTCCCCATAAATCCAGTGCGTCTGGTGCTGGTTCGACCCGAACAGGTAATCCTTATGGTCAACCAACGACCAATCCAATACCCTGCGCTCTCTTGTCGTTCCCATTCCGCCTGTCGGTATTGTAAGGGCATCAACGACTGTCACGTCCGAGTCGGGCTGTTGCTCGTCTTTGTAGATGGATATGTCGAGACAGACACTCGCTAGGCCGATACCTTTCCGGAGGACCCAGTTTATACCTTGCTAGATATGATCTTATTAGCTGGGGAATCATAGAATGCTAAATGTTAAGATCGTGTATGAGGAAGGCTGGGATAATGTACCAGTTTCAGCATGGCATCTGTCCCCGTGCACAATCCTTTTTCCTGGGATAATATTAGTGAATACATTTTTAAGATGGTGAGTGCATTCCTACCATGTTCCATCGACCGATGAGGCTATCCATTATGCAAGACTATTGAAGAGGTGTACTGGATAGAGACCAATGCAAGCACAAGGGATATGAAAGCGAAGGAACAGCTTCACCCGTGGGGATCCAGCTAAATAAGAGGGGCACCGCCACGAGTGGAGAAATGAGAAACCGTGCGGAGAGTGACGAGCTGAAAAGAAAGCATCCTGTCTGTTTCCACACTGGGAGAAGCGATGGGACGATCGGGCGGTGCACGGCCATTCAGCTCATCGCCAGATCACACTGCATTAGGGCGAACTATAGTTCGTGTCGATCATTTCGGGTGCGTACAACCTGGCTTGGCTATTAGGTTTAGATTATTACGGCTCCGACTCGGCGTTTATGGTAGGTTTTGTATTCAGTACTGATATCAGCATAGGCCGCGGCCATTGATAGTGATGTGGCTGGTAGAGCGATCACAGCATCCGTGAAATAAGAACAACATCATCCCTCCCATTCGGAAGCACACAGGGAACCCTCGTCGAGATATACTTGTCTCCCTCAACCCAGCGAACATACTCACCCGCCTCCCCATTCCCAGCATTATCAGCAACAACAACAGATCCCCTCTTGACAAGACCATGGTCCTCGCAAATGCGCAAATCACTGAGATACGCCGGCTCCCAGTGGTCAATAAACAGGATATCGAAGACGACCTTCTTAGAGTCACCGGCAAGCTGTACCAGTCCATCTGCGCTCTTCCCAACAATAATCTGCACGAAACCACCTAGCCCTGCAAGCTCCACGATCCATTTTGCGATACTCGCGTACTCGGGGTTATACTCGAAACTAATGTACTTGCTCCCGCCAGCACTTCGCACCTCGTTTCCGAAGAGAATAGCTGAGTACCCGATATATCCGCCTAGCTCGCCCATGACCTTGGGTCGAACAGAACGGATTTCTTCAAGGATTGGCTGGCTTCTGTCAGGCCCGATTGTCATCATGGTGTGGCTTCCTTTGACAGCCCAGTTGTCGATTTCATTAAGGATTTCAGACGGATTGTTTCGTAGGACTTCGAGGTTGGGGTGGTTGAGGAGGTATGTGTATAGGGCTTTTTCGCGGCCGTCCTGACTGCGGTCAGTGTCCACCATTAATGGGATGTAGCGGATGACATACACCATGCCAGATAGTTTCATCTTGGTTCTTTACTGGTTGCGACATTTCCACAGTTCAAGTGCTGGTTTGCTTGTTCTTGTTTTACAATCTGGGATGAGCTTGTCTTATATTCACCCCACCCGGAAATAACTTCGGGGCTTATCAGATTATCAATCACAGCGTTACATCGGTGAAGCATGGCCATCCGATCTATTAAAAGATTAGAACGGACGAACTTGGTGATCTCCGATCCGGGGTGGTCTGACTCGGAGTTATCGTCGGAGAATTTAGCGGAAAACAGGCTCGGAGATGTTAACCAATATATAATTCTTTACGCTATATGTGATGCTAATTACTGATGTAAATACTTGGATAGCTTCCAGTTTGAGGATGATATACACCATATAATAAATCAAGCTGTGTTTATAACACGCAATATCCTCGTCAACCCTTCATCCAGAACAACCCGTGGATGCGCCATAACAATCCGAAACCAGCCCGGCTCCTCAGCAGCAGAAGTGGCACCAGACGTAAGGTAAACCTTCTCAGCCCGCAGTCGACGCAGGATCGTGTCATCGTCCTGCCCTTTCATCACATCGCCGAGCCTCGCCCACACAAACAGGGCGGCATTCGACTGTTGGTATGGGATGCCGTGCTCTCGGAGAAAACTAGTGACGTGCTGGTAGCTCCACGATAGTCGGGCCCGGTACTCGGAGATAAATGTATCGAGGAATGAATCGTTTCCCAGGAGAGACGCGACGATGCTGTCAGCGACGCTGGATGGGAAGTTCATGAGCCTGCTACTGTTAGTTGGGCTTTTGAATAGTGCTGGCAGTCTTACGAGATGCTTTCGCAGGCGTTGAGGAAGTTCTTGTTTGCCTGGCTGATTAGAACGCCGACTCGAAGGCCAGTCGCGCCAAAGTCCTGTTCAGTTTGTTAGTATCGGCGATGTCCAAGATGGAGATAACCTACCTTGCTTAAACCCCATACCGCATGGATCCTGCGCGGGTCAATGAGATTCTCCGTGTCGATAGCGATGACAGATGTGAATGGTGTCGGATCGCTCATTTCCGGATTATCCCAGACGGAGATTCCATACAGCTCATCGGATATCAAATGGAGGTCCAGCTTCTGGCAGAGCTTCATGTACGCCTTTAGGACATCTTCGGAATAACATCGGCCTGTGACTGTTAGATCTCCCAGTACACCGGGTCATCGACCTACCCAGCGGATTATTCGGCGAGCATAGCAAGACGGCTTTGATTCTTTTCCCTTCATCTCTCGCCCGGTTAAATGCCGTTTCGAATCTGTCAACTGCCTCGAGCCCCATCGGATCGATTCCTTGTAGCGAGACATCAAGCATATTAACACTGAGCGGTCGTTAGCTAGGACATGTCGAGATGTATGCACCTACTTAGCCCGATTCCCAAAGATGGTCCTGAAAGTAGTCCAATACGGTCGTCCAACAAGGATGTGGTCTCCCGGATCGCACAAAGCCCAAGCACAATTCTCAAGCGCGTTACTCGCCCCAGAGGTAATGCACAGGTGCTCAGGAAGTAACGGGGTGATCGGTCGGAATTGCTTATTGAGGAAACGGCAGACACTCGCCTTGAGTTTCTTGGATCCAGAGAATCCATCACCGTATGTCAAGGCATGGTTTTCGACCGGTGGCTGATAGTTCATTAGATAAAGTATGTTGGCCGTCTGGTATATGACGAACCTGGGAGTTGATGAATTTCCTCATCTCAGTTTGCATCAAAGCCTAGCTGGGTTAACATCAGAGTTAACTCCAGTGTAGAGGACGTACATTCTCCGCCAGACCAAGATTGACTATCCCATCGGAGTTCAATTCCGGATCCCAGAGATTGTTCAAGACATCGAAGAAAACAGGAACCTTGGGCTCGAGAGAGCGGCCTCGGTTTGAGACGATGTCGCTGGAGGTCTCTAGTTGGGCCATATTCCTGAATTTGTTTGAACATGACTCAAATGTGTGCAGCAGCGACGTTGGGCAGGATATATATCCACTGGGTCCACATATAAACCTAGTCCGAGAGTGGGTAATGTCCGACGCATTGTCCGATTCGTTTGCCACAGTCCTGTCATGGCCTTTAGTATACAACTGCTGGTATTCTATAGAGGATTATATTCAATTTGGATTTATCTGTCAAAAGGATTTAGCGTTATATTGCTTATGGAACAATGTCTTTGCATTCATATTACAGTTTGGGGAAACCTAAGATATATATCAGGGAAAACCCAAACCAAGACAGCCAAAGCAGCTCCAAATATTCCCCATATCTCAGTCTGTACAGTAATCTAGTCTGCATATGGAGAAGCCCGTTCAGCGAAGGAATAACAACACAAGAATCCCCCACACTCCCATCGGCACCGCCAGCGCCCACGACATGGTCCCCCAACCGGCATGATCACGAATGAATCCCCCCAAGAAAGGGCCTACCAGTGAACCTGTAGCAACGGCATTATTACAGAGCGCACAGGCCAATGCGATCGCAGCATTCCTGCTCAACGCCCCGGGCCCCGCCGTCGATGCCTCAAGTGCAATGGTGTTCACTTCGACCATAATCGGTACCTCATTAAGTCCAACAAAACCGCCGATAACTGCTAGTAATGCGCAGAGAAGAACCTTATGGCCAATGGTATTCTCTGTAATAAATCGCAGGCTTACCATCAACGGTACCATCGCAAATAGACCCGCCGCAACCAAATAGCCGCGCGTCTTGGGCCACCGATCCTGTATATACCCAATGCCGGGGTCAAGGACATGTGGCACCAGCAGAGCAATAAATATAAGGCCTTGGCCTGTTTGATTCCAACCAAAGGTATCATGGACGAAGAGTGGTAATACACTATCGAATGCCGTTATAGATGTAAAGACAGCGCTGTAGACCGTCAACGCCAGAGCCATGCGTGGAGACCGGAGTAGGGCCAAGACTGCCTTGTAATTTGTCGATTGGCACGAGCTTGGTGATGAATAGTTCCTGTATTCGAGATCGCTTGATGTTTTGTCTCTTTGACTGGAAGTATTACCTCCTTCTCTTCCTGCAGCGGCCGTAGCAGCGGCAGGACTGTCTTTATCGCCAGGTATCTGTGGACACTCCATGGCCGTATGTTCTGATGGTATCTGATATTCCGCCGTTTCGATGATCATCATCCGGAGGGCTAGATCCACAGCTAGAAACCCAAATGCGAGTCCGAACGGGGCGTAATAGCCCGCATGTTCATAAAGGACTCCACCAAAGAGCGGCCCAGAAACGGCTCCTGCTACTGTGGACATGGCGAAATAACCCAGCGCATTCCCCAGTGCATCTTCTTCAAATCGATCCACTAGTAGGGCTAACCCAGCTGTCCAGACCACCGATGCAGCCGAGCCCTGGAGTAAACGCCCCAGAATCCATAGAGATAAGTGCGATCCAATGCAGAGGAGCGCCGTGGCAACCACTAATGCAGCGAGCCCTGCTATAAACAGCCACCGCCGTAAGTCAACGCGGTGCACAAGATATCCGCAAAGCACTAGGTTATATCGTGTCATACAGAGTATTGGTTACGAAGGGGAATTGAAACTTACGAGAGGATGTGATCATCGCTGCTCCATACAACGCAAGAAGGATCGAAGTCCAACGTTGTTCTGCGAATAGATTTAGTCACAGAACCAGCATGAATTAAACCAAATAGCAGACTCACGTTCCTCTACAGGTAAATTGACCCTTTCCGAGAGTGCAGTGGGAACAATAGGAACGATCTAAAAGCATGAACCTCCTGAACATACTGGAAAATCTTTTACAGAGCCCGCTTACCAACCCGTAAAGAAGCGTGTCCTGGGGCCACATCATTAGCGTTCTGTGGCTTGGATGGCGTGTCAAGCGGGCCATACCGTCGTTCCAGCAAAGCAAACCACACCTATAACGAAGCCCCTCGAGGACCGCCATTTGGACAGTGAGGCACCCGACGGTGCTTTGCCACTGCGGGCAAGACATTGCGCAACGCTCGCCATAGTCGGATGATACGAGCGTGCTCTCTACCTGTCAGTCCTGGCGTAAAACAAAAGCAAAAAACAGGGAATTTAACTGAATATATTCAAGGCACGACGTCTGTCCATGTAATGCAAGGGGCCGTGCTTAAAAATCCAGTCAAGGGATGGAGAGGGTTGTAGCAGAGAATGTAAGGTATTTCGGTTAATGATCAACATCGCACTTATCCAGCACTCTGAGCGTTTGTTATGGAAATTCGACATGCTCTATCTTCACTACTGTATGGAAGTATGTCTGGAAAAAGTAACTCAGTGACGAACCATTTATGACAAGATCGTGGGCGCTATCTGACTACACAATAGCGGTTGTATATTATGGGGTTTGGTGAATTCAAATCGTTGGATTCACTTCTCAAAGCAGAAAACACCTTGTCAACAGAAAGCACCTAAACCGAGTTTTAACTGAAATCATGTAGCTTCCACTATGCTGCAGACTTGGATGAATCCTTGTGTTGATATTCCAGGGCAAATCTCCTGGTCAGCCACTCGCCGGCCGTGATTTCATCCTCCCACTCCAGCGATGACCATCTTCCTTTGGCTTCACAGCCCGGAAGAGGTTTTATAACCAGGTCAAAGTCAGGCTGGATGAAGAAGCCAATCGAATATCGCTCAATCAACATACCATCACCTGCATCAATGTGCTTCAGGTGATGGGGGGTAGTGACCCGATGCAAGGAGCTTTTCCATTTCCCATTAGACTGTCTCTCTAGCATATCGGCAATCTGAATAATGATTGTACCGGGTCTAGGGAGTACAGGCCTAAAGGTGCCGCCCTCTTCATCCTCAACCTCGAGTCCACCAGTTGTATCTTGGAATAGTAAGGTCAATTGCCCATAATCCGTATGAGCATTGAGACGAGAGGACTGTCCACTTGTCAGGCATCGAGTGGGTTCGGATAGGTAATGATTCCAACCAGTCGAACTGCGATTGAAATCCGGGTTTTGCTGTTTCCCAAGAAGATCCTTGTCCGGAATATCAAGGATTTCACAGAGGCACCGGAGAATTTGCAGCTCCTGCTTTATGCATGCATCCCACCACTTCTGAGTGAATGCCTCAAAGCCAGGAAATATTTCTTCAGGCAGTATTCGATTTGGCGTGAACTCAGGGTTTGGGGCCTTGCTCGGGTAGGGATCGCCTGTTTCAAGGGCTTCCCTCGTTTCCACTGGGCCGGTTTTACGTATGCGCTCGATATCCGCTTGGTCCCAAACACCTTGACTTAAGACGGTGGTACCGGCAGCCGCCCAGCCACGATGGTCGGATGGGTCATGAGGGTGACGAACTAGTTCCTTCACGTCATCCGGTAGATCAAAGAAGCGTTTAGACTGTGTAGGTCAGTAAATGGACGGGATGATGATGTATAGAAATCAATATAGAGAGGAATACCCACGAAAATGCCTCTTCTATGAGGTCTTGGCCGATGCTATGGTTGGCAAGATGTACAAGGCCAACCGACTGGAATGCATCATCCAGTTGTTTCAGAGCAGCCTTACGCTCTGGTGGAGTACCAGCTGAGAGAGCTTGGAAGTCAATCACAGGAATGTGTGCGGGCTCCACAAGTTCAATTCCGACCATTTTGACTTTCCACGGTGGTAAATAGAAAAAAGGCTTGAAATGTGTGCCAAATTGCTGTAGAATGAAGGCCGAACCAGCGAGCGGAATTATTTTAAATAAGAAACAAATGGAGGCAATAGTACAGATGACATAGTCCACATGCCAGGTCTGATGTTTGATTTCTCACTCACACACCAAGAGGTGCAGGGAGAAACCGTCAAAAGACGGTGTATATACTATGTAGTACAGTATAAGACAGGAACGAGATCTATTGGCCGAAATGCATCCCCAACCTCTGCGGATCTGCTGACGTGGTATGTCGGCCCCCCTTGCGGGATTTATTCTAACGGAGAGGGTAACGAAGTATTACGTAGACGGAGGAGTCCTAGGGCAATCCCTACGGCAGGAAGTTACACTGCAGATGCGAGTATGCGACATTAGGGCTAGCGCAAACCCGGCTAAACCATCTATATTCAAGTCCCAACTAAATAAAATTGATTGTTGATGGCGAAAATGTCTCAGTAGGCTATAATATTGGCACGCATGTTGAATGTGGGATCAGTACGCTTAGGTGTTATCCAAGGTGAGATGCTAGTTATTTTAGGATAATGCCTACGGCAATAGAATCCCTGAGCCACGAAATATATTTGGATCTAATTTCTAAACCGACAGCCCCGCTTCTTGCAGCCACCGTTGTAAATCGAGGGCAGAACTGTCTCCATAGAGCTGCCGCACCACGTCGAGAGGCAGCATCGTCTCATGGTGGGAGCCAGTGCGAACTGGAATATTGGGAAGAGGGTCTAACCGAGCTAGTCGTGCTCTGTCTTCGTTTCCATTGATCAAGAACCTTCTGCAAACATATGCCTCTACCAAGTAAGTCTCGGGCTTTTCGCTGGACTGTCGAATCTTGCTGAGCACCCCTTGAGCTCTAGAGTAAATGCGTCGTTCCGCAGAGTCATCAACACTGATGATGAGACGGCGAGGCTTCCGCTTCTTCAATGCCTTCTTGGACAAGTTGGCCTTGTTGGCTTTGTCAGATTTTGGAGGTACTAGTTTTGGACGTTCCACGAGAGACAGCCTGATTGCTTCGTATACATAGAACAGATAACCGAGCTCTCCAAGATTCGAGGGCCGTTCCCTGGTCGGGATCATCTCGTAGAATCGTTTCCAGCACCCGTCTTCTTCGGAGTCCAATGCGGTGAGAATGAAATCCAACGACGGAACTTCTTCATCTTGAATTGCTGTTCGAATTAGAGCCGCAGCTGGATTTGTCCTTGATGTTATGCCAATACCATAGCTGGTCCTGTCGCGAATACCTCGTTGCTCAAGCCCATCTCTGATGGCTTCCACGAAGGTCTGACCGATCTGATCGTGTCGTTGGTCAATTGTGTCCATCCATTGCAATGCTTCAGTGTTCGAACACAGCCTTGACGCAAACGTGGTGGCTACTGTATGGAAGTAGTGCCAGCTGGGGACGTCAAGTTTTATTTCAATTCGCTGTCCAGAACCCTGCTCGCAAGCCCTTAAGATAGTCATGGCAGCAATATCCGCGATGGCGCTTGACGCGCGAGCAATATAGTCCAGTTCGTTGTATGTAGGGATTGAATTCTTGAGTAGATCAACATCAACACGACCAGTTTCCGGACCCCTGGCACTTATTTCCAAAAGTCTTGTAGTGAAGAGACAAACTCCAGAAACGATGGATACTTCTTCAAAGGTTGGGCCCTCCTTGGTGAACAGGGTATCACCACATTCGAGACCCTTCCAAGACGTTTGTAGATACTGCAGAGAGGTAAAATCTGCCTTTGGGAAGTGAAATTCAATTGACATGAATGAGTTCCAGATGTGGCTGTGAATAGGCTGCGCATCAAATGTTTCGTCGACAACCATAGTGGTTTCCCCAAGCCGCATTACAGCTTTGCTCTCATCCTGGGCTGTGGTTTCTTTTTCTTTTATGACATGAGAAGCGTTAAGTAGCTGGCCAAGCCTAATGGCACCTTGTATGCCCCTAGACAGGTATCTGAGGTCGTCTTCCTTATGTTCGTGGTCTTTCAGGGCACGATTTGTGGACAGCATGTAAAACCTGGAGCCATTGCGAGGTTCGTCGTTGCGGAGAGGAATTTCATCAAAGCGAATTGAAATCTTACCATCCTCTGCTATCAGTAGGTTGGCGATATCGGTTGGTATAGACATATCTGCGAAGAGAAACGTAGGCTAGAACATCAAGTAATTGAGATTGGAATGACCAAAGTTCCGGCTGCTTCCCGGGCAGTTTCAATTGTCTTTATCCATTCGCGTGCATTCGGACGTCACAAGTATCGAGTGATGGTCCCAATAATACCGCATCAGTAGTGTGAATGAATAATCTCTCATGCAAAATTGAATCAAGGGAGGTAGTCTAATGACATAGGGTATGAAGTAGCACATACTTGCCAGAATTTGCAGATTACCTCCCGTGTTGCGGCCATTCCAAGGTGAAATTGAATACGGCCAATAGCCCATCAACAGGCATCCACGGATCTTCCAACTATTATCTATCTTCCCTGCATCTAAGAGATTTCGTAGTAATTCTTGAGCAGGGGATACTTGGAGTAACCATTGCCTCCAGCGCAACCATGAAAATATACGGGGCTGAATCGTCGGTTCGGAAGCCAAATTCCCCTGCATTAAACTTAATTGGCTGTATCCAATTCAGGAATGCGCATATGCGAGCGACAAATGGAATTGGGGTGGATATTCAACCCATGGCACCCAGGCTGAGCCATCCCAATGCAAGGCTGGGAAGCAGCAGGGCACAGGCAGGTGCATAGAGCCAGGTCGCCCGAATATCGGTCTGACGAGCGATGTAGCACAACAGAATATAAGAATGTCTGATTGAGATGCAGTGTGCAGAGAAAGCTGCCTTGGACTCAGCCAGCCACAAGAGCATATCCCGGGAATATCTTCTGCTCAAGTGTGCATTTTTACAGTGAATTTCACGTCTCATCCATCTTGCCTATGGCTGGTCCCATCTTTCCAACGTCGCGGCTGACACTTGTTTCTACACGGAATTTAGATAGGCAGTAAAGCAAAAGGAGCTCTTCATCATAAGCTCTATGGACAGGCCTGTCTTTTCCTTAATGCTTGTCTCAATTCAACATCCACCCACTGAATAGAGAGGCATGACCCCTAACATGCAAATAATGTGACTCTCAACAACATTTCGGATGACCACCACTTGCAATAGAACATGGATCACTGGGGCAATGGATCAAATCGAAATCAAACTCAATTGGCTAAACAGATATGTGCTCCACTACAAATACCATGGAACACGATCAACATGTTGGGTCATTGTAAGTATGCTGCTTGCACCTGCGGTTTCCTCGCGTCGCGTCCCAGATCATAAGGATCATGAAGGGGAGTGTAAAACGAAGAAAATAATAGCTAGGGTAAATTTATAACCGCGTATAAAATTGGATCACAAGAACCTTGGAATCGACCTCCGTAAAGAGTAAGGAACTTATGAATGGACATAGCAAGGGCATCAAAAGTTGGAAATATAAGATTTCAATTAAATGTAGAACTACTCGAAAAGATCCAAATTTGCTTAACCTTCTTTAGCAGAGTAACATGTCGATTTAAAGTCTCTATTCAAGTGTTACTTTATGGAGGCTGCTTAGCTGACACCAAATATCAAGTCATCCAATCTACCTGGAAGAAGCCATGGTGAGGCCAATGAGGAAGACTGACAAAGCCGAAAAGGATGATCTCATTTAAGCAACAGGAACAGCCGGGGGCACTTGTTGTCCATCTCCATATTCAAGTGCAACTCTCTTCTCAATCCAAGCACCGGCAGTCATGTTCGGCTCCCACTCCAAGGTGCGCCACTTTCCAATTTCTTCACATCCTGGAATTGGCTCAATCATCACTTCGTGCTGAGGAGTTCCATAAAATGACATGGAGAAACGCTCAACAACGGTGTCTTCGTTTGCTGCCTCATCACCATATTTAAGATGGATAGGGGCAGAGACGTGGTGCAAAGCACTCTTCCACTTCCCGTTGGACTGCTTCTCCAGCAGGTCACCGACATGGACAATCATGGTACCGGGCTTTGGAAGTACAGGCCGGAAGATTCCCGCCTTATAATCATGGACCTCAAGCCCTCCGACCATATCTTGGAATAGCAAGGTCAACTGAGTGAAGTCGGTGTGGGTGTTCAATCGGTTACTCTCTCCCGACTTTAATGGCGATACAGGCTGAGAAAGATAATACAGCCAGCTCATATGGTTTCGGCTGCGGCTGGGGTCCTGCTGCTTGCCAAGGTAGTCCAGATCGGTGTAGCCCAGGATCTCGCAGAGAGCCCGTAGTACCTGGAGCTGCTGTTGGAAACAAGCGTCCCACCACCTTTCCAGGAAAGCCCTGAATCCGGGGAAGACATCCTCGGGGAGCAGACGGTTCACGATCGACTCCCCGGGGCCACCCTTGGAGTGAGGACTCCCCATTTCAAGAATCTCCTTCTGCTCAACAGGTGCGGTCTTACGCAGCTTGTCAATCTCATTCTTGTCCCACACACCCTGGCTGACAAAGCCAGTTCCAACAGCTGCCCAGCCACGGTGCTCGGCTGCCACGGTGTTGTGCTTGCAAAGGTCCTTGACCTCGTTCGGTAAATGGAAGAATTGCTTGGACTGTAGATCATTAGAAGAGCTTAATTACATGTTTAAGGCTTGACCATACCCAAGAAAACGCTTCATCAACCAGCTTTTGACCAATGCTGTGGTTGGACAGATAGATGAAGCCGTATGTTTGGAAAGCGTCATCAAGCTGGTCTAAGGCATTTTTACGCTCCTGAACGTTTTCAGAAGTAAGAGCCCTGAAATCAATGACAGGGATATTGGCAGGTTCGACGTATTCCTTGGTCATCTTGGAGGATTCTCTTGAAGGACAAACTGAATCAAAAATGTTATACACAACAGTCCAGTCCTGATTCAGGCTCGGGTCAAAGCTATCTTATATACACGAGGTGCCAGTTGCAAATGCAAATAGAAATAGCCATAGTATCACTCTGACGATCGGCACTGTGTAGCCCTCCAAAAGAATTGGAAATGCCACGTCATGAAAGCATCAGGACATGTAATACAATCAACAAACACCGTGCTGGCAATGGCATGTGCTATGCAGACGGCTTCAGGGTGTCCATCTGCAAGGAAGTTTCAAGCTAGGGAAATAACATGTTAATCCGACATTTAGTTCTGAATCTTGAAAGGGTCATCTATCCAGAAGTGTTACGCAGCAGCATATGAACGCATCAATGGATGGAATGTGTTCAAGCAACGCCATCCTGAGGCGGAGGCAATGCTGAAAGAATAAGAGCTCAGGAGGTTTATCTGCAAGGCCGTCCCAAGTTGGGGAAATAACGCGTCGACGTAGCATTCATTTTCGAGTCATGAAGGCATCATCTCTTGGGAAGCGTTACACAGGACATATGTAAGGCTTAACGCAAGTGGCATGCAATCTGGCCCCGACAACAATTGGTCGCTTCCGTCACGCAAGGAAGAAACAAGAATGTAGTCTTCCAGCCAGGGGGTGGATGCCGAGTATGTTGGCTGCCACGGCGGTTGTCACATCCATTCCGTCATTTGATATTGCGCGCGTTCGTAATATAGCTCAGTTTTACCCTGATTTCATGTATTTAGTTGAGCATCTCTGAGATTCGAGCGATCGGGCCTCCATATACACGGTACGAGTCAATACATTCGTGGTGAACTCCGACAAGAAGCTTGCAGTAGAGAACGATTGTCAGGTATCTCTCACTTGCCCGCCAAAGCAGACAGACTCGGGACTTTAACCAGAGTTGAGTTCGCATTGCTGAGGGCAGCCTTCTCAATTGCGTCGCTGAAATACCCATTTTGAGCATTGGCCAGAAGTCAGCTGGTTTGCGTGGTCTTCAATATGCGCATCTCGATCATTCAGCCTGTATCAGCACCAGTCGACCTGTCAAGCGAGGAGCTGGAAGGACTCTGCAAACACGGTATCACCTGCTCAGCCGTCAATGTGAACACTGGCCCAGTCTCCGTCGAATCTCGAAGCGATAAAGCATTCGCAGTCCCCGGCCTGATTGCGGCGGCCCAACGAGAAGAACAAAAGGGAGCTGATGCCATAGTCATCGATTGTTTCGGGGACCCCGGCCTAGATACCCTGCGAGAAGTTGTTGATATCCCAGTCCTAGGTGTGGCGCAGATTTCCATGAACATATGTGCCAGCCTAGCGGATACATTTGGAGTCGTCACCGTCATGAACGAGTCGATTCCCATTGTCAAAGACTCGGTTAAAGCATACGGTCATGAGGGCAGGTTCGTCGGTTGTCATGCGATAGATATGCGAGCGTTTGAAATCAAGGGCGAAGTCAGTGAAATGACGAATAGGTTAGCTGAGCATGCCCTCGCTCTAGTGAGAGATAAGGGTGCACATTCTATTATCCTAGGTTGCACTGGCTTTATAGGTTGTGCTGAAGCAATCAAAAAGCACCTTGAGCTTTCAGGATTCGATGTCCCGGTTGTTGATCCCATGCCTGCAACTGTCTTTTCTGCCATACCTCTTCTCCGGTTGGGCTTAAGGCAGAGCAGAGAAAGCTATCCAAGGAGTACACTTAAGGCGACAAAAGGTTATACAGAGTTTGAGTCAGGATCCTGAGGTTGGATACGGAGTATGGGTGCTTGTTAGCAGATTTCCATATTGAAAAGTGCCAGAAGGAAATCAACTATACCCATTACCGACGGGTTTCACACTTAAACATGTAGAGTGCCTCGTATTCAGGCGTGTGCGGCTAGAACGTTGTCTGGCAAGTTTATATATAATGGGGTACGTATAATGTCCCCTGCCAGGACAGGACAGTAGCACAGGCTTCATAGTTGACATTGGAAAAATGCGTAGCATCCGAAGTAGCCCCAAGCCACCACGAGGCAAGACAGTGATGCTAAACTCGAGAGGACGCAGACGCAAATTGCAGTGTTTGTCATGTTGTCGGTAAGGGCACGAGGACCTTTCGCAAGCTCTAGACCTGTTCTTCTCTACTGAAAGGGTTGAGAGATGGAAAAGCGCCTTGTTTAAAGAGAGTAAAAAGAATCTCACGAACTCGCTGTGCTTGGGACCAGTGGCCTACAAACTCTGGAGTAAATGCAGATTTGCCCTAAAGCCTATTGAGGCTTCTCCTGATGGCAAGCAGCTTAGAGTCCAGTTCTTCCGGTGGAATTATGTCCCACTCAACCTTCCAGGCCCACCGGAGGAGCCTGATAGTACCGGGATCTCGGCCTGCAGCACCCAGCTAGATAATATTGAGATAGGACAGCGTATCCAGTGGGACGATATAATCATCTTTACCACAACAGATCCAGAGAAGCTTCCCCTGCCGTCAATAGGCCTGTTGGATATGCAGTGGGCTTTACATAGACTCAATGCCCTTAGCGGTGCAGCGGACGCCACTGACGCGGACCTGAACTGGAATGATACTATAGGTCTAGGTCCACTCGACGATGTTGGGAAGTATGACGTCGGAATTTACGTAGACCAGCCAGAAGAAGGCGAATGGAGTACGTTTGATGAATGGGAGCAGCTGGAGGCCCCCAGGGCCCGGCCCCTTGCCCTGCGCCTGCGCAACTCCAGTACCCGAGTAGCAAAGCTTGGAAGGTTAATGAATCACGAATTATGATTCAATACTATAAAGTATGAGAAATAGGAAACTTCGCCATTTCCATGGCCCTAGTAAACCTAATCACATGTTCCCTGGAACCATCGCCTTGATCTCAATCTCAACCAGCGTCCCTAGAATCCCCAACTCTGTATGTATAAATTACAGGTATTTAGTATTTATGAGAGAGGGGATGGAATATTGGTTCAGCAAAAGTTAACGGTGTGGGTCATCTTGAGTTTCATGGGTGTATAGATGGGAAGATGTCAAGGTTTAAAAGTGACAGCGGCTCACACCATATTCTCTAGCATGCCGCGCCAGTGCATGATTGCAGTATCCATGCCAAATGTAGCGGGTACAGCAGCTGTCTTGCGGTTTCTGCAAATAGGAACGAAGACGTGGCACCTCTTATCTCTGGGCAAGGGGTGTACTCTGCGGTGGGATTCGCGGCAGACTGCAGTTTTGGCTATCAAGTCTGGTCAAACTCTTTCTGTTTGAACAGGCTAGAGTCGCCGTTCGACAGGTCGGCACCATCGCAATGGTGGAATTTAGGGCTCGGTGCAGCTGTCTCGGCAGCGATGTCGTAACCATGATAGTATTGGAAACAATATACACTATACAAATGTCGAGTAAATTCGAAGGTGCGTGTAGATAAGAAAGTCTACCCAGATACTAGTACCAACCAACCTGTTGATGGTACTATGCAAACACGCAGTCGCTCCAGACCGACAATAAGGCCTTTCACGACTATCGCCCCACGGGGCCGTCCCCGCAGGCAGTGTTGCATTTACTATGTGGCAACATGTGTGGTACTGTGTCTTTGATACCTTACCTTGAGTCACTGAAGTATAAATCCGTGTTTTCGCTCGTCGTGGTTGGTGCCTGGACGGCTTCTGTCTGTGGGACGCCAATACCTACGCAGCGGCTCTGCAGGAACCAGGAACACTGATATCAGGAACGCACAGCTTATTTTCATATGGACGAAATGATTGGCTAGAAGTGACTATGTTCCTGGTATACTTCAGGACGTCCATTCCGCGGCCTATGACGCACTAGGATTATACCATATTCCGGTGGGTGAGGTAACCTGTGCCCCTGTCTAAACTATATAGTTTTCCTTGAATTTTCTGCTCCTTCTTCTCTCTTCTCTCTTCTCTCTTCTCTCTTCTCTCTTCTCTCTTCTCTCTTCTCTCTTCTCTTACTTCTCTGTATTATCTTTTCTATCTCCTCTCTACTCTATCTCCTCTCTACTCTCCTTTCCCTTCTGTATTCATGCTCTGTCTCCCATCATCTCTCTCCTCTCTGTACTGTCTCTTCTCTCTGTTCTCTCTGTTCTCTTCCTTGCATTTTCTCTCGGCTCTCTCGTCTCCCCTCTTCCCCTCTTCACCAAGACTACATACATTCCGCTGCATCATGGAGATCTCTGCCTTCCCAGAGCTTCTCGATACCAACCGCATGGACATCCTCTTCGACATCCTCGACGACATTGTCCCCGAGGACCCTTTCTTCTGGGCCTTTGGAGCCATTGCAGATATCGATTCGCTGGGGTCCTTCTTTGATATGGCCCCCGAAGAACAAAATGACATATCTGATATAACCATCTGGACCCGTGTGCTGAAGATTTGTACGTCGCTATTACCTATATACCCATGTTTAATATGCCCACTAACAGGAGCTAGGGATAACCAGCGCGCAGCTGAACTGTGGATGCGACAGGGCCGAAATCAGAGATAGAAATACCTGCGTCCTCACCGGCAAGTCTGACAATACCGTCCAAGCGGCTCGCATCTGCCGCTTCGAAACGGGCGTAACATACGTAGGCCTAGAAGACTCGGCCATGGACAGCTTTTGGGACCGCCTACGCACGCTATTCACCGATCGTCGAGTCCGTCGCTGGAAGAGGGCTTTCGAAAGGGCCGAGGGCTGTTTTGGGGCTCCCAAGAACATGGTCTGCCTCTCGGAGCCTGCACGCGCTCTATGGAAGCTAGGCCGCTTTGCCTTGAGGCCTGTGCAGAGTCCGGTCCCGCCGAAGAGAAGGAGAAGTCTCATGGTGGAATTTCACTGGATTGGCCTCCGTTCTGATGCAGTGACGCCGCTGGTCAACAAGCGCACTGGAGAGTATATTCGCTCGGGGGATACTTTCACCATTAGAACGGACGACCCTGTTTGCTTCCCGTTGCCGTCTGTGGAGTTACTTAATATGCAATGGGTCCTAACTAGGGTTGTCGGCTTTGCAAGAGCGTCTCTTGGAGATAGGGCGGCATTCCTACTCAATACCATTGATTATGGGCCCGTTGAGGAGATAGAAGATGGAATCATAGAAGATGAAGTCGACCCCGAGGCTGCTGTTGGGTTGTATAATGCCGAGGTAAACTTTGCTCATTTTGAGAGTTATTCGGCGTCTATTGGTGGTCCTTCGTTTGACTATGGGGATGATTGATGAACATTATATGTGGAGTTTGGTTGGCCTGTTAGAAGGATTACAGGGCGTCAGGAGTAAGGATATGGGCAGGGACTGGGATTTGCTTGATATACTGTATTTTGATATCTGTTTGCGGGCTCCGTCCTAAATTATCCTTACTCTGCATTGGCTTTCATTTCTTGTATGCTTAATAAGACAAATTGGAAACAATCTCTACCATATCAATACCTCCATGTCCCACAGCTAAGAATCAGGTAGGAGAGGCTGGACCAGGACATGGAGTCATATGAATCATAAGTAAGATTAGCCCGTGATAAAACAGAGGTAATAGATACAGTTTACAAGACTAATATTGCTGTGATAATTAATGCTTGTTACATGCTACAATTATCCTCCCAACAATGATACAATCTCCAACATACCGTGCTAATGCTAAATATCAAACCCATCCCTCAACCTCGCCAACGCCCCCGAAAGTGTCTCTGCAATTTTCCTCGCCATATCCGACTTCTTCCCTAACAGCCACAACCCCTTGATACAATCCTCCGCCTGCTCAACATTCCGCGCAAAGCCGTGACCATCACCATCCTGAACAAACACCTCTGGTAAGCGAGCCAACTCCTCCGCTGCATCCAGAAATATCAGACCCGCCTTGGTAAACGCCCGAATGGGAATCATAGTCCACGGCTCCGTAAGGAGCGTCCCCTCGTTCACCGCGTGGTGGAAACCAGGCATCTGCGGTACACCGAGGGTAGCATCCAACGTCGCTGGTGTAGCGACGCGCGCGAGATCTGCGAGTTCACCTGAACTGTGTTTGCGGATTTGAGACGCGATTTTGTCTTCCACCCTGCTGGCAGTTTTGTCCTGCGCGCCGAGGCTGTTTTCATGGATGAAGTCGAGTAGGTCTGCGAACATTAATGTTCCCAGGTGCCAATGCGCGGAGATACAAACGAACCAGCCCTGGATGCGCTGGGGGACGGTATTATAGTCGTGGACCATCTCGGTGAAAAAGGCGCCGTGGGTTTTATTCCAGTGTTTGTATAGGGACATTGTGCTGCGGATGATATCTTCGATTATAGTGGGGTGAGCGAGTTTCCGGACTGCGTTTTGGAGGTACGAGACGTGTCGGAAGAGGAGGACTTTTGCGGGGGCGGATTTCGTGATGTCTTCGGCTGCGACGGAGTATGTGCAGGGCCAGTGGGTTTGGGTGGTTTTGTCGAGTCCGCCGGGGACGAAGAGGTCCATGTCCCAGCGGGGTTGAATCTGGTTTTGGATTTTTTTTGTTTCACTTTGAGATGGTGGTGATGGCGTTTCGGCTTCGTGCTGGCACTCTTCGTCTTGGATTACGACCGGCCGCTCGTTCATGGACGCCGAGACCGTGTCGAACATTATGGCCAACCAATACAACAAACTGATTGACGCGCGATCCTCGGGGTCCATGCATGCAATAGCTTCTTTGCTATCTGCTTGTCTACGCAGGCCAGTCTCGACCGCGTCGCATCGGTATTTCAGCGCGTGCATTTTCCGCGCGGCTCGCTCGATGTGAACCGGTGGTCCGTCTTTTTGTAGTATATCTCGGACCCGCAATAACGCCGTGGTGGACTCAGATCGTTGTTCTGTTTCCGCGGATGTATTCTCCTCCTCAGACTCCCACGGCCGCTGCGTCAAAGCGAAGATAAGTTCCGCGCAGGCGACCTGGTAGGACTCGACATCGGCAACATCCTGCAATGCTCGCCGAGCTTGGTCCCAGAAGTGGTTCTGGAGGACGCGGTCGAATTCAGTCGTGCTGCCGCTACTGCTCGAGTGGTCGAGGAATGTATTGCTGTATTTCTCGCGGTGTCGTTGACTGCCCTGTGCCCACTGCGTGGCGAAGGCCATAATGGACAGATGCAGAGCTTTGGACGCGGACCGCTCTTCGGTCTTTGTCATGCTGACTAGCTTGCATGATTGCGCGACGCGGTCGAGTTTTATCGTGCGCTGGTAGATCCGGTTGGACCAAAATGAGCCCCATTCTGGGACTGCTTGTGGGCCGTTGCCCTGCCAGCCGCGTTTGTATGGGCAGGTTTGCTCGGTGACCCAGCAAGAGAGGTTGTGTTCCAGGACGTCGTGGTAGATCTGTAGAAGGTTTGCAGAGGTGAGATGCGAGTTTGCAGCGGAGATCATCTGCTGGTCGATCGAGAAGGGGGAGAGAGATTGCGTGCGGGGGCTTGTCTGTGCTGCTGGTGATTTCTGCGTCCACGGCATCCAGCTGATATCGCTGGAGCTGGACGATGCATACTGCAGGGTGTTATAGGTGAGTGGGGTTTGCCAGGACTGGTGACTGGGAGTTGGGTCTAGCCCGAGGTCTGGGAGCTGCAAGTCTAGCTGCATATTTGGCACGCAGTGAGCGGTCGTTAAAGCGGATTGCTCTGGTTCTTCCTGTGCTGGATGCGGATTGTTGAATGATGCCGGATCAAGGGATAGCAGGTTGTAGTCCAACGGTGCAGCGGCAGCAGGATTGCTGCCCCAGCCAAGCAAATCCTCAGATGGATTGAAGTCGAGTAGACCGTCTAAAGTGCTGATGTCCCCCTGGAGCTGAGGCTGGTCGGCCATCCATGGCAGGATTTCCCTGGTCAGGATATCCAGATGGGGCTGCTGACGCGATGGTTTGAACCCCGACTGCGCGCGCGACCGGGCCCATTCGGTCGTACAGCGTTTCTTCGTCCGGGCACAGTAGGAGCAGGGAGAGCGCTGGCCAGTGGTGGCATCGCAGGCGCGTTTGGACTTCCTGCACTGGTCGCACGAGTGGTTCTGGCGGCGGGTGCGGCCGTGGGTCTGGGTCGGGTGTTTCTGGACAGACATGCCAACGCAGCGATGTTGGCTGGATCGGATAAGATGGATACGGATGAGAACCGATGAGAGCCGATGACAACGGGGAAGACTGCGATGAAGAGGGGAACAGCTGAAGCTCTCGCGCTGTTGGTGACCCCGGATTCCCCGCATTGGCAGCTCACTGGCGCTGATTGGCTGCTGCGCGCGCATCAACAGATCACATTGGGAATCAGGGTTACCGGGGCGGACTGCAAGGGATGTTTAATAGACCGGAAGAATATTCAAATTCACTCAATAATTGGCAACACATCATGCTTATTACAGGTTTACAGACCACTAAGACAATGCCTTGTAAATCTCCGCCTCAACTGTCGCCCACAGCCCAAGCACAGGCATGTCTACAAAAGGCAGAATCTGCGTACAGACCATGCCAGCAACGCCCTTCTCCCGATCCGCCCACCACCACAGATTCGCCAATCCAGCCCAGTGGCCAGTCGATGCAGACCGTCCAGTTCCACCCCCGTTAGACAGCATAAAGGTCAGTCCCCACCCCTGCGGCGGGTTTCCGGGAACAGGATACAGCTCTGGGACGGCGTTGGTCAAGTCTGGCTTTGAGGCTGCAATACCTTGTCTGCTGTAGTTTGGGAATTGGGGGATTTGGTTGGTGAACATATCGTCCACGGTGGATTTGTTGAGTAGTTTTGTTCCTGTTTTCGGACATGTCCCGTCGTTGAGCAGGACGGATAGTATTTCTGAACTAAATTAGCCTTTGCGTGTTTACGAATGAGATGACGCACTGCAGTAGTCCTGTGGTTTGGCGTACATTCCTGCACCGCCGCTGTTAAATACTCGGTCGACTTCGGCCTTGTTTAAATCGACGACGAGTGGTGCTCGCAGGAGATGGTCGCGGTGTCGGAGCTTTCCATCCCCGTCTCGGTGGTTCATGTATGCCATGCGCTGGCGCATATCCTCGTTCGGAATCATAGACATATCCTTGATACCGAGGGGCTGGAAGATATTCTTCTGCAGGTACTCGTTCAGTTTGAGACCGGTTGCTCGTTCCAATGCAATTCCCGCCCAGTCAATCCCGACCTGTTCATTAGCGTATATCAGGGTAAACAGGTAAGGAGCGTACCCCATATTCCCACCCTTCACCCGGCTGGAATAGCAAAGGGAGTTTAACATCTTCAATCCGACCAGAGAACTCGTCCACCCCAGCTGGATAGGACCACTCTCGCAATCTATCATTGAAGAATGTATACCCAAACCCGGCTGTATGGGTTAGCAGCATACGGAGGGTAATGGCCTTATTCTTGTCGACAAGACTCCCGTCCTCCTGAAGAACCTGGAATGTCTTCAGCTCAGGACACAGACTCTCCGTTTGAGCCCCGTCGTCTAGTTTCAAAACACCCTGTTCGACGAGCTGCATGCATGCCACGCCGACAAGCATCTTCGTGCACGACGCAATCCAGAAGATATTATCCAGCGTCATAGGCTCTTTCGACGCAGCGCCGCGCTTCCCGGCAGAGTGCGCGAACAGCTCCTCGCCATTCTTATCCACAACGACAACGGTAGTACCGGGGATACCAGAAGGATCCTCGCAGGCCTTATCCACGACACCGCGGAGATGCGACGTGACCTGTTCAGTGAGAGGCATATTCAAATATCCAGCAAGCCAGAAATTAGGTATGGTATAAACTTGGTTACAAATGATGGCGAAAAGATACGGACGCTCTATTTAACGGTTGCTCTGCAGATCCTCCAGCCGTTCCCAACCCCCGCTGTTCTAGTCCCAACGCCAACACCACGGCCTGGCCAGTCTTGGACCAGCAGTAAAGTACATCGATGATGCGGGGCTGCGGTTCCGCATGCCGCGGGTCCGCTGCGGACTGCGGACGCAAATAGCCCAATCAGGTATTTCGTGCAGATGTTTGTCGTGCGGGGGATGCGTTGCGAGCGGGGTGTCGATCCTGTAGTTGGTGACAGCTGCGGTTGCTATACTATAGGTGTAACTGTAGAGGGTGAGACGGGGATGTTGTGTAGCAGGACGCAATATAAATACGGCGGTTGTCGCTGGCATTGAACCAGAACAATCACTCACATATAAATCTATTTATCAAGTTTTTAACAACATGGGTAGTCTTGGAGATACCCTGCCTTCGCCGAAGAAGTACAACACCGAGCTCACGGACTACTCGGTCAAGCATGGAGACAAACCCGGTCCATATGCAGAGAACCTCGAGGTCGATGCCCTGGTCGTCGGTGCAGGGTTTGGTATACCACCCCAGTCCCATAACTCCCTACAAGACTAACCAGTATAGCCGGCATATTCATGCTCAAGACTCTACGCGACCGCGGCCTCAAAACTGTGATATTCGAAGCCGGCAACGACACCGGCGGCACCTGGCGCTGGAACTGCTACCCCGGGGCAGGCGTGGACTCGGAAGTGCCCGAGTACGAGTTCAGCTGGCCGGAGGTGTACAATACGTGGAACTGGCCGAATAATTACCCCAACTACCAGAACCTACGGGATTACTTTGACCATGTCGATAAGGTGATCGGGGTCAAGAAGGACTGTGCGTTTAACACCGTTGTCGTTGGCGCGCAGTTTGATACGGCCGCTGGAAGATGGAATGTCAATACGGCTGATGGGAGGGTTACGAAGGCTAAGTATCTTGTTCTGGGGACTGGATTCGTATGTCTACCTACCTACTACTTTGACATTATGTGGACGAATACTGATAGTGCAGGCCGCGAAACGATATATCCCCCCCTGGCCCGGCATGGACAAATTCAAGGGAACAGTACACCACTCCTCCTTCTGGCCGGACACCGAAGTCCCCGTGTCTAACAAACGCTGCGCAATCATCGGCACTGGCGCATCTGGCGTTCAAATCACCCAAGCCTGGGGCCCAGTCGCGGGAGACCTTAAAGTCTTCCAACGCACACCCAACCTCGCCGTCCCCATGCGCAAGCGCGATCTCACAGTCGAAGAGCAAGAACGCATTAAGCCGTACTACCCCGAGCTGTTCCGGTACCGTGAGACCAGTTTCGCCGGGTTCATGTACGACTGGTACGAGAAGAATACCTTCGACGACTCGCCTGAGGAGCGAGAAGCGTTCTACGAATCTGTCTGGAAGGACTGCGGGTTCCGGTACTGGGTTGCCGTGTACAAGGATAACCTGTTCAATCCGGATGCGAATAAGGAGTCATACAGGTTCTGGGCGAAGAAGACGAGGGCCAGGATTGGGGATCCGAAACTGCGTGAGCAGCTGGCGCCCTGGGAGATGCCGCATTATTTTGGCATTAAGCGGCCTTGTTTGGAGCTGAACTACTATGAGCAGTTTAATCGGGAGAATGTGCATTTGGTGAATATCAAGGATAATCCAATTAAGGAGTTCACCGAGACGGGGATTTTGTTGGAGAATGGCGAGCACCATGAGCTAGATGTTGTTGCTGTTGCGACGGGTTTTGTGAGCTCCCCCTTTTTTGATTCTGAACCATCTTGGTAGATGGAACTGACTTATCAGGACGTCGTCACCGGGGTAATGACCCAGCTCGGTCTGAAGAGCATCGACGGCGCCGAGCTCGAGAAGGAATGGATCCCAGGCGCAAAGACATACCTGGGCACCAGTGTCAGTGGCTATCCCAACATGTTCCACATCTACGGTCCGCACGGCCCGACTCTGCTCAGTAACGGTCCTACATCAGTTGCTGTGCAGGGCCGCTGGATTGCCGACGCGATTGCCAAGATGGAGGCCAACGGGGTCAAGTATATCAACCCTAAGCTCGAGGCTGCGGATAAGTGGAAGAAGCACGTTGTGGAGCTGAATGACCGTACGTTGTTCCCGACGACGAGGTCGACGTATATGGGTGGGAGCATTCCAGGGAAGGTGTATGAGCCAGTGTGCTATTCTGGTGGCATTCCGGCGTATGCGATTGAGATTCGGAAGGCGCTGGATAACTGGGAGGAGGGATTCGATGTTGTCAAGGATTGAATAGTGTCTGTATTCTGGTTCTGCAATCAATATATTTGTCGTACAATATTGTTCCGTCGGCACTCTCCGCTGTAGACTAAGGAAGGGTAGGCAGCAGTCCGTATCCGGTCTGGTCCGTTTTTGGCTACTTTGAAGCTATTCCCAGCACAGTTTAGCTGTCCACACTGGCGTGCAAAATAGGCCCGGCCAGATCCTTCGACCTCTCTTGATTGGCATCCGATGAGCCTCGACTCAGGGACCAAGCGAAAAGTAAGACATTCTCGCAAATTCGATCAGGCTCATGACTCCGTGCCTGCTAGTCCCTTGGTTTAAATGGACCCGCCGTTCCTGTTCATTTGGATATTCTCCAGATTTTCGCCACGCTTATTTCCCTCCTGCGCCATGATCACACCCTCTTGGGCGTCTCTCGCCCTGTTAATTCCTGCAGTCCTTGCTCAATCCACGACATCTACATCCACCACCTCTGCTGCAACACCCAGTTGCACGGCCTCACTCATCACCAAGCTATGCAGCTACCCCGAGCCTGGCCCTGAATTCGCCGTCGCCAGCGAGAGCAGAGCGTCCTGCTGGAGGTTCTGCGACGCCCATCCCCCCTGCGACTTTGTCATCTTCAGTCCAGGCAACCCAACCCTAGGATCCGGTACCTGCTGGCTATACCCAGGCCAATCCTTCGACGAGAGTAAAGGCGACTCAGACTGCGGCAGTCCCTATCTCGATGTCTACGACAAACCCGAATGTACTGGCAGCCCAACCACTACCACTACCGGCACCGCATGCACCGCCACCGAGACCCCCTCCGCAATTGCCTCGGTGTGCGGGTATCCAACACCCCCAGGGGACTGCTTCGACGGGTGCACTGCCAGTTTAGGCGCGACAAACTGTCTAAGTCAGTGCGCAAACTCCGATTCCTGTAGTTATGTTGTCTTTAACCCGCATAACCCGAGCAACTCGCCTTATGCCTCGGGGACTTGCTGGATGTATCCGAGTGGGGAGTTTAACCCGGACAAGGCGGAGGATTGTTCTGGGGATCCGGAGCAGTTTGTTTATGAGAATTCGTGTCCTAAGCCGGTGACTTCCCCGTCGTCGTCTTCTGCTTCTGTTACGCCATCTGCTTCGTCGTCGACGGAGAGTCCCGGTGGTACGGGGGTTACGGCCGCTGCTACAGAGGAATCTGCCACTGAGGAGAATTCTGCGTCTGGGGGTCTTGATACCGGGACGGGTCTATTGGGGGTAGCCGCGGCTGGATTAATATGGCGCGCTGTTTAATGATACTCCTGTATATAGACGTCTTTTGGTCACCCAGATTATTAGACTTGATATAATATTGTATGGTTAGTATGGATCATAGGACCAATATCTGAATGTTTGTTCCACCATATTTCTCGTGTTTACTCCTTCCACGTGAGGATCATCATTGAACAACACACTACTTACCGCCAGGCATGCCTTTTAAGGGTTACTAAATATGGCTTGTACGCAGTAAATACCGCCTCTGTCAGCAGCACGGGCAAAAGTGTGCAGTTGCTGTCAGAAGGTCATCTTGTCCTGCGGCAGTGTAGGATATATTGTTGAGGATAGCTGGCTAGCCCCAGGGCTTTTGGTCTAGCGGTCTAGCGCCTCTTGTGATATCTTGCATCAACACAAAGACCGAATAAAGCGCCAGTAAACATGCAGAAGTATAGAAAAAGGTTTACATTTATTGCTAAACGTACCAATGACGAACTCGCACGATTTCAGCCTCGAATGCCAACCTCGTATTCCGCATTCCTCTGCGCATCTCCACCGCATTCCGTCGAATACGAAGAGGCTTTGTCGACGCCCAAGCCTTGCAGATCAATACGAAGAAGCTTATCTGAATCGGGACTCAGTCATTCCTATTCACCGCGGCCCGATTGGGGGAAATGGGACGCGTCTCAATGGGCGCTTGACGAACTCCGTGAAGCCTGGTCATACCGGGCTGTATGGCTTCCCTGCCGTCCGATTTTGGGTGGATTTCGCGAAGAGTGCATTGAGGTTGATGGCATCGTAATGGTCTGTGCATTCCTGCGGGGAAGCGCTGAATATAGTTAGGTTGCAGTAGGCAATTAATATCTAAATACCTTCAGAAGAAGGTATAAGAAGAGCCTATTCCCCTCGAAATCTTTCTTCTCATGAAGACTCCAGTCTCAACGAGAATCAAACAAAACCCTCGGTTTCACTTTTCAGCACCAAAATGAACCTCCAACTCGCCACAGCCCTAACCTTCCTCACCCTGGCCCTAGCCATGCCTGCTCCCGAGGCAGAGCCAGAAAACCCCATGCCCGTCCCCATCGCCAACCCCATCGAAAACGAAAATGAGCCCCGCGACATCCGGCCTGCAGCTCTGGGTCTCGAAAAACGCGCCAGAGTCAGCTGCAAGATCGTCAACACCGATTCGGCTGCCGTGAACTGTCGTTACAAGCCTAGTCTGTCTTCGTCTGTTATCGCGCGTATACCTAGAGGGTCTACGCATACCTTCTATTGCTATAAGAGGGGGGATTGCTATAATGGTAACTGGTTAGTATTGCCTAGTCCATTCAGCTGCAGATGTCTGTCGGTATTGTTAGATGGTTGGCTAACTGTGGTAGTACCTGGGATCAAATGTTTTACAGAGAGCAAATCTGTTATATCAATGGATATTACACTGGTAGCAGCTGCACTGCTAGTAAGGCCCCCGTTCGCCGACTTGCTAATTGGGCCCTTGTTTCGGTGCTAATCGTGGACCTAAGAGGCTCTCGGGGTGTGCTAGGTGGAGCCCTGGACCCAGATATATATGTATATAATGCTAGGAAGTTGGACCTGGCAAGCGCGGATCATCAAGCCAAAGTCCAAAACGAAAGAGAGGTAATAACAGAAATTTTGATATTGGGATGTGTTCCTGAAGCGAAGAGACATCATCGAACATACCTAACCGTATATATCTATTCCAATAAAAAGTTCAATCAACCCTGGCGTACCACTTCAACTCGCGATTCTCCAAAACCCTAACCGGAGACTTATACCCCTCCTGAAACGACACATGGCTTTTATTCAGCGCATACAAAACATGCCCATCCTCAACCTGATCCGTCATCAAATATCCCCAGACCGAAGCAGTCTGCGAAGACCGCGGCAACGATGGCGCTTTCTTCATGGGATACCCAACTGTCAGCGCGAAGCCCAGTCTATCTCCCTTTTTGACACTCGCACCGACGGGAACTTGGACGACATCGAGAGATAAAGTAACGTTATCCGACGTAACAGGTGTCCAGCCCAGTGTCTCCCACTTGAAAAATGGCGCGGTGAAGTCTGCCTCGCCAGGGTAGCGGAATACAAACACCGACAGAGCCCGGCTTGGTGATATCGCACTGAGATTGATTCCAACAGACGACAGATTCCCGCTTTTTGAGGATGTCCAGGTCTGGTAGAACCATGCTGAGGGATAATTTGACTCGGCCCAGTAGTCCTTGTTATTTCCGGAGCCGTCGGTGGCGGTTGTTGCGAGCCCGGTGCTTGGAATGTCCTTTCTGCCAATGGGGGCTTGGATTGTTGTTTGTGCATCTGGGGAACAGTCGATTTTGTTTATAGAGCCGTCGGGGTTGAAGTTGAGCTTCCAGAAGCCGTGGCCGATGGCGCCCCCGGTATATCCAAGGCCGACTGGGGGTATTAGTATTAGGGGTAGTTTTAGGAGATACTTGGGACTCACGTGGTGCCACTGAAGGCCGGTCAGCCTGGTAGAGGAATTGTTGCTCGGTGTTGTTGACTGACTTAATGTTAATATTGCAATGCATGGGGTTGAGTAGGGCATACCACGAGGAACCGTCATGACGCCCATTCCCTGTCCACCACAGGTCAGGTCGGAGTCCACGAATTGGAAAGTCCACGGACCCTTCCAGCTCTTTGACCGATACGCGACAGTGGTAGTCTTAACAGTTAGCAGGATACAGCATCCATCAAAGGGTACTTACCCCGTTACAAAAGCTGCAAGTCCCAGATCCGACCATATCTAGTCTGCGTTAGTAGTATACCCCGGAGGAATGGTTATAACACGTACACCACCAATCTTCTCTTTTGAATATATCCGGCGATTCAACTTGCCCATCAACCAGGTTAGACGAATTGGCCGTGACAGGAAAGTCACCACCTTCTTGAATGACAATGGAAGTGTCGCCGGTGGTGTGGAGGAAATCGTCGGTCAACCTCTCAATCACAACAGTTTGGCTGAACGCCGGCCATATCTATACCATGTTAGTTGGACATACAATGATGTTGAACAGCCGGAAGGAAAAGGCTTACACTGCCTAGAGTGCCATCTGTAACGATGGCACTGATCATGTCCCACGTTGTGTAGATGACATATCCCTCGCCGTCAATGACGGCTAAACTGAGATCTTCAACGCCCTGTCCGGGCCACCATGTCTTCTGGATGAGGTGGCCTTGGAAGGTATACCCGTGGGTGAGGTGGTCGGAGGTGAAGACAGGAATGCCGGGCTCAGAGCCGGGGGCTGCATGGTGTAAGCAATTCCGCTATTACGCACATGGAGCGATTTAGGTATACCAGCAAACGCCATGAGGACATATTTTCTTGTCTTCTCGTTGTATATCACCTTTGGCCGATCGCAGGACCCGAATATACCGCTGCAGGCTTGGGCGTTTACCGGCTGGGATATGTTGAATACTACAGTGGTTAGGTATGTACATTTGATGATTGGCTATTACTCACGTTCAGTAGGATTGCGATACCAGTTCACCAGGTCTCTAGAAGAATAGCTGACTTTACTAATTAGTATGCAAGTTATCTTTAGAGATGTAGTGACTCACGAGAAGCATTGACAACCCAGAAATACTGCTCGTCAATCCAATCGACCTTGCCGTTGACCGAATTGACCACGTTCCCATCAACGTCGAAGTAGTAATTATGCTTATTTACGAAGCTGACGCTGTGGCTTGCGCCGCTAGTCTCGGTGCTGCCACTGCCAGCAAGCACTCGCCCAAGCAGCGAAAGGACGGAGACTACAATGGATAAATGCATAATGCTGATGCTTGATATCAATAGCCGGCTGGCCTTTTATTTATACCTGTCGGCTACTGATATGTTAACTCGACGTCGGGAACTGCTGGCTAATATGTCATTCATATTGTTAGGACCGCGGAATATGCGCGCGGTTCCTGGTTGATTGAATTCGACAAGGTGGACTGGGCAATCGGCTACTGAGTGGGTATCGACCATGTGCAACCACGATTACTGGCGATTAAGCTTCTATATCCACATTAACCTTGCCCGCATTCAATTATATAGTTGGATAGGGGCGTTGGTTGGCCACTTTGCCGAGTTCCACCTTCCAACTAAATGCTATCTCACCCACGGGGAAACCCCCGGTCTTCGCCCGGTTATCAACCCGGTAAATGCAATACCGTACACCAGGCAGCAAGATAGCGCATCTGCTTAGCCTGCGCCCATCACTCCCCAGCAGGAGAGCGTATCACCACTCGAAAAGGCAGGTCGGGTGGAAAGCGACGATGCCACTCGTTCCCCGGACAATCGGGATCATCATGGATCTCGACGACAAAGTCCGGCACGCCCCGGATATCCATCAGCGGGGAGAGATACGACGACCCATTAACGACATGGCTAGGACGCAGGCGTTCTGAAAATGAAACATGCAGCCGATGCAGCCCGGTCATTTTCTGTAGGACGCGGAGTGTCCCCATCCAGGACTGGAGCGCGTTGCAACTTTTTTCAGGCGTGCCGTGGAGACAAACAAAGGTGGAAATAGACAGGGATCTAAATGAGGGTAGTCTGGCAGGGTTAATGACTCGGGGTATCGGGTTGAGGCCGGATCGGTCGCGGAAATGGAATGTATTCTTGTTATACAGCATTTCGATTGCTTCACAGTATCTTGGTAGGTGCGTCAGCTTTAGCGTATAGGCAGGACAATACCAGCTTACATTTCTCGACAGGTGGATAGCAATGGTATATATCGATAGGGGACGTTATTATCTGGGCCGCGGGCGTGGGACTCGCATCCTGGCTTACACGCGTGGCCATATAGCCGCTTCCCATGACTCCTCACAAGCACCACACCGGAGGAGCTCATGACATAAAGCCAGATCATTACACGGAGCTCGGCGGGCAATCCAAGCAAGCCAGACTGGCCAGCAGCCTGAGACACCATTGCTCGGGTTCCAGGCGTTTTCTTGTCGTCGGGTAGGGAAGGCGTCAGGGGCCGCCGATCAGACCAGAAGGACGCTGGCAATTCTGTCTGTTCTCGTAGTCCCCATACATCCTCCGGTTCTTTGGCGGCGTTATCATTGACAGGTGGTTTGTTTCGTTTTCTACCCCCTTCTATGCACTTGCCTAGTTTGCAAATGAGCACCCAGCAAAGAATCCACGGATAGGAAATAATAGCGAGACAGCCGAAGATAATGACACCCAAGCGTCCGCCAGGAATAATAATCTTCGACGTCATTTCTGAGAGTCGATCGGGGTATGAGAAATGGAAACGCCTATAACCTTAGTCAAAGATCCCTATATAGGTACATCGATGCGGCGGCTGAGGGTCGTGTCTGCCTGATTCAGCCTCAACAGTCAACAGCGGCCTACTCCGGAGTACGCTGCGTTGGTTGGAGGCGGTTCGCGTATATAGGCTTTACTAAGAAGAGAATGGTTTTGAATTTATCGTGATACCCCGTTGGCTGGCTGCTTTTTGAAACCCACTGGCTTACGCTGGGCACTCTCAGTCCCCAGGTGGCGCAGGATGATCATCACTGCCACACACTAGCGTAGACGCCGGTTGGGCTTAATATTAATGGATGGGGATGTAGAAGCATGTAAATCTACCCCAGCACCGCGCCTGTAAGAGTGTCGATGTTTAGGATCTTGTAGAGTATATTAACTACCCGCGGTTATAGTCAACCGAGGAATACTCTCTGCCTTATACGCAGACTTCCAGTCGCATTGATTGGCCCGGGATAGCATCACTCCACAGAATATCCCGTCATCACCTAGACCACCGCTAGAGGTCGGAAAAGGCTAGTTTTATACACTTCGGGTCTCGCTTGGCTCGGCCGGGTCGGTGGCGGGACGACGATCACAAGAAACATGAATATAAAAGCAATCGCGGGGCAGTTAACCTTAACATCAACCACACTTCTCTAGAAATGACCCCCCACCACAGGCAGAAGAACATCCTCCTCCTCGTCGCCGACGACCTGGGCAAATGTCTGGGCTGCTATGGCGCGAAAGGCCTGCACACGCCCAACATCGACCGTCTCGCTGCGCAGGGAACTGTTTTCGACCGTGTATTCACAAGCACGGCTTCATGTAGCGCCAGTCGGACCGTTATGCACACTGGTCTTCATCCCCATGAAAACGGCCAATATGGTCTCATCGGCGGGGCGAACCATTTCCAATCCTTTGACCACATCCAGTCGGGTCCGCATCTGTTTAACGCCCTTGGATACCAGACGGGGATTATCGGAAAGGTGCACGTCGGTCCAGCTGGTGTGTTTCCCTGGGAGTGGAGAGAAGAGAGCGAGACGAGAAATGTATCGTGGGTGGCGGAACGAGCGGAGGCTTTCTTGGATAAGGCGAACGACACTAAACGTCCTTTCTATCTTACTGTTGGGTTTATTGACCCTCATAGAGATATAACTACACGGGGAGGCTTTGGGAATGCCGAAACCTGCGGCGGGACCTTTTCTGCTCCAGAGTTTCAACCGGATCAGGTTGAGATACCCAGCTGGCTGACGGATGTAGCGGAGACGCGCATTGAATATGTCGAGTACTATAAAGCCATTTCCCGTCTTGACTATGGAGTTGGTCTTATTCTGGATTCCCTCGATAGACAGGGCCTGGCAGATTCCACGCTGGTTGTCTTCTGCAGTGATAACGGTCCTCCATTTATCAACTCCAAGACGACACTGTATGAAGCCGGTATCCAGCTTCCATTTATAACTCGGCTGCCTCCGTCCATCCAGTCGCCGGGCATAAAGAATCCCAATATGATTTCGTATATCGACATCCTGCCTACGTTTCTGGACTGGGCCGGTGCAGCCATCGATTTTGCTGCCCCGGTTACTCTACCCGACCAGGTCTTCACAAGGGAAACTAAACCCCCAGAACCACCAAAACGGCTGGGCCGGTCCTTCTTATCGATCATGAACCGTGAAGACATAATTGACGAGTCAACCTGGCAGCACAAAGTCTATGGCTCGCATACATTCCACGAACTCGCCAACTACTATCCGACCCGCTTCGTGCGGGACCGGAGATACAAGTACCACCGGAACATCGCATATCAGCTTGACTTTCCTTTTGCCTCTGATCTGTATGCCAGTCTGACGTTTGAAGGGATTCGACGGTCGCACAACGGGGAGAATGCAGATGTCATGGTGGGTGGTCGGTCTCTCAGACGGTATATCCAGCGCCCGCCTGAGGAGCTTTATGATCTTGACTCAGACCCACTAGAGGTTGTCAACTTGGTAGGGAAGGAAGAGCACCAGGCTCGCTTGATCAAGATGAGGAGGGAGATGGAGAAGTGGCAGGTAGCAACGAGGGACCCGTGGTTGTGGAGGGATGGGCAGAGTGTTGTTGCGTTGCAGAGGTATTCTGGTGAGGATCTGAAGATGCCAAAGCGGTTTGACTTTATGCTTGATAGTGGGGAGTATAAGGATATGGAGCTGTATAAGGTGGACGATCCTGCTTTGGTGGATGGAATACACTAGATGTGGATTAGAAGACGTTGATATATTGATAGGCTCATATTCAACCTCACCAGCATCAAGATTATAGTGATAATGCCCACCCTCGTTCCTCTCATCAGAGCAGTGCGTATGTTACAGTATCGCCCCTACATCGTCCAGATCCGCAAAATGCAACACCGACAGACAGACCACAGGCGCGGAGAAATTGTGATGTTTTGTCTAGCCGCGGCAGAGGGAAGAGGGGTGCCTGGCTTCCTATGTCGGCGATTACCTCTGAGCCGCAGAGGCCCTCGCTTGCTAGATTGAAGGATGGTTTCCGTAGGTCGGGGCATTTGATGACTGTTGATGCGGCTGTGGTGTAGTTTCTGCGGAGTTCGGATTGCAGAACTGTGGCGATTTCTTGTAGAGGTATAGGGCTCAGCCCGATTCGGGTCTGTTGCATTATTTTCATGCAGCTTCCCCAGGTTTGGTGTATGAAATCTAGACTAGTGAATCGTGAGTCACCCAGTATCAGAATGCCTTCGCCAGGCAGTGAAATGATCTCGGGGAATTACTACTTTGGGTAATCGGATCACTCGAGCCCTACACAAGTCCATGGATGCAGGGTTCTCATTACTATGCTTTTCTTCAGGGTTTTTATTGCTATTAGAAGGTGGGATTAAATGTCTTCAATTATTAGATTCTTAAATGTAGATATTTCCCTGGACATGTTGGCAGTACTAGTATATACCGGGTAGCACACCATACGTAGAGAGGTACTCAGGAAAATATAGTGCAATTCACTGTCAATAGCTAATTTTCTATCACCTGTGAATCGAAGCCCCGAGGTCCTAGTTTATTCACACGTGTGAGAATAGAGTTTTAGGCATAGTAAAAATGTCAAACATGGTGGCCTATAGTAATAGAATGAGTTCTCAGTCAATCCATCCTCTCACATCCATATGTGAATTTAGCTAGGTAAATCGGCAGGATAGCATCTTGTCTGACTGCAGTTGCCAGCCCCCAGCAATACCACAGTGAATATAGACTCACGAGTAGCAGTCCCTGTGCCACTCCATCCTATATAACGACGCTGAGAGTCAGCCCAGTTCCCTTCTCATCCATCCTTCATCTTCTTCGCCCAAAGGTAAACATGGGTTTCACAAACAACCTAGCCTTGCGCCAGTTATCCGGCGACCACGGCAAACTACTAAATGCCATCAGCAACGCCCACTCCCTGGGTCTCCATTGCCTCCATGACCCCCCGATGCTGGTAGTCTGCGGGAAAATCTCTAGTGGGAAGAGCTCTGTCCTGAAGGCCATCTCGCGCATCCCGTTCCCTTCCCACGACGAAAGCAACCGCTGCACCCAGTTCGCAACAGAGATTACTCTACGACGGAGCGACTCGCCTAGTACAAAGGTCTCAATCATACCCGGTCCCTCGTGCACCGATCCCAGTGAGCGAGCGAGACTGCGAAACTACATGCATGACGGCGTTCCCGCTGGGTATACTTTCCCTGATATTATGAACGTCACGGAACTCGAAGTGGGCCTCTTGGAGGTTGAGAGGTTTGACGACGTCACTGACCATGTCCTGAAATTCGAGGTTTGTGGGCCGGATCTGCCGGAGTGTACTGTGGTTGATCTGCCTGGTCTGGATATTCCAACTACTGAGCATGACGACGATCAGTCCGCTCGAGTCGCCAAGCAGCTGGCTGAGAGGTATATGGCCAGTACTAGGAGTATTGTCTTGCTAGTGGTCAGTGCCGAGCACTGTGACCATATGGACGAGCTTCTTGAAATGGTTCGTCAGTTCGATAGGAAGGGCGAGCGGACTCTAGGAATTGTTACTCGTCCTGATACTCTCCAATCTGGTTCTGAGGGGGAGGACTCAGTCCTTCAACTTTTACGGAATGAGAGAATCAATCTTCCCCTGGGATGGCATGTTTTGAGAAATCATTACCCTGACGAACCCGCTATCTCAGACAATGCTCGAGACCAGCAAGAGAGAGCTTTCTTTAACGAGGGAAGCTGGAGGACTTTGCTCCCCGACTGTGTAGGGGCAGAGAGCCTCCGACGACGACTCAGTGGTATCCTATTCGACCATCATCAACGCCATCTTCCTACCCTGGTTGGGGCAATTCAAAAGCGCATGTCCGATAATCAAGCTAGACTGTCCAAGCTAGGGAATTCTCGCACTACAGCCGAATCGCAGCGGGCCTATCTCTTGGATATCGCAACTGATTTTGAGCGAATTATGAACCACGCCGTGGATGAGACGTATATCGACGGCTTCTTCGATGGCCTTGGTAGACGGCTGTTAATTCGGCGCACGATCAGGCAACTCAACGAGTTTTTTGCAGACGCAATGGCTATCAGAGGTGCTCAGCGTATCATTTCAGATGGTCCCCCATCAGTCCCATTTACGATCAACCCATACCTACAAGGCTGGTCGCCTCAAGGTGTCACTCGCACGGTTCTCGAAAAGGAAGCTCGTGAGCTTATGCGCAATTATGGCTCGGAGGCAGCGGGAAATGCTAAGCGCATCGTTGCTGGGATGCTGTTTCGCGAACAGGCACAGCCCTGGGAGGAGTTGGCCAGGATGCATCTGCTGAGGGCTTGGGATGCAATCAAGCACTTTGTGTTCACTGCTCTGAAGCATTTAACTGACGAGCGCATCTCTATTATTCTAGCGAGGTCTGTCGTGGAGCCAGCACTTGAGAGACTCAAGCAGGATGTGCTGCAAAAGCTGACAGAGCTGAGCTTGCCCACGAAGCGCTATGTTGCTTTGCCCATGAGTAAAGCTGAAACTGCTCGCGTCGAGGAGGCGAGAAAAGCCCGTTTGCTACAATCGCTCGAAACGACACTGGCAGCAGAGAATCTCCGGAACCCCGGGCTCTTCTATCTGGCATCCATCAAAGAGGCTGTCCTTCATGTGGACGCTGCACGAGATGAACATGCAGCGGCAGAGATTGTCGATCATATGCAGTTTCATTACGAGACTGCTGTTACTACATTCATCGACAATGTGAACAGTCTCGCTGTTGAGAACTGCCTAGTTAACCCCCTTCGAGGCATCTTCACCAGCCAGGTCGTGAACAGCATGAGTGAAAGCCAGATCCAAGAACTCGCGGCAGATCCACCGAAAGTCATTGAGGAGAGGAGCCGCCTTCGTACTGAGCTGGACGAGTTCCGTGCGGCCATTCGAGCTTTAGATGTCTTTCGTCCATTGGAGTTGTCTTTCGAGAACCTCTCAGTGGACAGTAAACCTGATGTCCCGGAAAGCCCTAGCCCGCAGGAAACCTCTACCTCCTCTCTGAATGTATCACCGCGATCTCATTCTGGATGCAGCTCTATAGCAAGTAGGTATACCCCACCCATACTTCTTACTGTTTACTAACAGACCCAGCAACTGTCGTGCATGCAACGCCCCCATCCGACCCCCCAACCCCGATTTCCGAACCACCCCGAAAGCGAGCGAAGCCCTTCGCGCCGCAATCAGATGAGCTGAAGTACTCGGGACTCAGCAGCAGCAGAAGCAGTCCCTCTACTTCCCCGCCAGGACCAGACACGGCCAAACCCAACGGCAACAAGGCCAGTACTGTCCCGAATTCGGCAAACAACAGTTATATCCCGCGGATCCCACGATACGAACCCTCCGAAGCATTCCTGGCTGCTACTGCTGCTCGCGCAGAACAGACATCGGAGTCCAGCGAGCAGTTAGATGAAGTCCGGCGCAGCAGAGAGGTACGCGCACGCCGTCCTTCACGCTCAAGCCAGCGTCCTTTCAAAATTTCCGAGAGCATGGACCGGACCAAGACCTCCGAAAAGCGTCCTCGAACCAGGTTGGAGCAGCGTGAGGGCACTGGCAGCGGTATTCCCGTCCCTTCCTCGCCTTCTGTCCGGAAGGTCAGTGGCCTGGAAGACTCGAAGTGGATGAGCTACCGTGAGAGTAAGGCACCATGAGCAGACAACTTCAAGTACGCTAGTATTCTGCGAGACGCCTATGATGCATTTTACACTTCTACCTAGGCCTTGTCGGGATTAGACATATGGTGATTGTAAAGGAGGATGGAGAAAATTAGACGTAAAATACAATTATTTTAAACGAGATCGTTTCTGATTAGTTGATTGCTGTAGAATATTCGTTCCAACCCAAGGCGTCAACCGCCAGATGTGCCTATCTTTGGTCATCACAGCCACTATATTAGGACGGCCTCCAGGAGCTAGCGTAGGGCTTTGATCATACTGGTAATAGTACTTCAAACTGAGGGCTTGGTGTATCAAAATGTATAGTACTGGCGGTATATGTTTTTATTCTATTGGGGGCGTTCCTTCGTCCACATCATGTTGACTACTTTATGCGATGTATATATATATCCGCAAGGGGATTATCAGACACCACAACTCAGCATCCTAATATTGTTGGAGCAGAAGCCAGGGTACAGTACTACCAAATAGATCGATGAACCTTTCCTCTTGGGCAAGGCTGGAGAGGCCCTGATTGGCTCCTCACAATCAGGATTGTGGCTGAGCTAGGATGGAGTGACTCAAGAGCTTCGCGTGAATTCCCAGATCGTCCGCAAAACATCAGCATCTGGTCCAGACTATCGGATCAAAATGACTCGAAAGCCCCGATCAACTACAAGTCAGGAAACTACCGCGGACTCTACAAACCCAGTGTCCATGGCAGGCTCGGCCGACCCAGCCCACCAGGGGACCATCCCAAGCACTGCCATCAAGATCATTCCCACTGGACAAAGAAATTTCCCAGGTCTCACCACTGAAGAAACCGGGCTACTGCGCAAGAAGCAATATCGTCTTCGGCTAGCAAAAGCACCGTTGGCCAGAACAGCAGCCGCATACGGGAAACATATCACCACCGCCCTTCAAGCAACATATATCTTCGCCCAGCACGAGGCCGGAACAGCCGCCTGCATTGATCCGCATGGATGGATTCTTACCTGCTCTCACTGCTTCGGTGAATCGGAAAGAGAGTGGCGCGAGAACATGTATAAATGGCTGCTTGACTATACTGGGAAGTCTGTGCAGGTTGAATGCTGTTTTTGGGATGGGAGGAGGGATCTTGCGCTTGCCAGGGTTGTCTCTGTTGAAACGGATGAGGTTGATATGGGAGCTTTTGAGTTTATACCGCTGCATTCGTCTACTTCTGCAGGTGTTTATGGCCGGGCAGATATCGTATGTCTCGGCCAGCCTGGTTCGGAGGATCTCGAGTCCGAGAGCCCTCAAGCGACGGATTATGATCTGATTGAGATATCGGAAGGGAGGTTACGAGGGCTGGTTCCTGATGCTGACCCGCATGATAATTCAGAGATTGGCAGTCTGAAGCACGATGCGTGGACGTATTGGGGCCATTCGGGAGCGCCGCTGGTTTGTGGTCGGACTGGCAAGTTGCTCGGGCTGCATTCATCCTGGGATGATATGACGGCGATGAGGCATGGAGTACCGCTTGTTGCTATTAGAGCGTTCCTGGGATCGCATCTTCCTGGATTCGAAGCTGCTGGTTCGGATGCAAATGTAGATATTATTATTATAGATTAACTACACAGGGTATATCAATTCCCAACATTCATAGCCAACGCCCAATGCTGCTCTCCCTCAATATCAACAGTATTGCTGCCCGCAACAAATCCAACGCGCTCATACAATCTCTTCGCGGTATGGTTATGCTTCGCGACCAGCACAACCACCGTCGCATCCACCCCCTTCTGCGTCGTCTCCCCATACACAGCCGTGATCGCAGCCTCAACCAGTCTCCTCCCATTCCCTGCTCCCCGTCCTTCAGGGAGTACATACATCCCGACAAGTGTGTAAACGACTCTGGACCCCGGTGGAATGGCCTTGGCCTCCTCAGCGGCCTTGCCGAAATCAATATCCTTAAACAGCTCCCATGGCGTCCTGCTCGCCTTGCTTCCTCTATCGGGGGCGATGGCAGGGCCGATAAGTGTAAGTTGTCCAAGCCAGGGAATATCAACTAGCCTCCTCACGTCATCCCACTCGTGGCTGGAGTCGTGGAATCCGATCTGTTGCGGGTCGGTTATATCGGGGAATACCGCGACGAAGATCCGGGATAGCGGGTTGAGTAAGCGCGTGGTCCAGGTTTCGTGGCTGAATTGGACTTCGTGGTCGTAAGTCCGTGTGAACGCGCCAGGGTCGGATTGGAGACCGGTCAGTCGCAGGACTTTGTATCGGGTGACGAGGATGGGGAGGCTGTCGGGGTTGGGGAGGGTTTTGGGGACGGTGATGATTTTGTCTGCGCTGCGGGTTTCGGGGGGCATTTTCGTAGTGAGCAACTAGCAGCATAGTGTGAGTCAAAGAAATAGCCAAACGAATACGGAGGGCTGCTGGCTATTTATGTTGGTTGGCGCTTAGATCCTGATAGTGACACCATCCAAGACACTAAAGAGGAATCCTGCGTCGCCCCCAGTGCACGAACCCAGTCGGATCCAGGACAACTGCCATAACTTAATAACCTTAGTTACCGGCCCCTAATTTCGGTAGTTACAATCACTTAGTTAGTTGGAGTCACCTCGGAACTACACCTCCACCGAATCAACCATCTCCCACAGCCCGCACAACCGTTCATACGGCCTCCTCAACGGCCACGCATGCATATCCTTGGTGCGATCAATGATCCTACGCAGCGCATCCCGCTCCCCTTCTTTAGTGAAATACTCCCCGTACAGCATAATCGAGATCACGGCGTTCACCAGCGCCGGCATCCGGCGGGACACATTGTCCACGGCGATCCCGCAGAGCGTGAGGACTATTGAGCGCACGCGCGCTTCGGCCTGCCGGTGCGCGGCGCGGGCGTGCGGTTCCCTAGTTTTGTTAGTGGACTTGGTTGTATAGATTCTGCCGTGGAATGGGTCGTACCGTAGTCGTGGGTTCTCGGCGATGAGGATCATGCGCGCGAGTTCGAGATGCTGTGCACCTGTTACCTGTTCGTCGGTGGTGTACCAAACCGTGGGAAAGATCTCGCCTTTGGATTTATCGGCGGGCTTTTGTAGGATTGGGAGGAGGTGTGTTGAGTATTCGGAGAGGAGTTGTTGTTGGTGCTGTTTGAGGCGTTCTGTTTTGTTAGTATCTCCAGTATAGGCAGGCAGGTAGGGTGGTACCATATTCAGTGAACGATTTATCTCCCCAGCACCACTTTGCTACCTCCCCTGCATGCATAATCATCATGTTAGCAATGGTAGCATTACTCCAGTCCTCCGGCGTGAACGCCACCCGCGGCGCGCGTTTTCGTGTTAGGGCGTAGTAGACCTCCTGCCGGATGGCGATCCAGTACGCTGCAATCGCTAGAGAGGAGCGGGCTAGTGGTGAGGATATCATGGAGTAGATAATCGTCTGGGTGACCGCGAGAAAATTCACCCGTTGCTGTCTTTCGTCGCCTCCTGCAATGTCAGTGTCTATCTCAGCGTCGGTCCCCTCTTCCATCTCCTCTTCCATTTCCTCATACTGTCGCAGGATGATTGCCGCGGCCATTAGATTCTCTTGATCATGTGGGTCCTGGACTGTATGGAATGACAGAAGCCCTGGGATGCATTTGAGCATATACTCCACTGCTGAGGATGTTGATAGGTCTGGTAGTAATTGGCCGTGGTAGACGATACCCCGCGGTGTCTTGAACTGTGGTAAACGACTGAGATGGCGAGATGATACAGCAAAAATTGCATTCCGTAGTGTTAAACAGTGATGAGCACGCAGAGGGACAGCGACGCGGAAATGGCTCTGGCTGTCGCAGTGGTCGAACTGCTGCTGTTAGTATACCCGTATCCCCGGTATCTAGGGCTTCATACCCATGGAGATAGCTCCTCTATGAAATACCGCAGCAGGCAAGCTTCCTCGACATTGGCAAGTGGTTGGAACGTCGAGCTTCTCGGAGTACTGGTTATCCCTGGAGAAATATGGTTTACTTCAAACGGACTTCCATGGCTGGCGCCTATACTTCCCCCAGATATCGGGGAGTCGTGCTGGATACCCACCGCCGCTGATACAAGGGCGTCTAAGCCACTGATCGGGATATCATGGAATGACCAGGCTGAAATCCCATCGCCGAGTGTCGGTAATGTAGATATCGGGTCAAGTGTGGCATTCTCCGCTTGGGTATCCGTGCTCTGTCTCTCTTCACCAGGAATTCCAGGCGAGGTAGCAGTCTGATCTAAGCGGAGAGGACCCTGCACTGTCTCAGCCTTCCTCCACTTCCGCGGCTCGCTATTCACCCAAGTTTGATCAACAGCGAAGCTCTCCCTGGCCTGGTCCTTAGACCTCCGGCGAAAAACAGTCTTTCGCTCGACGGGGATGCAGTCTAGATCTCTGATCGTGCACCGGCTACATTTCGGTTTTTGCTTGTCACCTTAGACAGTGAGTCGATTTGTTGATTCTGTTGATTTCGCATACAGCTCACTTACATTTGATGTGTCGTCCTGCAGGGGTTAGTTACGGCGCCGGTTACCAGTAAGGGGAAGGGTAGGGTAAGGGCACCTACTGCGACAATTCCAGCAAGGGAGCTTCGGCGCTGTCATATTTGCGTACTGCTTCAAGTTGAATCAAGTCAGTCAGTTGGCGAGTTCGTCGGGGGTTCGAGAGAGAGCGGCGCCACCTTCCCAGAACGGAATTAATTTCTGCGGGGGATGCAAGACCCACAGTTGGGGTAAACTGCGTTCTGATTGGAGGGGGGGGGGGTTATACCCTTCAGGGAGGATGCGGTGGCGATTACTCTACTTGGTTATTGCCATCAATCCCTCTCTTTGCGGAGATGTATTGATCGAAAGTCCAGTTTATGAATTATGCCTATGCGCTATGTATGAACCTCCCACCGTCACTTCCCATGAAATAACAAAATTAATGCACCGCGCTCAAGTCCAAATAATCCAAATTAAACTCTTCCTCAGCCTGTTTCTTCGCTTCCTGCTGCATCCGGAGGCGATTGATAATCTTCATTCGCGATCGCTCCCTGCGGACTAGACTTGGAGGAGGGATCTGGTTACTGTTAGAATTGAAGGGTGCGGTATGCTATGGGGAACGTACACTAGACGTGGGATTGATATCCCACGGAAGACATATTCTCAGACTTCCAGGGAGCAGACAAGTCAGGAGATCTGGGAGGGAGTCTGTCCGGGGGAGTTTCCCATGTGACAGACTGAAGTCAACTGTTGTTGAGATGAGGAGGTATGCTCTTGGCGATTGGAGGAGGAAGTCCCTCCACGTGCGAGCCAATTCAACTGTCTCTGGAGATCCATGTGGGAGGTGTTCATCGAAGCAGTCTTCCAGGCTAGTTGGGAGTACAGGGTCAGAGTCGGGTGACTGCAGTTGGATTGTTGTGTACGCTAATTGCAGGAAGTGCGACATCCCCGACGATATCATGGCTGCGGCCTCGTAGACTTGTTCCAGGTGCTTGACGATCTGGCCGAGGGTGTCGATTGTGCGTTTGTGGATTTCCCTTTGCTGTGGCGATGGGGAGAGGCTGATGTTGATGGCTGTTGTGAGGAGTGGCATGGGGAGGCAGCCAAGGCTATACTTGTCAGCAATGTACATGTTAAGTTGGGCTGTGGGGCATTACACGCTCAGTGGAAGGATGTGGGCACTTCCACAGTGGCTGAGATACTCCATTATGGCTGTTTGCTGGGACATGTAGCTGTAGAGCTCGCCTGTTGTCCTTTGTAATTTCTCGTCGTCGCCAGAGACGTACCCAGGCTGCTGTTGCATAACGAGTATTTCAAAATGACCAAGATTGATGCGTGCGGCACTATCAAAATTAGCAACAGGAATGATATAAGGAGTTTGCACGTACTAGTAGTACATGTAAATCAGGTTCGCGAATAACGTAACCGGCTCATTGGTGGTCTGCGGCATCAGTATAGGAAGGACGGTGGACGACTTCCACTCCTCCAACGACCTTTTGGCAGACCTGGCTTTATTTAACCTGCTTGTACAAGCATCTCTGGAAAGTGAGACAGTGTTCATTCCGTGAGTGCCATAAACAAGTGCCATCATATCGGAAAGCGCCAAGGCAAGCTCATAATACTCCTTGAGGACTTTCACCAGAATCGCCTTTGTCTGTGCATCGTAGACATACGAATTGTGAATTTCATGGGAGAAAGCATTCTCGTCAAATGAGACCAGGTCCAGCCCCGGTGGAATTTCTGGTACTTGAGTCCGACGACGAAGCGTCAGGCAGAGATATCGGTCGCGGAGGATAATTGACCACCAGAGCCTCTTTTTCAGCATTGGATTTACCGTTGCCGGCTTTGCCGGCGTTCGATCAATAAGATGAACGCTCTGGATTGCCAATGTTAGCCATTCGCTCCCGGCTCGTGGTTCTACAGCAGACGCATGGTGGCTGAGGAGTATGGCCGCTTGGGTTCGGGCGACGGGTTCATGCTCAGCGAGATTAAAGAGAAGCTGGAACTGTAAGTCAATAGCCAGTGGTTAATAGAGGCCACATACCTTGGCTCTTATGTAGAAGTGGCTCCTTGCGTCCTTTTTATTATGGAAGCCGCATCGTTGGAGTGTGGTGATGCTAATATACTGCTACGGTTAGCCTCGAAGCGAGACAGATGGTGGACCTACCGGACAGCCCGCAAATAGCAGTGCCTGCAGGACAAGCAACGGTATTTTGGATTTACCGCGCTGTGTATAGCTACCCCAGAATTCTGCCTCATCCAGGACTGGTAGAGTAGGGTGGAGGTGAAGAAAGTAGCGTTGCACGAACTCGTCAAGGGCTGCAGGCTCGGGCACATGCAGACTTCCCTTGTTAGCTAGGAACGTCCGATCTTCCTGCTCCAGGCTGGAGTCGTCCAACTCGAGGAATGCATAGCTCGACCAATCGACGTGGCCTGGGAGCTGCGACGCGGTGTTCAAGCCGGGGCTGTCGATCTCGGTCGCCTGCTTCTTGTCTCCCATGTGGCCAGGATGTGGGCTAAAGGGCCGGGTGCTCATACTTGTGACAGTTACAGGGAGTTATAGGAAAGGCCGCCGTGGTGGAGTTATCGCAACCGACCAGCGAGACACTTCGAGCGTTGTGATCCCCCTAATCGAATAAGCTCAGGGTGACTCGTATCCGACTGCCGAGAATGACGCTTCATGGTCTGAGTCAGCGCTGCGGTGTCAGCGTGGATCTCCCCCGGTTTGAGATTGCACTAATTATGCACAAATAATGTATTTTGAATATCTCAACGCTCCTCCAGTCGGATGTGAATTTATTGGGTTTCCTCGAGTTACTCTGTATGTCCGTGCCATAATTATTTTCAGCGATAGCCACCGCCATACATTCAAAGCAGCTTCTTTCTAGCGACTGCTGGGTGGGTGTTTTGATTATCTGGGATTTGATGAGATGGGCACTCCCGCTGCCGTTATCGATTTCATTCCTGATATCCTTGGACTATGGCCGCAGGATCCTGTTTGAAAATAAACGAACAGCCTTCCAGACTCTAGACAACGTATTAAAGTCCTGGACTATCCTACATTTCTTTCAGCCCCCAATCGGCGGGCTACGCCGAAAGAGACCTCGCCGACTGCATCAGATGCTGCCGTCCCGATACCCGAAACGGAAGTCCGATATCTTCACCTCCCAATTCAACCCGTAAACATGCAATGCAGGTAAATGAGCGGTAATCATATATTTTCACTGGCGCAATTCAGCTTGGATGGTGTTATGGTAGGATTACAATGTTGAACACGACAATTGAGCAGCTTGCGCCTTTCGAGGCAGTCATCGGGCCTAGGCTGGACAAATACAATGACCTACAAGGAAGAATCACTCTTCTGGCCGTCACTTTCTTTACGGTGTATGTCGCCAACTGGTTGCGCGTCTTCATATTCGATGTCAAGGCCCCTATAGTGGGATACCGGTCTTTCTTGGAGCCAGGATGGCTCGTCGGTTTACGTTTTTCGCGCCGCAGTGGGCCTATGGTACGAGAGGGATATCACAAAGCAAGTATACACTGTGTTGCACTATTCTTCCTTCCTAACAGTGGTGTAGTTCAAGGACGGCTTATTCAAGATTCGCCGCAACGACGCCGAGATCCTTGTCATCCCGCGAAAGTACATCGATGAACTGCGCGATATGTCACAAGACAAGATCAGTGCCATGGCAGCGCACATCAAAAACCTCGTTGGTCGCTATACGATCGGAAACGTCAAGCTGGTTATGGAGAGCGATCTCCACCGACGCACACTGCAGCAAAAGCTGACACCGTCCCTGGGTGTTCTCATCCCGTCTCTCAAGGACGAGCTCAAGTTTGCCTTGAAGACAGAGATGCCAGAGTGCAATACCTGGACAAGCGTGCGCATCCACGAGCTGGCTGTGAAAGTCGTAGCCAGGATCTCGGCGCGCGTGTTTGTAGGCGCTGAGCTCTGTCGCAATGACGAATGGCTCTATCTCAGCATCCACTTTACGAAGAATCTCGGGATGACGAGGAATCTGCTTCGTTTGTTCCCTGCCATTGTTCGGCCGATTGCTGCGCGGTTCATGTCGTCGTATTGGCGCATCTATTCGAACTTGGCCGCGGCGCAGAAACTCATCTGTCCCATCATCGAGGAGCGTCGTGCTGCGGCCAGTAACCCAGACTATAAGAAGCCAAACGACTTTCTGCAGTGGATGATTGACAATGCACGCCCTGAGGAGGGACACCCAAATGACCTTGCGCATCGACAGCTCCTGGTTAGTCTGGCGTCGATACACACTACCTCGATGCAGACCACCCATTTCATATATGACCTCTGCACGTACCCGGAATACTACGAGCCCCTTCGCCAGGAGATTATCTCTGTCCTCCGCGAAGACGGCGGCTTCAAGAAGACAACCTTGAACAAGATGCGCAAGATGGACAGTTTTCTCAAGGAGTCGCAGCGCCTCAACCCCCCTCTTGTTTGTATGTCACAACCCACCATACCGGAATAACTCGAATCTAATATGGCGAATAGTATCCTTCCAACGCGTCGTCCAAAAAGCCCTGACCCTCAAAGACGGCACCAAATTCCCAGCAGGAACCCACATCGCCATCGCCTCAGATGCCATAGCCCACGACGCCGCCTGTCTCCCTGGCGGCGGCGACCCAGAAACATTCGACCCCTTTCGCTACTCACGACTGCGCGAAGACCCATCCAAGCCCGAGAACATCAACCGGTACCAATTCGCGACGACGGACTCGTCGAACCTGCATTTCGGGCACGGGATCTATGCCTGCCCGGGTCGCTTCTTTGCGAGTAATGAGATTAAGCTGATTCTAGCGCATTTGCTGCTCCGCTATGAGTTTAGGTTTCCCGAGGGGAAGAAGAGACCCGTCAATTTGTGTTATGAGGAGGCGCAGTATCCGGATCCTACGGCGGCGCTGGAGATGAGGGTTAGGGAGATTCCGGAGAGGGATGTTGCTGCTATGCTTGGGTTCTGAACTTATAATTGTTGGGACAAAAGTATACAGATAAACATATTATAAGGAATTTATTTTTGGCATTGCAGGATTCCAACATAGGACTGAAGATACTCTTTTGGAATCTGCGAATGCAAGGAAATATGTAGTTAAACCTCACGTCGAGAAACAGCTATATATAACATCACTGCGGGAATGTACAACCTTTAACTCCCAATTTATTATATACCCAAAGACACATTCTAAACAAAAACCCCTACTTAAAATACAACGCACCCCAGCTAATCAGCATAGTTAAAGCTGCACATTAATCCTCGCCCATTTACTCAAAAAGCTCAACAAAAACGCAACGCCCGCCATACCAATACTCACAGCAAAGGCCGCCTTCAACCCATCCATATAAGCAAGCAACACCCCCGGCATCTGATCCGCTGTATAAGTATCCCGTAGGCTTGTAACCCCAACAGCTACCAATCCTTCTGGATCGACACTCGGCGCGACCTTGGGGACATTGACGAGGATCTGGTTGACGAAGGCAGCCTGTGCAGCCGAAACGCCGAATGCTCCGCCGAAGGTTTGGAAGACTGTATCGCTGTTAGTCAATCCAAGAACGACTGCTGGATGAGTAGTTGAGGGACATACATAGGACAATGGCAATTGCAGGAGGAATGTCGCTTGGAGCGACGACATTCTGGGCAACAATGATAGGGACCTGGAAGGCCAGTCCCCATCCAACACCACTAAGGATCTGATAGCCAATCCATTTCCCTGAACCTGTTCCAATATCGAGAGTATAGAGTAAGCCAGTTCCGACAGTAGCGATGGCCGCACCAACGACTAAAATCGGGGAGGCAATGCCTGTTTTCGTGATCAGGCCACCAGAAACGACCATGGAAATGGAGAACGCGACAATCGAGGGAAGCGTCCACACACCAGACGTCGACGCGCTGACATTATCAATACTCTGGAAGTAGATGGGGAGGTAGTAGATTATGGCAAACTTCGACGCAGACAGGAACAGCGAGTACACCATATTCACCCAGATATTGCGGTCCGAGACGAGTCGCGGTACGAGTGTAGCTCGCTCCCCCTGAAGGTATTCCCAGATTCCAAAGGCTATAACCATGGCACCGAAGCCGACGAGAAGCCCGATTACAGTACTCGAGTTCCAGGGGTGAGTCTGGCCGCCGTATTGGAGGGCGAGGATGAATGATATGATGGCGCCCATGACGAGGGCGGTTCCTACCGGGTCCATTTGGAGGAGCTTTTCCGTCAGCGGTGCTGGAGTTGGCTTTGCCTTGCTTGGTGTTTTGAAGAATATAAGGACGATTAATGCGGCAACGCCGCCGACGGGGAGGTTGATATAGAAGCCTGTATTGTGTCAATGAGACCCCCTATCAGTGTAAGAGGTGTACGTACACCACCGCCATGTCACATTCGTGGTGAAAGCACCGCCGATAAGCGGTCCAACTGCAGATGCCACTCCATACGACAAACCGACAATCCCAATGAGGGTTGGCCGCTTCTTCGGCTCAGCAGAGAACGAGGTGATAGTGAACACTCCAGACCCTATGCCTGCTGCACCGACACCCGAGATTGCGCGACCCACGATCAGTGCTGTCGAGGTTGGAGCCACGCCGCAGATCAGACTTCCCAGCTCAAATATAAAGATAGAGACGAGGTATGACGCCTTAAGAGGGAAGTACTTGTATGCTTTACCCCATGTCGCCTGGAACCCGCCGACGGTCATAAAGAAGGCCGAGCCGTACCAGGATACGTCGCTGATTGTGTTGAATTCCCGTGTGATCTCTGGGATTGCCGTTCCAACGATGGTCTATCCTGGCTGATTAGCCCACTGGAAGACAGTACGATGAGAGGGTTCAACGCACCAAGTCGAGAGCAACGAGGAAGTTACTCAGGATGAGAGCCATAACGATCAAGGCAAGGCCGGCTCCACTGGGATACTCGTCGAGGGATACCTCGCCGCTCTGAGAGCCATCAGACTCGGTTTTTGTCCCGTCCATCATCCTTTGCTTCTCCTCATCGAGGGTGGGTTTGCCTTCAGGTCGCTCGTTCAATGTTGCCTGGGAATCCATTACCGCGGCACTTGATACCTTATAATCTCGTTCGTTAGCGGATGGGCTCAACGGCGAGTTTAAGGTGTGGTAGAAAAGCGTCTCCATATACCTTAAGCTTGAGCGGGCGAATTGTAGAGCTTATAATATGAGTAGAATTCGAAGAGGTGTAATATTTATTGACTACCCCCTCTACTGCTACCTGATAGATTCGTCCGCACTCATCGGAGATCTTCCTTGTCGACTGCCCAAGTGGTCGTCGCCGAAGGATTTAGCTTCTGCGTTAGGGCTGCACCACTTCGTCCGGCCGGTTGAAGCTGAAACAGCTCTGTTCGTCCACCGATATTCCGGTCGAAAAAGCGATCGTCGTCTCGTTGCTTTCCTAAGTAGCAGCGCCAGGTATATACTCTCGGCCCTGCGCTGGTTGATGTCCACACGCCGTGGAACCAGAGAAAGTTCTAACTATGCCACCACGCCATGAACGAGCCTACAACATGCACGATCTAGACAACAGAAATGACGCCAAGCGACGAAAGGTCCGCAAGGGAACTCGGAGTTGTTGGGAATGCAGACGGCGCAAGATGAAATGCATCTTTGCTTATGATACGGACGATATCTGTATCAGCTGCCGACGACGAGGAGCGAAATGCGTTGGCCAGGAGTTTCCGGAGGAGGTTTCGGAGCCCCTGGATAGGTGTCTTCAGATGGGCGATCGGCTTATCAGGGTTGAATCAATGCTTGCGCGGTTGTTGAACAGGGTCCCAAGCGATACCGACATTGGAATGCATAGTGGGAATCGAAATCAGGATATGCTCACTGGAGCATCAGTGGACCTGGATGGTGGTCGGATTCAATTGCCTGCGCATGGAAAATATGGCAGACTCTCCCAGGCTCTGTATAACGCTTTACCGTCGCCTGAAGATACCGCATTGATAGCCAACGCCTCCAGCGATGTATCTGTCTTGTTCTATCAAATGCTCACCATTCCATACCATCGGCTTGACCAAACCAACCCAAAGTCTGCACGGAGTCTGCTGGAGAGACCTGCACCAGATGCCCACCCCGTCCTGATAGCACGGCACATGCTGCACCTGGCTACTTCCTTACAGCATATCCATCCGGACCTTTACCACGCGATCAGTAGACTATCAGAGCCGCCCCGAGAGATGATGAAACGGTTAGCCGATATCGCCATTGACCTCGTCACGACAAAGCGCGATCTCACTGGGATGATTGAAGGACTGGAATGTATGATGATCGAGAGTCTATACCTTGCCAACAGCGGAAATCTACGCCACGCCTTGGCTACAATACGGAGAGCATTAACCAGTGCGCAGTTGATGGGGTTCCACCGTCCGGGGAGTCAACCGCAGTATAAGGTCCTCGATCCGAAGACAGAAGCGCATCCCCAGTTCATCTGGTTCCGAATTGTATCTGCTGAGCGTCACCTCTGCCTGATGCTGAGTCTCCCACAGGGCACTCTTGACCGCAGCATGGCGTCTACAGCGATGCTGGAAACAGACACAGCAGTAGGACGCATTGAGCGTCTGCACTGCGCGATCGCCTCTCGCATCCTAGAGCGCAACCAGTCCGACCCCAGTCCCGCCGACTTTGCCCTAACGCAGGAATTAGACACAGAGCTGCAAAGAGCAGCCGGATCCCTCCCGGCCAAATGGTGGCTGACTGCAAACCCAGCGGCAGCCACCGACAGCCCGGAGGCGTTATTCTGGGAAGTGCGCCGCCTGTTCAATCAGTCGTTCCACTACAATCTGATCAACCAGCTTCACCTGCCGTACATGCTCCGTGCCTCATCGGAACACAGGTATGACTATTCTCGGCTGATGTGTGTCAATTCCTCCCGTGAAGTGCTCACACGTTTTACCATGTTCCGCGGTCTCGACCGGATTGCATTCCGCTGTCGGACTGTTGATTTCTTCGCTTTGATGGCTGCGATGACCTTACTGCTCGCTCATATTGACGAGCATCGACGGTGTGCGGTGTCCCTAGCCCGCTTGCAGCATCAGGAGGAGATTCCCAGACCAGAAAATAGATTGGCGCACCAACGCCTAAGCGACCGCGCAATGATGGAGCATGCGCAGGAGAGCATGGAGCAAGTTTGCCGGCTTACGGAGGATTCACTGAGCGCGCAGAGCGCCGACCTTCTTCGCCGGTTGCTCACCATCGAGGCTGAGGCGGCCATAGGGTATTCGCACCGTGCGGAGGGCTTGAGTGTGCAGCCACATCTGACTGAGGAGATTCCAGATATGGAGACAAGCGCGGATAATAGTGGTGGAATGTGCGTTCACATCCCCTACTTTGGTGTTATTAAGATCGCGGGAAACAATGTTGTTTCTAGGGAGATACCTGAATATCCCGTGGGTCCTGATGTTTCTGTACAAAGAGCTCCCGTTCATTTCTCTTCCTGCGCTCTATATACACCCGCTGAACCTGCACCGACTTTGGGTCTGTCTAATGGCCTCCTATCGCAGGGTGAATACCCCCTACTGAATACCGAGGCGGGCGATTCGGGCTTCCAGGGTGTGGATGCGGCTTTTTTCGATAGCCTGATGAGAGGGGCTGGGGATGGCCATGATGGTACAGGATGGCCAGTATGGCCGAATGAATGCTGAATGTGTCTTTATTTTCGTCTTGACTACTTATTGTGCCATCGTGGGCCACTCTTTAGATCCACAAACAAATTTACTGCTAGTGGGTCAGCTCGCCTCCGACGATGAGGTCCGATTGGTGTAGAACACAGGTATATAAAAGGCTTATAATCCCTTGGGGTATTGTGTCTGCAGCAATATGTTTACAATGGAGTCAATTCTTACCCAAACGACATCCCCGGCATGTCTGGTAGGCGCTGTCGCCGTTCTCGCCTTTGCTGCAACCAACCCCAAATCGCTGCCATTCACATACACGATACAGCTCCTCCCATCGATTTACAGACTTCTGAAGCCCCGACTCAGCAAGAGGTCCAGCCGGCCTGAAACTGGCCTCTCTATTCCAGACACACAATCCCCCGTCACTGCAAAACGACGCCTATTCACACACCACACCACACACTCCCGCGCCACAATTTCCGACCTCGGAATCGCCCTCCGCAAATCAAACAGCACCTTCTTCATAGACGCCGATATAAGCCGTGCAGAGCTCTTAACAACGCTATTTAGCGAGGCTTTGGCGGGCTTAGGACCTGCGAATTTCCTCTTAGAGTCCGTGCAGTGTAAATTCCTCGCGGATATCCGTCCGTACGCTGCGTATGTGGTGTCTTCGCGTGTCTTGGCGTGGAATGAGCGGTCTTTTTATGTTGTTACTTATTTCTTGAAGCCTGGTGCGGATATACCATGGGACGTTGAGGTTTTGGGTGGGCCACAGGCGGTGGTTGATGACGGGAGGTATAAAGATGGTGTTTTTTCTGTTATGCTTTCTAAGCATGTGTTTATGGCGAAGAAGTTGTTGTCTCCTAGGGAGGTATTGCATAGGGCTGGATTGCTGCTTTTGCAGGGAGAAGGGGAGAAACGAGAAGGTTGCGATGGAGATGCTATGGCCGCGGAGGCAGTAGAGCAGGCGGTTCAATGGGGTTTGGAGTATGTTTCTGGTTGCATGGGATAGACAGGTTTTAGCGTAGTCTACAATGTGCTATCAAGTACATCACTATTCGATGCGGATGGAATGCAACCTATTCAGTGAGGATGGAAATGGAATGGCCTGCTGGCTCATGCCTTTCTCCACAGTGTAGCGTATATGATATAGCTTCTTGCTAAGCTTGACCTCACATGAAAGCCCGGGCATCGTCCGAACCGATGTACGTCGCTATAGTCAAGAACCTAGTTTGTAGGTACTCATGCAAGTACCACATGGGCCGATATTTGACCCACAAACCTGTCGATTCTATCTCCCTCGACGTGTGATTGATCTCTCGAATCAGCTAGACAGCTAAGGATGCCGTTGTGAATCCTGGGGCCAAAGGATTTGAATTACTTTATTCGCAGCTCCGAGGTCACTGTACACGCCCGGTCCACCAGTTTAGGTACTCCGGTGGTACACACAGGTGTTTCAGCTCGAGGGTGGTCTAGCGAGGTCATGATTAATGGCGGCGACAGAGCAGGCTCGTGGACTTTGCACTTTTATATCAGAATTATATTCATTCATCGTTCATCTGATACCCAATTTGCACTTTGTATTTCGTTCCTTACTATCAATATCACCAAGCCTGGATTTTCCACTCAGCTCTAACCTTTCGGAAGCTTTGGCACGTCGGGATGGCGATGAAAACAGAGACAATGAGTGCGCTTCCACCAATATATCCCTACATATGTGATAACCGCTGACATACAGATAGGCCCGTTTCCTCTCTGGTCGGCCTTTGAACTCGGTGGACGACCGATAAAAGAGACGCTTGACTACAGCCCCTCGCAACGGATGAGCATAGATGCGATCACAGCCACGGCCACCATCCTACAGAGTCGTCCCCCAACCCCTTCACAACTGCATGTTGGCAAAGACGACCTTGGTTGCATTCCACAGACGAGATCCGCCCCTCCCAATGAACGGAATGAACCCGCAGTCAACGAAACCGCGTATCCAGACCCCAAACGCTTCCAAACAATCGACCTAGACTTCACAGCTCGCGGCACATGGGTGCAAGCAAAGGAAAAGGCCGTTCTCGGACCATACGACTACATCGCTTCGAGACCAGGAAAGCAGTTCCGCACCATGCTGCTCGAGGCATTCAATGTCTGGCTTGATGTCCCATGTGCAAGTATGGAGGTTATCAACAATGTCATCCGCATGCTACACACCTCGTCCCTCCTCATTGACGACATCCAAGATAACTCGGTGCTGCGGCGCGGACAGCCCGTGGCGCATAGCGTTTTCGGTATTGCGCAGACGATCAATGCGGCGAATTATGTGTATTTCCATGCACTGCGGGAGTTGCAGAAATTGAATAACCGCGCTGCTGCTGTTGATATCTTCACGGAGGAATTGCTCTCTCTGCATCAGGGCCAGGGGATGGACTTGCTTTGGAGAGATACCCTCACTTGTCCTAGTGAGGAGGATTATCTGGAGATGATTGCCAATAAGACCGGGGGGTTATTCCGGCTTGCTATAAAACTGATGCAGGCCGAGTCTGCTGCTCGTGTTGACTGCCTCCCACTTGTTCAGATCCTCGGTGTCATCTTCCAGATTGCGGACGATTATAGAAATCTGACGGATGTCGATTACACGGCGACGAAAGGGTTCTGTGAGGATCTTACCGAGGGGAAGTTCTCTTTCCCTGTGATTCATAGTATCTTGGCCGATACGGCGAATACGCAGCTGCTGCACATTCTGGCTGGGAAGCCTACCAGTGTCGATATTAAACGGTGCGCGGTGGACTATATCAGGAGTACGGGGAGCTTTGAGTATACGGAGCAGGTTGTAGGGTTGTTGATGGAGCGAGCAAGAGCTGCTGTAGATGCGATCGATCAGGCTTGTGGAACGAAGAACAAGGGCATCTATGCGCTATTGGACAGGTTGGCTTTGAAGAGGAGGTTCAAGTCCCATGAGCTGTGAGGGTCTAGATTAGATTGATGATGTACGGCGTTTGGAATCATTTGCTATTTATACATACAACTTACTGGAATGTTTTACGATTGTTGCACGCCTTTGAGAGTAAAACGATAACATGGACAATGAAATCCTCCAGGGACAATATAACACGCACTACATCAGGACGTGGTTGATATCGGGACTTTTTCCTTTCTACCTCTCCACTCTTTCCAGAAACCGCGTAGATTTTATTATTGATGTTCGTTGTTTGGGTCGTAGTATGCTATATTACCTTAGTCTCCAGCAAGCTCTACAGTGTTTATTGTGAGGATGGGGCTAAAATGCAAACGGAGGTATAAAAGAGGCATCGCCGATGAGCTCGGAGCACCACAACAAGACATCCGGAGACGTCCCATCCAGCAGTCAACATCCAATGGGTCTCAAATAACACACTTTATTTAAATGAACCCCGATCTATAATCCCAATGGTAACGGTAACCACGTTATCCCACCATGCTGCGTTCCAACCGCCTGGGCGACGACGCTCGGTCGCTGATCCAGAGGTCCCTCCAGAACTACGACGACCGATATGGCTTCGGCACAATGAGCTGTGCTGCCTATGACACCGCCTGGGTGTCTATGGTAAGCAAGCCTGTGGATGGTCAGAAACAATGGCTCTTCCCAGAGTGCTTCGAGAACCTCCTTACCACCCAGTCCAACGAGGGTGGCTGGTCGATAGGAATGCGTGCACAAATCGATGGAATATTAAACACCGCTGCGCCTCTGCTAGCTCTCAAACGACACGCTGCGGAGCCACTACAGCTTTCTCACGATACCAACGACCTTGCCTCCCGTATCGAAAAGGCTACTGCGTCGTTGCGGTCTCAACTCGCTGCCTGGGATGTCTCAACCACAGACCACGTCGGGTTCGAGATCATCGTCCCAGCCATGCTCGACCTTCTGGAACAGGAGGACCCCTCGCTAGTCTTCGACTTCGAAGCCAAAACACTCTTGATGGAGATCCACAATGCCAAAATGGCCCGTTTCCGACCTGAATACCTGTATGGCCCGCACCGACTGACGGCGTTGCACTCGTTGGAGTCGTTCATTGGAAAGATCGATTTCGATAAAGTCCGGCATCATAAGGTTCAGGGGTCCATGTTGGGCTCGCCGTCTTCCACTGCTGCGTATTTGATGTACTCGTCGCAATGGGATGGGGAGTCGGAAGATTATCTCCGGCATGTGGTTAAGTACGCTGCTGGTGCTGGCACCGGGGGCATTCCTAGTGCGTTTCCCTCGACGCACTTTGAGGCTTCTTGGGTGAGTCTCTAAGCGAGTTGCTTTATTTCGTATTGTTCTGACGGATGCAGGTTTTATCAACGTTACTAAGAGCCGGGTTCTCGCCTGCTGATTTGGAGTCGGCCGAGTTGAGCAAGATGAAGGAATTCCTCAAGCGTGCTTTTGAGAATGAGAACGGTACTCTTCGGTTTGGTAGGTCTCCAGTATTCTCTGTCCTATATCGGTTTTCATCTAACTGGGAAGCCCCATATTTCTCGCCCGATGTCGACGACACTGCAAAGACGATTACTTCGCTGAACCTGCTCGGGGAACCTGTTACGCCTCAAAAAATGGTTGAGATGTTCGATCATGAGGGCCACTTTCTGACATATCCCGGTGAGAGAGACCCGAGTCTCACTGCCAACTGCAATGCCATGATGGCTCTTCTTCGCCAGCCAGATGTGTCTGTCTATGCAAGGCAGGTCGTCAAGATTGCCAAGTTTGTGTGCGATTATTGGTGGAAGGCTGATGGGAGAATCAAGGACAAATGGGTAAGAATCATTCATATACGAGAGTTCATAGGCTAACTATATAGAACACATGTTACTTGTATCCATCACTCCTTGTGGTTGAGGCTCTCACAGATCTACTGGAGTCTATCGAGAATGGCCAGCTACCGGACACTTTTGACCAGGATACACAGTCCAGAATTGCCGTCACTCTGTTCCAGGCCTGCTTCCGGGCCCTTCTAGACCAGCAGGACGACGGCTCATGGAACCAGTCCCTCGAGGAAACAGCATATGGACTATTGATCCTGACAGAGGCTCGACGACTACGCTTCTTCGACGACCTCGAAGCCCCTCTCAGCGACGCCATCCAACGTGGTGTTGTATTCGTCAGCTCTATTGGTGATATTCCTGCGAGCTACATCTGGACTGAGAAGGTCAGCTACGCATCGACACTCTTGACGGAATCGTACCTGCTTGCTGCACTCAAGACCGCCATGTCTCAACCCGGTTCTGCAGTTGGATCTAGTCTGTGGAACACGCCCACTGCACGCATGAAGAAGCATGTTGAGCTGTTTCACCAAGCACCGCTCTTCAAGTCACTACCCAAATGGGAACTACACGGCTCCATGGTCGAGGCTGCACTGTTCCACCCGCTCCTGCGAGCGCGCAAGGAACAGGCGTTCCCCCGGAACGACATCGAAGAAGACAAGTACTTTGACGTTATCCCGCTGTTCTGGACAAGTGCGAATAACCGCGTCCGCACTTATGCCTCTACCTGGTTCCTGTATGAGATGACGGTCATTGCCCTGTTGAACTTCCAGGTCGACGAGTTCATGGAGTCCGCTGCAGGCCCTGCATTCCAGGGTCGTATGCAAGACTTACGCCAGCTCATCGTGAAGCTTCTTCCTGATGAAGAACCCCGTCAGAATGGCCACACCAACGGCACCACTACTAATGGTGCTGGTGCTGAAGACCCAAGCTACGAAATGGTTTACACCCAGCTATCCAGATTCCTAAAGCACGTTCTTCACCATCCTACCGTCCAGTCCTCCAGCCTCTGGGACCAAAAGATCCTCCGACGTGAACTGCGAACTTACCTCCTCGCCCACGCCACCCAGGCAGAAGACAGCGCCCGCCTGCCACAACAACAAACATCTCGATCCAAATCCTCCGAAACAAGCACATTCTTCAAATGGGTCCGAACCATCTCCGCAGACCACATCTCCTGCCCTTACTCCTTCGCCTTCATAAGCTGCCTCCTGGGCACCACGTCAACGCCTCGAGGCGGAGGTACCGACTGTTTCCCCACCGCGCAGGAAAAGTATCTCTCCGCTGCGGTGTGTCGACATCTCTCAACCATGTGCCGCATGTACAACGACCTTGGCTCGGCGGAGCGGGATCGCGACGAGGGGAACTTGAACTCGATTGATTTTCCTGAGTTTGGGAGTCATGAGAGTATCGACGGGAAGAAGAGGGAGTTGTTTGAGTTGGCTGAGTATGAGAGGAGCTGTTATGAGGATGCATTCAAGCGACTGGGGAATCTGACCCGGGCTGTGGCGGCGAAGACGAGGGATGGCGAGGCTGTCAGGTTGGCGGAGAGACGCATGGCTGTTTGGACGATGTTTTGTGAGCAGGTGGATCTTTATGGGCAGGTTTATGTTATTAAGGATATTTCCAGTCGGATTCCGAACTGATCTTAGCATATAAAGCAGGGACTGGATTACTGCTTTTTGTTTATGTATTTCGTTACTGTTAGGACCAAATATAGAGCATAGATATATACATCTCCACTTTGACACCCCGCCGTTATAGACTTTCCAATCCAAAAAATACGGAGAATGATTCGTCTCGTTTTATTTTCCTGGTCCAGGCAGACTCGTTCACGGCTTTTCCATCGAGTAAATCTCGGGCCCTTCATTGAAGATATGGCAACCCTACATTGGCACTACTGAACCATAATATCGTAGCATACGTCGCAGTTTCAAGCACACTGACCATGTTATATCTGCTTAATATGGATTGTGGGCCTTTTTATTAGTACAATAATGGCTCAATTTCAATCTAGCATAAACTACAGCCTCTTCCGCATCATGAGCTTCGCTTTAGGATCCATGAAGACATTCTCGTCCGCAAACATATTCTGCGGACGCGACTTTCCTTCAGGGTAGGCAAAATCAAGCTCAACCAGCAGACGAGCTAAAATCATTTTGATCTCGCTGACGGCAAAGTAGCGGCCTGGACACGCTTGTCCACCGTACCCAAAGGAAAGACTGTTGATATCCGTCTGGCCAGCCACAAACTTGTTCATATTCTCGCCGTTGTTGGCATGGCGCTTGCGATAGTTTCTCATCGGATCGAATACCTCTGGCTCTGGGGCGATACTCGGGTCATTCGCGTGGTGGTGTCCTGCCCACGCAACCATCGCTCCTTTGGGGATATGCGTGCCATCCTTGAGCGTCAACGGAGTTAGGGCAAGTCGTTGGGGGCGCACTGCACTTTGTCAGTAACCATCGATATGGGTGAAAACTGTGAAAACGTACGAAGAATCGGCGGATTGATCCTCTGGCTCTCGACCAGGAAGCTATCCATCTTCTCCAACTTCGCAATCCACTGCTTAGACGGCATCCCCTTCTCCCCCATCTTGCCATATGCTTTGGTCACCTCCTCAATCTCCTCCCTCAACACAGGAACCCACTCCGGATGGCTCGCAAGATCAAAAAGAACATTACTCACCCCAAGCGACGTCGTATGAATACTCGCCAGCGTCAGCGCACACTGCCGCGCAGCCATCTCCGAAATCTCAACCTCCTTCTCCGTCCCATTATCAGTCATCCACCCAAGAAGCGTATCATCAGGCTCCTCCCCTCTTTCCAGTGCATCCCTACGCTCCCGCATGAGATCGCCAATAACAGCCTTGCCGATGTTAATGTTTCGGCGCATCCGCCAACGCGCGGCCACGAAGTGCGCTACAATCGGGTGCAGCCAGGGCGGGAACATGCGCAGCGTGAACGCCGCAGCGAACATGTCGTATGTGAACTCGATTGAGACTCGGAGCCAGTCCATATTCCGGCAGGCGGGCTGGCCCATGAAGACTTTTGCCGACATGCGCGCGACGAGCATGCGCATGACTTCTTGGATGTCGACTTCTTTCCAGTCTAGCGTGTTCAACGTGTTAGCCGGGGTTATCAATACATGTATGTTGCGCTTACTGTCCGGCTTCGGGACGTCAATCTCCCATGCGTATTCCAGTTCTGTCCTTGCCAGTTCAACGAATTTGGTCAAATCGGGTGTTAATTTGGAGTTGAGGACGCGGACGATCAGGTCAGAGTCCATCATGAATTGGGTCCATGTCCATCGGGGCACTAGATTCTGTTAAACTATTAATGCTGTCCAAGTTATCTGTTTGCTATTGACCATATACTTACATTGACTTGTGGAAACTTTCCATTCAGTTTTTTCTTGGAATCAATCGCATCTCTTCGAGGTACTTGATTGGGAGGACTGTGATATCCGTGTCGTATCGACGGGCGACCCATGGGGTATTTTTGAACTGTTGGCAGTCAGCCAGCTGAACTATAGAAAATGGAATTTGACTTGCCTTATTATATCCACTCGAGATAATGTCAAACGCACCAAAGACAAACCTGATCTGAAGCACAAGAGCAGGTTCCCATCTCCATTTGTGGCCGTGGACCTGCGCACCGGGGAGTCTAGGACTTGATTTGCCATTGAAGATGGATAGCACCCAGTACAGGCCGAGAAGAGCTGCGGCTATCTGGCCGTAGCTTGCCCAGCGGCTCTGCTCATCGATTCCTCTCTTTATGAGATCCAAAGTGCCTGAGTCCACCATTTTGATGCTAGTGGTAAGTAACCACAACAGGAGTTGGTCTTGAAGTAGTGTGATGGGACACCATGCCCATGGTGGCTCCTCGGAAACATTGCTCTATTTTATTTACTTTCATTTCTATCATGCGCGGTACGATCTGAGTGGATGCGGTCGAGTATGGCTGCACTTCGGACTTCCTAATTCGGATGCCGAATGGTCCGGAATTGCATGGTACCAACAATTCAAGCAGAGCTCACGATCGGCGTAATAATAATTATCCTATTATAAGATAGTTTTTATTATGGCCCCATTAATGCATGTGGATTAAACTGTACGGAACTGAGCCGGTATCTACCTCCCAGCCGTACGAGCCTGCGCATATAATCCACCATTTGCCATGCGCGAGTTGCGCATCTAAACAAGGATACGGAATTCCCAAGCATGTCGTTCGCAAAGTTTGCGATTGCTGGCTGCATATTGCAGTCTCTGCTAGTGCGCCATCTATGGCCATCCCAACCAGCGGCCTTCGCGTGGCTTGTGTCCGCGATTAGCTTCTTGTTTGGAACGGCCATCTGGAAGCTCTATCTATGGCCGTTTATGTTCAGTCCCCTAAGAAACCTCCCCGAGCCTCAGGTAGTTACCCCTTCTTTATACATCCAACAGAGATCTAATGTCCATCCCACCTATAGGGAGGAACCATCCTCAGCGGGCATACGAAGCTACTCGAAGATGAGCGATCTGGAATGCCTTTACATCACTGGATCAACACGGTACATAATAGCGGTTTAATCCGATATCGCAAGCGATTTAACAAGGAGGTCGTGTTTGTGACGAGCCACGAGGGTCTTTCGCAGGTTCTCGTCCGGCAGAGCTACGACTTTTCGAAACCTTACAAGCTGCGACAGGGTCTAGGGAGGATTTTGGGGGTCGGGTTGATTATTGCAGAGGGCGAGGAACATAAAGTACGTGCGCATTTATCTTTGAATGTGACCAGAAGCTGACTGCGAGTCGTAGAAACAACGCAAGAATCTCATGCCTGCGTTTGCGTTCCGACATATCAAAGACCTGTATCCGATCTTCTGGGAAAAGTCCGTGTTACTTGCTAGGGAGCTGGATGCGAATATCCGACAAAGTTCACAGCCAAATAAAGTGTTTGACGTGGCAGACTGGCTGGCTCGCGGCACTCTCGATATCTTAGGGACAGCCGGGCTGGGAGAAGAGTTCAACACCATCCATAATCCAGACCACGAAATAGTCAATGCGTACCGGAGTGTTTTTGAGCAGAAGCCGCCCAAGGGGTCATTGGCTATACTTCTGTTCCTAGCTCGCGAATACATCATGAAGAACCTGTTCCCTGGGCAGCGCAATGACGCTGTCTCGGTGGCTACCAGGACTCTCACAGGGGTGGCCCGTCGGTTGATCGCAGGAAAGAGAGGTGTCCAGAAGAAGAAAAAGCAAGAGAACTTCACAGAACATTCGAAGGACATTTTATCGGTGGCTCTGCGATCTGGTACATTTACCGACGTCATGCTGGAGAATCATCTTCTGACATTCCTCGCCGCCGGACACGAAACCACCGCAACTTCCATGACCTGGGCTCTGTATGCATTGTGTCTCTATCCAAAGGTCCAGGACAAACTCCGGGCAGAAGTGCATAGCAAACTACCGGATATCCTTCATGGCTCAGAAACCAAGTCAATGACAGCAGAGCGTCTAGACAGCCTATCATACCTGCATGCCGTCTGCAACGAAGTATTCCGCATCCATCCCCCGGCTGGACTGACCAGACGGGTGGCAATCAAAGACACGACTATCCTCAATCAACACATTCCAGCCGGGACTGAGATCGTCATTTCTCCGCGGGCAACCAATATATCGAAAGAGTTCTGGGGAGACGATGCGCCAGAGTTTAATCCGGAACGGTGGCTCGGCCCTAACCGCGCAAATAATGGTGGAAGCTCGTCAAATTTTGCCTTTATGAGATTCTTACATGGTGAGTAGTTATTCTTATTCAGATGCCGCTCCTATTTCTAACTGAAGCTGACTTGGTAGGCCCCCGCTCTTGTATCGGACAGGGGTTTGCAAGGGGGGAGTTTGCCAGTTTACTCGCTGCTATGGTTGGGGCATTTCGAATGGAACTGGCGGATAAGGAGTCTGAACTGGTCATTGAGACTGGACTTACCTCAAGACCTAAAGGGGGATTGAATGTGCGCTTAACGCCGGTGCGTAGTTAAGATCGGAATCTATCTACGTGAGAAAGGTCATTTCTGTAGTTGTATTTTCTAAATAAACATATTGAAATAATATTCCTACTATGTTCCCTCTATAGTGCTATTTATACAAAGTGTAATAAAAGAAAGCTATCTACGATCGCACATGTCGCAGATAATACCACCCAGCCACAGCAGCCGCCGGAACGAACACTGTAGTCACTGCCAATCCAACTGCCTTCCGCATCGCCTTTTGGACGAATCCAGCCTGCATCTTGTCGAAGCGTTCAGGTGTATTGGCTCGTGGATATGGCACAGCGGGGACAGGTTTGTCCAGTACAGAGCAAAGCTGCTCCCATCCAAGCCCGTCTTCGAGCCGGAATGAATTCAGTTTTTCCTTTGGGAGGATTTCCTTGACTGCGCGGTTTCTATTCCCATCTATCAGTATATCTCGATAGCCAAGGTTTTTGGGGGGGGGGGGGGGGGGTCGTACAGCTCATTATAGTCCTTCTTGAGGACTTCCTCGCCGTCTTCCAGCGCCCTCCCGTGCCACCAGAGCCGATACACCAAGAGGTGGAACTTGCAGAATTTATCGACAAAGCTGTCCACAAGTCGAAGCTGTCTCAATGGCCACCGATCCACGGCCTTGAACGATTCGGCCAGCGTGTTCATCACCGACTTGTACCACCCGTCCACGTCTCGCTCGATATGGATAAACTTGGCGTCGGGGTAGCAGGCAACGATTTCCTCGAGGAACACAGCGGGGATTTCTACCAGTGCCTGTCATTCAAAAGACCTCGTTAGCATTGAGGTGGCTGGGAGATGGGCGAGGTCTCACATCATAGTTTGCAAACCATTTCTCAAACTCGGCTTTTCCGTACGGCTTGCCAATGCCGTAGTACTTCGCATTCAAGGCCTCCTCGAACACATCGATATGCGAGCTTCCATTGGCAATCACTTCTGCTCCGTGGTAGGTGCGGTATCCGAGAATGTTAAGGGCCTGCCACACCGACAATGTACCCGTTCTGGGTGGAGTAAGCAGCGCGCATCATCAGAGAAAATGGTACTTGGAATAGGGTATAGGGTATAGGAACGTACCGACTTCTGGCAATCACGATGATCTCCTTTTTGCGGATCTGCGTTGGGGTGGGTAATCTGTCTATAGCACGCGACATGATGGTTGTCGTGTGGCAGCAGGGTGGTGGTAAAATATTGTCATTAAAGAATTGGGCTATTTACAGCTTTTATACTACTTCCTATATTGCTCGTTCTAATCCACAGTCTACCTAGTTTGCATCCTTCTGCCGCACTGAGAGTCGTCGGGGTTACCCAAAAGGAACGACCGACCCCCGAGTTTCCCAATACAGCAGATCTAGAGTCTTGGACTTCGGATATGGCATCATCGAGATGCTCTGGAGGATGAATTCGTTGCATCGATGATCATAAAGCTCATGGCATTATTAAGTAACGTAGCGAATCTCTAGAAACTTCTTCTCTCCTTAGTGTACAGAAGGCCTCCCATATATAAACCCTGTCGCTGGGTACTCCTCACTCGATAATCCATCGCCCTAAAACCCGGCTCTGCAGACATCGAACAAGGCTCTTATGTGCTGGCCAGCTCTGCTCAACAACAACTTTATGAAGCAAGCCCAGCAGATGCTCTAGCTTTGCAACCCGCGCCTTGAGCAGACTCTGCAGGACAAGATACTCGTCATCATCATCAAGCTGCTGTCCTTGTATACTGATGCCGTATCCATTTCTGCCTTGATTTACATTTCCATTCCCAACCTTCTCCCACACCCTGGACTCGCGATTGAATTCGGCATTCGTAGCTGGAGCCCGCTCGGAAGTACTCCTCGGGCTGCCAGCTACTTGACATATCCGCCCCAGGCTCTCAAGTATCTTCCGCACCATGGATATCAAGAGCATGATGAAGCCGGGATTCTTGCTACACCTACTGCATTCAAGGAGACCCTCGCACTCGGCTAATACCTGTTTATGATGTCGTAGAATGTCCTGCACATCACTGAACGACTCTTTCTGGCACCACACCGCTACCTCGATGGCCTCGTGGGTGCCGACGGCTTGGAAAAAGCATGAACAGGTTGATTCCGTTGGCTCTGGAGGTGAGAGTGTGGGTGGTGTGGTGTAATTGCTGGTGTTGAAGTCTGTGTTTTCCATTTGCAGCATGTCGTCCCATGGCGTGTTGCTGGTGTTGACCACGGAGGTGAAAGGCTGCTGGCATTGGACCATGGTGTTTGATAGCTCCATGTACTCCTCCTCGGAGAGCAACGTGCAGGCAGCAGCTGTGTTCTCGGACATGGTGAAGTCAGAGGCATCGAGTTCGATCGCCAGACCTAGGTCTTGGAAGTTTGCACTGAACGCTGGCTTCTGATTTAATGCCGCTGGATCTATGAAGTCTTCTTGTATATTTGGTTCGGTCTGCGCGGGAGCAAGTGGAGATGGCGACCTTCCTTTAGCTTGTTCTAATTGTTGCACTGCTTCCGGTGTTGGTGGTGATGGTGATGGCGAGTCCTTTTCTTTGGCCATCCTGGGATACTGGCATTCGATCTTCTTGCCCCGACATCGTTGGCATCCTCGCAGCTCCCCGGAGCATTTCAACTATATCATGCATCTTAGACGGGACCTTCAACCGACACCTGTTCAGTAAGGACATGCCTTGCTCATGCGACAGTTTGTGCACGCGACCTTCGCCAGTCGTCCCTCGCGCTTCTTGGTGAAAGGGGCAGCTGTCTTCTCGAACGACGACTCGGCAGTGTGTCTGTTATGCTTCAGAGTGAAGAACATTCTCGCGATCTGTGTAGTTGAGGTTGCATTCAGGTTCCAGCGGTCGGTATCCATTCAAACGGCGCAGATTTAAGCGGACTGGCACAGCGCAGCGGCCTTTCAGCTGAGACAAGATACCATTCCATAGCAGCAACTCCGCCACACAAGATCCATCGAAAAAGCTCATGGTCCTGACGGCTCGGGTACCACATCCATGGAATACGGTCTCTGGCCCTTCGTTGTCAATAACTGCGGTATATTGGCCAATCAAGCCAACGTGCGCTCTATCTATGCCGCTTGAGTCCGGGCACACTATGGAACAACTAGCGGTTAGTTTAATCGTCAGGGTTTGGGAATTCCTGCAGGAGCGTTGGTTCCTTAGCCCCAACGCCACTCAGACCGCTATTTTGCCTTGCATTCTGCAGTCCGGTATTATTTTTCAGGCAAGTTTCACGTTTCATGATTCGATCCTCTGGCCCGAGCCCTAATTCCCCATCCTTGATGAAGATCAAGACAATCCCGAATATTGCAGGCCGCCTGATTGGTCCGGGCCTACCGTCGCGTGGCAGGAATTCTAGAATCAGCAGTCGTGTTTTCATAGTTCCGTCTGCGCCAGCCTAGACTGGCCATTTAAACGACGGGGCTTGTCTCCCCAGCCGTATCATACGGAGTAGTCCGAAGAGGAACCTCCGGGGCGCATGCGCGTATCACACGGCTCAGATAAGCCCCGAGCACCGACTCCGCGCCACTAGCTGGTGAATCATCCTCGGGAGCCTTCCGGGGTAACGGTAGACAGTCGACAGTACATAGTTGGCAGTCCAGCGATGCGCGAGGGTTGAGATCTCCCCGCGCTCTCCAAAACACCGACCACCGGCGACTGGCCTCAGCCGTTTGTGCCAAGGGCCTGAGACCCGGAAGACTCAGAGCGAAGGAAGGGTATCTGGAAGAGATCCTGCATGGTGTAAACTGTGGAGACGCCGTTGAGCTGGCCAATAAGCCAGAGGCCCCGATAATATGTTTTCCGCCGAATTGGTTAATGAAGACTACGACAGTCAGCTGAAGAGTCTGCCCTAGGCGCCAGTCTCCCGGATCCAGTCAGCTACACCGTATACAGGTGTAGCGGAGGAGAAACTGGTCCATTTCTCGGACAGATCCTTCCTCCGAGGGCCGTCCGATAGCCCCGACGGTAACCCGGATAGTGGAATTTGATCCCATGTATCGCATACCGATTGTCTCATGGAGTCGTGATTCGGCCGCTGGAACACTTTATCTAGGAACATGGTAACGCCGTGGGCGAGACTTTCCGGTTTGTATTATGTTATTGTTATAAGTTGGTCGAACCAGGCATAGCATTATGGGAAGCTATAACCACAGCATTAACTGGGATGTATTCATCCAATGCTGTCTCTCGGACTGATATAACAGCTACAATGTCCCGGTGAATCTGGCTCTCAGGTATAGGTGTGGTTGCGCGACCTATTTACCGCTGCTGGCAATCGTGACTTAGTATGAAACTTCAGCCATTTAGATTTTAATACCTCGTAGGCCCGGCTATTGACGCCGTGTGCAGAGGTTCTACCGGAAGGAGCACTTCCGCCTGGCGCTGACTGTACCTTCCCAGACGGTGAATTTAAGCTTAAATCAATGCCCGGGAAGGCGCGATCCAGAATTAGAAGGAGCTATACCGATTTCTGTTGCCTTTGAGAACGAGTTGAATCACTTCCACGATGGAAGGGACGATAGGGACAGGTACAACAGGAAAGTGCAGCCCTCTATGTAAACATGGGTGTGAGAAATCGGATCTGATAGGAGACCATTAAACAAGAAATAGACAAGTTCCCTACGTAGCTGAAACACATCAAACCCCAAAGTTCTCCTCGATAAGCCCATAGACGTTCTTCACAGCCGCAGCAACATTCGTCGCCGCATGCCCACGCCCCTGGGGGCCAGGATCATTCAGCTCCTGAACAGACCGAACCACATCGACACCAACCTCCAGCACCGTTCCACCAACGTGCTCCGGCTTCGTCACAAGATCCAGCATCGTCTGCGCTACTTTCTCAGTAGTCACCCAGGGCTCCGCATCCTCGTCTACCCATTCTAGCTTGTCAGCCGTCCATAGTGGTGTCTTGACGCGCCCTGGCGCAACGGCATTGACGCGGATATTGAGACTGCGTTCGAGGTCTGCGAGGGAGCGCACGAAGCCTGAGACGGCGTGTTTGCTTGCTGCGTATATCGGGGCGGGCAGAACGGCGGCTTGTGCTGCAACGGAGGAGACGTGGACGACAACACCGTGGTTCAGCTTTTGGCGCTGGAATGCGTCGATGGCGAGCTGGGTGGCGCGGATGGGGTGGGTGACGTTGATATCAAGTGTCTTAAAGCTGGATGATGCGTTTGTGTCGGTTCCTTTGTTGAAGTGCCAGAAGTTTGAGAATGGCTGCAGATGTCAGTAATTCATTCCACCGCAGAATAGAAAGAAACGTAGCTTGACTTACTGGTTCGAATACACCAGCTCCAGGACAAACTATATCCAGACGCCCGAACCGCTCGATTGTCTTGTCGAATGCATTCTGCAACTCGTCCCAGTTTGTAACGTCGGTCTGCACAAACATGGTCTGGCCAGGACTTTGTGATGTTTGGGCAGTCTCACCGGCTCCATTATCTTCTGGACCAGAGTTTAAATCAGCAATAGTCACATTGCAGCCTCCAGCTACCAGTTTCTTGACGAATTCGCGGCAGATTCCTGACGCTCCGCCGGTGACAAGGGCGGTCTTCCCTGCGATCTCGAGGGCCATACTAAGAATTTTTTGAAGTTACTATGATAGAGCTTGAATATTCCCAGACAAAACGCCACTTATATCTGGGCTTTCACCCCGCTCCATCCTGAAAGCCCGGATGGGAAATCTGCAGGTGCTTGCGGGGAAATGTAGTCCGAGGTTATCATCGGTTGGCAGGAGAGGGGTTATTGCATGTACTGTAGCTAAAAGCAATGATCACCAAATATCCCTACGGTCTAGTTGCCAAATATAAAATCGCATTGATTGGTAGGAAAGATAGGTGGTGGGCGAGTGCCCTAACCTGAACAGGACATATATTAACTACCCTAAGCACGAGTCTTCTGAATCCAGTCGATCGCATCGATCAGGTACGGAATCTTCAATTGTCAGTAGAACTCATAATTATTCGAGGCACGTACTCACAAATCGCCCAGGGCTCTCCGTCGCAGGGAAATGGCCCAGCCCAGCCATCTCCTTGAACTCAGCACCCTTAATCTTCCTCGCTGTCGCCTCACTCATCTGCGGCGTCGTACTCCAGTCATACTCTCCAGTCAAGAAGTAGATCGGACACTTCTTCACATCAATGCCCCCCACACGATCCCGCGCATCAAACCCCCCAAAGTAGAAATCCAGATCCCCATGGAAGATGCCATACGCCTGGCCACTATACGTATGCCAGACCAACCGCTTATTCGCAACCGGCGCACTCGGCGCCATCATCCCATATATCCAATCCGGGTTAAACAAGGTCTGGTTCACCAGCGGCGATTTATCATTAAACTGCCTCTTCATCGTCAAATACTCACACCCCTGCAACGGAATCGAACCACCAGCACCGACTTCCTCAGCGCGGATCGCAACGGCAATACAAACCTGCCCGGCCATCGACGCACCACATATAATCGGCTTGTCCAGCTTCAGAGCCTTCACGAATTCACGAATACACCCCACATAGGCGTCCTCGGTGTTAGTGTGGTTCCCAGGTAGATGGTTTTGTCCGGGAAAACTGCGTCCGTGCGCGGGGAGGTCGAATGCATACATGGTGCATTTCGCACGCATACGTTCGTCGTTCATAACTGCGTGGTATTGTCGGCTGTCGCTTCCTGCTGTGTGTAGGAAGACGATCTGCTGCGCTCCGTCTCCGCTTGTCTCGTAGAATACCTTGGATCTTCCCCAGAGGGGAGGTGAGATGTAGATATACCTCCCTACGAGGTGGTCTTCGTCTGTCTCGGGCTGCTCTTCGTCTAGAATAGGAGGGCCGTGCAAGCCCTCCCGGATGGTGTTTAGGAGGTGTGTGGTGAGGTGTGCGTACTGGCTGTATTTGTCGCGGTTGCCGAGGACTCCTGCGCCGTCTTGGACTATGTTCATTCCTTGGATTCCGACAAAGCTGGTATAGGGTGCTTTGGGGGTTGGGGAGAAGAAATTGGCCCAGTGGGAGGGTTGGGCTGTTAGTGTGAAGTCGGCGTCTGAAGGTTGGCCGGTTGAGATGGTGGTGCGTGCGCCAGGTTCTATGGTAACTAGGATAGCATCATTTGAGCCGGTTGATTGGATGCCGATGGTTACTTGTTGGTGGATGCCTTCTGTGTTGATGAAAGCTTGCCATTGGGGGTCTTGGTTCAGAAGCTGGGGGAGCTTCTCAAGGGACGCAGCAACGGCACGCGGAAGGGACTGCCAGGTTTGGGTTGTCATTGTGTGATGAAATTTAATGTGATATTAAATGCAGCTCAACTTGAGGGGTGTTCTTATTTATCTGATATGGGCGGGGTTGGACACTGAAGCTTGGGGTAGAGTAAGAGGATATTTTTTTTGGCTTTCCGTGACTGGATAAAGTTGCTTTATTACTCGATCACTGGTTGCCTCATGGTTGCAGAGCATGCAGCCTACATCATCGAGGCGGGGTTTGAGGGGACATACAACTCGAGTGCGTCGGGGTTTGCAAATTCAAGCTGTTATCCGGGGTAATCGTGGTCTAATATGCAGCTGAATACGACGTTATATAATAAGACGGCGTTTTAAACTACAGGGGAGAAAATTATGAATCAATCGGATGGGTCACTCCGTTTAGTTGTAGTGAAAGTCAGATTATATTCAAAGCTTTAAGATGCTTACACTCTTACATCTTGCTGTACTTTGTTTCCTGTGATATTCTACTAATGGACATCTCGGCTATGCAAGTATCGAAAGGGCATTGTTCGGCTTGGGGAACTAGATATATCGACCAACACAACACAGCAGCTACCGGCACAAACCCAACAATTTAGATCGTGTCAGTCCTATCACGCTAACGTACCTCCTTCTACTTAGTTCCACGAGGTAAGTCAATCAAATTCTCATGGTGGCGTAAATTGGAGAACGAACCATTTCCCCAATTCCCCAATTTTCTTCCCCAATTTTCGATCCAAATGCCAAGCCCTATTCCCCGCACGCCGACATCTTCCCCAAACTCCAACGCATTCTATCCACACATTGTATCTCCTGGAGGTGTTTGTCCTAATTTAATTATGAGCCCCCGAGTCACACGCAGCAACCCAGCGCTTACCCCGGAGCGGGCTCGGCAAAAGACGTTCAAGTGTACTGTCTGTGAGCGCAACTTCAATCGCCGCGAGCATCTACAGCGACATGTCACCATTCGTAGGTTTCCTTTGACCTGATCGTCTAGGTCGCTAATGTGTTAGACTATGGTCAAAAGCCGTTTACCTGCTCTCGTTGTAACTATGCCTGTCGTCGCAAGTGTGTCTCCCTCGTCCTTGGCGTGCCCTGTCTCATCTTTCTAGGGATTTGCTGAATCGTCATATCAAACTGTCCCACCAATCTCCTGCCAGGGAAGAAGTCACTAGCCGGAGTAATGAGTATGCTTTCCAGGGTAGGTGGCCACTGTTACTACTCTGTTGACTTCGCTGATGTTTTCATTTAGACAACGGGCTGCATGCAATACGCCAGACCGATGAAGGTGCTCCCATCGACAATAATAGCCACGTATCTGCCCCCTCGACCATCCCTCAAACTGATAACTTGGATAGTTTAGGGGCATTCATGAATGCACCTTCTTTCCCAGACCCAACTGTTCAACCATTCCCCATCAACTACTTGGACAACGTTGCATTGCCATTTCTTGTGGAACAGCCTGCTCTCTTCCCAGAGCTATCCATGCACGATCTATTCTCTCAGTCTCCGCTCGAAAACCCTGTTAGTCTTCCCCCAGGGCTGGAAACCACCCCTCTCCAGGATCAAGGCACCGCAACTCCGCTTGCCACGCCACCAGACGTCGGACGGCACCACGTACATCTCGCACCATTCCTGCGAGTCTCTCAAGATGACTGGCTTTGGCTGTCCAGGGAGGTCTTCCTTTTCTCGTCAGTTCTGCCCCACGGCTACGAGATCCCCTCGCGCCATGCAATATCCCGCTACCTGCACGGCTTTATGAATGGCTTCCATCCGCATTTTCCGATCATCCATCCTCAGACATTATCGCTGCGGGAGATGGCGCCTGAGCTTATATTGTCACTTGCTGCGGTGGGCAGCCAGTATTGCCTTGAATCACACCAGGGCCTTAAACTGTTTCCTCTTGCGCGGTCTATTGCCGCAGAGAAAATTCGGCGTCGTGACCTAGTGGAATTGGATGGGACCGTTGATACTTATACAAATTCCCCTCGGCGGACCAAGACTCAATCAACCCCATCTCAAATATCGAATGGACTAGAACAGGCAAAGACCAAGGAGCCGGTGAATCTTGGTCATGAAAGTAATGAGCTAGTTCAGACAATGCAAGCGCTGTTCTACCTCATGGCCATGGCAACATGGGGCGGCGAGCATCGATCTCTTGTCAGACAAGCCATTGCTACTCAGAGTATGCTTGCAGTTCTAGTCCGACAGCATGGCCTAGCCGACGACTCTACAGACCCAGAATCTATGGACTGGAACAAGTGGGCACGCGCGGAAAGTGCGCGGCGTACCAAATTGATCATATTTTGCTTCTTCAACCTGCACACTATAGTATTCAATCTCCCATCCCCATTGACGATCTCAGATATTCAGCTTCGTCTTCCGTGTACGGAATCAGAGTGGAAAGCGCCTGATCAAGATATCTGGCTTAATCTGCATAAGAAATCACAGCCTGCTCCGTTTTTCCAGGATTGCATTTCACACCTGCTTCAGGATGATAGCGGGCCACCTACCTGCTCCTCCCTTGGAAGTCATGTCTTGATCCATGCGCTGCTACAACGCATCTTTTCAATCCAGCAGGCAAGCCACCACGGTAGTAACGTGGCCTCGGGGTCATTTATCAGCCAGCGCCAGGCGTTGAAAAAGTGGCAGATTGGATGGGAGATGAATCCGGAATCGTCCGTGAGTCCGCTGGACAAACATGGGCCGATTGCCTTTAATTCAGCGGTGCGTTGCCCTTGATGGGCAGTGAAGACACGCTAACGGTCACTAGGCCTTGTTCCACCTCGCGAATATTCGTATAGTTACGGATATTGGGGCGGCTCGTTCACTTTTGGAACAAGATCATATCCAGATAGCGAGCAAACTGAGAGATCAGCCGATGCTTCCCAGGGGTTCTACTTTAGTCCTCGCTGCACGACATGCAGTATGTTTTTTTATCCTCGCCTCCACAATCTTGAAGCTGACCGCTGCGCCAGACTGTAGCACTATGTTCACCCGTACAAATGGGCGTCTATTTCGTCGGCCGAGTACCCAACTGGTCCGTAATGCACGCCGTTTGCTCGCTGGAGTATGCGTACGTCCTCAGCCAATTTCTACAGACTGCGACACCGGCAAGCCTTGAGTATCCGTTACAAGGGGACGAATTAAGCCTATTATCCGCGATCAAAGAGACATTACGCGAAGTGGAATCTTCTACACCAGACGGCGATCCCAAGTCAATTGATACTATGCCGCATCTTCTCGCCGCAAAGGCAGTTCGAGCATGGGCGTTGATTCTGCAGGGATTCAGGACGTGGAATGCGGTGGATTTGATTACTAGGGCTCTTTTTGTATATGCTGATATGTTAGATGCAGATATAGATCAGTAGGGATCAACAACAGTGCACTCTAACTAATATAAATAGCTTATATCAAAGATACTCCCTCTCACGACCAGTCCAACATATCCCCTCCTTATCCCACCCCTCACTCCCAACTCCCAGGTTCACAATAAACAGCCCATCCCGATCCCACCTGCGCTTAACCTTGAGCAACCTCGCATAATTATCCCCCCAGAACGCGCGCTGAAAATCCGGCTCATCGGGATCCGCCGTGTTCAGAAACGACCCCATCCTCGGCGTCTCCAGCGCCCGCAGAAACGGCATCTGGCTATCGACGAAGTGCTTCGCAGTTGCACCTAGCGGCATCGTGCGGCGGTATGTAACCAGCATTTCGGACTCGCGCCAGTGCGGGTGCAGGGCGCTGTTGACGAGGTCCTTGTTTGCGTGCACTTGGCCGCCGCCGGAGAGGAAGATTTCGATTAGATCGCCGACGCGGTAGGTGAGGTTTGAGACGACGTTCATTATTTGGGATGTACCGCCTGGGGAGAAGAAGAGGGATGAGGAGATGAGGACGGAGCCTTCGATGCGGCCTGTGCCTGCTAGGTCGACGAGTCGGGGTTGGTTGAAGTAGGTTGATATCTGCGGGTAGAGGGTTGTGTTGGTTGTGTAGACGATTGAGAAGCCGAGGTCGTCTAGTCTGGCGAGTAATGGGGCGAGCTTGGCCCCTATGGAAGTGGTGTCGGTGGTATTTGGGAAGAGGATCTCAGTAACGAGCTGGACGCCGTCTTCCTGGATGCCAGAGACAATGGCGGCGCCTGTTTTGCTATCTGCCCCTTTTAGACTTGGTAGGATGTTGACGATCGCTGTTGCGAATTCCCACAAGGCTGCGTCTGTGTCTGAGAACTGCTCGTCTTGTCGAGAGATTGCTGCCGTGAGCGTGAATACTATTCCTGGGATATCGGGGAATGTCCTTATTGTGGTGTTGACAGTGATGCCAAATGTACCGCCGCCTCCGCCTCGCAATGCCCAGAAGAGGTCTGGATTCTGGAACTCGTTTGCCACGACGAGATCTCCCTGCATATCGTTAGTAAATCTTTTTTATAATGGTAAGTAAAGCGATGTACCTCCGCTGTAACGACATTAAACTCCAGTGCATTGTCCGAGGCCATCCCATGCGTCGGCCCAAGCAAAGACGCACCACCACCTTGTATAAACCCACCAGCAACACCAACAGTGGTACAAAGGCCGAGTAGAACATTGAATTTCTCATCTTCCGCAACCTGCGAGATCTCCAACGCCAGAGTCCCCGCGCCAAGTGTCGCCGCCTGTCCGAGGGAAACACTGCCACCCTGTGGTATAAAGTCAGAGACGACATCTATCCCCTTCAACCGATTTGTGTTTATCTGGAGGGATCCAGGCCCACTCGACCGGCCCATACTATCATGTCCGGTATTCTTCACGACGAGGCGAATGTTGCGCTGTTTCGCGAATCGGACGGCCGTTTGGATCTCCGAGGCAAATTCAGCGAGGACGGCGTATAGTGGGACGCGGCCTTGGTGGCAGGGCTCGTCTATGTACGAGGTGATATCGCAGCTCCCGCATTCCTCCCAGCTGCTCTCCCAGTTTGCCGACTGTAGCGTAGCTTCATAACCTGTTAACTTTTGCTACTACGGTATGATGGGGGGCATACCTGGTTCGGATGCTCGCCATACAGAGTTATTAGCGTTCTCTTGCACAAAGTTGCATGCGTCTTGGTCGAATTCTTTTCCATGGCAGATAGCGCCTACTGGGCGGAGATGGACCAAGTGTCCATTGATGCTCTCGTTGAAAATATTCCATTCGTTGGTAGAGGGCCAGCAGGGTTCATGGGGCAGGCACCGACAGCTCCGTCGTCCGGAATTGTACGTGGATATAGTGTTCTTGAGTATGATAAACACAACGACGAAGGAGATAGCGAGGACGGATATGCGGAGGTACATTTCTTTCTTAGAGTACTGCCTGACAGTGAGGGGTACCGTCAAAGAAGATAGGATTTCGTCAAACCATCAGCTGGCTAGAAGTTGACTTTTAAGGACGTATACGCCGGCCTGTCTGGAACTGCAGAGCAGCGTTCTTGTGGCTGCAGTCCAGATACCAGGAATTGACATGGATGTAAGGTTGGCAAACAATCTTACTCCTGCTTCAATGACCGGTGATGGGACGCCTGTCATGCTGACAGCAGCCTTATTATCTATCGTTGAAATCCCGGTGACGGTTTCTATCTCCCCCTCCGACGAAAACGCCCTGGATGTCCTTGTTCCTGCCCGGATTCTGTATCCCGTCGGGTGCTGGTTTAGTAGCACAGACAACCTCAACTCCGGGCCGTGCACGGGGACTGTATTGAAGTCTGGATCTCGCAATAGATTTCAGTTCGTTAAAGAGATGAGCAATATTCCCGCTGTGCCAGGCATCACAGATCGACCACCAACCCGAGTCCGTGCCAGATGCCAAGTGTAAACATCGCAGAGGCCTTCATAGGGCCTGAAAGGCAGCTCAAAAGTCAGAGCTGAGGAGCTGTGTAACAATTTCTCGGTTGATACTGGTCCGTGGCCTTCCCATTTCTGAGACCCTGGATTCAGCCGGATGGGATTTAAATGTGACGTGGCAGGTCTTCGAGGATCAATTCTTAGAATTGTAATTGCTTTTGGTTCATATGGTAATTGAACAAAGGTACTGCCTTCCAACTGCGATAATCGAGTATTGCAGATTGTAGGGGACATGATAAGGTCAATACACTATAGAGCAAGACTCACACCTTTACTCAACAATAGACAACAACCATTTCTTCATAGCTCTGGTAGATTCATACTCGGACTGATCACCCAGCATCAAGTTCAGAATCGGCGCGATATGGCCTTCACCGGGTGCGATAACTACCTCGGTTTTGTGAGGGTTCGATATCTAGATCACCGTCAGTGCACTATATCCAGAATACCAATGTAGGACACCCACCTTGAGATTTGCTGCAAACGCTTCATGCGAGTCCACCATCAGATCATCTTCGCCAGCAACAACGAGTAACTGCCTTGCTTTTATATTACTCCACCAATCCACCGGCGCTCGCAAAGGCTCGTTATAGAAATCCAGGGGCTTCTCTCCTAACCAGTTCTCCGCACTAACGCTTGAAGGGACAAGGGATACACAGTCCCGTTCGGCATTCCGTTCAATAGACGGCCAGGTCTGGTCAAAGGACACCCAAGGAACCAGCAGCAGCGCACCAGCCAAGTCTTCTTGTATATACGGACCCTCGGGAATACTCGGATCAGGATGAGAATGGGACAGGTGGGAGAGAATTCCAAGCACCAGGTTTCCCCCCGCGGAGTCTCCTCCTAGAATAATCTTTCCAGGCTCTTTTGCTTCCACTTCTACCAGGTAACGCAGGACATCGAGCCCTTCGCGCAATTGGCACGGATACTTTGCGTGTGGAGCTAATGTATATGGTGCGACAAGAACGGCGAACTGATTTCCTATGCTGCGGCACACTGTTTCCACTATACCGTTCAAGTAGTCAAAGTATGCTGGGTGTGCTGGCGAGTAGTAGTTGCCGCCTGTGTATACCTGTTAGATATTACTTCTAAAGAGCGCTCACATACCGTGAAACCACACGAGGACATAATTCGCACTGCTGCTGCCGACCCAGAAGCCATGACCGGTTTCTCCCCAGTGGGAAGTGTAAGGAACGATTTCCCTTGACTTGGCGAATTCATTGTACGATGTTCCTGTTGTTGTGAGTCTGGCATGCGTTAGTGACATAACCATCTCAACAAACATGACAATCACAATGAAAGTGATCACTGACTGGATCTGGCGTATTGATAGGCTTTTAGTAATTTGCCTTAGAAAGGCATGCGAGACATAAGCCCGGAAAGTCTTTGTATTGTCGTTTGCAGTAAATGGGAACTTCACGGCGGCGTAGACACCAACTCCCACTGAGTGGTCAGTATCTATAGAGTGACTTGACGTAGAGGCTTACAAGCTGCGATGACCTTCCAGGTGAAACTTGCGATTTCATGATATGTGAGCTTGCTAGGGTATGGCAGTGGGGGGATGGGCATTGTTGCGGTTGGCATATCTTAAAAGTCTGGGCGAGGGCCATATAAGAACCCAGACGACGTCAATCCGATGTCATAGTGGCCTCAGGCAATACTAAATTGTACTACGCTAGATAGCGTTCTAGCTATAATGGAGTAATAAATACAAGATTCCTGAATTATTCATCGCATATACATCCACTATCGCGTTGTCTTTGAAGCTTCTCTTGCTCCCCTCTATCAAGCGCTTTAATCTCTTCCCACGACTCCTCCGTAGGCTCCCAGATCATATGCCACTGGAACAAGTCCGCCAGCTGCAGCCGATGCTCTCTACACAGGATATAATAGTACGTGAGAAGCACCGGCGACGCAAGCGACGGCATCACATCCGCCCAGTCCCAAACCACATCCCTCGCCCTAACCAACCGCCACATATGCTTCAGATACCGCTTCATATTAACGCCCTTGCGCTCCCACATCATCATCCCAGGAAATACCTGTCGGCGGAACTCCGTGCCCAGCCGTCCACGCCGGGGCACAGTACACTCATCCGTGTTACTTATGAACGCGCGCGCCAGCTGCGGCCTCCCAGACCAGAGATGGATGCCACTCGTTGCCCGCGGATTGCAGTCAATAGTGACCAGTCTATCCGCCGCTTCGACAAAATCCAGCCCTATCTGTCCGTGCAGCGGGTATAACCCCTCACCCAGCCGCTGCACATACTCCTTGATTCCGGGATGCGAGCAGGACTGGAAATACACAGACGAACTACCATCGATCGTCTCCAGCACTGGATACACCCCATGCGCGCGCAGCGTGCCATGATTAAACACGCTATACGAGCAGTACCGCACCCCATGAATCCACTCCTGCGCAACATACTGCACCTTCTCGCTCACCTGTATATCCTGGGGAATCGGCTCCCCAGGCTTCAAATGGTAGACATTTGTATTCGCGCGCCCGAAGACAGGTTTCAGCGCCCACTCCTTATTCACCGTATCCAGGCGCCTCACATCATCCATGCTCTTGCAGATATACGTGTCCGGGGTATCCAGCCCACAGGCCCGCGCAATCCGCGCATAGTGGCCCTTGCTATGTAGACAGACGAGAAGCGCCCAGGGCGGGCAGAATAGTTTCCCCAGTATAGCCGGGTCCCGGGACTCGGCGAGGTAGAATTCCTCTTCGTGCATTGGGATGATGTGGTCTATGTTCCAGGCTGCGATGGCTTCTTTTACGCCGCGGATGTACCCGTGTGTGTCGGTGCGTGGGGCCGGAACGACTTTGCTTCCTGCGACGGCGGTTGAGAAGCGGCAGACGTGGTATTTCATTGGGTCGACGCAGTAGACTTTACATCCGGCGAGGGTGAGTTGGCGGGCGAGATCGAGGGATACGGGGAATCGGCCATTTGTGAGGAGGATGTGTGGTGGATTGTATCGTTTTTCTTTGTGGCGGAGTTTCATTTTTGGGGGTCATAAGGTGTGTTCAATAGACATTAGTGGTGTATTATTGTATAGGCTATTATTCTTTTCTTTCTTTCTTTTTTTTCTTGACATGGTCTGGTTGTGCTGGTGATATGAAGCTTTAGTGGAACTGACGTATGTATGAGATGGTTACACCCGAGCCAATGGACGGCGTCAACAGAGACCATACATTGTATTCCGTGTTTTAAGCTCTCCTTATTTTGACCAGACCAACCTTAGAAACAGGATACTGTAACTAGTCTATGGCCGCCATTTAAAAGCCGGATTCCTCCAGTCCAGATCCTGAATCTGTTTCTGCGACATGCCGTCTAGAGCCTGATTAATATCAACCATCTCCCTCTTCTTATTATCCCACTCCATCCAGGCCCAAAGCACCGCACTCAGAATCATAATCAAGCTAGCCGTGGCCAGATTCAAGCCATTCCCGATATGATAGTCGGGAGCATCGAAGTCCAAGAACGACCACGTTGAAATCAGCCCTCCGATATTGCCCAGCATAACATTTGTGCCGATTGCCGCGGAGCGCGCGGTGTCTGATACAACATTATTCGATGCGTGGGCGTTGCAGAGGGCTCCAAAGGGGAATGCGCCGCTGGCTATGAGGAATGTTGCGCTGTATCGGACTTTTCCGTCTGTGCTGGCCAGGAACATGATGTATCCGCTGATCATGAGTAACGGGGATAGGACGAAGAATAGCATGCGGTTGTCCCGGCGCCAGCTCATGAATGGGATAACTAGGTTAATGAAGGCGCCTACAATATAAGGAGGCACTGTGTGGAGTTGTTGTCTGATAACAGTGGCATCGGGGTAGATGGTCTGTACAATTGTAGGCGCAAAGAATGCCAGACCTTGAACTGTGATGTTATCAAGCAGGAAGATAAAGGCCGTTGCTAATGTGACAGGACACAGGGCGCCTCGTAGCATTTTCGTCTTGTCGATCTTGTCCAGGACCTCTGTTGTTGCGACTCGCTCTGCCTTGAGCCGGGCTATCGCGAGATCCTTTTCTTCCTGGGTCAGCCAGCGCGCGGTTTCTGGCCGGTCGGTGAGGGTGAAAAAGGCGATGATTGCAACGCCGATTGTGACAATGCCCTCGATTGCAAAGATCATTCGCCAGGTGTGCAGGCCGCCAAAGTGGTCGAGCTTTAAGATCGCTGAAGCAAGGAGGCCTCCGAATGCTCCTGCAAGGGGCGCAGTAACAAGATAAAGGGATAGACGAAAGGCGAGCTCGCTGCGTCGATACCATCTGGATAGATAGTATGCAATACCGGGCATCATGCCTGCTTCGAATATGCCTAACACGAACCGGACTCCTGATGCCTGGCCCACGGTGTGGACGAAGGCTGTTGCAAGCGATGCAGCACCGAATAAGAGGGTTGTCAACGGCAGAAACCATCCTGGACCCATAACCTTGCAGCAGATATTGCTTGGGATCTCGAATATAATATATGAGATATAGAACATGGAGAGGATTTGGTTGTAATCATTCCCTTTCATGTTCAGATCGGTGGCCAGACCAGCGAGTCTCGCGTTTCCTGTCGTGTGTGAGCTGGAGAACAGAGTTAATATCGGAGAACAAGAGCTACTCACCGATATTAGCTCGATCAATAAAGCAGAATAGATACAATATCGCAACAGTTGGAACAATGCACAGGTCCAGTTTCCAGCGTAGACGGGACTCTGCGGCCTTGTCGAACTCCAGCAGGGCGTGGCCGTATTGGTCGGTAGCTGCCTGGCCATGCCCAGCTATCTCCTGTTTGCTGGATATGGCCCTCTCATCTCCCACAGCCTGGTCTGATGCTCTATCGGCCGTCATATTTGTGGTGAGACACAGAGCTGGGGTAGGAGGCAGGGGTAGGGGTAATACAGGGGAGATATGTACAGCAGGATCTTTTAAATTAATAAACCTCGGAAGAATATCGGAAGCTTCGCAATCAATAATTTCTCGGAAAGGAAAGCCATTATGGCAGTTAGTGGGTGACATGTAATCCGCCTGTCTCGAGCAAGGAAACTGTGCTTACTGTTTCCCCGCATCTCCATAACCAGTGAAGTGAAGATCTGGGGAACAAAGGAAGTCAATCCGTCACATCGGAAGCTGATCGGGTATCGGAAGCTGATCTCGTATTCTGTTGTTGGAGACCGCTTGGGCCTCGAACTGGGCGGATGTGAGGCGGCAAACACCCGCGGCGGATAAGGGTTAACCATAAATAAACAAACATACATCTGATCTGTTGCATATAATGCAGTAGAAAGACAGCCCCCTACCGCTAATAACTTTTTTACCACTTCGATATGTCCTAGTTGGGGCGAGTATGAAAAGTACTTATGTTACGCTATAGACCTTTAACGACAAACAGCAAAGCTCAATTACGCTATTCCCGCGGTTTCTGTGCATAAACGACATGTCTAGATCATCGTCAGTTGATATCCTTTCATGAGAGACTTGACATACAAATTATGCAGGATATGGACGCTGCGGTCCTTCGCAGCTTGTCTAACCCGCACAAGGAAGGCCTGAACCTCCTCGATCGACCAGCCCAGAATGCTAGTAAAAGTAGCGCTGGTAAATGCTTCCAGGCCATCCAGCATCTGGTACATATTCAACGCGCCAATATCCTTCTACGGCATCGTTAGCTCGGCAAGCAACTGGAAAAGAGATCATGGCATACCATCCTCCGATCCCTCGGCCACGTCCCAAGAGGCAGCTGAAACACTTGATGCTTGCCATTAACAAACCCCGTCTCTTTCACAATGCGCTCCAAGTCAGCTCCGATGGTTACAGGCCGGTTGATCCGATCGCAAGCCTCCTGCAGCAGCTTGAATAACAGGTTCACGTCGTTGTCCTCCTTCAATGACCCGTCCTCGGAGTAGTTGACGAGATGGAATTCCTGGAACTCGATCCAGCCCCCGGGCTTTAGGTGGTCAAAGGCCTGTTTCGCGAGTCTGGGCCAGTCTACGATGGAGCCGCACATGTAGCGGGAGTGGATGAAGTCGAACGGCGGTCGCTCGGGCCATTCTGCTTCGACGTCGTCGACTTCAAACACGACGTTAGGAGGGACCCTATGTCATATCAGTACATTATATCCTGGAATTAAGATTATTGAACGCACCATGGGGGCTGGATAGGGCTTAGGTCGTTGCCCATGACCTGGGAGTCAGGTCAGTACCTAGATCTACCTAGCTTGATTGATAGGCGACTCACCTGCTGTGCAGAGACAAACTGGTCCGCTGGAAATCACAGTTAGTGGTGTCAATTTAACATCGAAAGACGTACCGAATTCTATAGCCCACAGACCAGTCCCAGTCCCAATATCGAGCACGCGAATCGGGCCGTTCTCGATCGGGGCGAGGAACAACCGATCGTTCAATACCAATTTGAACATATGATGAAGCATATCAAGGCGGTCTTGCTCTCGTTCGTCATTGGGGAATTTATAGCCTAGATGCGATTAATCGTCTACTCCGTGCTGCGCGAAGTAAGGTTACGAACTCCCTTCTTTGTACGAATGATATCGGCGGCCATACTCCCAGTTGTAATTCGTTACTGCAGACGTCAAAGACGTTGCATAGCTTGCTCTGCATGGAACGGGTCAGTGCTGAAACTCTGGTTCATGCGTCTGGCTTACATTTCCGAGCTATATGCTTCATCGTCGGACGGGAGCTGGTCCTCGTTAATATGGTTGGCTTTTGGCAGCAGACATACTCACGTTCTGGTCGACGGGCACAGCAACGCCCTGTCTCTCTGCTGTTTGACTTGTCATTTTGCGTCTGGAGGGGAGATGGAGATGGAGACGGGGGGATCTGGAGTTCGGATCGGAGAACAGGCAGTGGGGGGGATGGCCATAAAGAAAAACTAAGAAAGAAATGGTTAAGCTGGCTGCACGAGGATCCTTCGATTCGCCGTCACTGCGTATCAAATCCACAGAAGCCGTTGCGCCATCCCGTTATCTCCACCGGTTGTGTGCCGTCCCGCCCCTGACACCGTGTTGAGTGTTGACTGTTTCCTGACTGTTGAGTTGGCTGTGCGTTCTTTGTTCTTGTGTTCCCTGTCATTTCTATCCTGCAGCTTCAAACCCTAATTCGCCACACCACCATCCGGTTCGTATACAACATGACGGAAACTCCATTAACCACCCTGGCAGACCAAATCTCCTCCTCCGCCTCACTGATATCCCAATTCCTCCACTCCAACAACCACCCCCAGCCCTCCTTCGCCCCAGATGCACCACCAGCCTTCCCACCCGCCCCAACACCCATCACCGCCGCCCGCCAAACCCTCCTCGAAGCCGCCCAGACACTCATCGACCTCCTAACCGGCCCCGCCGAACACCTCCGCTGGCTCGCCTGCCGCTACCACGACATGTCCAGCCTCCGCTGGATCTACCACTACAACATTGCAGCATCCATCCCACTCGATCAGCCCGTATCCTTCGGCGCCGTCGCAAACACCGCAAACGTTCCCGAGGATATCCTCAAGCGAATGACCCGCCATGCAATGACGAACCGCATCTTCGCTGAGCCCGAGCCGGGCTTCATCGCGCATACCGCGTCCTCGGCGCTTCTTGTGCGTAGTCAGGCGTTGAAGGACTGGGTTGGGTATACCAGCGAGGAAACGTATCCGGCCTCGGCGAAGGTGGTGGAAGCGCAGGAGAGGTTTGGTGTCACTGATGACCCAAGGCAGACGGGGTATAGTGTTGCCTTTGCGACGGATAAGCCGATGTTTGTGCATATGGCGGAGGATCCGGAACGGGAGAGAAGGTTTGCGAATACCATGGTTGAGATGACGTCGACGGAGGGGTATGGTATTGGACATCTTGTAAGGGGGTATAGATGGGATGGTATTGGTAGCGCGACGGTTGTTGATGTATGCTCTACTTTACTCTTTGTTCTTGGAAGTTACTGATTTGATTTCTAGGTGGGTGGTTCAACGGGCCATGCGTGTATTGCTATAGCAGAGAAAGCTCCAGATGCAACATTCATCGTCCAGGATCTGGCTGGTGTCGTGTACCAGGGGAGGAAGAGTCTTCCTGGTAACCTCAAATCGCGGATTACATTCCAAGAACATGATTTCTTCACGCCGCAGCCGCAGTCTGCGGATATTTACCTCCTCCGGTTCATCCTGCATGATCATCCGGACTCAGTTGCAGTTAATATCGTCAAGAGTCTTGTCCCGGCAATGCGGAACGGGTCCAGGCTGTTGATCAACGATGGGGTCCTTCCAGAGCCGAATACGTTACCAAAGGGGGAGGAGAGGATTGCGCGGTGAGTACCTATTCGGGGTGAATAGCCCTGTTGATTGTATCATGCTTATATAAATAGGATCATGGACCTTGAGATGTTGACTACTTTCAACGCACGCGAGCGCCCATTAGCAGACTGGGTCAGTCTCTGTGCAGAAGCAGACAACAGACTCAAGCTACACTCAGTGTCAAAGCCGGAAGGCAGCATCATGTCGATTCTGGAGTTTGTTTACGAAAACGGTCATCAAGGGTAAAGATGAGGATATTTCTATTCTATCCATTCAATCGCCATCACTCTACAGTTCGTCCATCTAGACCCACACGGTACTCCCATCCGGCGGCATGGAGTTCAACAGCCGGTATGTCATGCGCACCAGGATAGCCGCCTCAGACGACCCTTCGTCCGGTACATACTGAATCTTGGTCTGGTTTCCGTCCTCGTGGGTCTGAGGATGCGAGATCATGTTCATGCGGTTCAGCTGCTCGACAATCGGATCGAGCATGCCACCTAGCCGATGCGCGGCAATGTCGCTGCGTCCGCAGAATTGCAGCACCGTTAGGCATGTATCCAAGTGCGCGACGAGCTGGGGGAGGCTGTAGTTATCGTTCTCAGGGCTGCCGCCTGTGACGTATTTCTGGCAGATGTCGAGGAGGAGGACGACGCAGGTGTCGAAGACGGAGCATCTATAAAAGTTAGCCATGTCTATGTTAGTGGCTAGGGGACGTACATAACTAGCCAGCACCGCGTGAAGATTGCCTGCTCGCTGTACAGCAGCGAGGCAATGCGCGCTAGCTGGACGGCGAAGTCTGTGTGGACGTCACTGATATGGCGGGGGACGTTTTGGAATAGGCTCTCTAGTGAGGATGGGTCATGTTCGTCTTCACGTTCCTCTTTCTCTGCATGATACGAGGCCTTGAATAACCGACAATACAACTGCAGCCGCGCATCAATATACAGCATGTGCATTAAACATAGAGCGCGCTCCTGGAAGAGGGTTAATGTTTTGTCCTGCTTGTTGAGTGCGGCCAAGTGCAGGTCTGGCGGGAGAGCCTGGTGCCATAGATCGAGTTTAGAGGATAGTTTGTTTGCGTGGATCCAACAATCGTCATGCCGGTAGTGAGCCACTTCGCCCTGGATCCCTGAAGCCAGCAGGGCCAGGCGCGTGATTTGTGACTGGATCATTCTTGTTGTTAAGGCCTCGCTGTTGTGTGGCTGCATGTCTAGGGCTACGGTGAGGTGGACCTGTCTCGTCAGCTGCTTGTTCGGAACAGTGTAGGTCTGCTCACCAGATCAGTCTCGTTTTGGTTCAAACAATTTCGGTAGCCAAGCGAATATGACAGCCATCTAGCGGGTTAGTACAGGTACCAGCTCCAGGGTGGTGACATACCCCTCCAGGAAGACCAATGTCTGCAATGTCCTTTTGCACTCGTCATTCTCTCCAACGACATTCTCGCTCATCTTCCCCCTCGCCAGGTTCAGCGCGGTCACTACAAACCTTAGTTTATCATTATCCAGTAGTATATGAACACTTACTGATCAGCAACCTCGCATTGGAGCTTTTGTCCATGACACACGTCATGCAGAGACAAATAAAAATCCGCATCCCCTGGATATAATCCGCCTCGAGCGCCTCATGCAAGCTCGTCGACGCAAGGTAGAAAAAAGCCGCGCGAGCTTCTGCCGGGATCTCATCGGCCTTGTAGTGGCTCCCAATAGCAGCGCAGGCCGCAACTTCTACAATATCCTGCATTGACCGTCGTTGGTTCGGTATACCTTATCAAGAAGTTCGCCGGACCGCGTCTCGGTCGATACGTAGAACAGCGTCGCGCCTCATTGGAAGAACGCTTTTACAGCGCGCCTGGTGACCGGCTCCGCTGGGAGTCTATCGCGGCGGGTGACGCCGTAGTGGCCATGGCCGTAGCCATACTGCCCATCCATATCCAGAGACCGAGGGTGCGACGCCGTCGCGGTATAGAAGACCTTCTGTATATCCTGTTCCTGTGGGGTGCTGCTGCTCTGGTACGGCCCATCAGTCGAGGTCGAGGTACTGCCCCGTTCAACGCCATTTCCTAGATCTGGCTGTACCATTGAGACACTTTGACTTTGACCCCTCTCGCCACTCATCTGTTGCACAACCTGCTCCAGGTACGCATTCCGCTGCTCCAGCGCTTCAATCCGCGCCCGCCAGTCCTCCCTCTTCCGCCCATCCACAGCGGTATACTCGCACTCGGCTTGGAGCCGTCGACATCTCGCACAGGGCTGAGTGCCATCACACTAGGAAAGTTAATCATACCTCCGAGGTTAGAAAAATGGGTACATACGTACCCGCTTGCGCATTCCGCGACATCGCTCGCACGCCTTGACCGACTTTGAGATCTTGCCGGGCTGCTCGGGCGGCTCGGGCGGCGACGTCCCGGTCTTTGGAGCGAGACGCTTCTGTCTGCCTGTGTTCTTGTCCATGTCGGATATAATATCCACAGGGGTTGAGAAAGTTTGGCCGCTGCAGCTGCGCCGATTCTGATGTCACTGCCCGCTAGAGTTTGTGGCCAATCAGCGGCTGCGGATTTCCGGAAATGGGCCCGGAGTGCGATCCCGCCAATCAGATGAAGTGGAATGAATTTTGACCCTTTTATGCCTGAGGCTTCCATGGCTGGCGGGCTATGCATGGTATACACTGTATACAAGTGTAGAATCGCTGTTGCTTACAGTTCAGCTGCAGATCTAACTTTATCAACATAATACTGGCAAATAAGTTTAAAAAAAACTGTTTCCTTCGAGGTCCTAACCAAGGTCTTTTGGGACGGGGATTAGCACTGTCTCTGGGATTCTGGTTGTTGCAAATACGTCGCAGGTGACGCAGGCGTTTGACCATTTTGCTGGGGGTGAGGAGAACGACGAGATCCAGCCTGCGCAGGTGATTGTTGTTGGGGAGTCGGATATTGAGGGTGACATTGTTGCGTATAATGGGAGTTCGATCTCCTGGGGTGTTTCCAAGCATTCTACTTGGACTGGGGTGCTCGCGCTGGTGGGAATGGGTCAACCAGTTTCGATATCTACGTGGATGAGTCGTCGACTTGGGTTTGACGGGGGGTGTCCACTAGGAGGTGTTTAGGAACGGCGATGTAAAGAATCAGAATATCCGATCCAGGTGGCATAATATCTACTATAGCCCGGCGGTTTCTGGGAATGCCTGGTTGAAGAATAAGTCGGTGAGCTTGCAGGGAGTGGACAGCTTCTTCCTGGCTCTTACTGAGATCGCTTGTCTGGTTAGAGATGCTAATTAGCTGTGAGGATAGTTAGTGTGGCTGAATGGATAATTGGTGACTTTCTCCTTCTCTTCAATTGGATACTACGTTGTATTTTGTGGTAAAGCAGGGAGAATAATCTGAGAATTACTAGTACAGCCTCTGGCAATCAATTTCAAAACGGCCATTCCCTATCAATCTGCAACAGTTCTAGCACCGAAACGGAACATTACATGAAAGTGACATTCTAGAGAAGGCACCCACCCAATCCTGCAATCCGAGCCCTACGTCCAGTTTACTTAGGCTTTAAACAAGCTGTGATAAACTAAATAATCAGTCATTTTTCACTTCGGATCCACCCCCAGATCGTTAGCGATCAGATGGATCCGGTCTAGGCCTACGTGGAGAGAAAAGACACGCTAGCCCTTCAGCTCTGCACTAGTCCAACTGCTTGCGTATACCCTCGTCAGCAGCGGGAAGGTGGGGAGGGCTTCGTAACGAGGGGTCCATACGGGAGACGCGCCACATGTTTTCATTGATGCCTTGACGACTCGCCTATAACCATTGCTAGATCTTGGCTATGGTTTCCTGCATTTAGCTTACTGTCTATTCCAGAGTTGACAGCATTCGTCACTATCTCTGGCTTTGCTAGAAATGGCCGACGCAGAGCTCAAGACCGCGCACGCAGACAGAACTGAGCACCGTGGCCTCAACAAGCACAGTCTGGGCCATGTGCGCCTGCGCAATGAGCATACAAACGAGATCATCTTGAGCCCGGCGCCGTCGCTGGACCCTAACGATCCACTCCGATGGTATGAACGTCCTCATTCTGTCTGTAACATTGCAGCTTATATTCCAACCAGGTCCACCGGGTACAAGGTCTACATCACAATCCTCGTCTCGCTCACAATGATTATGTGCAACTTCATGGCCGCCGGTCCGACAGTCGCCATGGTCGAGGTGGCCACCGATTTCAAGCAGGGGGGCGACACCGATTTGAACGACTGGATTAGTCGCGCTGCGTACTTCTTCAATAATAGTGCTCTGCTCCAGGGCGTGTCGACGTTATTCTGGGTCCCGCTGCTGAACAAGTATGGACGGAGACCAATTTACATCTCAGCTTACATCTTGTATTTCTTCATGATACTTGGGGCTGGGTTGGCGAGGACGTATGCGGGTGAGATCACGACAAGGACTATCCTTGGGATTGGAGCTGGGGCAGGGGAGTGTCTGGCTCCGGTTACTATTGCTGATGTGTTTTATCTTCATCAGCGTGGTTACGGGATGGCGTATGCTTCTCACTCTGGAATATTCCAAAGAAAGTGCTGACTTGGCAGGATATACAACGCAGCCCTAAGTGCAGGAGTTTCATTCGGCATCATCGTCGCCGGCCTAGTATCTATCAAGCACGACTGGCGCACAATCTACTGGGTAGGCTGCGGGCTCGTCGGAGTCCTCATCATCGTGGTCATCCTCTTCTTCCCCGAAACAGCATACAATCGTGCTGGGAACCCGCTGGCCGAGCGCGCAGACGAGGTCCACAAACCAGAAGCCACCACCTTTAAAGAAGCATCTCTTCCCCCGATCCCGCCAAAGAGGACGTACGTCGAAGGCCTCCGCTTCTGGTCTGGTAAGACGTACACCGATGAGTCTTTCTGGCGCATGTTCATCCGCCCGTTCGGCCTCATCCTCATGCCCCCTGTCTTCTGGGCTACGATTGTCATGTCGGTGACGATTGGGTTCCTGGTGGCGGTTTCATCTAACTTTGCCTCGGCATTCAGCACTACATATGGCTTTGAGGCATGGCAGTCTGGGCTGTGTTTCATTGCAGGCTTGGTAGGTTGTCTGTTTGGCACGTTCGCTGGCGGGCCATTCTCAGACTGGGTTGCGGACTACTTCACCAAGCGTAATGGGGGAATCCGTGAGCCGGAGATGCGATTACCAGCGATTATCCCTAGTATCATTGCAGCGCCACTGTCGCTATTACTGTATGGGTTTGGGATTGCGAATCAGTGGCACTGGATCGTGCCGACTATTGGGCTGGGACTATGTTTGTTGTCCTACCGCCATGTTACGCTGCTTGTTAACTTCTATAGTAACCTTCGCCATCGCACAAGGAACAAACGTCTCCTTCGTATACTGCGTGGACTCCTTCCGGCCTGTCGCGGGAGAAGTCACCGTCACTCAGCTAGCCTTCAAATGTGAGTATTCCTCCTATCGTTATACCTGGCACTAATGCAAAAAGCCTGCTTCGGTTTTCTCCTCTCTTTCTATACAAACCGCTGGATCGAAAAGTCCGGATACGCAGCCGCGTTCGGTGCCATGGCGGGGATATCCGGTGGATGTCTGCTATTCTTCATTCCATTGTTCTTCTGGGGGAGGTCGATTCGACATGCCGCCTTGAAGTGGCCCTTTGTGCAGTTCGTGTTTTGGAAAGATGATAGGGAGGTTGGAGAGTGATTCTGAATGTAAAAAAAGTGTGTTTTATAGTGAATTGGCTATCAACATCACGAGACTAGCCAAGCCCTGGCCACGTAATACTCTATATAATTAAGGAAGAATGATTTTGCACACGATGTGGCTTGCTGTGGATTCAATCCCTCTGACGGCGACGGACAAGATGGACCGCCAGCGACTGCACGAGATGGCACGAGCTATCAAGGCAGAAAGCCATGTCGAGGAAACCGTTGCGCCCTTCTCGCTGCTCGGGCCAGGGCCGGCGTAGTTTGTTATAATTTCCGAAACAGTGCAGAATTGCTATTCTTACTCTGGACAACTCCAAGTTAGGACTTTGGCTACACTGATAATGGTTATTGTGGTGTCTAGCGCCCTGCATGGATCAGCCGTATGTCAAGCTACTCAAGTGGCTGCATCTGGTGCCAGTCGGTGAGTCGCAAACCGGCAAGGGTTTCAATAACGTTCAACTCTAATATATCTCTCCAGCCTCCTATTCGCGCGGCAAATCAGAACAATACCAAGGGCCGTTTGGCGGAGAGATTGTCCCTGTGGAGCCGTGGCTGTCCTCCCCGGTATGGTGGTTACATGCAGAATGCTGACAGCAACTGGAGTCTGGAGCCCGCAATCCCGGTCAGGCACTTGTAAAGGCCGCAGAGTCCCCTTCTTTACAGAATGCAGTGTGGTTGTCGTATTGAAAGGTGCATTAATAAAGCCGAGTTCTTTGTCTCGCACCCATTGATGTCACCAGTGCTGGTTAACGGCCTTCCCTGATTGGCTCTTTATTTTCCTATTCATTTTGCTGCGATTGAGGCAGAAGTGACTCCTTTGCCGGTTTGTGAATGCGTGAAGCTGTTCCCTGCTTGCAGTTTTGCAGGGACTCGACAGCCTGCTATATACCTGGCCTAATCCACTGTTGGAACTGTTGGAACTGTTGCAACAGTATTTGGAACTGTGTCTGAACAGTGACACTGAGAGCCGTCAATATGAAGTTCCTCTCGGTCCTCCCTTTCACATTCCTCGTCCCCCAGATCCTGGCAGCCACCTCAGCCACCATAGTCCACCCCACCCCTGTCCCTGAACTTTCCGATATAACCTGGAAATCCGACAGCACAGGTTTCGACGCCGCCAAAGTCCAGCCCGTCAACGCGTCAACCTACGACTGGTGGTACTTTGACGCCATCCAGGTCTCTGACGATCCAGCCCAGCAGGCCTCGGTCGTCATCACCTTCTACACGGCAGTTCCGAGCGGCTTCGACTTCCTACAACCTTACGCTGCCCAGGGCTTTACGAGCTTGACTTTGACTGACGTTCTCATCCACTGGCCTAATGGAACCGCTGAGTCGTATTTCTTCAACGCCACCGAGGCGCGCATCATCACAAACACGGCTGACAATGCTGTCCACGGCGCGTGGATCGAGAACCCGGATAAGATCTCTTTTATGGGGTCTCCCGATATGACGACCTGGCAGGTAGAGCTGGACTCGGCGGTGTGGGTTTCGGGGACCGTCACGCTGCAGTCGGTGAGTTTTCCCATTTATACTACGGATTATATTGATTTGAGATGTAGATTGCACTTCCACACCTCCCCTGTGGTCCTTTTGCAGACGGTAGCAATATGCAAGTTGCACCGCACGTTGGCTGGTCGAATGCAGTGCCAGATGCGCAAGCCAACGTACAGCTAAATGTCAACGGCCGTCCACTCAACTTCACTGGAATTGGATACCATGACAAGGTACGTACACCTCCTTTAATACCGCTCCATAGTTGATGATCAACTAACAGTCGCAGAACTGGGGCGACAAGAACTTCGCCGCGAGCGTCGGATCCTGGTACTGGGGCCACGGCCGTCTCGGCCCCTACAGCGTCGTCTGGTTCGACTTCCTCTCCCCTGAAAGAGAGAACTTCGTCTCGGCATATGTCTCCCGCGGCAACGAGATTCTGGTCTCGCAGTGCTCGGGCATCACGGTGCGTCCGTATGGCGAGAACTCGACATACCCGCCCCTAGCGAGCACGGGGAATCCATCGGGGTTCAATATCAACATTGAACTTCCTGATGGGAATCACCTTGACTTCAAAGCGTCTGCGGACCGTATGATTGCGGGTGGTGCGCCGGAGTCCATGTATGCCAGGTTTACAGGCACATTGGAGGGGACGGTTGATGGTGAGGCGCTTACGGGCGATGCGCTGTTCGAGCACTTTCACATTTTTCAGAAATGATTTGCTCACATCGATCTTTGATTTGATAAATATTTTAGCTATCTTAGACTCATACATTTCGTTCGCGATTGGTGGATTGCTTCTTGGGGGCGGTGCTCTGGCGCTGGCGCTGTCCCTGTACATCGTGCACTCTCTGCCATTCGTTTGCCGTGCCACATTCTGCCTCGTTATCGCGCGTTACAATATTTTTCTTATTCTGTATAAGCATTGTAGCTGTGGTGGTATTCTCGACCAGTAGATGTTTTTATCTAACCAACATTCGGTCAGTTTCTAGCAGCCTTGCACTGGCGTACTGCCTGGGCAATCCAGGCGTACGTGAAGTCAGCCTAAAGCTGAATCGCACTCATTCCAAGTGCTTAAATAGCCATGATTCCTCCATAGATTTCTCCATCAGCAACTCATCCAATTCACTTTACAACTGCCTTCAATACTAAATTGCCTTCCCAAGATGCCTAGCCTAATCGCCGCCACCATGGAAGCCCGTGCCCACGCACTCGAGGAGCTCCTCGGCCTCCGCTTCAACAATATAAGGCTCCTGATCGAAGCCCTCATTGCCCCCGGCGTTTACAGTCCGGAAGGAAACAGAGGCCACGGCCTCTTCGGGGATACTGCCATCCAGCTCGCCCTCCAGCGGGAAGGGCGCAAGCGCGAACAGCGCGTGGGTATGCATCAATCAATCAATCAACCCAGCCATTCCAGTCCTTTAATGTCAAATACTAATATATATCTCTATATCTCAGAGCGAATCTCCACCGTCGTCTCCAAAATTGCCAGTAACGAAAACCTGATCCAGCGCGCCTTGGCCCTCACCGTCGACCAGTATATCCTCAACAACCCCTCCCAGGGAACGTTTGTCCCGCCCAAGCTTATAGCTACAACTATGGAGGCCATTGTCGGCGCTTACTTCCTAGACCAGGAGCTTGATTTTGCTGCGCTCCTGCGCGTTCTTGCCGCGCTTGGCCTGTCGTGGCCTGATTTCGATTCTTGAATGATTCGGGACTGAACTAGCTACTGTACAGTATGTCCATCACCCTCCCTCCATGCTCTTGTTTGACTAGGTAAGCTAACGCGCCATAGACTACTTCCTTACCAAGCTCTCACACCTATACCCCCTTGTACTTACCAGGTCCATCCACGCCTGCGTAAGCGGCTCCCGCGGGGCTTGCAGTCCGATACGGGTTAGACTCTGTATATCTCCTGCCCGTGCGTATGGAGATATAAACGGCCCTGTATCGTGCTGGATTCGCCTCGGGAGCTTCTTGCGCGCGCGTCGCGGACGGGCACATGGGTTGGTATCCGTGTGGATCTTGATGGGCTACGCTCCGCGGTTGTGTCGTAGCAGGGCTATTGGAGGTCGAGGTGGAGGTAGCGTTGACAGGTTGGACTTGTCAATAGTGAGCTTGTCATTTGGTGAGATGGATATTGGGGGTGAATTAGTGATTTGTGCTTTTTATCTGTGTTTCTCATGGTGGACTTGGTGATGGTCTACCTTGATGTCGTTCGTTTATCGCAGTGGTTTAGTTGCTAGTTGAACAATGGATATTCTATCCGGATCGTCTCTCAAACTTGCCTCTAGCTGTAGTCAAGCGGGTTCTCGGCACTAAGTTTTGTAATAGATTTTGCTTGACTGAATCGGCCATGCAGGCTGCTTGAGGTACTTGTCCCCTGTCTGTAGATAAAGAAGAATAATCATGTCTTATCGTATTTTTATTTAATATTTGTATTTAATGTCTCTATGTTAAGGGCAAATGAGTGTCTGGTTCGATTCTGTATGGCCCTGATTGCGGTTACCCACCAGCTCGTATTCAGGGCTGATCATCCTTAAAAGAATCTGTATAAGCATCCTGCTTGGCATTGGGCAACTCGGAATAAAACACGAGCCTGTCTGCTAACCGTTTGTCTTGTTTCGTTCATCTTCATCATGACGCCTGACAAAGAGCCTGAGCCCACACCTCACAGCCGGACTTTTATCGCGTTTCTATGGCTGGAACTACTTCTTTTCCCGTTTATATTTGTTATTATACTTATAGTTTTAATTGCCTTTACCAATGAATATTTTAAAGGAGTCAAGAGCACGCCTGACGTTCTTCATCCTCCCTATAGCCCATATGTCTGGACAAGTGCTGTCGCACCTATTGCCATCGTCAGTACCTACACCAACAACCTCCGACATATCACTGACTCCTCCAGTCCAGCCTCGGCCTAACGTGGGCAATTTTATCCTGGTGGCACCAATTCACAGTCTTAAAACATAACAAACACTGGTGGACCGCAACAACAGTCTTCCGACTATGCGTGATGGCAATCCTAGTCGTCACTGCTATCCTAACCGCCCAATTCCTACCACTACCACTAGGATCATGCGAGAATCAGCGCAAATGGAGACCCGAAGCGAACGTTGACCCGCTCACGCCGACGCTCTTCGAACTCCTCCCGAAGGGCTGGTGGTGGAGCAAAAAGTCCCATCGGTACTTCTATACGGACAACTGCCATCGGCTGGTGAATATTTGGAAATTGGACATTGCGGTGGCGTACGTATACTATTCTAAGTTTCGTTTCTTAGGAAGTTAACTGATGTATGTCGTTCAGTGCTTTGTACTTTGTTACTGCTTGTTGCTCTGGGTACATATCGGCGGCCATGTATGTCAGAGAGGGCAGGAGGTCGCCTCTCTAATGTCAACAGTGCTAGCTGGATCCAAGCTACTAGATTCTATGTCTTTATCAGGGCAGTTGAGGAAGGAGCAACCCTACCCTGGAGTTCCTTCCTCTTAAACGACAGAGCGGTACTAGAGCTTTAGGAAGGTGCGACTGCAAGTGACCCTACCTAGAACCTAGTTAGAAAAGTACGTATATCGTTCACAGGGTACGGAAGGTGCGGTTGATATGGCAGTTGCCGGGTTTGTACTACACAAGTGCTTCAAACTCGATGCGATATCATCGGGTACTCCATGGAGCATCCAATTTCCTAAAACACTCCGTCCTTCCACTCTCTAATCTATCGATGGGGAAATTTTGTATGAGCAGATTGGAGCGATTACCCCTCCTGGTGTATAGTGTCAAAAGTGGACCCCGGATATAACAACTAGCATCATTGGTCTAGTGGTAGAATTCATCGTTGCCATCGATGAGGCCCGTGTTCGATTCACGGATGATGCACTTCTTTTTCTTTTTTGTTCCTCATTTTTTTTATGGCAACATAAAGGCCGGTTTAGATTCTGGATGGCATATATCATGGAGTTTCTGAACTCCAATACTCTCTAGTCCGCCCCCCACACGTTATGCAACATTCGTAGCCGGGCCTGGTACCAAAGTGCCAGTCCTATATTGTTCAGAAACCTCATTTTCCATGGCTCTCATTCTCTGCAGAATGATATCAACTGAATATCCGTACTACAACACCTTCAGGTTTCCTAGTTATGAGTGATGGCACATGGAGTTTGGCCTATAAACAGCGGGTTCCAGCAATCAGATCATCAGGCGTCTACCCGACAAATGACCCGATCCAAAGTGATCCATGCTTTGCGCCCATGGTAGATACTGGGCGGTGGTGCCAGTGCCTAGACATTGGCCATGGCACAAGGGGACACAGGGTATGTAGGTGTTACGCAGGTGTCACACTATGAATGCACATAATTCTTCATTATTAGGTGGAGAACACTGTCTGGACCTTTATTCCTCTTTCTCATCTTCATCGTGAATCGCCAAGATGCCGTTTATCAGGTCAGAGAGGGTTGGTAAAGCCGTCTTTGCTTTTTCCGCAGTCAGCACCGTATCAATCGTTGTCTTCCTTGGGTTCACAGCAGCCCTTTTATGCCGACAGTACGGGCGTTGCAATGCTCTACCACGGTGGACTATGCTTTGCTGTCTGCTTGGGTGGCTAGTGTGAGTCTGCGGCTTCACTTTTACCAGCGCAAACTGAACTGATCCCAGTATATCTCATTAGGTATTTCGTGTTTATGGTGGCCTCCTTTAGTTGGAGTGTCAACTCCGATTATTCAATGCAAGAGAGAGCCCTTCTAGTTATATTCAGCCTATTCCCATGGCTGCCAATTTGTCTCAACTTTTACGTCTTCTACGGCTTCATCCACCTACTGCTCGGAAGAACTACCGACTCGGAAAAGCCATGGCACAGAACTCGCGTATTCCATTGGGCTTGCTTCATTGTAGTTGTACTCGTGGCATGTCTTTGCTCCTCCTTGAACTGTGTTCTGAGTTTTGGAGTTGGCAGAGGCCTTTTCGCGCATTTGGTGAGAATAACAGGCGCCCTCCCTTCAGCTATAGAGTTTGCAACCGAGATTGTCGCCTGGGTGGCTTCCACTGAAAATTGGGGTTGGTCCATTTTCCTGGCTGTACGCCATCCAAGGTGTGTTGGAGGACACATCGTAAGTGATCTAGAAAACGTACCTCACTCTAGACGCACCACTGACCATAAACCTGCCGCCGCAGCTCCCAACCCTCCTTCTTCTCCTAGCAACCACGTTCTGGTGTACCGCTCATTTCTTACGCACCGTAGACAAAGTCCTCTGCTACATCAGCATCCGGGATGGGATTACAGAAACCAGCACCCCGGCCACTCCGGGATTAGACTTCGTTGGACTGGCGATCTGGGGTACCCTCGGGTCTATCACCATTCTCGTCTACTGGGCTGTGATTCTGCTGTTTTGCTTCCGTTGGACGAAACTGCACAGCAAAAGCGATAAGAATGCGCAATTACAGCCTCATGAATTACCCGTGGATTCCGAATCTCGGGGGCCAACTTACCATGAGATGGACGATCAGCCATGTATTGCGGAATTGCCTGGTGATTATAATCAGTTGTACGAGGCGGATAATATCCAGGTTTTCGAGGCCGACTCGCCCAAGGATAAGCCGGCTAATGAGCAGCATTCTGCTTTGGGACAAAAACATACATCATAGTTGAGGCCGATATTATAATCATGTTCCTGTGATGTTGCGGTTTTGATATACCCTAATACCCTACTGGATGTCGCCGCGATAGCCTTATACTGTCACCAGTCAAGCCCTACATCGACCCCAGTCCCAAATATTTTCCCCCATGCTCGTAACGAACAGCAAAGTGCCAAACTCTATCACGGTACACCAATACTCGATAATCAATGTCCTCACGTCGAACCCCACTCTGCCCTATATCATACCGAAGAGAAGTCATGTGAGCCCAGCCGAGGCAAGTCGGCCCAGATGCGGAGTACCCCTTAATTGAATACTAATAACCTCCTTTCTCTTCATTCTACAGAATAATATTAACTAATTATCTATATTCCAATCTCAGCGCAACATGCCCTCCTCCCTCCAAGTCACCAGCACCGCCTGGGTCCTCGTCTCGCTCGGCCACGCCCTCGGCGCCAAAGAGTGGCAGTCCTCCCCGCAATTCCGCGCCCTGCCGAGCAACGCGGATACCTGTGCCCGCGCCGGCTGGTACCAGGGGAGTGTATTCTTCTTGGTTAACGGTGCGTCTTTTATTTGACTCCTCCTTGTTTACGTATGTTGAGGAATCGGGCCCTAACGTGGATATTCCAGCACTCCTGAACTACAACTGGTCCAAGTCGCCGGAGCAATTGCGCAACCCGGTCAATAAGGCCATTGCGGTGCTTATGGTTGCTGTGATGTGGGCGAGCTCTGGGTGGTATTTTAAGCGTGGGGTTACGAACAATGGTGTTGCTACTGCCATTATGGGTGCGTTGCAGGCTTATTCTTCGTTGAGGGAGTAGGTGATGGTTTGGTTGATGCTTTTGTATCTTATTGGTATATTTGTACTTGTTTGAAGTGGTTAATACATGCCCATAGATAATAATGGGAGCTGGGTCTGCGATTAAGTCGTCCAATGGGTCTGGCAGATTTGAATGGTCAGGATATATTGAGATGGGTCTATTCATGCTTGTTTCGACATGCAATGGCTCAGCAATTCGTATCTATATGTACAGGATCATGTCTAACATCTATACATGGATCTACCTCCCCCATCCGCTGAAGAACCCACCTGATGAAGCAGGAGGTTCAGTCGGCGCCTTCGAAATCGGCGGCAGCCCCAGTAACGAGTTGCGATTCTCCGTTGAAGGCCGGCCCAATCCACGCGAGGACCCGCCAACCATTTTCCGCAGCGAGTCCAGCTTCCCTTTCACTTCTTCCAGTTCCTGTTTGGCTACCGCCTCGGCTGTTTTTGCATTTACGAGTTCGAGGAGCAGTGATTCGTCGCCCGGTGGTCGGTTGTTATCCGTGGCTAGCACGTTTTGTAAGCCCAGGCTGCTGGATCGCTTGTTGAATGCTGTGCTCTTTCTTGAACTCTTTGTTGACGCGGAGCGCGCGAGTTTAAGCTCGCGGAGACCTCCGGTGTTTTCGCCCTTTTCACTTGTCGGTGAGCCGTAGGATTCGGGTGGTGTGTCGGGTGTCTTGATATTGCGGAGGTCACGGACGGTTCTTTCGAGGCGCTGTCGATCGCGGTATCCGTCTTGGATGCGGCCTCGGGCCTCGCGGAGCTGCTCCCGGAGCGAGGCGTTCTCCTTTTCGTGGTCGTCCATTCGACGCGACAGGTCCAGGCATCGCCCGGTTTCTACGGAGTACATGTTCTTCCACCGGTCGAGGTCGTCGCGGAGCTGGTGCTTTGTTTGGTCGATTGACGTGTGCTTGTTGGAGTCTTCGGCTGCGAAGCGCTCCTCGGCTTTGCTGAGGAGTTCGGCAGGGGCAGAATCCGCAGCAGGGGATTCTTTGATGAATTCGAGCATGGATCTGGACAGAGCTTGGTCTTCTTCGCGGTCTTCTCGCTCCTGTTGAAGTTCGCGGGAGAGGTCGGCCTGTTGGCGTTGGAGGTCGCTGAGGGCCATTAAGAGGTCTTCGATTTGGGTATGAAGGTCGCGATCCTTGTTTTGGGATGTGGCGGATTTCGTGCGGGACTTCTGTGCGTCGACGGAGACCTCCGTGGGCGCCGTGCTGGCGTCGGACGTGGACTCTACTGAGTTGAGTGTCGACGCCATGCTCTGTTTGGAGGTTGACCGACGGAGGTTGTTCGGTGTGTTGGCGTCTTTGGGATTTAGATTGATTGATTTGACCGAGGTGTGCGGGCCCGATCCAGCCCAGAATCTACCAAGGAATCGCGAAGCCGCAGCTTGCATCTGAGGGAAGGAGATTCCTGTCGGAACTCCCTGGGATTGGTTGTAACTAGCCTCCAGCGCCTGCAGGCTTTCCTTTGTGACGAGGTTAGTCAACGAAACAAAGTCGTTGACGAAATCATCGGCGTCAAACGCGTAGCTATACAAGTCAGTAAGTCTGGCATCAAAGAGAAAAACTTCACAGCTTACGTATCCCAGAGACTCCTAGAAAGCAACAACTGCATGACGTCTTCAAATTCTGAACAGGCCAAGATCTTCTTTTCATTCCGCTGCATTAGCGAAAGGGCAACGCGCATCAATGTCTCGCAAGCTCCTTCCAGGAAAATGACATCGTAAATGCGAAGAAGCATTGGGAGAGGGCACGAAACAGCAAAGAACGATAGGAACCATTGTGAAACATATACAGGCTCTACGTTCAGCGCTTCCAAGTGCTCGAATAGTTCAGGTCGCAGACGGGCAAGCAGATTTTGAAACTGATAGACGCGGAGGTGCAGGCCTGATAGGTCGGGCAGGTAACAGGTTCGAAGATCATAATGGTCCATAAGTCTAAAACGATTAGCGTCTCATCATTTCACCCCCAACTCGATCAGACATACCGCACGAGCACGCAGAATGCTTCTGCATCCGACATGTGCATCAACAAAGGACCAACCACAAACCCCAGTCCTTGGCAGTAGCCTATCTTTGTATCGTAGAGGCTAAAGCACTTGAGCACGCGAGCAAGCATCTGCTGGCCCTCGCTATTTGGGTCACGGAACATCTCAACATTGGGAAAACTGCGGCCAATGTCCTTTCCGATCAATCCCTCGTATGGGCTGGTCTCACCACAAAGTTTCTGATATTCAGTCAATAGTGACGGGTCCCTTGCGCCTGACAAACTTGGCCAGACCACACCACGCAAGGGAGGCGGGACCCCGCCTCTGATTTTATTTGAGGTCAAAGTCGGCAGTCGTTGCACTGTTTGTGGGTAGTCTGCAACGAGGGCAGCCCAAAATTCCAGCTCAGTCATGGGCGGAGGCAGTGGAAGTTCTGAGTATCGGAGAGAGGATCGAGGGTCTTCATCGATCAAGCGCTTGATCTGATGCAGGGACTGTGATCGAGACGGACGCTGTTGTTTATGCTGCGAAGCAGCCTTTGCTAAGCCAGATTTTGGATTAGTAGCTAAAGCGTTGTTCTCTTGTTCCAGCCGAGCCAGCAGCAAAGCGGTTGTCTGGAAATAACGTCAGTAACATTCCTTCCATTCCCATTCCACGTCATGTTGCAGAACATACCTCATCGGACCCTTCCGTGCGAGGCTCTTGTGACTCTGTTTTTTCCAGCTCTTCCCAATCCACTGCATCACTTTCGAGTGTGTCTGTTCGGTCATTTTCTTCGCTAATCCGTGTTCGAGAGAGCTCAGTTTCCAGATCTGGCCTCACGGAGGTGGGCGTGGGTGTGGTCTTGCGATCGATCTCGTCATCGGAATGCGGCGTGCTTTCGACAGGAGTCTGGGGGATATCAAGAGTACGCCAGTCCGGTTGGGTGTCCTCTGAATTGGATGAGAGAGGCACTGTCACCATGGAGTCGGTGTGGCTAGGAGTACGGACGACCGTGTCCGAACTGGGCCGCGGCGAGGCTTCGGTCTGCTCCATGGTCGCTGACATTGCCTAGTAACTATAGCTCAACTGTTCAAGGAAGCTTCAAAGACACATTCCTCGGGGAGCTTCAGCTTCGTAGAAACGGATTCGAGGGGTGAAACGCGAGGATCGGATCGGAGGGGTTAACGATGGGAGACGCGATAAGGAGACGGGAGAGCGGCCGATGGATTTGGGACGGCAGACAGCGGCATTTCTCGATGACGCGACCGAGGGAATGGGCTAAAGAGGACGGGGAGATAGGGAGAAATGAAGGAGAAACGGCCAGGGTTTGAATTCGGGAGATGGTGAGGTTAGTGGTGTCTAATGCTCCCCAAGTGGGCTTCAGGTTCAGGGGCCCTCTCTCGCCCTTCTCCTGATTAGTCCACCACTCGCGGTCTCGCCCTGCCGATCGTCCAATGCTGCTGCTAGGGCAGAGAGCTTCGCTACTAGTGCGGTGAAAGTAATTATTATCTAATTTACGGAGTATATTCGAAAGGAATAAGGAGACGAACATCATGCGGTGGACAACAGGTGAGCTAGATGAGCTCCGTGAACTTCTCCTGTCCTCCCCAGAGAACCATGGAACCTGAAACTTGGATCTGGGAACTGGGAACCTCCAGCTCAGGAACCACTCGCGGAACATGGAAGTCCAGTATCAGGATATGCCAGAGGAGACAACTACAAATCACTGGAATGACATCCAGGAACTTCTTATTGAATCCTATTCGATGACAAGCGATCTATGCTCTTCCTCTTCTGTGTCATCCGTATTAAACCGTCGCATAACCGTTTTAGCTTTAGTGGGGAGTGAATGTCACTTGATTCTATTGGGCCTTTAATTCAGGGGGCTCACGTTATTGGCTGTGCGGAGAAGGGATAAAATAACAATACCGGCCATACCGCTCCATACGGGCGTTCTGAAACCACACATCTTCCGGACGTCCAAGTCTGAAGTGTCTCCTCAGTCTTCGGAGAGAGTAGATCAACAGGGTGTAGAGGTACGACTGCTACAGAATAATAATATAGCGAATGACTTTTATAACCTGCTTCCAGTATTCATTTTATGCCGCGGGATAGTTAATCGCAGGGGTTTTGAAAGATAAGGCAGGAAAATATTTAATGTTAAGGGTTCAGTTCATTATATATTTCTGAGCTAAATTGGCCTTGACACTCGATGTCCGTCAGGTAAATCATCATGTAAATCGTCATTTAACAGAGAATACCAATTACTTCAAGGCAAAGTCACAGACTATAGTAACCTACTGCAATTAAATATTGAGTGAAGGCTACTTGCAACTGCGTGCGCTGTTCTATATTGAGCAACGCTTTGTTGACGGGCAGTTCTTTGTTGCCGTAGAGATCTCGCATGGTTCTCGACACACGTCAGTGGCAGTTCCAGATCGCTCGAATGAGGGGAACCAGAGAGATCTGTGCCTCAGTGGCTCGTCACTTGCTGTCACTGCCAACTTGAACTCAAGCAGGCGAAGGAGAGCTAAGAATAGAAGGAACCCCGCTCACGGTGTTTTGATCGTGCCTTCCCTTCTGGGATGGTGTGTTTTGAGTTTGCCCGATTTGGTTGCGGAACGGCGAAACCGATGATCCGGAAGGAAACCATTAACAAGAGGTGCCGGGCGCAAGTTTCAACCCAGCGCGTCGACAACAAAGCATCAACACAACAATCAACGAGGGGATCGCGGAGGAGGCGTTGTTCTTTCACTCTTTATTCCTCTTCGCTTCAACCCGTTTCTCCCCTGGGAGGACACATCTGTCCTTCTCTTCCTTTTTCTTGCCACTCGTTGTCTACGGTTTCAACTTCATTCCCGCATTTTGACTGTTTCACAATAATTCTGCGTCTTACTTCTCCCTGGTCACAATGAGTGACTCCGACTCGATCATGGACGACTCTGTCTTCGCGGACGAGGGTAGCTCCGATTTCGTCCCCGACGAAGCCCCCGTACGCTTCTACCTCCCCAATTCTCGCTTTTTTTCTGCTAACCGCAGCCTTGCCACTCACAGAAGCCCAAGGCTAAACCTGCGGCTAAGAAGGCTGCTCCAAAGAAAACAACACAAACGAAGCTGACAGCAAAGCCGGCTGCCAAGGGGAAGAAGGCCAAGGCCAAGGCTGACAGCGAAGATGAATCCGATCACGATGATCCCTTTGGCGACGACTCCATGCTCTCCCAAACACCTCCCAAGAAGGCCCAATCGGCAGCCGCCACTAAGAAGGGCGGTGCCAAACCACTTGCAGACGTTGAAAATGAATCGATTTCACTCGACGGCGAGGAACCATCCAAGGAAGTAAAAGCGTCGGACAAGTACAAAATGGTAGGTTTGCTATTCAGGAGCAAAGAAAAGAATGCGCTAACATCTGTTTTCACTTAGCTCTCCCACCTTGAGCATATTGTTAAGCGTCCGGATACGTATATTGGGTCAGTTGAGCGCACATCACAAGAAATGTGGGTCTACAACTCAGAGGTCGATGGAATGGAGTTTCGCGAGGTGTCTTATGTCCCCGGCCTATACAAAATTTTTGACGAAATTGTCGTGAACGCGGCCGACAACAAGCAAAATGATAAGAACATGGACGAGATTCGTGTGACCTACAGCAAGGAGACCGGTGAAATCAGTGTTTGGAACAACGGAAAAGGTATCCCAGTCGAAATTCATGATGAGAAGGGCATCTACATTCCGGAGATGATTTTCGGTAACCTTCTGACATCCTCGAACTACGATGATGACAAGGCGAAAATCACTGGTGGCCGCAACGGTTTCGGTGCTAAGCTCTGTAACGTCTTTTCCACCGAGTTCACTGTCGAAACTCAGGATTCTACACAGAAGAAACGGTACAAACAGACCTGGACGAACAACATGCAAAGTCTAGGAAAGCCGAAGATCACCACGGCCAAAGGTGAGGATTACACCAAAGTTAGCTTCAAGGCCGACTACGCGAAGTTCGGCATGGACGGCATTGATGACGATTTTGAGGCCCTTCTCAAGCGACGTGTCTATGATTTGGCTGGTACCACACAAGTGGCCGTTAAATTGAACGGGACCAAAGTTACTGTCCGGAACTTCAAGAAATACATGGAAATGTACACGAAAGCCATCCGCCGTGAGCGTGGTGACGATGACTCCAAGAGCGATCCGATTATTACCTGCAATCCCCATCCTTTCTGGGAGGTTGGTTTCGCCGTTTCGGACGGCTCCTTTAAACAAGTATCGTTTGTCAACTCTATCGCTACGACATCTGGAGGCACCCACGTGAACTTCATCGCCGACCAGATTTGCAACCGACTGGCTGAGTCGCTCAAGAAGAACAAGAAGGGAACAGGATCAATCCTGAAAACAGCTCAGATCCGGAACTACGTTTTCCTTTTCGTCAACTCGAAGATTGTCAACCCAGCCTTTAACTCTCAAACCAAGGAGCAATTGACCACGAAGTCAACTCAATTCGGAAGCAAGCCGGTGCTTGACGACGCCTTCCTCAAGAAGGTGGCCAACTCTGGTGTCCTCGACTCTCTCAAGAAATTCGCTGATCACAAAGCCGATTTAATGCTCAAGAAATCTGATGGCGGTCGACGAACTCGCATGAACAATCCGAAATTGACAGATGCGAACAAGGCTGGCACTAAGGATGGTTATCGTTGCACCTTGATTTTGACGGAAGGTGAATCAGCCAAGGGTTTGGCTATGGCCGGTCGTGGTGTGGTCGGTGCTGATCTTTTCGGTGTATATCCGTTGCGCGGAAAGTTGCTCAACGTGCGCGATGCTTCTTTTGATCAGATTTCGAAGAACGAAGAAATTCAAAGCATCAAGAACTTCATGGGTCTGCAGCACAAAAAGGAGTACACGGAGACCCGCGGACTCCGATACGGACACTTGATGATCATGACCGATCAGGATCATGACGGTTCTCACATTAAGGGTTTGCTGATCAACTTCTTGCAAGCTCAATTCCCGAGTTTGCTGAGAATTCCCGAGTTTTTGATTGAGTTTATTACACCCATTGTAAAAGTCTGGAAAGGCGATATCAAGAACCCGACCAAAGCGGTGTCCTTTTTCACTTTGCAAGAATACGACGCTTGGAGGGAGAAGCACGGTCATGAGCGTGGCTGGGAACACAAATACTACAAGGGATTAGGTACCAGCGGTGCTGAAGAGGCACAGGACTATTTCCGTGATTTGGATCGCCACTTGAAGGAGTTCCATACCATGCAGGACCACGAAGTTGAACTGATCGAACTCGCATTCTCCAAAAAGAAAATTGAAGAGCGCAAGGAATGGCTTCGTCAGTTCAAGCCGGGCACTTTCATGGATCATTCCGTGGACAAGATTTCGTACACCGACTTCATCAACAAGGAACTCATTCAGTTCAGTATGGCGGATAATGTGCGATCAATTCCGTCGGTTGTTGATGGCATGAAGCCCGGTCAGCGCAAAGTCATGTACACGCTCCTGAAAAGAAACATTAAAAAGGATGTTAAGGTGCTTGATCTTACCGGTCAAGTTTTGAGTTTGACTGCGTACCACCACGGTGATGCATCGATGCATCAAACTATTATCGGCTTGGCGCAAGACTTTGTGGGTTCCAACAATATCAACTGCCTGGAGCCTAGTGGTAATTTCGGTAGTCGTTTGAAGGGAGGATCGGATGCCTCTGGTGCGCGTTATATCCATACTCGGCTTTCTCCATTCGCTCGACGAGTCTTCCACGCGAACGATGATCCCATCTTGACACACTGCGAGGATGATGGCAAGCTGATCGAGCCGGAGATGTACATACCCGTTGTCCCGATGGTCCTCGTCAACGGTGCGGATGGAATTGGTACCGGATGGAGTTCTACAATTCCCAACTACAATCCTGAGGACATTGTGGAGAACTTGAAACGCATGATAAATGGCGAAGAAATGAAGCCAATGCAGCCTTGGTTTAAGGGCTTCAAGGGAGACGTTACCCCATTGGGTCCCGACAGATACAAGTTCAGTGGAATTATCAAGCAAATTTCCGACAAGGAAGTGGAAGTTACAGAGTTGCCCGTCCGAACATGGACCCAGGACTTCATCAACAAACTCGAGGACATGATCAAGGCCGAGAAGACACCCTCGATGATTAAGGACTATCGGGATTACAACACAAACTCCGACGTACACATGATTCTCCAGTTGGATGAGAAGAATATCAAGGCCCCCCTGACCCAGGAGGTCCTGGAGGACAAGTTCAAGCTCACTAAGACCGTGGCGACGTCTAACCTGGTTGCCTTTGACCCCGAGGGTCGAATTACCAAGTACAACAGCGTTGAGGATATCATGAAGGAGTTCTTTACTCTTCGTCTCAAGTTCTATGAGAAGCGCAAGGTGAGTGAAGTCCCATATTTAATCTAAACAATGATAATAGGAATAGCGCTAACTTCTATGCAGCAATTTCAACTTTCCCAACTTCAGACAGAGTTGGAGAAGTTGACCAACCAAGCGCGGTTTGTCCAGATGATCATCGATGGGGAGTTGATCGTTTCAAAGAAGAAGAAGACTGTTCTCGTCGGAGAGCTGAAGGAGAAGGGCTTTAAGGCGTTCCCCAAGGTGGCAGATGCAGCTAAGGCTGGTGAAACTGAGAAGGTTGTCGAGGAGGGGTCTGAAGACGAGGCTTCCGATGAACAGGGTGATTCCCAGAACCTTGCTTCCGCCTATGACTATCTATTGGGAATGGCCATCTGGTCCTTGACCCAAGAGCGAGTGGAAAGGCTACGCCGCCAGATCGGAGACAAGGAGTACGAGATCGATGAGTTGATTAAGCTCTCGAAGGAGGATATCTGGCTCCGCGATCTTGATGACTTTATCAATGAGTGGCGCTACCAGCTTTCAGAGACCGACCGCCGCCGTCGTGGGTATGAGAAGAAGGGTCGCCGCACTTCCACCAAGCTTGCCATGGGCGGTGGCAAGGCCGCTGGTGCGAAGAAGCGCAAGGCAGCTGACGACTCAGATGACGATTTTGTTGTCTCCAAGTCCAAGAAGAAGCCAGCAGCGAAAAAAGCCGAACCGCAAGGTGGGCTTATGAGCTTCCTGAATAAGAAGCCTAAGCCGACAGATAAGGGCTCTGACAGTGATTCAGACGACGAGTTTGATATGAAAGAAATCATACCGAAGAAGAGCAGAGGACCGACCAAAGTTTCACCCCAGCCGAAGGACGAGGATGGCGATGCCAACATGGGAGATTCTGATATCGAGATCATCCCTCAGAAGAGTCGAGCTGCGCCCAAGGCAGCGGCGAAGCCGAAGGATGAGGATGACGAAGATGTCAAACCCAAAGCGGCGCCTAAGAGAGGTCGCGCTGCAGCTGCCAAGCCCTCACCCAAAGACGACGATAGCGACGCCCTCGAGGACGATGATTTCAAAGAAATCACCAAGGCGGAGGCCGCCAAGTCAGCTCCGCAAAGTCGCACAGGCCGTGGTAAAGCTGCGCCCAAGTACGCATTGAGTGACTCCGAGAGTGACAACGGCGATGATTTGCTTGGTGATGTGAGCAAAATGGTCAAGGGAATTGGTGGGGCGAATGATTCTCGTCAACTATTCTCGGAACCGTCGCGACCTGGCAGTAGCACCGGCTTGCCGACTAGCTCGAAGACATCTAAGTTCTCCAACGAGTTCGACCCAGACGAGACTGACTACAGCAAGCTCATCCCGCAGAACTCGCCGCGCCGCTCTCTTCAGGTTAAGCCCAAGGAAAAGGCGTCGGATAGCGTATTGGAGGATGACGATGACGAGGAGGAAGAGCCAGCCAAACCTGCCAAGGGTAAGGCGGCCCCGAAAACCAAGGCTGCCGCTGCCCCTAAGGCAACTGCGGGCAAAGGTCGTGGCCGTCCCAAGAAGGACGCAGCTGCACCCTCCACTACCAAAGCTCCTACAAAGCAGACAACGCTCTCGCCAGCCGCCAAGGCGTATGCTTCCAAGCAGGCGAAGGCCGCGCCCAAGAAGAAGACAATAATGGATGATTCAGAGGACGATATTGATGCAATGGCCAACGACATCCTTGACTCACCTGCTGGTGTGAGAGACGAGGCCCCTGCGCGTAGCAACGCACGTAGTGCTGCAAGCACCTCCAGCCGACCGTCGAGACGGACTGCAACTACCAAGAAGAGCTACGTGGTTGAGGATGACGAAAGCGATGATGGGGCAGATGACCAGGATGATTCTTTTGATATGTCCGAATAAGCGAAGTTTAGTTCGATTTTCTCAGGGCGTTGATCGTCTCTTTGTTATGATTCTGTTTCGTACAATATTGCTATAAATTTTCCAGTTTATATTAAACTTTTCGAGGATGAGTTAATTTATTGTTTCTTTTCAAAACAATCTCCCAATACCAAGAATAAGTCTGTCTTGGATAGACATTCTGATTCTGAGCAGGCTGGTATATCTGCAGGATACCCCGCCATGGTAGAGTTACACGACTACGGCTCAGGTTCACGAGACCGTTGTCCAACAGAAAGGCTATGCTATCTAGCCAAAGGAATAAGCTTATGATGATGATGGCTTTGTAAGGATCAATATCATTTTCTAACAACAATAACAAAAAGAAGCACAAACATCACACTGCGGTGTAAGTCATAGCCAGCCGTAGTCATAGCCTGAGACTAAGTAGATGAGACAGGAGAACAGAAACATGTCCAACAGCTTAGACAAACTCAAAAAAGAAGAAGACCATGGCTAACTAGGCGAATACAATGCAAGTGCAGGCGCATATTAGATTCAGATTTTCAAATTCAAAACTCCGACCGGTCTATTGAGGGTACTGTTTCTCGGATTCATTTCTTCGTAAGGCAGTTGGGGGCGGGGTCCGCAGGACGGATGGAATGACAAACAGAGCAAAAATCAAATTAAACAAAGCAAAGTAACTGCGACCGAGCAGAGACAGCTTCTGAGGCGCTCAGGGTGCTGGCTTGCGTATAAAGCGGGCATTTAAAGCAGGGGGAAAGACTCAGGTTGGTATGTGAGTGAGTGGCCCAAGTCTGAGTGTCTCCATGGCTAGACGGTGGAACTACGCACTTGGGCCTTAATCGACCGGCAGGGCCTGTGCGGGCGATGACCTTGGTCAAATATGGCGGGATCGCAAGAGCTACGGTCGGATCGGATGTTAGGAGGCGCGGATGGTGCACGCCGTCTCTTCTGCCCCGACACTGGGGATGGGTTGCCGGAAGTGATGGGAGTAGCGAGATGGTGACCATCGCCATGATCCAGCTCATGGCAAGGGCAACGGCAAGGGCAACCATGACTATACTCAAGTCCATCATCAACACCATTGACATCGTGACGGGCGTCACTTGGAGAACTAACGGGCCTCCTCGCTGAACCCCGACGTAATCCCATCAAAGCCTGGGCTACCATTATCTCGGATGGTCGACGCCCGGGGATGGAATACCTGTCAGAATCGTGCCCACGTAGAGGCTCGGGCTCGCGATAGTCTTCGTTCTCTCCATAAGGATGAAATCTGGGGTTAGGAGGTACTATCCTCTCTCGTCTGTGACCTGCTATTGCGATTCTCTTCGACGGGCGGTACTCAGCCATATGCATGTCTGTGTCTTGGTGTCCATCGTCGTCTCCATCAGCGTAGATGTTACTGTCGTCGGCATAAAGGGCCGCAAGAGCGATTGGTCCGACGCTGTCGCTAGACCCCGAGCCCGAAGAGGGGGCTGAAGATGTAGATTCATCGGACGACGTGGCGTCTGGATCGGGACCAAAATAATATTCAAAGTCGGTTTCTGCGTCGGCGTCGGAATTGGCGTCGCTGCCGTCCGCGGCTGCGACTGTACGGATGGCGAGGCCTCTGGTGGTGAGTGTAGGTTGATTGGATGGGACAGAGCTAGGAATCACTCTTGCTTTTGCCCGCTCTCGTGCTCTCTCATTAGGGGTCGTAAGCGATGCGATAAGTCCGTGAGAGGATGGCAGGAGGTTGATCGAGTCATTGGCATAGATGTCTCTGCTGCGGGGCGTGTTGACGGGTGTAAATGAGCTTCGAGGCAGACTAACCGGAGAAGCATAATATCGCTCTGTGCTGCTGTAATATTCTCCCTCAGGAGACGATCCGTACCCAACCAGGGATGTATCAGTAGACGTTGAGGTGTTGCTGCGATGCCGACGTTGGTGGGACTTGGGAAGGATGTGTCGGCCTAGGGCTACGCTAGTCCGGCCTTTATCGATGCCGGGGGCGGAGCTCGGACGGTAGGGGTAGTCTGTTTGGAACGAGTCTGGCGGCGATGCACGAAGTTCAAGCAAGCGGTATTCGTCAGCGTTCCTCGTTGCGATCTGGACTATCGCGGGCTCGATGATCATTCGGCCGAACCGATTGCTGTCACTGGGCGGGATGCAAGTGTTTGGAAAATCGACACCGAAGATGGGCGTAAGTGCGTAGCGGATTTTCCAGCAAAAGGTTGCTGCAACGGCTTTCGCGGCTTCGTATGGCATCCAATATCCTAAGAAAGAGATATTAGAATGATTCCGACGTGCGTAGTGTGGGGTTGATTGGGCAATGTTGCTCACCTTGTGCCGCAAGAGCGCCGCCCGTTATGCTGTGGCAGATATCTCGAAGGCCGGGGTTTTGGTTCAGCATCTTCGCCGGGGTTGTCTTAGTCCAGTTAGTCTTTCTTCCCTCCAAAATTGAACGGCAAGCTTATTTCACCTTTGAGTAGTCATTGCATTTGAACAGATGGGTTATTCGGACGAGACCGATGTTGTAATCCCACATCACCGTCCACTGCTTCTCTTCGCCGGGAATCTGAAACGTGTACTGGAAAACCTCAAAGCTTTCGCGTCCTGTCCTTTCCTGGAAAGATTTCTTGTCGCTGTTGTACGGAATGTGGCGTGGGTAGTCGGCGATGTTGCCGAAAGGATGGATGCGAAAGTCATGATGCAGACTTGCAATTTCGCCGTTTCGCATTTCGCAAGGGGGATAGCGCACTTCACCTTTGGGCTTTCCGCGCTGAAAGATAGGGGCGTCTTTGGCCATCTTCTGTTTTTTCTGGCGAGGAGAGCGCAGCATGATGGTACTCGCGGAGCTTGTCGGCGAAGGTGTGGGAAGAGGATTGAGGAGAGATTCTATGGACACCATCTTATTATAAGTGAACAATATCCACTGTCTAAGATGAAGGTATGTTTCTGTTCTATCGGTGAGATCGGCTGCGTGCGAAAGTGGTAGACCACTCGGATGGCCGCAACGGAGACAGGCTGATCCAGAACTCTGATCGGTTTGACCGCCGTTGTCTGATGCTAAGACAACAGGAGATTAGTGATTCTAGAAGGCAGAGTTATGTCGCAAACGAAATGGGCTGTGGTGAGCGAGGCTATCCAGAAAAGCCCTTTGAAAGGCAACTGCAATGCACGGGTGTTTGAAGCCGATGGAACCCTAGGTGGCGATGGACCGGGGCGACGATGGAACTTGGCGAAAGAGAAAGAAGAAGAAATAATGAAAGAAAAGTGGCATCAAAGATCAGCAGCAATATAACTTCTGTTCACAGATTTACTGGGTGCAAGGCTGTCCACGACTGGTTAGGTGACGGCATTCGATGAAAGATTGTCTGATGGCTTTCCCCCTCTCTCTGTTTGACCGATTTGGAAATTCAGCGCCAGTTATACTCCTTTCTTCTTCGAAGTGAAGGGGCCAGGACAGCGGTGAACCCAAATAGTGAGTCAAACTCCTGCTCTAGACAGCCAAGTTGGGCGGATGTCTTGGATGGAAAGTCTGGTCGGCTTGAAAATAACCTCGCCGATTTTCAGACACTTAGGGTGGCATCACGAGGCACACGTCAAGAACGGATCAAAGGGCTCTGATGAGTTCTGATCTGCAATACTCCAAGCCCCCAGCTTGAGTATAGCAGGTACTCCCCAAGGGGGTACCTGGTTACCCTGCTTTGCAACGTTCCCTAGCTAGCTCAACGGGGGGAATAGACGAACATCCCCTCCAGGTTAGGCGCCATTTTTCGTTTCCCTCCTATTTCTGACTAGCTTGGAAACCGGGAATGCCGCTCATGACACGCAAATTGTCGAGGCTTCAGGTGTTTCATTCCCCATCTGCAGTTACCCAAGGTTAGGCTGCGGCAGGCTCAGCAACAAGAGACATGGTAAATCACGTTTCAGGAACTCCTGCAACCATGTGGAGGCCCTGCAGAGTTGACCGTAAATTGAAACTGGGCTTATGGCCACCTAAGCCAGGTTCTGGCTTCCTTACAAACAGGCATGAGATGGCGGTCTGGCGGAGATGAGCTCTCTAGGAGAGACCAGACCCCATGAAAGGCTAATAATAGGGTCGAGAGTCATGTATCGCAACAGATCACCCGTCCTCTGTCAGTGACAAGCATGGCTTATTCCTTTTCCGAGTCATGGAATACAGATATTGCTGGCAGGCGGGATCAACGACGATGGTACAGCGCCATCAACGAACTCGACCATCAGGTGGGAGAGCCGCTCGAGCAACCGGAAAATTAGCGCTCACAGCCTATCCACCAATAGGCAAACGGGTCTTGCCAGTGCTGGTGGGCGAGAAAGGGATCGGAGAGGTCTGAGGCCACGGAAAGCTGCATGAAGCCTTCCTCTTGTATGACGGGAAGCTGCGGTTGCTACCACCAACCAACGGGCCCACCTTGGCTAGATCTGCCTCCAGGTAAATACCAGGAGGGGTTTGTAAGACAGCAGCTTGGGTTGTTGTGGATCTGGCTAGGCAAATCCCAAAGTCAAAAGCCGAAAGTGAAAAGATGGGTGGAAAAGCCATGTCTCTGGAAAGGTTTCAGGCGCTCACGGATCGACCATTTCCTCCCCCCGAGAGTGCAAAGTAGGGAGGAAACAAACGAAGAGCTCGCTTGGCCAGTTATCCAGCCGACAGTCCGTTACATCCAAGATACGCCTAAAGTGGTATAGAATCTATCATGAGCTTGACCTCCTGTCGTCAGGCGACATAGCGAATGGATGGGTAGGCTCCAGCCTCACTCGTTCAAACGTCACACCCGCATTAGCTATGTTGCTCAACTCCGACGGATCGCCGTATGAGTTGCGTCTAATCATCAATGGCACAAGTGGCGATGCTGATACAGTGGAGCTAGAATACAACCATCTAAGTGGATAGGGGAGTCAAAGAGAACCTTCCACGCAGGCTTCTCTGCAGCCTCACAAAAGTGGTTGAGTCCAACATACAGAAGTTGTTTGCTATCATTGGTTGATGCACCTCATATCTGTATCCTTTCTGGGAGTGGATGCGGGTTCGTTTCACTCGAAAGGTCCATTGCAGCGTTTGGCCATGCTACCTGCCTTGAGGGGAGATAGGCCTCCACAACACCCCTCAAGGCTAACTGGAGGTGATTTTCAAAACTGAAATTTTGACTCTTGGCAGAAAACTAAACCATGAAGAGAGCGAAGGAGAAGAGATTGAAAAAAAAACGCGAGCTCTTCAGAGGAGGTGCGATACAGCACCCATGAGCAGTTGGCTACCACCAAGTCAAGTGGCGAATCGATTGAGACATACTGGAAGGTCTAGAAACGCAAATGTATCGTGTCAGTGGCTTGCAAAGCGTTGTAATGGCGAGACATTGAGCTGAAATTAGCCGAGTACTGGCGCTCCCAAGTAAACTCAGAAGGCAGGACTGTCGGAGGCGCTGCGGTAGAGTCGGGCACAAGGCTGATCAGTACGGGGTGCAGAAGAGGAGACGAAATTGCACAGGAGGCGATGAGCTGACGTTTCTGCTGCGTCTGTTCTTCTGCAGGAGAAGAGAGACGGTGAGGGAAGAAGCGCCGAGTGAGCACCTCCAGTGCCTATACAGCCTACGGCAGACTATTAGAACAAAACTGTAATAATAAAAATTTCATGTAAGTACTAGTATAAAGTAGTAGACTATTTTATTATCTATCTTACTTAGATATTTATTTTCTTTTATAGTTATATTAACCTTCCTGAATACTACTACTAGATATTATTATATAAACTATATATATAAATTATACTATATACAGCTATTAATCTTAAGCCTTATAAAATTAAGATTATTAATCTTTATATAGAGAATATATTCTATAACTCTATAATAAAATAACTTACTAGATCTTATAATATTATTATTTTTAAATATATATTTTATATATAACTTTATAGCTAGGGAATTTAAAAGTAAAATTATATAATAAAAATTAATAAAATTCTATATTTTTAAATTAAAATTCTTTTTTATTAAATTAATTTTAAAGAAGATAAGCTTTTTAAAATTCTATAATAAAATAACTTTAATATTAGTATTTATATACTCTAGTATCTTTACTAAAAGCTTAGATTATATTAATAAATTAAGAATTCTATAACTACTTAGATATAAATAGATAATATATTTAAATAGCTTTATATAAAGCTTAATTATAGCTAAATTAAAAAATATAATAAAATCTTACTTTATATTTATTTCTAGAATAAGGATTATTTAATAACTAGATATATTATTTAAAATCTAAGTATACTTAAAATTAATATTTTTAAGGATTATCTTTATTTTTTATATTAAGAACTTATATTTAATATTATATAATAATATTTTTAAGATCTTTAATAAGAATATAATATTTATATTATATCTAGATCTAACTTTATTTAATTTATAAATAGATATTTTAAGCTTATTCTATATAGAATTAAGATATATATAATAATTAATATCTATTTTTACTATATTCTCTAGATTTATATTAGAATTATCTCTTATATAGTAATTAATATATTCTATTAGTTTCTAGAGACTATTTAAATTATTAAATACTAGTCTTATATTATATAATTAGATTAAAAAATAGAGATAGTTTTATTAGTAAAAACTTAATATAAGTTTTAGAAATTAAGATATCTTAAAATCTAGCTAACTAACTATTATATCTATAATATAAATATTATTAATTAATAGATTAAAGCTTAATAAAATTAATTAAATAAAAATTTATTATTTTACTAGAGAATATATATATTATTTTTTCTATTTTATTTTATATAAATATTAATAAAAAAAGATAAATTTATTTCTAATCTCTCTAGAAGATAAAGATCTATTCTAAGAATAATCTAATTAATTAAATTATATTATATATAGTTTATATATCTATTCTTTATTTTAAAATAATCTTTTTTATATAAACCTAGAATAATTATTCTATTTATATATAAAAGAACTAGTTATATCTTATTTCTAGTAAGCTATTTATAAACTTTAACTATCTTAAAAATAGTATACTTAACTATAATCTTAAATTTAATAAGAATCTTCTTTCTTCTTTATTAGAAGATATATAAGACTAGAATAAATAATCTATCTTTATTTAAAAAAAAATCTTAATTAATTTTTAAAGATACTAATAAATATTTATTTTTTACTATTTTTAATTAAACTAGAGTTTAATTAAAAAAGCTTAACTTTAATTTTAAAAACTCTCTAAAATATACTAGAGAAGATATCTTTATTTCTTATTATATAATTTACTTTAATTTACAGGCTTGGATTTTAATCTATATTACTAAAAGGAATAAATTAGAGCTAGATCTATTAAACTAGCTAGTTAGAGATTTTAATTAAAAACTAGTAATTAATTAAAGTATCTCTTAGATTAAGATTTTATATAATTAAGAGATATTTAAAAATAATATTTAATTAAATCTAGCTTTAGCTTTAAATTCTCTATACTATTATTTTAATATATATATTTCTTCTCTCTTTATATAAGAATAAAACTATAATATTCTTTTCTATATAATTAGAATAAGTTCTTAGTTCTCTTTCTACTCTTATATAGCTAAAATATATAGAGATACTCTTATCTATAATATATATTCTATTTAATAGAGTAGAACTACTTTATCTTATATAAAAAATATAAAAATTATTAATCTTATTAATTCTTTTTCTATTTTATCTTTAACTATAATTACTATCTTTTCTTCTACTAAATCTTTACTATAAATAATATAGTTTTTATATTATAATTATAATAGAGCTAAGTAGCTATACTAGACTACTATTACTTATATAAAACTAAATAAATTAGATAATACTATACTAGTCTTTAATCTTTTAATCTATTTTTATTAGCTAAAGTAATATATATATAATAGAAAGTATAACTCTTTATATAAGTTTAAACTTTAAGTTTAATCTTTATTAGATATTAATATCTACTAGATTAAGTTTTTACTAAGCTTTATCCTTATATAATTAAATCTTTTTATAATTTTATTTATATAGACCTTTTACCTAAGCTTTTAGATAAATATAAAAAGAATAATAATTAATATATTCTTATTTAAATAATTTAAAAAGCAGAGCCTGTATATATAGTTTAAAATATTAATAGAAAATAGCTTTTTAAAATATTCTTAACTAATTAATTTTAAAATAAGAGTAGAAAGCTTAAAACTATCTATATAATTATTATATAAAAAGAAGATATAATAACTTCTATTAAGATTAAGAAAGAAATAAAAAAGATAAAGAAAAAACTTAAGAAAAAACTAAAAATTAAGTCTATCTTAAAAATTAGAATAAAGCTAGTTATATAAAAGAAGTATTTATTCTTAATTATTTCTATTAAGCTAGAACTAGAAAAAATTCTAGCTATTAAAAAAAAAAATCCTAGTCTTTATTTAATTTTTTATCTCTATTAATACTACTTTTTAGAGATAAAGAAAGTAAAGTAGTTTTTTATATAAGAAAATACTATACTTTTTAATCTAAGAATATTAAATACTCTATAGAATTTAGGCTGGTTTAACTACTATTTATATCTATATATAGAGATTATCTACTTAATTACTTACTTAAATTATTATATACAGGCCTTAATATCTACTAGATTATCTTTTTAATTATCTACTTAGATTATTATATATAGGTTTTAATACCTACTTAATTACCTGTTTAATTACCTGTTTAATTACCTGTTTAATTACCTGTTTAATTACCTGTTTAATTACCTGTTTAATTACCTGCTTAAATTACTATATATAGGCTTTAATATCTACTTAATTATCTACTTAAATTATTATATACAGGTTTTAATACCTGCTTGATTATCTACTTAAATTATTATATATAGGCTTTAATACCTGTTTAATTATCTATTTAGATTATTATATACAGGCCTTAATATCTAATTAAATTACTACTTAATTACTTATTTAATTTTCTGCTTAAATTATTATATATAGATCTTAATATCTAGTAAATTATTAATAATTAATATATTACTAGCTAAAAATAATATAATAAAACTATATTAGAGTTTCTTATTTTTTACTTTTCTTTTTTCCCTTAATATCTACTACTATTATTACTACTATTACTATATTATATAAAGCTTTATTAAGTCTCTTTTCTCTTTATTCTAAAATTATTATTAATTTTTTTATATAAATCTATATAATTTTTATTAAATTTAGTATAGATCTAATAAAAATTATATAGATTTATATATATATTTCTAGAATTAATAATAGTAATAATAATAATAATAATTATATACTTATAATTATTCTAGAGAATCTATTTTATTAGTTATATAAAGCTATATCTTCTAGATAGAATCCTATTCTTTTTATTTAGAATTAGGCCTATCTTATACCCTATATTTATATAAATATAGGTTTATAACTACTAGCCTAATCTAGATAATTTATATCTTTTATTTATAATAAAATATTAGCTAGATAGATATAGTAATATTATTTTTTATATATTAATATTCTACTAATTTAATTAAGGGATATTTAATTAGTCTAGTCTTATATATATTATTAAAATAGACTTAACTATTATTTATTTTTTTTAATTACTATTATATACCAGGTAAATTCAGGGAAGTATATACTAATTATAAATAGTTTAATAGAGCTAATTAGTACTCTATATAAAATAATTTATAGATAAAACTAAGAGAGTAAAAGCCTAGTCTTTTTATTAAAGAATATAGTAATTTAGAAAAAATTATTAATTATCTAATTAATTTAAATCTAGAGAAGAGTAAAGAGAAGAATCTAATTAATTTAAATAAGAAGAATAAAAAAAAGAAAAAAAAAAAAAAAGAATAATCTAATTATTCTATAAAATATATATAATTTTTTATATTTTCTTTATTTACTAGATTTAGGTAATCTAGTATCTCTAGTTATATAGATCTTATATATAATATTTTAAGTAAAGCTTATATCTTTTTATAATATTTAGAATAAGTAGCTGCTAGTTACTGGTAATAAAACTAAGCAGGCTATTATATATATAGTTTTCTACTAATCCTATTACTAGTACTTACATGAAATTTTTATTGTTGCAGTTTTGTTCTAATAGTCTGCCGTACAGCCTGTGCAAACAGGACAAACTCGCAGCACTTAATTTCGCTCGACGCAGGACCGTTGACCGAGCTGAGACGAGACGGTCTGACTCCTCGGTCATTTCTCGCCCGGGTGATCCCTGTTTCCAACGGCATTGTAAAACATCCCGGGAACACTTGTGCCACTGCGCTCGATCTATCTGGGGTAAGGGGAATAGGCCGGTGACGCAGCTCTGGAGCACGCCAGCGTTCGGATCCAGCGCTCGATCATTCGCCTCTCTCGTTGCTTGAACCTAGAAGCATCACACAAGATAGAGGTTGGTCATCGCGGCCGGTTGTGTAATTCGGTGGTGAAACGGCGATTACTCGTAGTGAAGAAACGTCCCTTGCGTTGGACAGCCTGGTCCCTCGAGACCAATATCAGGGATCATGGACCTTTGCTAGGCGACAGTGACCACCGTTCTCTGCTACAAACTCTAGGAGGATCTTGTACATTGGGCAAATTGTCCACCAGCGTTCAACGTCTGAGAATTAAATCGAACTCTATACTATGAAGAAAAGATGAAAGAGTAATGAGTGAAACGAAGAGTAACAAGAAACAGGTCGAAGCGAAGATAGAACATGAACAGGTTGAAAAAAAAAAAAAAAGGTGAAAGGAGGCTAGAAAAAGAAGGAGGCTTTCAAATTCGTACCATCTCATCATCGTACAGGCCAAGCTTGCCATCTGAGGTCCCTTCACATCAAGTGGTTTCATCAGTGCGTCGGTGCGCAAGACTAGGTCACCAGGCGCGTGGATATTGGACTCAAACAGTAGCTGTGATCTCCAATACAGCCCGGATGACCACGGTATGGGTAATGGTAAACTATGGGCAAATGAGGTTGGTAGACGCTCGTCTAAGCAGCCACAAGAGGCTTCGTCTCAGACTGAGGCTTCTCAATGGACTGCGCCACCGGCTCGTCCCTGGGGGCGTCAGGGAAATCAGAGGTCTTGACAAGGGGCTCAGGCTCGGCCTCCTTCTTGACGTCTGCGGCTGGAGGTGGGACGGCAATGGGAGCTTTGGCAACCTCGGGAGAAGTAGAGCGGCGGTTGCCAATGTACTCCTGGGCCTTGTTGCTGTAGTCTCCAACATACTGTTTCACCAGTCCGGTGGCATGAGAAGTGCGCTCTTCCGCCAGGCCCTTCAGCTGGTGGGCTTGAGAGTTGGCCAGCTGCTGAGCGTGTTCGATCTGGGCATCGATGAGCTCACGGTTGTTGATGTAAACAAGAGGTCCTAGGTAAGCTATGGTGACGGCCAAAAGAGACAGACCCCAGAAGGGAAGGATCTTGATTAACCAGTAGGCAGAGAACGCCGCGGAAAATCCCTAGGCATCGAGTTAGGACTCAAATTTCATTTCTTCAAGGTGGGCGGTTTGTGGTTGACTCACAGCCACGGTGTGAACAGCGTTCTCCGCAAAGAGGATGCGCTGAAACTCGATGAGGACAAAGTCGACGAGCTGCCCAAAGTCCTCCAACACAGCTTCAATGGTTTCCTTGGGAAGGGTATAGTATTTACGAGGACGGAATGAGCTGGCGAGGCCCTGTGACAGCACTAGTCTGCCACCAATTTCAAGTGCAGCCATGGCTAAATATCTGTTAGCGGTGTTCCTCCACCGCACAGGTTCCCAAACTTACACCCGAGAGCTAGGTAGAGGAATTTGAAAAACCAGCGAAGAAGAGGCAGATAGCGCGCGGCGAAAATAAAAACAACAACACTAGCAAAGGAAGCGGCGGTGGCACGAGGTTGTTCCCACTGGTATCCGCAAGGCTCGGTTAGTGACTATTTCTCGGAAGTTACAGCCGGCATTCATTACTTACGCTGAGAAGACTGTACAGCAGGGAGTGATAGTCTGGTCGCGGTTAGTGGAATCATTCCGGTCGGTGTCTGATTGCATTTACACACAGGTCAGAGGCTGGCCGGTGGCCGTGGTGGTGGAAGGAACCACTTTCGAGCTCTGCAAGTCGCGAAATTCTTGCCCAGTGCGGGAGGCCTCGGATTTGATGCCACCAGCGAGCGGACCTAACGGCGCGTCAGTATTTCTGCCGGAGTTCGAGGCCGTGGTTGCAGTACCATTTGTTATCGGATCCTGGGTCTCTGAGGGCGCAGAAAATGGTCAGTTTGTGTAACTTTTCATGGGAGTATTCCGGATCGTCGTTAGGCAATGCTATTACTTGAGTAGAAAAGAAGATCAGCCTCAATTCACTTCGGATGAGGATAGAGATGCCCCTTACCTTACTGGAACCCGTATCGGGATACCTGACTTGGCCAGCGTTGTCGGCCATGGTTGTGGTGTCTGTGCGGAAGCTCAAGGGCCCAAATAAACAAAGCTGTTCTGGGCTGATAAGGGTCCAGGAAGATGACGGATGGCGAAGATGCAGATAATTCGATGACAGCGGTCAACGAGGGGGAGGAAGCGATGAAAGACGCAGGAGAGTGAGGGAGGTGAGGAGGGGAAAAGACGCAGCAGGACAGGGAAGGGGAGCGAGAGAAAAGATAGGGATCGGAACGGGTGATGCAATTGACAAGCGAGTCGTGTGCTGTGCTTCCACTTGGGCTCCGACTCTGGAGTCTGCAGGTTCCACCGTCCAGCAACGAGAGCACAACCAAATAAAGCGCTTCCACACTTTGCTCTCTGACCTAGTTTCCTACTCCGGTCGCTCCCAAGCTCATCGTGCACCGACGCTCTGTCACTGATGACTTGATTCCCACGTCAGTCGGGCCAGACCAATCGGCATGTGATCGCACCCTGACCTCATTCCGACCCTTTTTAGCTCATCCCTATAACAACTGTTTATTATGCCTTGCATTATTGTGCTCTGAAGTAGTCTACGGATGCATCGGAATCTGCCCTGTCCGCGCCTACAGCTTTTTTTTGGCTGCACCCCCGAAATAGAAGCTTAGAAGTATTTGAGCTTAAATCCAACGTTCCGAAGCCGCCGGCAATTAAGTTTGCCGCTTGACGGGCCTAGTCAGATCGCCTCGATCATCAACTATATCATACAACTTCCGTTTGAGAGACTGCGAGTATACGATGTAAACTTGGAATGCAAGATCGGTTGTTAAGAGCCACGGCTATTCAAATTCGATATAGATAGTTAGACACCCGTCCGGGGTTAGACTCCCTTTGCGGCTTACAATGCTGCAAGCTCGTGGCTATTGAGTATAACACTACGAGAATCTACAATTCAAGTGTTTACGTTTTGTGTGCCGTGGAAATAATCAGAAACAGCATATTTTGTAGCCGTCACCCCTTGTTGCTTGGGTATCATTTCGGTCTGTTACATTATATATTTTGCTCGCAGTACCGGTCGACAGGTGTTTACAACTTGGCAATACGCTATTTGAACGAATAACAACGGCGAAACCACATATTTATCAAATACACTGTTAAGTATCATATTTATCTTCTCTTTTTCTTCTATTTCAATGGGCGGGGTAAATGTTTGTACGTACGTAGTGAGGCGTTCTGCCTGAGGATTCGTGAAGCGATATCACGTGATCTGGTGGAGAGACGCGTAGCCGATGTTTTGATTGCTTGTCTCCCGCAGCTACGTCGACCTCAATCTCCGAGTCAACCACCGACACCAGCCGCCCACCACCGAGTTTCGATGATTTATTCTTGACTATAGATTCACTAGATGGGTTTATCTAACCTTAGCTAATTCTTTTCCGACCTACCCCTTCTTCGACGCGACTGCAGCTCCCTGCTGCCTTTGTTTACATCGTCATGGCCGCAGCGGGCGCGAGGGCGCAGAAGCCGGTTGGCTCTGCAGCCTGGATTTCCGCCGAAAAAGAGAACTGCACGCAGCTGGTAGACCAGGAGATGGAAGAAATCGAGTTTCCTGTGCGCTATGAGATGGAATGGTTGGACGAACATATGGGCGAGATCTTCTCAAACAACCAATTGTGCGTGGATTCTCACGGTCGGGAGCTGAGCTTTGACATAATTAACATACCCGCAGTAACTTCACAGATGCCTTCAAAACTCCTGGAAAATTACGAGGCAAGACTCCTCGCACATTGCGAAAGCGTGACCCGACAGAAAATCGCGTGGTTTGTTATCCCCATCTTTGGGTGTGTGACTCTTGTTGACCACCACAGCCTCTGAGCGAGATATTCTCGTCCGTGAAGAAGAACCGAGCCGACACCAAATTTTCCCCTAGCCCCGCCGTCCAACGCTCGCCCACGAAGGCTATAAATGCCCCGTCAGCACCTACTTCTTCGACTCAAGGGAAAAGCAAAGCGGCAGAATCTACCCAACCCCAATACCCCGAATTACCCCAGAACATCAATTCCTTCTCACAATACAACACGGACTCCGGTTACCATGGAATGCAAGATGATAATGATGATGATGATGATGACGACGAGGTGGTTCTTACACAAGTCGCGCCCGAGTCGCAATTATCCACACAACCTTTCGACAGTGAGCCCATAACAGGCAATGGAGAGGCGCGTCGCTCATCTGTTGGCCGCCGCACAACCGATGCTTCGTTCCACTCAGCGCACGAGGACGTGCGCCATCGTGGCGACACTGTTGAACCAATGAACATAGATTCGCCAAAGCAACCTCGCAAAGAAGATGCAAATGCCGCGGAACCAGCTAAGGATGATGACCCGAAAGAAGACGCGATCATGGAAGACAGGCCTGCCAATGAACCTGAGGCCGCAAGCGCGCCGGATGGAAGGGAGGCCGATCTACCGGTCAATGATGCGGAGCCATCACCGGTTAAAACCACCAGTGCCCAGCGTGTCTCACTCCAAGAGGACAAGGAGCCCGAGAAGAACGACCCCGAGAAGGATGAAATGGCTCTCGACAATTTGGACGATATCGGCTCGCCGTCAGATGCTGATTCCCCGGAGCGACCACCGATTCGCAAGAGCAGTCTAAGCTTTGCGTCTCTTCCTGCTCGGGAACCGCTTGGTTCCAAACCCCTCGGTGGCTCAAGACTTTCCAGGACCAGCAACCTCGACTCCATCAAGCCGACTACTGCAGCTGGCTCGAATTATTTCGGCCGACAGACTGGTCATCGAATGACTCAGGCGGTGGATGAGAACCCGCAAGCTGAGAAGATGGATGTCGACGAGAGTAAACCTACTGCCAATGAAGAGTCGGATGTGGATTCAAAAGCCACCAAGCTTCATAACAAATCATCAACTCAGCGGCTACACGAGAAGATTAGCATGCTCGGAAAAATGCAACCTTCGCGACCGACGAAGTCAATACCTGCAGTTGCAAATTTGTCGTCAGTGCCTGTATCGTACCCTGAGCTCCCTGCAGCACAGCCAGAAGCCAAACCGGAAGTATCCAGCTCTAAACAGAGAGATAACACTCCCCCTCGATCCACGCCCAACGCGGATGAAGACTGGGTAAAGCCAATGAGTTCACCATTCCAGCCGTATCCTTCGACAGCTAAAGCGATGACGAGCAAGCCATCCGGACCTCCAACAAGCGATGCCCCGGAGCAACCATCTTCGCCCCTCAAGAGCGCAGCGACCCAAGGAACAACGAGAACCCATGTTAGACAAACTTCAGAAATACCGCGTGGTAAATCTGCTACTCCGGCTTTCTCATCACCGCAAAGATACGGTCACCAGAAGAGCGCATCTGTCAACATTGACAACAAGATGACAACGACACCGATCGGTTCCCCCCATCGTCAGGATGGCCCATTGAGTGCGTCCAAGTCTAGGCTTCAGTCGATTGTGCGATCTGCTAAAGGGCTCTTCACGAGCTCTGGAGGCGTGTCAGCGGCTGCCCGACAAGAGGCCTCTTCGCCGGACGAACCTAGGACGCAACTCCAACGCGCACATACGGATATCGAACGAACTAGCCAGCGACCTTTATCGGCTCATAGCCCCCTTCGACAGGAGGGACGCCGAACGCGGAGCTCCACTGAGCGAGAAGAAAAGCGCAAGCAGCAGGAGATTGATGAGCGAAAGCGAGAGGAAGAGGTGCTTGCAGCAGAAAAGACGCGACAGGAGGAGAAGCTACGGACAACACAACAGAAGGCAACACGAGAGCGGGCGCGTACAGAATCTGAAGCGCGCGGACCGGCTACTTACCCTACACTCCCCTCGAGTCCCATCCGAGCAACCCAGATGAAGTCTTCCAAAGATCCTGAACTACCTGCCGAAGCTGCTCCGAAGGCTGCCGCTCAACCCTCAGCACCTCAATCAACACGACCAAACGACCGCCGCCCGACAAAGCCCACCCGCGAACCCCAGCAAAAGCCGAAACCGCAGCCCGTTTCAATCCGGGTCGGCAGTGCTCTTTCCCGCCAAATACCTTTGGCTTCCTCCATGGCCTCCGCTAGCGAGTCAAGCATACCAGCACCGGTCCCAACCCCGTCTACAACGAAAGCGGCGTCCGTGAAGAAGAAGGCCAGCAACCAATCACTCCACACAGCCTCCTCGAACAGTAGCTTCAAGAGCTCTGTCTCGAGCCAGACGCAGACGCAGCGAAAAGCGCAGCTTGCGAGTGAAAGAAAGCGGGAACAGGAAGAGCGCGAGGCGCGGCGCAAGGAGGATCAACGGCGAGAAATGGAGCGCAAGCGAGCGGCTCAACAAAGCCGGGCTGAAGCTGAGCGCCGCGAGCGACAAGCCGAAGATCCCAAGAAGACGGCTCAGATGCAGGCGATTGAGAAGCGGCGATTGGAAAATGCGCGACGACTTGAGAGACAGGGCAGCCAGCAGCCGGAGACGGTATGCTTTCCCCTTCCTTTTTGTGTGTGAGACCGATGTTAATTGACTTAGGGACCGAGCCACTCGGATAAGACCGCTTCTCAGGCGTCTCAACGCGAAACTGCCGGACCCAACCGTCCAACCTCGCGATTGGGATCGGTCCTTGGCCGAGCAATCAACCCACCTGTACCCAACCCGGCGAAACCGCCCAAGAGAGGACTGGAAGAGGAGCAGGCAAGCCACCGCGCTGCAGCGGCTAAACCTGGTGCAATGCAGCCTTCTGGGGAAACTAAGCGGAGGAGGACAGACGACGAAGAAAACCATGCGGCCATGCGCCCAACCATGGCGCCGCCGATTCGTCAATCGAACATTCGAAAGGTACGTGACTGTAGACCGCAAACCTAGAGATACATTCTGACTGGTGCAGGAACCGGCTAAGAAGCCATCCATGTATGGAAATGGGCAGAATGCCCAGGCGGGATCCTCGATTTTCAAGACCGGCCAACCCCAGCGACCAGGGCACCCGATGGACATGGCCAAGTATGCCAGTGGCAAGATTCCTTTTGCAGAGTCTTCCAACGCTGCCGGCCCATCACAGGCCCATCGCACACCAGGTGCTAGCTCCAGCAAAGCGCCGAAGCAATCGCCTAATTATCCCAATGGCGAGAACATCAACCTTCCTGAAATTGCGACTGATAGTGAGGACGAAGATTCGGAGGCTGAAATGCTCCCAGTCCCTAACTGGGCACAGCCGAAGGAACTCGAGACGTTGCTCCGAGACCAAGAAGGCATGGAGGTGGACTCCATCTTTGGACCGATAGCACCGTTCTCGCTGGAAGAGACGTTCAAAGCGGACAAGAGGATCAAGAAGTTCCGTGACCGGACGAGTAGTGCGAACTGGGCTGGGCCTGATGGGCTCACGCAGGACGAGATCCGGAAAGATGTTGCGGAACGACAGCGCCTCCGCATGAACGGAGGATGGACTTTTGGCATGTAGCATTTGAGCCTGCAGCTCTAGTTGGCGTTTGTTTATTGTACACTGGCGGGAAGGGCATGGCGTTAGGATAATTTGCATAAGCATAGGCATGTTTGCTCAATGGAACCTTTTATTCAGCCAGTATACAGATCTGCGGTATTGGATACTTGTATCCTACAACGTTACTAAATCATGGATGGAGGCATGGTTAGAGCATCGATGGATCCGTGCATTAACAGACCATGAAAGACGAGCCAATCCAAAGCACAAGAATAGTCGGCAGATCGACATGGACGTGCAATTGTAGACGAAGTCTAAGCTTATGGCAGTTATGGCGCAGACTGCGGCTCAGTGATGTGCCAATAAGCTCAGTCGAGATTCCGCCCCCTTTCCCCCTCTTCCAAGTTCCCACTTCCTCACCTGCCTGAATATTAATCTTGCTACCGTTGCCATCTCTTTCCTCCCCGATAGTAGGTACACATTGCAGAAACCATGCCAAAGGGCATGCATAACCCGCTGCCCGCGTCTCTGGGCAGTAAGTTCAAGTCCCTTTTCCTCACTTCAACTCCCTACCAACCCAACCCGCCCTGGCCAAATCAATCACATGGAGCAGACCAAGCTGACGAAACCAGGCGAATGCAAAAAAGCAACGCAGATACTTGACTCCTTCGTCAATGGCTCGTGGCGCGGGAGTCCGGGGCGCGAACTGCCCGAGCGCGTTTTGAGGGAGGCCAAAGTCTGTTATAACCTTTCCTGTCACCATGTCTTCACTTATACTTATCATGGATAGGGCATTGCGATTCTAACCGTGACAAAAGCCGGGTTCTTGGGGTCTGCCCGCTTTGGATCGGGTGTGCTCATTGCGCGTCTTCCTGATGGACAAGATCAAGATACTGAGGATGGTGCTACATCTACAGCTTCCCCTGGTGGTGGTCGCTGGTCACCCCCCTCAGCGATCGGTATCTTCGGCGGCGGATTCGGCGGACAAGTCGGGTTCGAACTCACGGACTTTGTGTTCATTTTCAATTCGGCCTCGTCTCTGGCTTCATTCTCGAAGTCCGGGTCACTGACTGTATCGGGGAATATTAGTATTGCGTTTGGGCCCTTGGGTCGGAGCGCGGAGATTGCAGGCGGCGTTAGCGGTGCTGGGGCAGGGAAGATGATGAGTTTTGCGAAGACGAAGGGGCTTTTTGGCGGCGTGAGCCTGGAGTCTGGGGTTCTTGTTGAGCGGCGCGGGGCGAACAAGAGGTTTTATGGGAAGAATGTTAAGACGGCGGAGATTTTGGGGGGGAGGGCTGTGCTTGAGAATGAGGAGAGGGAGGGAGATGCGGTGAGGGAGTTGATGAGGGCTTTGGGGGATGTGTTTGATGCGAGCTCTGCGAGGGCTGGAGAGGAAAGGGGACCAGAGTCAGTATCAGCGCCAGCAGTAGCACCAACAGTAGCACCAACAGTACCAGCAGCAGAGCTACCGGCAGAACTACCAGCAGAGCCAGTATCAGGAGGACCACAGTTGGGACAAGCGGCTCAGAATACGGCAGGTGCAGGTGAAGCCGTAGATAGAGAAGCACAAGCGCAAAGCCAGCCCGTACGGTCTGGATAGCTGTTGATTAATTCAAGACCAAGACCTCTACTAAACAGATTTCGATACAGAACCATCAGTGCCTTTCTTTCTCTCCACTCCATCCCAAATATACCCCTGTGCAGCAGCAGCACGCTCCATCAGACCAAAGATAATCTTCGGCGTAATCCCCGCTGCCCGGAACCCAGTATCAATCCACCGCTCAACAGCCTTGACCGTCACAGCCCACGCCCGGTCCGTCAATGAAGACTGCGGCCGAGCACAGAGTTCTGCGAGCACAACCAGTACGGCATGCCATTGCGGATAGCCCTCGAAGAGCCATGACCACTGGCTTGTCCGGGTGTCTGTTTCGAGGAGATATGCAAAGTCGATTACTTCGACGGCGGTTGAAAGGAGCTGTTCTCGTAGAGGATCCTCTGTCCCCGGCGCGATTTCAGCATCTGCTATAGTTCCTTGGGGAAGATGGGCGAGGAGCCATGATCGCGCGAGTGCGAGCCGGATTACCGTCGCCGTCACCCACTGGATGGGAACTGAGGTGTCGCAGAACTGGAGATAGTGCTTTTGTAACCGGCTGTGGACGTGGTCTAGCCGACGAAGGCGTTCTCCTAGTGGCGATGGGCCTCCGCTGCTGCTGGAATTCAGGTGAGCCTGTCGATAAAGAACAGTCATTTCGCATCGTACCGTGCAGAACGTTGACTCTGTGAATCCAACACGTTTCTCAGGTTGCTGCTGAGCCTGGTCTGGCGACAAGTCCGTATCGTCTATATTCAAAAGCAATCTCGTGTCATAATAAGAGTCCCCCTCCGAGATTTGCGGCCCAATACCCCGGAATTCAGACGACCGCGAGTCCAGCAGGTAGATAGCCCACCACAGCCGGCGCCGCATTTCCGTCTCGTAGGCACTCAGCCCGAAGTGGGTTCCGTCACGGTGGATGCCTAGGCCCTGTGCCATGCGGACCAGCGCCGCGGTCATGGCCCATACAAAGTCCGCGTCGCCTGGGTGGCGGAGACAGGATAGGAAGAGCGTGGCTGCTTGAAGAAGGGGGAGGGTCTGCGATTGCATGAAATTTGCGCGAGCTAGGGCTTGCTGCGTTGCGAAGCGGTAGTGCTGTATGAGTAATGGGCGGTCTTGTCCTAGGTCCTTTGAGCACTGTTCTGGGCTCATGCTGGTGATTGCTGCGAAGTAGATGGCGAAGACTATGGCTTCGCTGGCTCGGTCGATGGAGCTGCCGCTGGAGGAGTTGGAGATGAGTGCATGGATTGTTGGCTTGTGGAAGATCATCACCACTGGGGCGACGTTTTCTTCGAATGCCTTGCACAGTATTTGGCTGTGTGCTGGGCTGGGGTGGAAGGCGTCCAGCGAAGATGCCATCGACGAGTATCCGAACAGAAATTGGTTGCCGTTTGGCGAGTCCTCATCAGGGGTACTGAATTGGCCATGGTCATCATAGTCTTGAATGCTAGGGGAGTTTGCTATATCTTTGAGGTTTTCAATCTTCTCTCGTTATCATGGGCGTATTCTTAGCACAATGTAGGGCTGCTGACCTGGTCCATAAGACCAACTAGAGCATCGTGGGTAACATAACGAGTCGAACCCTCACCTGGCATTAACCTTCCATCCTCACTAGCTGTAGCCTCCGCGACACTCTCGCTGCCGTCCAGGGAGTCATGTAGAGTGCCATTTCCAGGCTCCGTCGTCAAACCCCGAACCTGCTGCTCCAGACTTTTCAAGCGGGATACAAGCTCAGCCTTCAGCGGCCTCTTCTTACGCCGTGGAGCGCGACCAGGACCAGGAAATACACAGTCGGAATTGGACTCGACGCAGCTGGAACAGGGCTGCGATTTGCTGCACCGGATTTTCTTCTGGTTGCAGCGGTGGCAACTGCGTGTGGCGGGGGACAGAGAGTCGGTGTTCTGGCCGGATTGCGAACTGGCCATGTGTCCCGATAAGACTGCGGAGAGGTAAATACAGGAAAAAGTTGGAAGCTGGGTAGGGCTAACGTCATGAAGAGGAGTTTGTAAGAATCGCATCGTCGGGATCTAAATAAGGCCCGAGATGAGTAAGACGATTAACTCAACTAGTTATAAGGGACCACCATGGAAACACGTTGACCTTGTTTGGTACAAATCTACAAATCATGCCTGAGACTTTCGACAGTGTAATTCCCAACGGCTCGTGGGTTCTAGTGACTGGCGTTAATGGATATGTCGCTTCTCACACTGCAGACCAGCTCCTGCAGCATGGGTATAAGGTCCGCGGGACTGTGCGAAACACGACGAAGAATCAATGGATAAAAGACCTCTTCGACCGCAAATACGGAGCAGGCTGCTTTGAACTCGGCCAGGTCGAGGATATGACCAGTCCAGGGGCATTTGACCACGCGGTTAAAGGTAAGTTCTCCCAGTTGGATACGTACTCCTCCTGCTGACCATCCAGGTGTATGGGGAGTTGTGCATGTAGCGACAATATTTGGCCAAACACCTGATCTGATTTCTCAGGTGGTTGACACGAACCGGAATCTTCTGGCTAGTGCAGCTGGCGAAACGACTATCAAGCGGTTTGTGTATACATCATCGTCCGAAGCAGCGGTCTTTACATCCTCCCACGAGCATAGAAGCACTGAGAGAACCAATATAACCATCGACACGTGGAACGAAGAGGCTCTCAGAAGAATTAAAGAAGGCTCTACCCAGGGCCCTAAAGGCGGGTTTGACATGTACGCGGCAAGCAAGACCTTGGGAGAGCAGGCGATATGGCAGTGGGTTGACGAGCACCGTCCTGGATTTGTGGTCAACACCGGTATGTGTGTATGTATGGACACCAAAACCATTACTGATATCGTAACAAGTTCTCCCCTCTGTATGCTTCGGCTCGTCAGTCGAGCCCAAGCTCCAAGGACATGCGTCGTCATCAGCATGGCCGGCCGCCATCTTTTCGAACAAATTTGACCAAGTCTGGCCGTTTATACAGCACATCATACCAACAGGTAACCAGAAACGTCTTTACTCAGATCTCAAAACTAATCTGCCTTTAGGAGCATACTGCGTCGACACGCAAGATGTTGCCCTTCTCCACCTGGCAGGCCTCACGCTTCCAAACGTCGAGAACGAGCGCTTGTTTGCGTTCGGGACTCCTTTTACCTGGAATGAAGTGATTTGGACGTTCCAAAAGGAGTTTCCTGACCGTCAGCTCCCAGCTGCCTTGACTTTCCCAAGTGTAACTGGGACTTCTCTCAATATTACTCAAGATGCCCGTGCACAAGAGCTGTTGAATATCATGGGGAAGTCAGGGTGGTCGAGCTTGGAGGAGATGTTGATGGCTAATATAGCAGATATGATACAAGCAGATTAACATTATTGTACATCTATAACTATTGAAACCTATTTAATGCTTAAAGGCACTATCCGTCTCCAACCAAGTTGCAAAATCCTTCATACCCAGATTCATCGCCCTCAACCTCGATATATCAGCCTTATAGCCATCCTCATGGAACCATCGAAACATATATCCCATATCCTTCACAGCAGCCATAAACAGCGCACAGAGAGGGCGAAATGCCATCGGCAGCGCCCGCCCCGTCTTCTGCTCAAACACCGTCTTCATCCCTTCAAACGTCAATTCATCGCCTGCAAGCGAAATCCCTTTCCCCTTGTATGCATCGGGATTCAGGAACGCGTCTGCTGCGAAGTAGCCAATGTCACTGGTTGCAACGAACTGCAGCGGTTTCCCCTTGAGAGCCGTCTTGAAGCACGTCGCGAACACCCTCCCGAAGAAATCGGGCGTGAGGTTCTCGAAGAATGCTACGGGGCGGAGGATGGCCCAGTCCATGGAGGAGGAGGAGGTGGTGGTGCGGTCCACGAGATGGTGCTCAATGTTGTGCTTTTTGATGAAATGAGGGATTCTGGTGGCGTTGTTGAAGGAGTGCGAGTCTCCGCCGCGGTCGACGGAGCTGTAGACGAAGAATTTCACGCCCTGGTGGATGGATTCGTCGATTAGGGCTTTGCCTTGAGCTTCTTCTGTGGTGCTGCCGATTGCGGCCTTGACGTCTTGTTAGCATGGACTTGTTGGAGGTGTATGTATAGAAGATTATTACCTGCACGCTATATACCCCCCAAATAGGTGCTTTTGTTAAGCGCTGCGCATTCTGAAAGATGCTCGCTGGGTTTCCCAAGTCGCCCTGTACGAGTTTGATATTGGGTGAGAGTGCGGCTAATTTCTGGGCAGCGGCAGATGAGGTGTTTCGGGTGACGGCAAGGATCTCAAATGGCGCATTGCGAGAGAGGAGACTCCTTATAACTGCTCCGCCTTGTTTTCCGGTTGCGCCTGTGATGAGGATTGGTGTCATTGTAGAGGTCGAGTTGGAGTTGACGGGATGACTGGAGAGATATGCAGTGCTTTCGGCTGGTGCAGACTCTTTAAATATATTAAAGGCTAGCGGGGCTGGAAAGTATAGAATAGTGTAAAATCAAAGAAAATAGAGGACCCATGTCGAATACTTGGATATTGTGGTTTATCATCAGTCGCCTTCGGGCTTAATTTAAGGCCCGGATTAACAAGCAGTGGTCCACTTTCCGTATAGCGCTCTATCGCTAATACATTTGGTTTGAAAAGTGAATGAATAATTAGCTACTGCCATTTTTTATTTTTTTTTTATTTATGGATGAGCTCGGGTTGTTATAAGCACCGAAAACCGCCAGGTAGGGCTAGATAGCCGCTGATATCCATCCCAACGACCTCCATCTTTACAGCTTCTCTACTCTCTACCAGCGGAAACGCAACCTGACAAAATGAAAATCGGAATCGCAGGCATCACCGGCAAATTCGCCCGCCGGCTCCTCACCCACCTGCTATCGTCTCCCTCCCCCCCCTCGCACACCATCAAAGGCTTCTGCCGAGACCCCTCAAAACTGCCCGATGATATAAAGTCAGACCCCCAGATCGAACTGATCCAGGGCACAGCCTTCGACAAAGCCGCCATTGCGACATTCGTCCAGGCCTGCGACGTGGTCGTATGCTGCTACCTCGGCGACGACACTCTCATGGTCGAGGGCCAGACACTGCTTATCGACGCCTGCGAGGAGGCAGGGGTTGGCCGGTATGTCGCGAGTGACTGGGCATTGGACTATACGAAGCTGCAACTGGGGCAGTTGTTCCCGAAGGACCCTATGATTCATGTGAAGAGATACCTGGATTCGAAGAAGGGAGTGGTGGACGGAGTGCATATCCTTGTTGGCGGGTTTATGGAGCCTGTGTTTAGTTCGTTTTTTGGGATTGTGGATGTGCAGGCGGATGTCTTGAGGTATTGGGGGGACGGGGATGAGGTGATGGAGGGGACGACGTATGATGATGCGGCGAGGTTTACGGCGCAGGTGGTCTTGGATCGTACGGCGAGGGGGGTTTTGAAGTGTAAGCTATCAACCAGCCTATGGGTCGAGCTGTCTAACGGGTGATAGTTGTTGGAGGTCGTGCTACTGTTCGTGAGATTGCAGCCTCGTACGAGAAGGTGTACGGTGTCCCAGCGAAACTGGAGAGACACGGGTCTCTGGAGGAGCTGTATACGACTATGCATGCGCTGCGGGAGAAGAGCCCGCAGGATGTTTACAGTTATATGTCCTTGTATGTGCTGCCATCGCTGCGAATAGCTTGAGCTAACTGGTGCAGGTTCTTCTACTACTACTGGGTCAACGGACAGACCCTCCTTGGGCCGCAGACTGATAATTCTCGCTATTCGGAAATTCACCCGGTGGACTGGGAAGGATTCATGGCCAGCTGGCCGCGAGAGAAGATTGGGTCGTCGTATTTTGCTCTGAATGTACAAGAATAGAACAGTGATGTGCATTATCCATAGTTTGTCTAGTGTGGCTGAGCGATCAACGAACCTCGTTAGGCAGCACTATTCAAGACTCAATACACGCTACGGAGCAAATCAAAAATCCTCTGTGACAGTAGGTATTAGACCTCTGTACCAGCTTGAATTGTATAACTGTTCAACCACAGCCTGGAACTGCAGACTGCAATGAACGTCCATAAGAGTCATACAAGCCGTGTCTCCAGCACGGGAAACAATTTTCAGCCCCAGCCAATCACGGGCTAATAATCCAGCGTGCTAATGTAATTTTCGTACCCCGTGCTAATGCAGGTTAGGCCGTGAGGCACGAATCGTCAAAATTGACGTGGCGGTGTGACTGCCACTCCTTGAATAAAGCCCGCATCCTCCTCGTGGCTATGCTGCAGATATATTTAACGGATAGTCGCATGCATCTCTTTACCCCGAGTCTGCGATAACTACAGTGTACGAGTACGAGTATACTACTTATGGCGGACGGCGAGCTCAACATCCTCTCGCTGGACGGCGGCGGCGTTCGCGCCCTGTCGACCCTGCACATCCTCAAGAACATCATGGAGGCCATCGACCGCGAGAACCCGCCCAAGCCGTGCGACTTTTTCGATATGATCGGGGGGACGGGTTCGGGTGGGTGCGTTACTTGTCATGCATCCTGATACTTAACAACTACTAATGTCGTAGACTGCTAGCGATCATGCTCGGCCGCCTCAAGATGGACATCGACCAGTGCATCGCCGAGTACAGCCGACTGTGCAAGCACGTCTTCGGGCGCAAGAAGCGCCTCTCGCTGACCATGGCCGGCATATCCAAGCGCAAGGCCAAGCACGACCGGCGCAAGCTGGAGGTCGCGCTCAAGGGTGTCCTCCGCGAGATGGGGTATGAGGATCGCGAGATCCTAATGCAGGATGTGGATTTGAGTTGTCGTGTGTATGTTCCTGAATTTCATTTTATTAAATTGCGTGATTTTATTTTAGATGTGGAGAGCTGATCGTGTCAGATTCTCCTGTGTAACCGACGCCTCGACGCAGAAACTCATCCCGCTCTCTAGCTACCCGAGCAAGTACTGCCCGGCGGAGCTATACAAGACGACCAGGCTCTGGGAAGCGGGTGTAGCGTCGTTTGCGAACGCGGCGCTGTTCGAGCCGATTGTGCTCGGTCCCTCGCGGCGGCGCTTCACTGACTCCGCGGCGCAGGCGAACAATCCCATCCGCGAGGTGTGGATCGAGGCGAAGAATGTCTGGCGGCTGACGAGCCTGGAGAGCCAGCTGCGGTGCTTTGTTTCGATTGGGACGGGGCTTCCGAGTATTAAAAGGACTGGGGGGAAGAGTAAAGGCGAGTGTGCGATTGTGTGTCCGGAGGTTGAGACCAACAAGTTCACGCAGGAGCATAGCGAGCTGGATGATGACGGGCGGCTGTTCCGGTTTGATGTGCCGAATGGGCTGGCGGAGATTGAACTCGATGCTGTTGGTGAGTTGGAGACGATTGTTGATGCCACGCAGGACTATCTGGGCAAGGAGCTGGTGTATAAGCAGGTGAGGCGCTGTGGGAGGGCGCTGGCGCGGCCGGGGGACAGCGAGGTGTCGTGGAGGAGGTGATGATCTATCTATATCTTTCCTGTGTTTACGAGTTATGATTGATACCTGGTTGGTTTAGTGATTTATGCATTTATATATACCCTTCTACAGATAATATGCCATATCTCCCCCCTCTGCCCGCTCCATCTCCAGCTCTCCGTTGCCCAAATACCGGAATGGGTTCGAGCTGTTGTATCGGATATCAAAGTGCTCGCCGCGGATCGTTTTGATGAATTCTAAACCTTAGTTTGATGCTCGACAGTGTATGTACGGTGCAGTGCGACATACCTTTATAGTGCAGTATACTCCCCGGATACATCGCCGTCACGACTTTATTCTCCCCAGACGCGTCCTTCTTACCATACCATCCCGTGCACCCCTTCGACCAGACATTCCTCTTCAGACTTTGCACTGCATAGCGGTTGAAGCTGGCTACGACCGAGTCTTTCACGACCACAGACCTAGAGTCATTGTTAGATCCTATATAAGTGGAGCGAGCTAAGGAAAGAACGAACTTGATATCCTCTCTCGCAATCTTCTCAATCCAATCCAGCATATAATCTCCCGACCAGGCCAGCATCACAGGCACAGAGGAATGTCCAACGGGGGCATTCGGGCCCCCGAACATGAAGTAATTCGGTGTTCCCCCAGCGCAGAGACTAAAATACGCCTGCGGAATGTCCTTCCATTCATGAGCCAACTGCCGTCCGTCCCGCCCGATGAGTTCCCACGCTGGGATGAAAGATGTATTGAAGCCTGTTGCGCAGACAATCAGGTCGAACTCTTCTTCCTCTTCTTGACCGGTTTCTGTTGTTGTAACGATACCAGTCGGTGTGATACGGGAAATAGGATCAAAATTGAACGCTGCATTAGGCTCTTGCATCGCCTCGAGATACCCATCTCCTGGACTGATTCTGCGGCAGCCAAGTTCGTAGCTGGGAATGAGCTTCTCGATCAGATGCGGGTTTGATGCGAGTCGAGACCGCATGACGTTTGAGACTATATTATGCAGGAAGGCGTTTTCGGGAGACCCTGAGAGCATGATTTTATAAACACCGTTTATCCTGTTCAACTGATGTTAGCGCTAGTAAGAGACAGAGAGGTAGGGGTAGATAGACTAGAAAGAACGCACGACCGCTCAATGTACTTCCTATACTCCAGAAACGCGGCTGGGTCTTCGCGATACAGCTTCTTTTCTTCTTCTGTATATGTAAAGTTCGTCCCCATACCATCCTTTGTGATATCGCCAGCAAGGTTCACTGAGACCCATGTTGCATTCCGGATGTAGTTTACCACCTTGCCGGCTCCTGGCTGCAGGGCTGGGACGACCTGCAGCGCAGACGAGCCGTTGCCGATGACGGCGATTTTTTTGTTTTCCCAGTTGTAGGTCGGGTCCCTGTTTGTTAGTCTGAATTCAGATGGAATATGATAGGAGATGGTACCATTTTGCTGTGTGTAGGAGTTTTCCTTGGAAGGTGTCGATGTCTTTGATGTCGGGGAGGGTCCAGTTGCTGCAATATAAGCACGGTCCAGTAGAACAATACAGGTGACATACTTGAGGACACCACTGCCATCGAGAATGATGTCGGCTTTATCGCTGAGTTCTTCATCGCCACGCTGGAGCTTCAACTCCCACTTCCCCTCGGTCTCATTCCAGACCGCGCTGGTGAGCTTCGTGTTGAACTGGATCTTCTCCTTTAAGTCAAATTTCTCGACCGTGTCTAGGATGTACTGCTGGATTTCTGGACCTTTGGCGTAGCATTGTGACCAGTTCGGGTTGGGATTGAAAGGGAAGATATAGCTATCTTTGATACTGTCAGAGCAGGCTCAGTGTAACGACAAGACGACGCACGAATAGGAATATCACTGCAGGAATTAGCATGCAGCGCTGGATAATCGGCAAAAGACATACCAGCCCACCCCGGGATAAACATTCTCGTACCACGTTCCTCCAACCTCGGGATTCTTCTCGTAGATGGTGAAATCCACGAAGTTCAATGGCCGTTCGTGCTTGAGTTTGTAGGCCATGATCAGCCCCGAGAAACCAGCGCCAATGCATACGACGCGCAGGCGGCGGGGCGCGAAGGCGAAGACCGCGGGGTCGATGGTCCAGTCGGATTCGGCGCTGTTGGCTTCGTTGGATGGCATTTTGATGGTGTCTTTGCTGGAGATGCCCTTGCTGGTAAGGAGGTGGAAGTGGGCGAAGCAGTGAAAGTTCCAACCTTCCCCGCCTGATCGCCTTTCAGTTAGTCTCGTTTTTCTGTCTCCATTCACCACATCCAGTAAAGCAGATAATAAGGACATATATTACTAGTAAAGCAGCTTAACCAGCTATATCTTATCACCATAAATTCTAAAATAAACATAGTAATCACTCCTTCAACGCATCATGCCCCCAGTTCTTCAAACTACGATAACTCTTACTCGTCGTATCCTGCTTCGCCGTCCCCTCCTGCGCCAGATGCCGCTTGCAATACGACACGACGCGACGCATATGGTCGACGTCTTCGTCTGAATACTCAGACGGCTCCTTGGACGGATTGTGCTCGAGAATAGAGACAATTTTGCGACCACTGGGTTTATCAATATTGGGCTGTATCCTGGACAGTATGAGGAAAGACAGCCACCAACCTTTCGTGCCCGATCGTTTCACCAGAACCAGACTCGTTCTGCCACCCCGATGACTGCGATTGCTCTTCCTTGAGCCAGTCGCGTAGCTCGTTGGCGCTCATGTTGACGAGGCCGTTGAATTCGCTGATGTTATGTTGTTAGATGGTTGGACTGGACGGGTTGAGGGACACCAACCTGATCACGGTGCCGCTGTCTTTTACCATTTTGCAGGACTGGGTTGAAAATCGAAGAATTCGATGCATTTAATTCTGAAGAGTCTTTTGATAGATATAATTGATGGATGATAGTTCTTTAACTGGGGCGAGACCTTGACGTCACGACGGCTGACACAGAGACGTCAATCTACAGTCAGAGATAACCAAAATAACATGAAATAGCATAAACAAAAACAGATCGCCCACTAGAAGAACACTTATGAGACTGACCGCCGTTGCCTAGAAGCTTGTTGTCACTATCTATTGCGCTTCCAAATCTTTCTTTTCAGCCCACACTATCTTTGGAGAAGTACTTGATGGGGGGCCATCTGATCGTAATTCGGTCATACCGTAGAACGGACAAGTGTTACAGGGATCCTTGTATGTGCTCCTGCCATCTCAAGAATGGCTTCAATGTCCGATGGCGAGAGTGGTTGTCCATCTTGAGAAGATGTGCCTTGAATTCTTCGCTTGAATACCAAGCATCAATTCCATGCTCTGGGTGAAAACATGTCCATTCAGAGTGATGGCCCAGGGTCTGATTTTTTCTCCAGTCCTCTCGCATCGCATAAAGGCGCGTATGTACAGACATAATGCTGCATATCAAGTGATCCGTTGCAACCTGGTTAATAAGTAGGATTAACAGTTAGTATACCAGTAATGTGGCATTTTGCTCACTTCCAAGCTTTCCCTAGTCCTTCGACACACGGACAAACAATCCCACAGATGGCGCATTTAAAGTGTGGAGGAGAGGTTTCTGATTTCTGTAGAAACAGACGCGAAACAGGCCAATCCCTGTCCGAGTCGTGCTTCATGGTATCAAAGGACAAAACTGTCTGGCTTTTAATCCCGTCCCAGGCCCACCACCTTGCGAGGACTTGCTTAAAGGATAGAAGAGATGGTACACCTATTTACTTTACACTCCAAAGAGTGAAAATTCCTACCAATCTGGCCTATTAACATAACGAATAATGATTGCATGCTACGATCCGCTTTGTTCTGATTGTCTAAACCCACTATGTCTCAAACAGAGTTTCGCTGCGAACAAAGATAGTCGGCGGCAGCGTGATCTGCTCGTATACTACTATTGTTTAATATGCAACTTGTTTAAAAATGGGAATATGATGAAAGGGGATAAAGAAGTCGTCCTCGAAGACAGCTCAGATATAAGTAGAGGTCGATATCATCGCTTGACTGCAAATGCCTACTTTAACAGTCGCACTCGAAAGGTATCAATCAGATAAGACTTCCGAAAAGCACCACAGGACTTAGATCTACAGAACACCAGGAAAAAGACGAAACCATGGATTCTTCCTATATCAAGGACATTTGTGCCCGTTGCAACGGCCTCTTTGAACAAATTCGATCCATCTCGGAAACGAAATCCGGAGAACGGTACTTCGAAACCTGCATGTCGAAATCGGAAATGCGAGAAGCGGACTATCAGTTTAAGGTGAAATGATACAATTATGGCGTATTCAGCTCCGGGCCCACCTCCCTCGGCGCTAGAATGGTTGAACCGGACCTCGAAGAGACCGTAAATGACCTCTGGTGGCTAGAGAGTGTTCTGGAGCAATGTAAGTTATGGAAGCCATGAATGCGAAGTTGAACACGCTAATATAGGATAACTCAGTCTACATTGTAATGGAATCGGGGAGGGTCAGCGAGGTTGTTTGCAAGAAGCTCATTGAATTGTGGCGGGAAGTGGAAGAATCGGTCCAGCTACTGTTCCCTGGCCCATACATGATCAGAGATGATTTCGAGGCGAAAAAGAAAGAACTATGAGCAGATTGTGGTAACTGAGGAGTGAAAAAGTGAAGTATGGTTTAAAGACAGAACTCCACTTGCCTAAGAGTGAGCGGTGATGTTTTACTATCCTTAGTCGAGGTGAATGCTTGCGGAGCTGTTAGACTACAATTTGTATCACTTCCAAGGGGGTTTATATAACGAAAAATTTTGAGATATAAGGGATATTATACTATAGATAGGGTTGTAAATGACTTCCACTCATTGGTGCGTGATCTAAAACGGGAGCACGCCGCGTAGATAGTAATGGCGGAGCGGGGCGGAAGTGGAACCATAAGGTTGACTCCGCCCCGGGGCTGAACTCCGAAATCCGAACTCCGAGTCCTGATGACTAATGTGCTGGAGTGAATTTTGCGGGGATGGAGATCACAACCGCCCGAGACAATAGCATCAGCAAGACGACCAAAACCCTGGCTGCAATGATCGACACCAGGAAATGTCTGGGTGAAGACTGCCACAATAATGCCGGAGATTTACAGTGTCCAACCTGCCTGAAGCGCGGCATCAAAGACAGCTATTTCTGCTCCCAGGACTGCTTTAAGAGGAATTGGGTTTGTTTACTTTGCTCTCTATCAGCGCTCAACTAACCTCCACGTTAGTCTCAACACAAGGTTATCCATAATGTCGTCAATGGTATGGTACAGGATGGTGCCGGACCGTACAACCCGTTCCCCTCATTTTCCTTCCCGGGGACGATCCGGCCGGTCTATCCGCTGTCGTCGATGCGTACTGTTCCCAAGACGATAAAACACCCGGACTGGGCTGTAACTGGTGTCCCAAAGGGTGAGATGCGCTTGAGCAGGACAAAGATTGAAATCCTAGACGCCAAGGGCCAGGAGGCAATGCGCAAGGTGTGCAGGTTCGCGCGAGAAGTACTAGATATCACTGCGGCAGAATTGAGACCGGGTGTCACTACGGATTATCTGGACGAGGTCTGTCACAAGGCTTGTGTGGAGCGGGATGTCAGTTTAATCTTCCTCTGCCGTTCTTTCCATTTCTAACATTACATAGTCATATCCATCCCCCTTGAACTACAACCGCTTCCCCAAGTCGCTGTGCACTTCGCCAAACGAGGTGATCTGCCATGGAATACCAGACCAGAGAATTCTTCTCGACGGCGATATTATCAACCTTGACATCTCATTATACCACGGCGGTTACCACGCTGATGTCAACGCAACGTACTACGTCGGCGACCGAGCCAAGGCAGACCCCGAGTCAGTCCAGGTAGTTGAAACAACACGGGAATGCCTGGACAAGGCAATTGAAATCGTCAAACCTGGAACCCCGATACGAGATTTCGGACGCGTGATCGAGAAGCTTGCAAAGTCCAGAAACTGCAGTATTGTCACGACCTGGGGTGGCCATGGCATCAATACCGAGTTCCACCCCCCGCCGTGGATTCCGCATTACGCGAAGAATAAGGCTGTCGGGGTGTGTAAACCCGGGATGACATTTACGCTCGAGCCTATACTTACTCTGGGGAGGCCGCGGGAGGTTTACTGGCCGGATGGCTGGACAAATGTGACGGTCGATGGGAAACGGGCTGCCCAATTTGGTATGTAGAATTTGATTGCGGCTTGTCTTGGTGACCGCTAACAAGCTCATAGAACACACCTTGCTTGTCACGGAGACTGGCGTCGAGATCTTGACTGCTGCAAATGAGGGCTCACCGGGTGGCCCTGTACCGATGCCGACCACGACTGGGACAGAGCACTAACAGCGCGCCCAACACATTACTGCCGATACAACGCAGTTGGGCGAATATAGCATGAATTATCGATAGGGTAGAAACATGGAGGGCCCAGGGCCCCCTACCACATCAGGATACAATCCAAGTATGGAACTGGTGCTGCCTGGTTCTACAACCAAGGCATAGCACCATTCCTCCTTGTCTCGGATACCTTGTCGTGTCACTTTTACAAATTACCCTTGATCTTTACCCGAGCAATCTGGCACCACGGCACCGTGCTTGGACCGGTAATATCTCTGCCACATCCGCGTGGATGCAAATCATTCTGTGGTCCCGTATCGGAAGCGATAATTTGCGATGCGTGTACACGAATGCATCGATTTTGGAAAGACCCTGGTTTCTGACACCGTCGAGCCGCGATTGAGAGGGAAGCCTGATTTCGGTGATAATATTTCCATCAAATGCCTTCAAGTAGCTTTGATAAGAGCCATCGTAGCGTGAACAGCGTCGAATAAGGCGAAATTTCAGGTTAATAGCTGAAAACGGGATTCTTGAGTATGCAAGTAGCTACCTAGTTTAGGGTTGAGTCTACAGGATGACTCTGCAATACATTCTTCGATACTGCAAAATATTATGATGAAGTTTCTAACCAATAAATCCTTTTAATGCTCATGTAATAATTAGTGCTGACATTGAGTTTCGTTCTCGGACAGCGGGGAACGAAGCTGGATATCAGATCACATTCAGGCAGCAACGCATCTCGCATTCAAAGATCTTTCGCCGAAAATAGAAAGCTATCGGAAAAGCAAATAAAAATGCACCTTCCAACTGTCGTCCTCGTCCACGGCGCCTGGCACACCCCCGCAAACTACCAGAGTTACGCTTCCGCCCTGCGTGCCCAAGGATTCACCGTCCATTGCCCGCTTCTCCCCTCCTCCAATAAATCACTACCACCGACGACATCTTTGCAAGATGATGTCAAAGCTGTTCGAGAACTGGTTTCCTCGCTTGCCGCAGCCGGCGAGCGCATCCTTTTGATCATGCACTCGTACGGCGGCGCGGTCGGCACTGAGGCAGCCGAGGGGCTGGCTTATCCTGTTCCAACGACAGCTCGTGGAAGTGAAGCTGGAGGAGTAATACACTTGCTCTATCTCTGTGCCTACATTCTGCCCCCGCGGACATCGATCTGGGATATAGTTCGAGAGGCGGGATTTGAGTCGGTCCTCGATGAGCACGTCCGTACGGCTGACGACGGGAGTACATTCCCCGCTGACCCGGCCTTGGTATTATTTGCTGGTGATGACTCGGTTTCGAAGGATACGATTGATTCAGCCTTGCAGTTTCTTGTGAGGTTTCCGCGGAGTGCCTTGACGGTCCCGGTGGAGGGCGCTGTGTGGCGATCTATCCCGGTGACTTATGTGCTTACGCAGAAGGATTACACGGTTTTGAGGGTTTATCAGGATATTATGCTGTCCAAGGTTCGAGAGGAAGGTGTGGAGTTGAGGACAGAGGACTTTGATACATGCCATAGTGTGTTTATTTCGAGGGAAGCGGAGATGGTGAAGCTTGCTGTAGAGGCAGCTAACGACGGAAGAAACTGTGCCGTGTCTTAGGCCAGATCTCGAGGACATGCAGGCTGTCTGCAAAAATGTTGTAATACCATGCTTTTCAGTCTGGAGGTTATTTACGGTAGGTTTAAGTGGCGGAGGTCTCCAGGAACCCACCGTTCATCGTATAGGGAAGACCGGGTCGAACTGCTGTCCTGATCTGGTGAAACCTGTGGGTCTGAAAACGAGGAATCAATTGCTCGATGGAGAGATTGTGATAAGCGTCCGGAATAGTACGGTGGCCAGCAACTGAGCAGCCTCGCTAGAGATAATCTGACCTGTCATTTGGACGTGGCTTGTTGACTCGATCTGCGAATTGTAGCATCAAAAGTTAAACCCACCCACAGCGGAGAAATCCCAAGATACTGGTTGGCGGTATGCGTTGGGGTTTCATGTCCTCAGCGGCCATGCTGAAACTGCATACTGCAAGCCTGCTCCGTCGTTTTCTCAACAAGGTAGATGGAATGGAACACATCAAATCGAAGATGTAAAGAAGAGTTATGGCTTATTGGAATACAACTTAGTGGATGTCTTTGCTAACAAATTTCGTATTCATTGGCCTTCTCTACACCAATAACATACTGACGACAGCAGGGTTCCATACTCTTCGCCACTGTCCAACAAACAGCCCATCTAGGACAATGCTTCAGTAACCGGGGCCATTGTTCTCAAAACCACAGGGATCTTGCCAGAGGCAACATCGCTCCACACCAGCGAATACACACCATCCGCGTCGGTCGGAACGGCGTAGAAGTTTGCATTTTGGTTTTTGGTCATCACGTAGTCCCCGTAGCACTCAAAGACACTAGCTTCTTGAGATTTAAGCTGTTCCGTTGTAGACTCCTTGAACATAACTGCCCCGTCCTCCGAGTCTGCATCTGGGAGCGAGAGTACTGTGGTCTGGAACGCGGCCTCGCTTGAGTCGGTCCCGGTGTTGTTAGGGTGGGCGATCCAGGAGTTCTGAGAGGTTTCGGAGACGGTAACTGATTTCCAAGCATTTTTGCGTTAATAAAGAGATTGAAAAAGGGTCGAGGTGGCTTACAGTATACTGGTTGAGCTGTCTTTGCGGTGGATAGGGCCACGTCGCCGATATGTGCTTTGGCTGGGGGATGTTAACAACACAGCAACTGCAGGTACCAGACTGGAGTACTTGCCGTCTGCGTAGAAGAGAGACATTCCACCTATTCCATCCCCATAGGCGTAGACGTTGAATGTATCTTGGACCACTGCCGCCTGGCGGGTCTTGAGGGCATGGGAGTCGATGGCCAGCGCAGCGCAGGACACCGCAAATAACAGGAGGGAATAAAAGAGCATCTTGAGGTGTAACTTTCTAACCAAAATATTGTCAATTGTAAAGACTTAACAAAGTGCAGAGATAGGGGAGTAGCTGGATAACCCAGTTGGAGGGCTGAATTCCAATATATGATACCAGACTCAGCCACCACTATCAGGGCTGGAAGCAAGCAAATGTACTCTGACACCCCTCACATCCTTGATATCCTTCAGATCCGCTCGGATTGTGTCAAGGAAAACGCCTCAACCAGTTTCTAGAACCATTTCCACTATCACGAGCCGGCTTTGCGACGTATCCAAAACAGGATGCTTGCTTTTTGTTTCCAAGGTAGTTCTCACGCCCAGCCAATAACTGCCCGACTTAGGGTTAGCTCAATCGATAGGACGTGCTAATTTAGAACCTATGCAAGTGCCATGCGCTGGCAGGCGGCACCCAGATCCAGCAATCCGAGACATGCAGGGTCCTAGTTCAGCGCCAGTCGCCCGGTAGACGAACCCTATCGCTGATTGGGGCCGGCAATGCTATCCCCGGGAGCTTTTCTTATTGAGGGAACACCTGTACGATTGCCGATGGAGACTGTCATAGCGACGACGTCGGTTGTGCGATACGACGGGCTGTGAAATAGCAGGGCTTTGGTTGGTAGACACGCATTCAGGAACGTGGAGAGGGTGAGTCGGTGTGACCTGTTGCAGCATGCAAGCCGCATGATAGAGCAAGAACCGACTGCGCAAGGGCTCAGTGGATATTGTCTCATGAATTCCGATGTGTCTGTCTCTTGGGTGTACTCAGTACTGAAAATGGATAATGTGGGGGATATGAGTTGATTGACAGAGACCGAGGAGCAAGTGTCGTGGACGTCAGGTATAAGGCATGCCTGTCCTCATGTATTCCGAGAGGTGACTATTCGTTTAGCAATCTACGACGCATCCTAGCTATCCAGGCACTTTTCCTGAGCCGGCTTGGCTTTTCTTGCCTTGGCAATATGCTGCTCCCCTCTTTTCTTCTCCTGATATATGCATTGTGTGCGTCTGCCTCCTGGGTGTTCAATCATGACCTGAGCCGGACAGAGCGCACTCTCGTCCATGATACATCTGGCCTGCAGCTGGGCCGCCGGCAAGACCCTGGAGTAGCAGAATGTAGCCCAGGGGCTAGAGATTGCAGGTCGTCCCAAACAAGGACAACTACCAACCCCACGAGCCCGGAGAGTACCAGTATTTCGTCAACTTCTAGTACATCGACTACCCCATCATTACCAACTGGAACGCCATGCGCTGGGAACACTCCAGATACCAGGTCAAACTGGTGCGACTACAACATAGACACCAATTACCACGATATCACCCCCAACACCGGTGTCACGCGAGAATACTGGCTCGAGATTGACGAGATCACAGCGAGCATAGATGGATACTCCCGTCCTGCAATGGCCATAAACGGGACCATTCCCGGCCCAACCCTCTACGCAGACTGGGGTGATGAAGTGGTCATCCATGTCCGCAATCTCCTTCATGAGACGCTCAACGGAACAAGCATCCACTGGCACGGTATCCGTCAGCAGAACACGAACCAGAATGACGGAGTGGTTTCAATTACCCAGTGTCCTATTACGCCAAACCACGAGTATACGTACCGCTGGCGCGCACAGCAGTACGGTACAACCTGGTACCACTCCCACATGGCTCTGCAAGCCTGGGACGGTCTCTCCGGGGCCATTGTCATTAATGGACCTGCGACAGCGAACTATGACGTTGACGCAGGAACTATCATGCTGAATGACTGGACCCATCAAACAGCCGCTGAGCTGTTCCAGTACGCTCAGGTTGTCGGCCCTCCGACCTTGAATAACTCGTTGATCAACGGGACCAATACCTACGGCTCTGGAGACGACGAGACCGGTGAACGCTTCAAGCTAAAGGTCGAAGAGGGCACTTCGTATCGTCTTCGACTCATCAATGGGGCCCTGGACACGCACTACAAGTTCATGATCGATAACCATATTCTGACGGTAATTTCCATGGACCTAGTCCCGGTTGAGCCTTTCAACACCACATTTATCGATATTGCCATGGGTGAGTCCCAGAATCCATCGCCGAACATAAAACCACGTACTAATATTGCCCAGGTCAGCGCTACGATGTAATCGTCACAGCAAACCAAGCCGCCGTCGCAGACTCCTTCTGGCTCCGAACAATCCCACAAGCAAGCTGCTCAGCCATCGAAGACCCCGCCAACATCCGCGGTATCTTCTACTACGGCGACAACCCAAGCACCCCAGAGACAATCCCCTGGCCCATAGTCGACGGATGCAACGATGAGCCAATGGAGAATCTCGTCCCGCACGTCCCGCGCACCGTCCAATCCCCAGACTGGCAGGAGAGTACCGAGGCAGCATCCGGCCGCAACACGGACGGTCTTTTCCGGTGGTACCTCAACAGCACCACCATGGAAATTTTCTGGGAAGACCCCACGCTGAAGCAGATCGCAGAGAGCAGAAATGAAATGGCGATGTGGGATAATTCAAGTGCGGTGATTGACCTGCCCAATGCGAACCAGTGGGTTTATCTAGTCGTGAGCACGGCCCAGCCGGTGTTCCACCCGATCCATCTACACGGCCATGACTTTTTTATTCTTGCCCAGGGCTCGAATCCGTGGGATGGCTCTGTGAAAACGGATAATCCGCCGAGACGCGATACGGCGGTTCTTCCTGGGAATGGGTATCTGGTTATGGCGTGGGAGACGGATAACCCGGGGGCGTGGCTGATGCATTGCCATATTGGGTGGCATACGACGGAGGGGTTTGCGTTGCAGTTTGTGGAGAGATATGATGAGATTAAGGGGATCATTGATCAGGATCAGCTGGAGGAGACGTGTAAGCTTTGGAATGGATATGACGAGGAGTACGATATTGAGCAGCATGATTCGGGAATTTAATCGGTATATATTGCGTTTTCAGCTGCATACAACTGTGTTTTATTGATTCAAGTACTACAAGGTTTTCAAGTTATCGTCCCTTGCAGAACGGCTGTCAACCTCTCAGCCGGGGGTATCACATCGGAAAGCGAGGCTGTCCGAATCATTGATGATCTACAAGAAGGCGCCGCCAACATACGGGATCTGTGCTCTCGCATAAGCATATGTAGCGCCCATTATTAAAGCCGAAAGTAAAATCTCCGCTATTGAATATTGACGAGAAAGTGAACCCATCAGCTGTTGAAGGTGGAGTGGGGAACGAATATACTACTGTATGCGATTAGGGCTAAAAGGTCGTTGTATACTGGAGGGGCTTAATGGCACTACTTTTCAAATGGCATATATGCCGAGGTGCGATCTATGGGTGAGTAACTATTACTGGTCGCACAACTGCCGAAAAAGCACCAGAGTTTATTTATGGGTTAATATTAATTTAGCCTATATTGCGCCCTTCCAGGCTCATGGTGACACCCACGAGCTGAGAATTGAGGGGTACCGCCGCTTTGGACACGGAGAGTCCGATAGCTACAGACTTATATTCTTACCCTTCGACTTCATCCTCTGCAAGTATTCGTACAAACGACACCAATATGACCACTACAGAACAAAACGGGACTCCGAGTCCCACCCACGCACTAACAGAAGAACAGAAAGCCCACTTCCTCAAGCACGGCTTTGTCCGCATCCCAAACTGCTTCTCACCAGAAAAAGCCGCCGAGTGGACTGACAATGTCTGGGTCCGGCTGGGATACTCGCCAACAGACAAGTCCACCTGGACAAAGGAGAGGATCAACATGCCGCACCACCGCCGCGAGCCTGCGCGTACATTTGCACCCAAGGCCTGGGCAGCAATATGCGAGTTATGCGGCGGTGAGGACCGCATTTCACAGGACTTTGCTGACTGGCGCGATTCGCTGATTGTTAATCTTGGGACGGAGGAGTGGGAGGGCCGTTCGCCGGATCCGAAGGATTTGGATAATTGGCATGTTGACGGGGACTTCTTCGTGCATTATCTGGATTCGCCCGAGCAGGCGCTCTTGGTGATTCCGCTGTTTAGTGATATTAAGCCGAGTGGAGGTGGGACGATGATTTGTCCTGAGGCGATACCGTTTATTGCACGGCATTTGGTAAGATCCTTTGAGACTGGTTTATATACATATATGTACTCCGTCTAATGATGGAAGTATGATCACCCCGAAGGAGTATTTCCCCAGATGACCCCGCGAGGTCAAGAAAACCAATATCCAGATCAACTAGGCTTCTACAACTCGATCGTCGCACAGTGCAGCGAGTTCCATGAAATGACGGGCAATATCGGCGACGTCGTACTGATGCACCCGTTTATGTGCCACTCTGCCTCGAAAAATAGCTTGCGGGTTCCGCGAATTATCACCAATCCTCCGGTTGCTTTGAAGGAGCCGTTCAACTTTGACCGCGATGACCCGAGTCAGTATAGCCTTGTCGAGCAGAAGACGCTTTTAGCTTTGGGAAAGGACCGGCTGAGTGGGTGGAAGATTACGACGGAGCGTGAGAAGATTGTTCCAGCGCGGATGAAGGCGTTTTATGAGATGAAGAGACAAGAAGAGGAGCGGTTGAAACTGGCTCACGGAGTTACTACTGTGGTTGATGCTTGATGGATGTGAAGGATATGCATCCAATATTGAAAGAACCTTTTATCTTAATTAACCCTTTTCTCCCGTGGACCTATATTTCGTAGACAATTTTATAGGCGGAAATATTCCCATCTCTATATTCCTGGAATCCGTCTGGAACCGCGTCTAAGCCACGAAGAACCTTGGGAGTATTCGGCTTGATAGTGCCATTCTGTAACCACCCGGGCAGCTTTTCGAAAAGCTCACTGGATAGCTCGTGGTCATGTTCTGATGCCTAGCCAGCAAATATTGTTAGTTATCACCTGAAATCGGTGTTTGATACTGGAAGTAGAGCACATACAGGCCATTTGAAATCTCCATAGTCGTGGTCTTTGAGGAATGCTGTCCACACCAGAACATCTGTGACAACGGTTCCTGCGGCGACGTTCTCGGTGTGCACCTTTCCAGGTCGCACGGTACACAGCCTACCGGTTCCATTGCGGAGTGCACGAGAAGCAGTAGAGGATGAAGTAGCATTACCGATAGTGTCGAAAGTATGTTTCAGATTCGGGGCGGCCTTTTGAATTTTGGCAACAACATCACTGTCCTTGTAGTCGAAGACATGCAGAGCGCCAAAAGAGCGGACAAGGTCAGCGTGCTTGGGGCTGCATGTTGTTATCACTTCGAAGCCAAGACGCGAGGCGAGCTGAATTGTGTATAGACCAACGCTGGCTGAACGAAATTAGTTTTCAATGTCAATTGGGATGTGTAGGGGATACTTACAGCTTCCGCCCCAGACCAGAACGCTGGTACTCTTGGCTTTGGAGCGATCAAGCGCTAGACACTCTTTCGAGAGCAAAGCAAGCCATGCTGTAGCAGCGGCCAGTGGAACAGTACTGGCTTGTGCTCTTGAAATACCCTGGGGGACTTTGAATGAGATCCGTTCGTCGGCCACGCAGTACTGGCTATATGCGCCGACGTACTTGACTTCTCCTAAAAAATAGTGAGTATACTACCGAAATAAGTCTAGGGATACTACTTACCGCCCCAAATCAGACCAGACACAATATCGCCCTTGGCAAGTCTAGTAACGCCGCTGCCCAACTCGACAACCTCGCCTACAAAGTCGCATCCGAGTACGGTGCCATCTCCGAAGGCGTTGCGATCAAACGATTGTACTGCAAATGTGAGCGATTCTGGAATTTTATGACAAACATGTCCGTTTTTCAGGGAAATATCGTACCATCAGTCGGGTTTTGGGCAACATATGATAGTTTGACAAGGACCTGGTTTGCTGCTGGGCGGGGAACTGCGATGTCCTCTTTTGAAAGTTTGGGGGCTTGTCCGTCGACAACACGAACAACAAGGGCGGTGCTAGATGCCATTGTGATACTTGTGCATCGATTAGATAGAAACAGAGAGGGGTGCTCTATATAAGTACCAGAGTGAGGGGTGACGTGCCTTGGCTGGCTGTGATAGGAAAGTGGAAGCGCAGGCGCTGGTGACTAAGCAGCGCCTGCGCTTCCACTTTCCATTCACTCTTAACTCCACTCGCACCAATTGCCTTTTCTCCCATTGAGGTGGGCGAATTTACTGATATCGTTGAGAAGTACCAACCGTTACTATGAGCTGCATGGACTATTGTGCTCGGGGTCCAGATGGAAACTAAAGATAATGAATACAAACAGAACGAGCCGGGGCCCGTGCATAGGAAGCGAACCAGGTCTGGCTGGTAGGTTGATATATAGTGGGTAGCACTGTGGGAATGAGCTGATTAGTCTATGTTGAAGCCTACCGTGTCGTAGTCGGCGCCGGAAATGTAAGTGTCATCTCCATTACATCGGGTGCCACTGGGAGTACTGACCCTTGCCAGGCGATGGGGCCCTGCCACGCTGTCGGAATTGCGAACAACGCGGTTGCACTTGCCAATGGGGCGTCAAGGCCTCTTTTCACCCAACGCGTTCCCTCAGGCTGTCGGGTGGCGAGATTGTTGCCCTAGCGGCGATAGAGAAACGGCGAGCTCAAAGGTCTCGCCAGCCCCAGGGACCTCCTACGGTCGGTCCCTCTTTCCAACTACAGCAGGGCGCGAGTCGAAGCAAAAGGCTAACTTGTAGTGCAGATAATTGACGAGACGGGCGAAATAATCCGTGGGTATGAGGTTCTCGGGAGTGGTGCCTCACATCCATATTCCGATAACGACCATCTAGAGCTAGAGCAAAGGGAATCATCCCTGGGCGTCTGTGGCATCCCATCATCACCCCAAGTTGACAATGGCAGTGACATTGGGACACCTGATATACTTCACGAAGAACCTCATCATCCTAATTCGGACGACACTCATCGACCCACCGACACCGCTCTTAGTGTAGCAGATCTCTTTGCGCCTAATCTCCAGACATTTGGCCGTTCTCCGTTATCTAACCCCATACGCAATAGATCTTACAATGATGCTTCGTCAAGCTGGCGAAGAGGGGATGCCATTCCCTTTACGCCGAGTCGCTCGACTTCTAAAATTATACCGAGTCCTGAGCCTCCATTGCCAGTCTCTAATGCAGAAAAGCTCCGCCTGATCTCCGCTTATATGCAAGAGACCGGCACCTGGTGTGAGACAACTGATTCGGATATGCATTTTACCGTACGGAGCATTCACGATATGATGGAGTCGCCGTCTTTTGTTGGCGCTGCAATGGCGCTGGCCTCCCGCCAGTTGGATTATGTTGAAGGCTGTGAACGGCAAGTTACATTGGAGCTTTACCAATACACTATTCAGCTACTGCTGCAGCAAAATACAGCGGCGCCCGATCCGTCAGTCTTGGCTGCATGTACTCTACTATGCGTTTATGAGATGATGGCTTCAGAAGTCCATGAGTGGCGTCGCCACCTAAAGGTCAGTCTGTACCTTTGAGACATTGTACCCTTGAAGCCGTGTTCACCTCCATATTTAGGGCTGTGCCGGCCTCCTGCAGGCCCAGAAGTGGAATGGCTCTGCCCCGGGAATCGTCAAGTCATGTTTCTGGGCATTTGCGCGAATCGGTAGGTAGAGGCCCAACTCCGGAAACCGTGTACATATAATCAGTACTGAAGACAGAATCTCCGCAGATATCTGGGCAGCTTTCATTACCCAGAATACGACGCTTATTCCTACGGACTTTTGGCTGGACGATACGTCTTGCAAGTCCGTACGCACGGCCGGGTCAATTGACGACTACTGTAATTTGGCAATTCTCATCTTTGCTAGGATTGTGAATTTACTTGCTCTCCGGGAGAATGAATACTATAACCCAGCTTCCACAACACAATTGTTGACCCTCTGGGATGAGCTCCAGGAATGGCATCGGCACTGCCCACCGGAGGTATATCCCTTGCTCAGAGATCCTCGCTCACCTGGTAAAGTATTCCCTACAGTCATCTTCTCTCGAGCCGCTTCTAGTAAGTCACTAGACGTCCATCCCATTATTGTTCTCCGCGATTAACAGGGCTTCTAGTATGCGGCAACACTTTTTATCATACTGGGTGCATATTGCTGCTTCAGACAGGGGTAGTCGCAAGGGGAACTCCACGCTCTGGTTCAAGGGAGAAGGTATGTGGCCTGCCACAATAATTCCAGGCGTTCCTGTTTTTGGTCAATGTAAACTCACTTTTCAACCTTCACTAGGAAGATCCTATTTGGCATGCGCGCGAACTATCCGGGATCTCTATGTCAAACCCATCACAGTAAGCGTTCTTCTCGCTCTTGGATTCCAATGACTATTATTTCCCAGCTAACTTGTACCCCATCAGTGCCAACTGGGTCAATCATCTTCACCCACTGTACATTGCTGGAGCGGCTTTTGGAGGAAGTAGCTCACAGACCTTCTCGAGAAGCAGGGACACTCCGCTCGATAGCTCACCGGGGTATCTGTCGCGGAACTTCCTATCCTCAGCCTATGGATCTCCACAAACGACATCGATGATCAGGGATAGCCGTCCCGCGCTTTTGGGACCTGCCGAGGAGTATCCTGCCGAGAAGCTACTACTTCTAAAACACCTGGCTCGAATCGAGCACGAAACCGGATGGAAGACCTCTGATCGAGCTGCCAATCTACGAATATTCTGGGGCCTGGGATGAAAACGTCAGAAATAATGGATTGCACGGCTATTCCGGCCAACTCATTCAAGGTCCGGCAGGCTCATACTTCACGGCGTTGCTCAATTCAGCCATTATAGAGAATCACAATTATATACAGACATGAGCACAGAATTACATTTCACACCTTCGCGGCCTGTTCTTTTACATATTACAGTACAGTCTCCCTCGCCCAAGGAGAGGACTTACGGCTCTACCGCTTCAACAAGACGAGTCTTAGTAACCCCAACAATCAAACCTCACTTTTCTCCTCGACCACCTCCTCATGTTCAGCCGATGCCTTTCCTGACAGTTGCTGGTCAAGTGGGATACTGGGTCTCTTCTTTGCATGCCTCACGGTAGCAAGCACGGACGGGCTTTCGCGGAATATAAGGTCGATTTCTTCAAGGCTACGTCCCATAGTCTTTTATTCCATTAGCACATTTCTTGAACCAGGATGTTAAAAGGTAAGGTGGAAGACAAACCTCGGGGTAGAGAAAGTATATCGACAGTGGGATGCAGAAACCGATGCAGGTATATACGATGTAGTACTTATATCCGATACTTTCGATCGCGACGGGGGTTATCATAGTTACGACGAAGTTCCTTAATAGCATTACATGGTTAGCTGTTATTTCTGAACCCGTATAATAGAAGGAAACAACGTACCAAAGCCAGTGGTTCGCAGTCGAGATGCTGGACATAGCTACACGGAGCCGGGTTGGTGCGACCTCTGTAGTGTAGAGGAAGTTTGCGCCGAGGAAACCGACGGGGAGGAAGAAGTTGAAGAGGAAAATAAAGAGGACGCTGACAATCTGCGCTGCGTAGTTTGATCGAGGGAATGAAGTAGACACTGCGAGTCCTAGCATGCAAGCTGCCATGCCCGTGCCGCTGACGATGAAGGCAAATCGACGCCCGAGTCTGTCGATTGTAAAAAATGAGACAAAGCAGGATATGAGCTTCCAGGTGAGTGTTCCTCCAGATAGGATCCGTGATGTTTGAGCATCTAGGTCGAGGCCTTGTTGGAAGATGACGGTCGAATACACCGATATGAGGTTTCCGCCGGCCATCTGCTGGTAAAATTGCAGTAGGATGCAGATGCTGAAGCGGTAGAGGAGGCGGCCTTCGCCCATGCTGAATAGATCCAGGAGACTACCGGCGTGGTCGGCAGTTTGCTCTAGAGACGCCTCAATACTGACGATTTCGGACGTAACTTCGGGTGAATCGATGGGCGAGTCTTTCAGTGCAGAGAGGCTGTCCTGGGCTTCGCTGACCCGGTTCTCGCGCGCAAGCCAGCGGGGCGATTCAGGCATGAAGAATATAGATGCCATGAGCACGAGGGATAGGAAGCAAGGTAGCGCAACGGGTGGTCTCCAGGTCACAGGCCCGGTTTCGTACTGGTAGAAGCCCAGGTTGATCCAGGCCTGTAGGGCATAACCGAGAGAGATGAAGAGACCATCTAAGACGACGTGTTTGCCACGGTTCTTTGAGTTTGAGCATTCGCTTTGCCAGGTTGGGACTGTCCCACTGAGCATACCGACACCGACACCGAGAATCGTACGGCCGACTACTAGCTGGGCGAGATGGAATGCAGATGCCTCCAGAATCTGTCCGATAAGTGTCAAGACAGCTCCAACAAAAATCACCGGACGACGGCCGAATTTATCTGATGTATAGGAGCATGATAGGCAGCCGGGCAAGGCCCCGAGTGTGAAGCATGCAATGACAACACCCTGGACAGTAGCATTGTCACTCTTTTGTGCACCACTTGTAGTGTGCGTGTCGATCCGAGGAAATAGGGCAATCCAGTCAGATAGAGAGACGAGACCTCCTAGGTTGGACTGATTGTAACCGAAGAGGACATATGAAGGACAGACAATAAGGGCAAGCTGAGCCAGGGTAAGGGAGCTGCCACGCAGTCCCCAGAGGAACTTGGAAGAAGCCATTGCCAAAGAGTGTCACAGAAAAGCACAATGAGCATGGCTGATCCGGGGAGACATCTGGGGTATTAAAAGACTTAGGTCCGTACTAAGAATGCAGGGCCTTTGCATGCAAAACCCGGCCTGCTGTCAAACGGGCCGGTATAGCAGGGCAGCCCGAGGCTTGATGGTCCCATGGTGGATATTAGAATTTTTAAATTACTTGGATATTGGAAATTGAAACCCTAGTGGAGGTATTTTAAATCTACCTCTTCCGGCTTGGGGCTTGAGGCTTGAGGCCAAGAGACCATGGCATATGTTGGTATCTTAGCTATGCACGAATACTATTATATGTATATTAAGAAGCTTAATCTATTACTTGCGCTTTTCTTGCTTTCCCCTTTATTTCTCTATCGGCTCACTACTACAGTGGGAGCCACGCAATCGAAAATTTTCAAATTTCACATATTGACCCACTAAGCCTGCTTTGGATTGAAACATTATTACTTTGCAAATAAAATACAGGGCACCAAGGCAGATTGGAGCCACGCTTTGGTGCTCGGAATAGAGCTCTTATACCGATGGAGACTGTGGAGAAAGTTGGAGACCCCAGAAAGAGCACCAGTGCCAAACTAGGCTTTGATACCATCCAGTCTAGTGATGTGATTGGTTTTCTGACACCGCTAGTTCGCGTGAAACCTTGTGATCTTGAGGATATATGTGGAAGGTGTATTATGGCTGCTTATTGTTGCGGTTATATCTTTGGGTATGATATTGACTATTAATGTGAACTAGTAGGTAAATTTATACTCAAGAGGATACTTCCTGCAAATTCTATTTAATTGCAGTCGTGGAGCGAGTTGCTTTCAAGGATAATAAACAGCTCAGGACCTTGGTCGAATCGCTGCAGAGAATCGATATATTGGGTATCGCCGCAAAAGAAATTAGACAAATGATTCCATTCAGTATACTTCAAGCTGGGAAGCCGGGCAAATCACCAAACGTATCTGAAATATCCTGGGCCCAGTCCATGGCCGTCATATAATTAAGATCATAGAGCGAGTTGCCCCCGAAGGATAAGGAAGGTGCTTCGGGAAGCCAAGTCTCCTCCGCCGGCAGCTCAAGGCCATGGTCGGATTGTTGTAGAGCGAGGGTCACATCCTTCAGTATTTTAATCGTTGCATCTATCGAATTATGCTGGAAATTCCCAGGATACAATAGTGCCCGTTGGCTATATCCTTCCAGAAGTTCGACGGCATTGTAGATAGCACCTATACTCTCCTGTAGAGAAGGGAAATCGCTGGCTCGAAGGTTGTTTAGGGTTTTGAGCTTGCATTGGCAGTATACGTGCATCAAAGCACATTGGAACACTAGGCCAGGTCCAATGGGGCTCAGTGAATGAAAGTAGAGTGTTGTATCTGATCCTGTCCCACCGAGCAAGAGCAGGATTTCCGTGCTTGATCTCACGCAGGAATTCAGGCATGTTCCAAATTCGGGAGTAGTATTCTCCGTAAAGGTGAGACCTGGACGGTGGATTAGGATCATGGCCAGATGAATCAGTAAGCGCAACCAAAGGACCATTAAGTTCATTCCAGAATCCTCGATGGCGTCCAGATTTTGGCTCCATACCCTCATATCCCGATCAAGCCGCTCAATCTTAACGCCCCCTTGACGACGCTGGGTGGTAGTATATAGATTGTGGAGGATAGAAGATAGCTTCTTGCCCATGGTCACATAATGGTTGAAATAGAATACAGGCGTCGTTTGTCCGGGGAGAGGGTGCAGTAGCTCAGTATCGTTGAGATCGTGAAGCCGGCAGTCAGTGGGCATGTCATTGTCGACGTCGATGTCGTTAATAAGAAGAGGGAGACCATGGACGATAGACGTGATTCGGTCAAATATGTATACCCACCACCAGAGTCGTTTTCGCAATTCGGTTTCAGACACTGTTAATCTAAAACGCCTAGCGTGACGATGTAAACCAAGTGACTGGGCAATCCGAACCATATGTCCATTCAGCTGGATGAGAGACAAAGCTCTTCCAGATATTTGGTGGTAGAAGGCGAATATAGTGAGTGCTTGCAAAGATTCAATATCCGCGCGCGCTATCAGATGGCCTTTTATACGATCTGCAACTATGATATACTGCCGCTCTGAAGATTCTGTGTCTGAACTGTGGTTATTGCTCCCATGAGTTAGGCAGTTGATGCTCATAATGGAAAGTAGAATACAGAGTGCAGTCTTGTTGGTACCCGAGCTCGGACCATGGTCTTGCACTGTTTTCACCAGCTTTTCGATATCTTTGGCCAGCTGGGTTCGCGCCAATAAGGGACAGAATGCTTCCCAGTAGCGACAGAAGACGTCAATCTGTTCCAGGTAGAAGCTGACAGGTTGGTTGAGGCACTTGATAATGTCTCCATGTAGGGAATCACCGGAGTCGGGTTCCGAAGTGTTGGCTGAATGGCCCAGGTAAAGGCTATGACATCCTTCAGGGAATGTATCTGCAAAGGGCAGTGTCCGCTTGCAGGCTTCTTCGACGCTTAGCACAAAGTGAACACCGGTAGTAGAACCGGCGAAGCGGCCCACGCCTAGTTCGTCATGAACCATGCGTCCCATGTGCTTGATGACATAGGAAGAGTCATCTGAGATGCCGCCAGGCCTTCTGAAGGACGAAAGTAAAGTTGTGCCAAATGATGGCTCGTTTGGGAGGCCGGGAGCAATTGAGGTGGAAGGCGCAGGTTTGAGCTGCTGTGCTAGCTGTTCCCGCAACATAGCCACGGTGTCACGCTCTGTCTGAAGCGCCTGCTGACATTGGGCCAGCTGGTTTTGCAAGTCTTGGAAATGCTTGTCTTCCGTAACAAAACCTCTTACCTTAGTGTTCCTCTGCAAGGCCGCAGATGCTTCACAGGGCTTGCTGGCTTTGGCGCAATTGCGGCACTAATATGTAAGCGGGGACTCTGGAGAATCTTCGTAAATAAACTTACAGCAGGAAGTGCACCGTCACATTTTATCTTCTTCCTGTTTCAAGTCAGCTGGTCTCCGAGCTGGTCTCCGAGCAGTGGGGAGCTCATTGCGGGGGATGCGTACTTGCGGCACCGATCACTATAGTCAATGTTAGCCATCAAACGTAAAGCATTACAGGCCAGTACTTAGATGCAGGGGACTTACCAAACCTGGCCTAGTTTGCGAGGAAGATGCGATGGCGAAGAAGGAGAAGAGGGGAGATCCATTGAGGCTGGGAGCTACGGACATGGACGAGCAGAAGAGCGACAGAAGAAACAGCAAGACAACATAGATGACTAATCTGAAGCATAGAGAGCATAAAGCGTACAGCGGAGGCACTGTTGTGGAAGGAGCGAAGGGCAGGCAACTCGTGCTTCATTCGACCCTTTTGTGTTTGAGTCATCAGGTGCCAACCAGCATCATTTACCAGGCGTCTTCAACATCCATATTCCACGATAAATTAATCCTAGGATCTTCATTTCGAACCCCCAAAAGTACGGTAGTGCCGGGATTGGCCTTTATTCCGATTCATAAACCAATCACGTGGATTTTGTGCACACCCTGTGGAGACTGAGTGGTCCACGCGTTGTTTTCGTCGTTTCGAATGATCTCACAGGGCTATTCTTTCCTCCTTGATGTCGCGATATAGACAATGTTACCACTTCCCGTGGCAGAAGCACTTGTAAAGGCAGACCGCAAGCAAATAGAGCTTGCTGGCATAGGCTGCTCTTCTCAGGTCATCAAGGTAGCTGACACTGGCCTTGTCATCAAAGAGACATTTGACCATCCAGTTGTCGGCAACCTACAATCTCTAGAAAAGCGTATCTATGAACGACTTGGCCATCATCCCTACATCCTGCGATACTACGGCGAATATAGCCTGGGGAGTGGTCTTCCTAATGGACTGGCATGCATTGTACGCCGAGCAGCCTAGCAGAGAGGTTCGGAAAGCTATTGCATATGTATGCACAAATTCCCAGCTCTTGACGATGTCCCTCCGAGTGTCCAAAGAGTCATCGAAAAGTGCTGATCAAATGGTTACCTGGCTGGAGAGGAGATCATTTTCGACTTGAAAGAAACATCGTCACAACCGTAGCATATCTATCATAGCATTGTAGACCTAGAAAACTAAACTCGTACTCTATGAGTGGGGATCTTAGTGCCGGCAGAAGCACAATCCCGATCAGCACAGTGGCAGCCTGAGGCAGCAAATGAAGTAGAAATAACCGTCAGGCCCAGCACTGCCCATGCCCAACATGCTCCATTGTCACAACATACAATCTCTAAAATGGCCGTTTCAGCACTCGACTCCCGCGTCTTCAGAAATCTATTTGGCACCCAGGAGGTGCGCGACATTTTCACCGATGACGCCTACGCGGGGTTCCTCGTTGAGGTGGAGGCTGCTCTTGCGCGGGCGGAGGCAGCCGTGGGTGTGATTCCTGCTGCTGCGGGCGAGGCAATCACCAGTGCTTGTGCGAACATAAACTTAGAGTATGGTATTCAATTCTCCTTGTTTTTGATTTTAACAATGCTAATGACCTGCCAGCTTTGAGCGCCTGGCTCAGGAAACGGACATTGTTGGTTATCCAGTACTGCCGCTCGTTAAGCAGCTCGTTGAGGGGACGCCCGGGGAGATGGCCAAGTATATCCACTGGGGCGCTACCACGCAAGACATCATGGACGACGCCTCAATGCTACAGGTGAAGCGTGGCTTGGAGCTTGTAGAGAGAGAGTTGCAGACGCTGGTCGGTGTATTGAAAGGGTTGGCAGAGAAATATCGCGATACGTACGTTTATATATTTCTCTGTCGATTGAACTTTACGCTAACAAGCCAGACCGATGGCCGGTCGAACTCACCTTCAACACGCCCTTCCGTGTACTTTCGGTTATAAATGCGCTGTCTACCTGTCGGGTATCCTGCGCCACCAAGAGCGTTTACAAGAAATCCAGCGGAGGTGCTTACTAGTCCAGTTTGGAGGCGCGGCGGGCACGCTGGCGTCGCTTCAAGACGCCGATACTGGTCTCCGGGTACGCGCTGAGCTTGCCACGCAACTAGGATTGAAAGATCCATTGATCACTTGGCACGTTGCTCGTGACACAGTCGCTGAGATCCTCAATTTCCTTGCACTGATTGGGGGCACGTTAGGCAAGATCGCCCTCGATCTGATTGTCATGTCGTCGAACGAGTTTGACGAGGTCTCGGAGCCCTTTGTGCCCCATCGTGGAGCTTCGTCGACCATGCCTCAGAAACGTAACCCAATCTCGAGCGAGGTCATTCTCGCGGCATCAAAGCTGCTCCGATCTAATGCTAGCCTGGGGCTAGATGCCATGGTGACAGATTTTGAGCGCGCTTCTGGCCCTTGGCATTTAGAATGGGTGGCCATTCCTGAAGCCTTCATTACTGCAGTGGGCGCTTTGCATCAGACGAATTTTGCAATGGGTGGACTGGTGGTGAAGGTGGATTCGATGAGTCGCAACCTCCATTCCACGCGGGGACTCATCGTCGGGGAAGCGGTCATGATGGGGCTGGCGCCGGTGCTCGGTCGGCAAAAGGCCCATGACATTGTCTATGAAGCTTGCAAGACAGCGATTGAAGGAAACCGGAGCCTCCTCGAAGTACTGCAGGAGAACCCCGATCTCAGCGGGGCCCTTGCCGCGGATCGACTCGCTAGTTTGTGCGATCCGCTACAGTATCTTGGGGCGAGTCAGCAGATGGTAGACGCCGTTGTCGGGGAAGTCAATATTGTACCTTAGTTGAGTCTGGAATGTAAATATGCAATGGACTGTGTTAGTCGTCGCCACTCTACCCGTAAGTGAGAGAGCGAATGAAGCGAGCTGGGAGTATAAAGCGGCGCCCGTTGGCTGGCAAGTCAGCCGGCTTGACCCGCGGAGAAGTCTCGGAAGCGACGGCCCGCCAATCAGCATCGACTGCGACCGCCGGCAGCAACCTCACCTCAAATCAGGCTATTCCAAATCTTGGGTCACACTCTTCCCATTCCCCGGCCAGGCTTTGCTTTCGCTCCTCACGTCTGAAGCGATGGATGCTCTGCTGCTACATCCGGGATGCCCGCCTCCTTCGAAATCTTTCCTTCTCCGACTCCCGTGCCATGCGATCAAATAAACGCCCTCGCTCCGCGGGGAATCATGGGGTCTTCCGGGTCGTCTCCTTCTTCCCAGCTTCGTCGGATCCCTCAGCAGATGCCTCGTCTGGTAGAACGCAGGCTTCCTCAGGAATGCCATTGACGCCTTCAGAGCCCTCGCCGCCTACCTCCAAAATCGCTATTCCCCGGGTGTCGCAGCTTCGGTCCTACGGTAATCAACGCGTCAAGCGAGCTTGTATTGAATGCCGCGAGCAGAAGACGAAATGCAATGGACAGAATCCCTGTGGTCGCTGTACCAGCATGGACCTGCAGTGCGTCTATGTGGATGGAAAGCGGGAGGTTACGGAGAAGCGCCTCCACGATCTGGAGAGGCAGGTGCAGGCTTACGATCGGCTTTTGAAGGAGCTCCAGCCGCGCGTGGATAGTCAGGATAAGGGCCTGATTTCACGGACGCGAGCTCAGGTATGCTTTATTTCCCGCTTTGGTTATGAACGGCGGTTAATTTGAACAGTTTGTTAGTTCAGAACCGGATCTTCCCCTCCCAGATCATGCGACGCACTCTTCAACGCACTCGTTCGGAATCGAGTATATCCAGGAGGATTTCCACAAGGACAAAGGTTTACAAGCTATTGGATTCATGGGTGGCCCGTCAGAGATGTCATGGATCAACGAGTTGTATCAGGTTCTAGAAAAAGATACGCCCTTTTTGGACACCGAGGCGTCGAACAAATCCCAGTCCTTAACATCGGTCTGTTATTTCCTTGACGATGAGGAGCTGGTACTGGATTCAAGCATCGATCCGTATGGACGACCGCCCCGCCATATCGCCGATAAGCTGCTGGACTGCTATTTCTTTACTGTTCATCCTTCGTTTCCGATCATCGCAAAGATACCTTTTATGCAGCAGTATGAAATGTACTATACACGACTTGACATCCAGCCGACTAAGCGCTGGCTCACAATTCTGAATTTAGTATTTGCACTCGCTTCAAAGTTCGCGCAATTAGTTTCAAAGCCATGGGTGGCGGAGGCGGACAGTCCCATGACCTGCTTTACAAGAGCGCGCAAGCTCAACTTCACCGAGAGTCAGCTTTTGGAACATCCAAATCTACAGCAAGTCCAGGTCGAAGGACTCACCGCATTCTTTTTAATGGCAATCGGCCATATCAACCGCTCCTGGAGAGCCTGTGGCGTTTCGGTTCGCTCGGCCATCGCCCTGGGCGTCAACCTGCGCAGCGAGAGCAAAGAAACATCCAACTTATCTAAAGAAATTAGATACCGGGTATGGTGGTCAATATATACTCTTGAAAATACCCTCTCAATCATGACCGGTCGCCCGACAAGTGCGCCGGACAAATACAGCACCACCCCACTGCCCATCCCATTCGACGAGGAGCAGTTCCGTGAACCAGTGGCTTCGCGTCTGCTAATGGACTTTAGGGCGCGCACCGATTACATGCAGGGGTTGACGTCTCAGCGGCGCGTTAGTCCTGGATGGGATTCATCCGCTCTAGGTCATGGGGTTATGGGGCAGGAGCCCCCGCCGACCCCGATGGACATTTCTCCCAGCAACTCATTTTACTTCTTCTACTTCGTTGACTTAACCGTGATTATGCGCCGCGCGATCGACTCACTATATAGTCCTGGATTTGCGCGTCGTCCTTGGCTGACGATTAGCGCGTCTATTATGGATTTGGTCCAAGAAACCGACGAGTGGCTAAGCAGGGTTCCTTATGTATTCCACTTTAAGTTCCACCCCCAGTCAACAGATTTCGAGCGACAACGCTGGAGTTTGGCTTTCCGGTTTTATAGTTTGCGTATAACTCTCAGTCGGCCGTCGCTGTGTCGCTCGGAACGACAACGGTCTCCTACTGAAGCCTCAGCGCTCAGTCAGCAGCGGATAGCAAGCATATGCATTGACTCGGCTTGCGAGCTACTAGATCTGCTGCCTGATAAGACGGATGCGCTTTGGCTAGTCCAAGTGTCCCCATGGTGGTGTGTGCTGCATTATCTCATGCAGGCTATTACCGTGCTGCTGATCGAAATGGAGTTCTGTGTTCGGTTCCACGCCGACGGAGCCTCCCATATCACGTTGCACTTGGAGAAGGGACTGGAGTGGCTGCGCAGCCTTGGGTCGATCAGTGTACCATCGCGCCGGTCGTGGGAGGTCTGCAATAGCATCTACAATCGCCTATTTTTCGGGCCAGGGCCCCGGCCAACCGCCCTTGCAGATGTACACATGTTCTCGCCTGAACGAGTCTCGCGCAGCTCCAGCGTAACTTCGACTACTGCAGTTTCGCCAAGCTTCGAGACAGAATTTACGGAGGGCCCGGCCTTTGGTGAGCCGTATATGAATCTCCCGCAAAACATGACGGTCCACCCTGCCATCCAAACGCCGTATGATGAGATCCCTCTCTACAAGAACCCGATTTAGGTTCGACTCGAGATGGAGTCACTATTTATGATTACCATGCAATCCATCGAATCTCCTTGATTCGGTCTATGTACAATGCCCTCGGGCATAAATACATACTTCAAGCAGTTCGAAGTATGTCTGCACGTGGCAGCTGCGATTAGGTTCTTAAGACGAAGGCGACTCAGGCCACCTTGACGCCTCCCAGGAAACCATCGCTGCCTATCCCAAAACCCTGGGACCACCCTTTACCAGACTTTCTCGCGTTCGCGATCTTCCAAAAGATAGAACCCTATACTCAGTTAGCGTTACCATAAGCAACAGGTAGCACAAAGCCAGCCAACCAAACCATCATACATCATATACACCCTGTAGATCCTCCCTGTACACCTTACTCTCTTTCTGAATGAGCAGCCACGTCGATCCCCATTCGAAGAACGCAGCTCCCCACTAAACAAGTAATTAGCACATTGCCTTTAAAAACCAAGATGGCCAGAAGACAAGATTGACTGGACATACCCCAAATGGATCCACCGCACACCGATTCCCATGCATCATCTCAAACAACTCGCGAAACGTCAAAGCCCCGTCGCCATCACAGTCATACTTGGCAAACATATCCTCAAACGCCTGCGGCACGAACCGCCCCTCTGCATCGAACGTCCCGCTATCGGACCCGTGCTTCGCCTTGTATATACCGTCCACGTATACCCGGAATTGCGGGTCTGGGATAATCGAGTGTGCCAGCCGAGTCGGGTACGAGAAGTTCAGGTTTATGATTAGCATGGCGAGGAGGGAGAAGAGGATGTTGAATCCTAGATCGCGGAAGCCCGTGTATGTGTCGAAGGGGTAGATCTGGCCGTCGCGGTCGCGGTCCCAGAAGAGGACGTGTTGTTGCAGCGGTGTCTATCAGCTTATTAGCATGGGCGGTAGGTGGTGTTTTGATGGATGGAGGGGGCTTGCAAATTCGTGGAATTGTTTCATGGAGTCTGGCGAATTGTCCCCTTCGACGACATTGCATCGCGCGACGCCCGGCTTTTCGATGTCTGTGGGTATTGATGTCGCTGGGATGCGCTGGGAGGTTACAGTGCAGTGCTTGGATATGACTGGGATGTCTTCGTTTGTTGAGGGGCGACCGCCGTTGACCATTACATCGGCCGAATTGGTGATATGGGGATCAGGGGGGTTCGACGGAGACATTGTGCGATAATAAAAGGACATTTGTTCTCAATTGGTATTTGTATGGGGAATGGTATAAACTCATAATCTGTGTTGAAAGCAGGAGACAGGACATATATACGACAGCCAACAACCATGCCACATACGCTGGGGCTACATCATGATGCAAAAATACATGTGAAGGGCCTTCTAAGATTCTAGACGTGTTTAATAATAGATATAATCTTGTTGTTTACTGGTTTGTTTTGTTGTCTCACGTTGTTATGATGTCATTGCATACATCATGATGCGCCAACTGTCTATACAGCACCACCTCTAGCAAAACAGGAAATTGATGATATGACAGTGCAATACGTACCATACTCAAGAAATCTTCCTAAGCTTACATATGTAGGCCATGTTAACCATCATGACCACACTTTACAATTCACCATGGTACTGCAAACATCCCACACAGACCTGCTAATCATCGGCGCCGGCCCAGCAGGGCTCATGGCCGCATGTTGGGCCAGCCAGTTCAGCGGAATTTCGACGCGGATTATTGATGAGAAGCCGCACCGAACAGAGACCGGCCATGCAGACGGCATCCACAGCCGCACGCTGGAGATCCTTGATAGTTTTGGCATTGCCGATCCGATTCTGCGCAAGGGCGTGCAGGAGGTGGAGATGAGTTACTGGGTGGGTAGTTTTCCTCGTATATCTGTTTGGTCTGGGAGAACTGTGAGCTAATGTGATGATAGGCTGTAAATGGGGATACGGGGAATTTGGAGTGCCAAAAGCGCGTGCAGTCCCAGTCTGGGGGTCTCTCCAGGTTCGCGCAGACATCGCTGAATCAGGGCGAGGTAGAGCAGGTCATGATTGACTACTTGGAGGAGCGAGGACGGGTTCGGGTTGAAAGACAGAAGCGCGCAGAGAGGGTTTATTTCACTGATGACGATAATGATACTCACCCTGTGGTCGTGGAAACGAAGGCGCTGAAGACAGATCGAATGATGCATCTACCTCGGCCGGAAGACCTCAAGGAGCATGTATCACAAGTGACGGAGGTCATTCACGCAAGGTATATCATCGGTTGTGATGGCGCAAAAAGTCTCGTCAGGGAACAGCTCGACATACCACTGGAGGCTAGGTCGACAGACTCGATGTGGGGTGTTATTGACATTATACCTATCACGGACTTTCGTATGTGGTCTTAAAGCACAACAAGAATACAGTCTAACATTTACAGCTGATATCCGCCAGACTTGTGTCATCCATTCTGATGAATACGGGAGTATAATGCTAGTGCCCAGAGAGGACCGCCTAGTTCGGTTTTATATTCAACTACAGGGCGACTCGGACCTGGAAAAGAAGGCCTTGGATCAGTCGAACGAGACGCCAGAGGCACTGACTCAGCTTATTCAACGTGCTATGCACCCGTACAGCCTGACGTACCAACATTGCGACTGGTGGTCCTTGTATCCTGTATGACCGTCACGCTTAATACAAGATGGAGGCTGACCTTACAAAGATAAAGCAGTGTCTGGCTAATCAGTTTCAAGTCAAGCATCGGTAAATGGGACCCTTGTATTTCATTTTCGATGCTGCTAACAACTATAGTGCCTTCCTCGTAGGTGACGCCGCACATATCCATTCGCCCAAAGCCGGCCAGGGCATGAATGTCTCCATCCAGGATGCATACAATCTCGTATGGAAACTGGGGTCCGTTATCACAGGAGCTTCAGATCCAAACATTCTTGAGACGTACCAGCTCGAAAGACACCCGGTAGCCGAGGAGCTAATGGCAATGGATTCTCGGCTAGTCCATGTCTATGAGGAGAATAAAGCTTCCATCAGCGAGGTCAGCAAAGTACGGGCGGGGTATACAGGGTTCATGTCTGGAGTTGAGGTAACGTATCAGCCGAATATACTCGTTTCGCGTGGTGAGGGTGGTGAATCGACAAAAGCAGCGAATATCAAACTAGGGATGCGGCTGGGAACTGTTCCGGTTTTGAACCAGGCCTCTACGTGCACGATACAACTGACAGAGTTGCTGTCGAGCAACGGCGCGTGGAGACTCCTGGTTTTCTCTGGTGACCTACAACAGAGAAAGAATGTTGATCGGTTGGCCGAATTTGCAGAGGTGTTCCAGGGACCGGCGCATGCATCTAGCTCGCAGCAACCTGGATTCCAAGAATGGCAGCGCGCTATTGACGTGATTCTGATTCATCCAGGCCCGAGAATATCTGTCAACCTCTTAGAACTACCCGAGCTGTTCCATCCGTTCGACGAGAAACTAGGATGGGACTATAACAGGGTTTTTTCCGATGACAGCGCGTATAGAGGCGGCATCGGCCATGCGTATGAAGAATATGGAATCGACAAACAGGAAGGCAGCCTTGTTTTATGTCGTCCAGACCAGCATGTTGCCTGGGTCGGAGGCTTAGAGGACCTTTCTCGTCTTGAGATCTACTTTTCAGCGTTTCGTAAAGCAGACATGTTCAATAATTCAAAGACTACTACTAGAAACTAGCTTGAACAAGAAAGGTAATTCTACCCATTTAATAAACCTTTACCCAGTCGATGGTTAGGTAAAGAAGATCTGGATATAATCAGTACTAGCCAGGCGTTAGATTTGGGACTTAGTGATAGACTTACGATACATGTTGTCAGATTTCCAGGAGTCTGACCTGATTAGAGAGGCGTCCTTGCACAGGTGTTCCAGATCTTCATCATCATACTTGTGGCTACGGGCAGCGTACAGCCTGTTATAAGTCTCGGTGCGTACTCCATTTAAAGATGTCACACCAGAGGGGCAGTAGTATTGATAGTGTACCCCTTCCTGATCATCCCAGTCGCGGTCAACAACCCAGTTTTTAAGGTCAAAAATATCCCCTCCTAGGATTTTGTTGGCGGATACGAGTCCGTTCATGATAAACTTGTGATTTCGCCCCTCCGGATCATTATATGCTTGCTTGGCCCTTTGCTCATCCTTGCAGCCGTCCAAGCCAAGCAGGATGGAGGAATTAGGGATGTGACCGAAGTCGAACAGGAACTTCGCTGCATCTTTCCTGTCGAGATTTCCCAGTGTCGACCCAAGATGCAATATTGTCTTTTGCCGATTCTTGTTCGGCGGGCTCTGTAACCATTCGAGGGCATCACTGTATGTTCCTAGTAGCCCGGAGCACCGCACATGCTTATACTGACGTACTAACGGACCGAGGGTACGCTGGAGCTCGGGGTGGGAGACATCGAGGGCGTAGTAATCGACCGGGCGGGCAAGTTCTTCAAGCGCATCGAGGAGGATTTTGGTCTTGCGTAGATTTCTATTCGCAATCAGCAGTGGCAGTAGCCTGAGGGTGGTATGCAACCTACCCACTCCCTAACTCTACGATCATGCTTCTTGGCTTGATGTGGGCGGCGATTTGCGATCTATGTTTTGTGAGGAGCTCAATTTCCTCTCTCGTTAGGTAGTAGGAAGAGCATTGTGTGACATCCTCGAAGAGTTTCAGGCCTTGTTCGTCCCATAGCACGAGATCCGGCAATACGGCGCTTAGTTCATCGGGAATCTTATTGAGAGCCTCCAACAAGGACTTGCGTAGGTCCGCATCGTGCTTGTGTGAGCGAATGTCTTCAATTTGCGGTGTAGGCGGAGGTGGAGCTTTGGGGTGAAAAATAACAGTATCCGATAATTGGTGGCCGGAAGACATAATATTTAAGAGTGGCTATATTTGCTATATTAATATGGTAAAATTGGTAAAATGAGGAGCTCGTGTTGGGATCGAACACTGTTTGATATCGACGGGAATTTGACTATATTGGAGGAAAGAGCGAGTGGGAGGACGTTCCCCTAATTCATAATTCATCATTGGTATGCAAAGCCACACTCCTAAGAAGGTGCAAAGGGTGGGCATTTCCTAATTCGGCATGACAGTATCCAGTACGGACTACTGTCTCTCTCGCAAAGACTGTCTTCGCGATTGGGAGGTAGGATCCAGGTATGGTGCTTCCCCCAAACTACACACTCTATCGCCGCTGCGAGCCTCTGCGTAGTCGTATGTCGCACAATGCCAGGTTGACCGGTTGTCCCAGATAGCCATATCGTTCTTCCTCCATTTGAAGCGGATTTGAGCGTCGTGGTTTTGTGTGAGAAGCTGTTTACATATTAGTGTTGAACTGGAAGAAGTTCCGATGGACATACGTTGAAGAGATAGTGCAGAAGCACATCCGACTCGTCTTTTGTTACTCCGTTGATGCGCTTGGTAAAGCCTTTGTTCACGTATACTGATTTCCACCCGGTAACGGCTACGTCTGTCAGTACCTTTCTGTGATGCAGGATTCGTAAAACGTACGGTTCGTCCGAATGACAGGATGGATGGATGTGAGCTCGTCGCCATGATTCAGCGGTGATCCACGGATCCCCTTCCGCAGCGGGTTTCCCAGTCGTCGCGCCTCCTCATGGAAGAAAGTAGCATCATGGGTCGCCGTCAGGCGCTCTAGGAAGGACGCCATCTCAGGCGACAGGCGGTCGTAAATCTCGTAACCGGACGCCCATAGCGTATCCCCTCCTGTTTCAGGAAGAGTGTGGATCTTGAGCATGGCGTAGTCTGACGGGACGCGCTCGAAACTGATGTCTGTGTGCCAGCCTGCGGACGCGAATCTACTCACGTCGCTGAGCTGGTGTGTAAGACCGCCGCCCTTCTTTTGCTTCTCGCTGCTGATGACACTGATCTGGTCGCCCAGCTCGCTCCCTTCCTCTGTGAGGGGATGGACATGGAGACCTGATGATTCCGGCTAGGCTAGTGTTAGATGGGTAGTAAATCAATGAGGAATGCCAACTGACGCAGCCTGCTAACCGGGTCAAGTCCTCCATGAACTCCCGCATTTGCTGCGGTGTCACATCCTGGTCACGTAGGAACACCACTCCGCGTGAAGAGACTACCCGAGTCAGCTAGATACCATGGCAGGCAGAGGTGTAACCTACTGGTGACTGCGAGGTCCTGAATCAGCTGGTCGCGCTTGGCAGATTGCAGGATTTCGGCGACTTGGAGACCATGGTACTCTCTGCCAATGACAGGAGTCAGGTCTAGGGACTGGTAAGCATCCAGACTCCCAGAGTCCTCAAGGGGCGACGAGACTCGAGGACGAGCGTCGGGATTTCCTCCAAAGAGGGCTGGACTGCTTTGCTCGATGACGGTGGGCATGGTGGTCTAACAGGGAGGTTGGTTCTTGAACGATGAGGTGAGAATAGAGTCCGCGATGGCGACATTCATATACAATTTCCCCACTAGCAGCGTCTGTCATACGGTTCTCTATCATCGATGGCTTCCCCATATTGCCGGCTTGCAGGACCCAGCAAGAGTGGTGCACATGGCCCAGGCTCGTAGCGCTGTCGGCGGGGCTTCGGCGAAATTCTCGGAGAGCCGCTTGAATGGACCGGCCGTGTTTCCCAAGCTGGTTTAGATCGTGCACAAGAGTCTCAAGACTGGGGTTTGGTGTTGATGGTGTTCTGTGGTGGTAACGACCCTCGTAGAGCCGTATATCCCTCCAAGACTGGCCTGGTAGAACAGAATATCTCACAACAGACAGCCGAAAAAAACAACCATATAAACTTTTGTAAGGAGTGCGATCGCCGCGACAAAAAAGAACTCTCTCATGGAGTACAGCGCCACTCCGCGATGATGTGCTCGGGCCTTGCAGTGGTGTAATGGTCCTAGTGCTGTTTAGGGCCCGGCTGCTTCGCCTAACGGTCGCAAGGCCTTGATTGCGAATAACTACAGGGAGAAATGCTCATCCTTTGCCAGTCGACCCAGTCGGCTGTATCTACAAAAAGGTATGTATAAGGACGTGCACATCGCGCGTTGTTTCCTCTCGCACTCCTCTTGCCTGAGTTTCCACTGTCAACAAGACCTACCCGCAGCCATGGCTGACATTGAACAGAGCGCGAAAAGCTCCCTGACTGCTCATGCTCACGAGGATGATAAGTCGTTAAAGGCGTCGGCTGCTGTTGGACAGCAGAACCTCGCTGGGGTGACTCCTCCGCATGAATCGTACGAGGGTCATCACCGGTTCGATCCCACTGCGTCGTGGTCGGAGAAAGAGGAGAAGAGGGTTGTTATGAAGACAGACTTGATGCTCATGACCTGGCTGTGTCTGATGGTAAGACCATGAATACCACAGTGATGAATGTGGCTGACGTGAATAGTTCTTTGGCCTGCAACTGGACCGGGGCAATCTATCCAATGCGTTGACCGACAGGTTCCTGGATGATCTGAATCTGACCACCGACGACTACAACAATGTATGTGAGAGCTTGAGGCAGAGCCAAGGCTAGGCTAACTGAGATCTATAGGGAAATACTATCCAGCTCATGTGCTTCCTGGCAGCAGAGTTCCCTGTACAGTTGCTAATCAAGCGCTTCGGCTTCCGACGAGTCTTGCCCACGCTGATGCTCCTCTGGAGTTTGGTCTCCTGGACACAGTCGTGGATGACAGACAGGCCATCCTTCTACGCGACAAGAGCACTGATAGGAGCATTCGAGGGAGGGTTTATCCCCGGCACAATCTTGTTCGCGACTTACTTCTACAAGACGAAGGAGCTCTCTGTCCGACTGGCTTTCTTCTGGTCGACGTTGAACGTATGTTTGCCTTGCCCTAACTGCACGACATAATTAACATACCCATCAGGTTGCGCGTATCATTTCATCCTTGCTCGCCGCGGGAATCCTCGAGATGAGAGGAGTAAAGGGGAAGCCTGGTTGGTTTTGGCTGTTCCTAATTGACGGTCTCATAACCTTTGTTATTGGGCTGTTTGCCATGTTCTACCTCCCCAGTTCGCCAACGAGAACAAAAAGTGTCTTATACCCGAGGTCATGGTACTCGGAGCGCGAGGAAGTGATTATGATCAACGTACGTCGCCCAAAACATTCCAATTTATAAGTACTGACGCCGTCCAGCGCCTCCTCCGCGATGACCCGTCAAAGGGCCTGACTGAACTGCATGAGCGGGCAACCCTGCGCGATGTCCTCAACGCATGGAAGGACAAGTCTATGTGGGGGTTGTATTTCATCGGCCTCGTGGCGTATATTCCCCAGGGCCCCGTCCAGGGATATCTGTCCCTGACGCTCAAGAGACTTGGTTTTACCACCTTCGAGTCGAACATGTTGACAATCCCATCCGCCGCACTCCAGATCATCCTCATGCTTATCCTGTCCAAGAGTAGCGAATACTTCGGGGAGCGCACGTTTCATTGCGTGTTTGGCGAGTTCTGGTCCCTGCCGCTGCTGGCGACCCTGCTTGGTCTTCCTGACCATGGATACAACTGGGGGCGATTTACCGTCACAACAATGATCTCGGGGTACCCATATTTCCATCCGATTGTCTCAGCCTGGATTTCGGAGAATACCTTTGACGTCAAGAAGCGGGCTATTACCGCTGCGACGTATAACGTGATTGTCCAGGTCGGGTCGGTGATATCTTCGCGTAAGTCCCATCATACCATGAAAGAAGACAAAGACTGACTGGAAGTAGAAATATACCGGAGTTGGGATTCTCCGTACTACTACACGGGAAACAAAGTATTAATTGCCATCTGTGCCTTGTCGCTTGTGGTATTCGTGGCCCAGCGTGAGTTCCTTAGGCATTTGAACCGCCAGAAGGAGCGAAAATGGGAGGCGATGTCACCAACAGAGCGCGTTGAATACCAGACGGACTTGGCTGAGCGCGAGAAGGAGGGCAACGAGCGACTGGATTTCCGCTTCAAATATTAACCTGGGGATGTCCATCGCCAGGAACATTGGCAATAGGGAAATAGGGGCCAAGAGGCAACTGGTTGTGAGAAGTATCGAAGATGACGTTATTTAAGACTGTATCGAGTGAGCGTATATCTAATGAACCCGAAATTGCCGGAACACTAAGCCCGCTTGCATTTGTACCGAAATCTTGCGGAGGGGGGTACATCAAAGGGTCGTAGCTCGACTGAAGATAGCTCCATGGATTGTCGAACTGCTGGTCAGTAAAATCCAATGGTACGGAAGCCGTGGCGGCATCAGTGGTCCCACCAGGGGCTCGCGGACTGGTCTGATTAACTTCATGCCCAGATCCACCAGGAGCTCCATCACGTAGCCAGTTGGCTGCATTAGTATCAGCGGCGTCATTAGCGGAAGAGCCACCCTCCCAGGTAGTTGACACGGTGCCCTGAACCCGGCTAGTGCTCTGACTCTCACAACTGCGATTCTGAACAGGACGAATACAAGTAAGCAACGGCGGAATAGTTGAAGAAACCACAGAATGCGCATGGGCCATTTTGCGGTACAGCATATCCACAAGGGCATTGTTTCCCCCATCTGTGAAGGCTGACAAAAGGGAGTGGAGATGGGAAAGGAGGCTACTTGGTCGTGATTCCTGGTCCCATTTCGATGTCTGTGTAAGCATGGGCATTGTGGTCACGGCATCTACAAGCGAGTTGGCAATTTCGTGCAACTTCATCTGCTGCACAGGGTGTCAGCTGTGGAATCGAACTTGTGATAAGGAACGAGTCTTACCATTCCCAGTCCATGAGCTTGGAGCGCCGTTCGTGGTAGTCGACAGACTACGCTGATGAGATCCTTCGCGACTAGCAACGGAAAGGTGGGCGAGTTATGGAGTTCGCCCACATGCGAGCTGCCACCAGAGTTTGTTGATAGGGCCTTCCATGTCAGAATACGCATCCAGTGTCTTGTGACGCAGAGGTCCGCCCTTTGTACATCAGAGGCTAGGTCCAAAGCGCCAGCGCCATCACGAAATCTGTCTTGGAGTATTTCGTCGAATGTAGTGTCCGGAGTTTTGACGGGGCTAATAGACGGCTTCAATCCGAGGTGGTAGTCTTCAACAATGTTAAACATTCGCGTTTGTTCGAAAAGCCTAAACAATGCCAGGAGTTTCAGAAAAGCTGGCAAAACCTGCGGTTCGTCATTCGCATCGATCTCTGGCATTGCTGTATCCGTTTTGAGAACTACTGGGAGCTTGTGGAGGATGCAGACGCCACTGAAGACAGATTATTAGAAGCAATGTGAGACCAGATGGGTATATTCCCTTACCGTTCGGTGACAAATAATAACCACAACACTCGACGACGAATTTGTTGCTCCTCAACCGATAGGCCATTGTATGACGCTTCTCGATGTAGATACATCAATTGCGCCATGGTGATCGCCTCCCTCAGGTATAATATGGACTCGCTGCCCCCGGGCTCTTGGTTCTCGTAGTACACGTGGAGGAAAAACGCAGTGCGGATGTTGTTCAAGTTGACTCGCGAGCGGTAGTCAAATGCTCTGCGAGTTTCCAGGCATTCGGCAGCGAGCGCATTCGCTGTGATTGATTGATCTGAGATAAAGTTCTCACCAAGCCGTAATTGCGCAACTGTCGCAGCTGCCAATCCGGTGGCGAGTGCTTTCGTTTCATAGTCCTGACCTTCGCAGTCTGCTTGGAGAGCGGCGATCAAACTTTCGACATGGACAATCGGCCATACAGGGTACATGCGAACGTGGTAGATATACAGCAGTGATACCAGGGCGTTCGCCGGTAACCTTGCGCTGAACTAAAGTTAGAATTGAATGGAAGACCACCAGCGCATAAAACTAGACAAACCTTCCAGAGGTTCCTTCATTGTGCTCCGGGGAAGTAGGACGTCCACGACGGTTATTTCGCTGGCTTTGCTCGATAAGATGCCTCGTTGCGGCGCGCAGTTTCTGCGGCCCTCGTGTTTGTTGGGTGCGATTGTAGGAACACTGGATGCGCGCATTCAGACACGGCTTGCATGGATTCCCTCCACCACACCGAACCTTGCGCACTTTGCAACCATCGCAAGCTTGCCTGGTCAGGCAGGCCCTGGAAGGATTCGTTGCGCCTCTTCGGATCATCGCGAGCGGAATTTACGCAGATGAAATGGAGGACTTGCGGAGTTTCGAGACAATCGCCCCCTCAAACATTGCAGTGACAGAGGGACCTGCCGGCTTGTGCGGTGATTGGACGTGTCTGGGATTCTGCATGGAGGGAACGATGGCGTCTTTCCCCCCACTCAATACGCCATTGCCTATTGGGCCCACCCCGCATCCAATGCCATTTCCTGACTCATGCGGTGCCTGGGCTGTCATGCAACTGCCCTCAATATGGTTGGCTGTCCAGGGCCTTGCCAATTGATCGTCAGTTGCGACTCGCCGAGGTACTCCCGTAGTAGAGGAAGCTCTGGAGCTGGCCCGCCGGAGAACGAAGCCCCTCGTCGCGACCAGCTCAGCCCCTCCGAATTTTTCTCCGTGGCCCATTAATCTACACCGTACCAGATAGACCAAATTCAACAGCAATGGCGTTAAATAGGGCGAGTGTCCACAGTGGAAGGCAATTGTCCAAAATATTTGATTATCGACCATACCGGCGTTTCCGACTAAGATGGCGTGGCCCAACAAAAACAAGGATATGTTATACCGCCGTGTTGGCAACTCCGGGTTGCATGTTTCTGTGCTGGGCCTGGGCGGATGGCTAACGTGAGTTACTGTCCGTGATTCATTGGAAGACTGGTCTAACTGCCGTTTTACGTAGCTTCGGTGGCCATGTCGACAACGGTACACTTTCTCGTATTTTCAACCCGAGAGACCAACGAAGCTAACGGAGCGACTTCAGAGATCACATTCCAATGTATGAAACAGGCATACGACTGCGGTATCAACTTCTTTGACACCGCCGAAAGGTAGACCGACTAGTCCTTCAAATGTACGAAGACTGACGATCGAAGTTACGCTGGAGGCCAATCCGAGATCGTCATGGGCCAGGCAATCAAGAAATTTGAGTGGAAGCGGAGCGACATCGTTATTAGCACCAAAGTGAGTTCCGAGAATCAGAAAACCAGTTGGGTGTAAAATAACAGAACATCAGTTGAACTGGGGTCTGGCCAACGGTGAAATCCTGATCAACAACCACGGACTATCTCGCAAACATATTATCGAGGGTACCAAGGCGTCGCTTGAGCGACTTCAACTAGAATATGTGGACATCATCTACGCCCACCGCCCCGATCGATTAACCCCGATGGAGGAGACGGTACGGGCATTCAACTTTGTGATTGAGAAGGGATGGGCCTTTTACTGGGGAACGTCAGAGTGGTCAGCGGACGAAATCGCAGAAGCTTGTGGTATTGCTAAATCACTTGGTCTGATTGCACCGATTGTAGAGCAACCACTATACAACATGTTAGACCGCGAGAAGGTTGAAGGCCAGTACCAGCGGCTATATTCAAGATTCGGGATTGGTCTCACAACGTTCTCACCGTTGAAGATGGGTCTACTCAGTGGGAAGTATAACAACGCTTCCGCGCCTCCCCCCGGCTCACGGTTCGCGGAGAGCAAGGATAATTTTGCCCGCGGGGCAAGGGATACCTGGGAAAGTGACCAATGGGCGGGCAATGTCAAAAAGATTGCCGGGATACAGGTACGTTCTGACAGTCCATACGGCCCTATCGTTCCACTAACACTTGGCAGTCATTGGCGGACAAGCTCGGGGTTAAGCTGTCGCAGCTTGCACTGGCCTGGTGTGTCAAAAATGAGAATGTGTCGTCCGTAATTACTGGAGCGTCGCGGGCAGAACAGGTGGTCGACAATGTGAAGAGCCTTGAATTGCTGCCAAAATTGACACCGGAGGTCATGAGAGAGCTGGACGAATATCTCCAGAACAAGCCAGCTCAGGATCCTGCAAGACAGGGTTGAGCACAAATGTAATGCCAATTTTCAGGAAATGAGAAATGAAAATACTTCCAGGCTTACACTAATCCTGATGGCTTGTGATGTTCGTAGCGGAGAATTCCACCGTCCCAACCTTCGGGATTGGTAGCACTTCGACAGTCCTGACTGATGGGCTACATCCCCCAGTTTATTAGTGACCAGTCAGATGGACTGAGGATACTAGTTTCAGACATTGGTGCCGGTAAGTTAAAAGGCATCCACATATCAGCTCCACCGTATTGGCCGCCCATTCCCATTAGCGATAGCGGATCGGGGTTCATCGAAGTCGGCCAGACAGCGGAGCCACCGCTCGACGGCTTCTCTGCGGCCTGGCTTGCCTGGTTTGAAGCCACCAACTCCCTCCCTATCGTTATAATCTTTGGTGTGACTGGTTCCTGTCCAGACTGCTTCAAGGCCGACTCGGTTGCCTCCCAAGCCTGAAAAAGGGCTGCAGTCATTGTGTTGACAAGTAGCCGTGGGGACATGCGACGGAGCAAGACCGAACGAGCTTCAAAGTTGTCACTCATGGAGGCCCAACATTTCTCTGAGTGTTGGCTGAGAGGCCGTCTCCGCAAGTCTTGTAGAATATGAATATAAGCCGGGAAAGGGAAGTGGAAGTGGACTAGCCAAAGATACCGGCTGGCTGATGGGTTTAGGAGTATTTTGGTATCGCAATCGATGGTTTCTAGCGCAAAGGAGATGGCCGTGTCGCGCTGGGCCTTAGTATAGCTCCCACCAGCATACTTGGAATAATAGTCAAACAGACGACATTTCGCCAACATACCCCGCGTCATCCAGATGGTTATAAAATGAAGCGGATTATCGGGGTTTAGAGGCCGCAGGTATCTCTGCACTAGCAGGTTTTCTAGTGTATCCAATTCACTGGCCTCTGGGTTGGATTTGTCGCGAACATCCCTCGCGATAGCCTTGAGGGCCGGACACGTAAAGTCTAGGTGAAACGAAGAGTTCCGCAAAAAGTCGCCCATAACGGACCGAACGACGACGAAAACGGCCTCTGACGACTGGCCCTGGGGCTCAGGCGCCTCCTTCATCTCTGGTCGTAAATCAAAATCGTTCACGTTGCTGGGAATCTTGCAGTCCCAAAGGGGGCTGAGAGTGGGAGTTCTGTAGGACGCCATCTCTGCAACTCGAGTATCAAACAGAACCAGGGCCCACCAGAGCCTTCGACGCAATTCCGCTTCTAATGGAGGATACCTACAACAGGCGGACTCGCTATGCAGACCCATACGTTGCGCTGAGCGAACTGCGATGCCAAGCATTGAGGACAATGTGCGAGGGTCTCCAAGTACAGGTCGCAAGGACACCTGGTATTGTCAGCGTATAACAACACCATGGATCCCAGTAAACGCACCAAGTAGAAGTATAGGCCGGTCAAACAATCGAGCTTGTCGGACCGTAAAAACTCACAGCGTACCAAGGCCTCCCGGCAGCTCCGCTGGTATTGAGAGAGAAGTTCTTCTCTCGGAGCACCAAGGAGCTCCTGGCACTCATCGCTCATTAGACTTCCGATTGCAATGCAATATATTCCGAACATTAAAACCTCCAGCTGAGGACTGACTTGCTTCAAGTTGGTAATAGCTTCGATGATGCGCGCTTGTAGGGTTGGCGTATGTGTGATCTTCAGTAGAGGGTCGACGTTGTCAAGGTATACCTGCCAAAGGCGGAAAATCTGTGATGCCTCCGGGTGATGTGATGAAACATCGATCTGGTCGGCCCTGCCGCCAAATAGAGGGTCACAAAGCCCAGATCTCTGGTCCCATGCTTTTTTGACCACCTCCTCGGTCATCGTGGGTGGGGGCGAGTCGGCCTCGTCGTCAGATTGAGGGCACTGTTTCAGTCGTCAATATCTGTGATGAAGATCCTTTGGGTCCAACCCAAGCATACCGTTTGGTTCATCGCATTCCAGAAATCCCTGTCAAATATTAGCAGTTTGCGAGAGAACCTGGAGAAGAGCTTATACTTGGCGTCATATGACTCTTTTGACAGCTTTGCTCGGGGCGATGCAGAGGACGAAGGCAGCCAGTCCTCGGATTCAACACTCCGTCTCTTTTGCCCTTCATCGCCCTCCTTTGGCGGTTCACTGTGGAGCGGGTTGAATTCGATATTATGCCGCTTGAGGAGAGTCTCGTACTGGCGCACCCTATTCAGCAGTTCACGTTCCGGAAACCTACGTTTCCGATGACGCGGAAGAAGGCCAGCAGGAACGCACTGGGCTTGAGACTTGATGCAATTTGTGCAAGGAAAGGTGCGATCACATTTAATCTTACGTTGCTGGCAAAGTACACACGACAACACTCGGGTAGACTTGTCGGGGTGAGAGTCGGACATAATACACGCCGTGCGGAGTGTCCTAAGGAGAGAGTAAATGAACCCAACAGAAAGGGAAATTGATTACACCGAAGAAGATGGAAACGAAAACAAGGGACTAGGGAATATAAATAAACGAGAGACGGGCGATCCAGAATACTGAAGAGAGACGGCGGCGGGGATTGGAAATGCCCGACCGGGATGACTCAGCAGGACTCTCGGACAGTAGAAGCGTCCGAGAGGGAGCGTCGACTCAACACAACCCAAACAAACAGCATTTCAAACCCCCGAAGGGACCCCGGATTCGGAATAGAAGCTGAATCGTCAAAACGGATATAAATATTAGAGAATATCCCAGTCATGGATCAAATACAGCCAATACAAGCATTCCCTCTCCCCGAGTTGTATCAACACCATGTCTTCTACTGACGAGACCAAGCCAGCCCAGCCAGGCGATTCTGCCGATGCTGAAAAGGATTTCCAACCCCTATCACCTCAATTCTGGCTGATTATGCTGGGGGTTTATCTATCAATGTTTTTAGTTGCATTGGTAAGAGGTCTTTCTGCAACTTGGCATTCATGGCCCTTGGCTGATACCATACTCTAGGACCGGACAATCATCGCTACTGCAATCCCAGCTATCACCGACGAGTTCCACGCAATCAGCGATATCGGTTGGTATGGAAGTGCTTATATGTTGACCGCTGCCTCCTTTAACCCCCTCTTTGGCCGGGTCTACCAGCTTTATTCAACGAAATGGACTTTCATCTCCTGCATTGTCGTATTCGAGGTCGGTTCAGTTATTTGTGGAGCGGCGCCGACATCCACGGCATTCATAATCGGTCGTGCAATTGCTGGAGTAGGCTCGGCTGGCATTTTCACTGGAGCCATGATGATCATCGTCTCGCTTGTGCCTCTCCGCAAGCGTCCTATGCTCACCTCTATTTCTGGTATGGTCTTTGCGGTGTCATCTGTGGTGGCCCCAATCATTGGCGGCGCCTTTACAGACAATGTGTAGGTCACCCATACTCCTAAGCCATGGGCTTTTCGATCTAACTTTATTCAGAACCTGGAGATGGTGTTTTTATATCAACCTCCCCGTCGGAGGGTTCGCGCTAGTAGCAGTGCTAGTGTTGTTCCACTCCCAGGCTCCCCCGGCTCCCCAGAAAGGTATCAAGGCTCAGGTTAAGCGACTTGACCCCTTGGGTGTTTTCCTGTTCGTTCCCTCGATCATTAGTCTCATCCTCGCTCTTGAATGGGGCGGTACTACCTACGCCTGGTCAGCACCCACTATGGTCGGTCTCTTCGTCACGTTTGCCGTCCTCTTCGTGGCATTTATTATACTCCAGGTCTTGACGCCTGAAACGGCGATGATACCAATGCGAATTGTCCTGAACCGCTCGATAGCTGGTAGCATGCTATTCATCTTTCTGTTTACCGGGGCAATGATGTCCATTGTATACTACTTGAATATCTGGTTCCAAGTCGTCAAGGGAGACTCGGCCACCCAGGCAGGACTCAGCACCATTCCACTAGTCCTAGCCTTGGTAATCATGGGAATTATATCAGCTGCTGTAACACAGCGCATTGGGTACTACGTCCCGGCCATGCTGGTAGCTCCAGTTCTCGCTTCTGTCGGCGCCGGCCTTCTCTCAACTATGACCCCGAGCTCAAACCACAGTTACTGGATGGGCTACCAGGTGCTCTATGGTCTGGGAAATGGCTGTGGCTTCCAGACGTCCAACCTTTCGGCGCAGACTGTTCTTTCAAAAGCGGACGTTCCAATCGGCATGGCGCTGATGTTCTTTATGCAGCAACTCGGCGGTGCTGTCTTCCTCGCCGTGGATCAGAACCTGCTTTCGACGAAACTCGTGCAGCGTCTTTCCAATGTCGCAGGACTCGACGCTCACGCCATTGTGAACACTGGTGCCACCGATCTCAGGAAGAGCGTTCCTGCAGACCAACTTAGCACAGTTGTCAACGCGTATAACTATACGCTGTCGCAGATTTTCATTGTCGCTGCAGGTCTTGGCGCCGCTGCCATCCTGGGTGCTGTTGCTGTTGAGTGGGTTAATATCAAGACCGTGAATCAGAAAGGATCAGAAAACAAATCTACTGGCGAGAAAGGCAGTGAGTCTGAGACGCAACACGACCTTGAAGCTGGCCGACAGGAGGCAACCGATAAAAATTCCGCATCCAAGGAGAAACCTCAGGCTTAAGCGGTATCTGCATTCTCCCCTTACTCTCATCTCCGTGTATATTTATTAACTCCTAGAGAAAACCCTTATATAGACTTTATAGTTAATGCCGTGATTTTACACCAAGTTTATTGGCTTATTATACTGGTTGTGATCAACCGCGTTTCGCTAGGGCTAGCATATATATATATCTACCCACTCAGTTAAAGAAAACAAAGTAAAGAAGTTAAGCCACTTTGAGTAATTGTGTCCATAAATAAACTAATGCCGTAATTCCATCTATTATACAAGCATAATGTGCGTTGCTTGATCCGACTCACCATGTTGTCAAAGAAATCCCGCGCCAGTCTATCGATCTCCAAGTCGGAGCCACAACCGCCGACAATGCGATCGATCAACACAGCCTGCAGTAAGCACTACCAACACTCCGGATTCAAGCCAAGTTTTACAGCTGAAACTAAGGTATGACTCAGAAAAGGCCCGAGTCCGTCCCCTCCCCAGCTGTTCTGCGTCTGACGTTGTAACCACCCCAGATAAAAATAAACGTTCTGTTCATATATAAGAAAACCCCCCATGTCTCAAAACAACCTCTCTACTCTAGCGAAAGAGGCCGCTAAACTTGTCAAACTTTCGAGTCTGCAGAATGGCCTCCCGGGCTCGATGCGCGCTATACCGGTCGGGGCGATCGTTGCTGGGTGCGTTATTGCCAGAGTCGCCGGAACGTCGAATATCCTCGAGAAGCGAATGATCGGGGCTGATGAGATGATTGCGTTGGATAAACCGAAGGGGAACGAGAATACAGGGCAAGGGCAGGTTAGGCAAGATGGAGCAGGGAAGAAGGAATAAAAACGAACAGCTTGTCGAATATTTGGAGTTGCAGGCGTTATCGGTGGAAAGGCAGGGAATGTATAATATACCCACTCCTCTCTTGGGATATGGGTCGACGAATATATTCTATAATCTATGCTATGAGCTGAAATAGCTGAGTCTGGAAGTTATATGCTCGCCCAATGAGTTTATCAACCATCTCTGCAGTGTTTCGCGCAGACTGCTCTCCAATGAAGAAGAAATGATTCCCAGGCACAGGCAGACACAGCTCTGTCGGCGCAGAGTGGACAAGCTCTAGCAATGATTGCCAACTTGAAGATTCATTTGCGTTTCGCAGTCCCTGCTTCCCTATAAATGACTCTAGACTGTAAGTCATGAGGAACCCCCAGCCTGCACGGTCCGTCATGGCATGACTGGCGTCGAGAATGCTCGTTGGATAGAGAGCCGTGATGAATGGGAGATTCGCAATGTTGAGAACCTGCGAGTCCTCTTCATGGGGGATCTCATCGCGAACAAACCCGGTCTCATCGTACTTCAGTCCGAGTCCGATTAAATTGACAGGAGTCGCCCCGACGTACTCCCGGCGGTAGATGTCGCGAGGAATGATAGTGTGACCGTTAAGCTCCTCCATCTCAGACACTTGCCGTTCGAAATTGTCCAGCCGGGGAGGGACCTGGAAGTAGCCCGAGTCCGTACAGGTCAACCCTGGCATAGGTGGTCGGATGGTGGAAAACCCCGGGGTCGCGGCGAAGCTGATGTACTGCTGGACGTCGAGACCCAATTCTTTTGCTGCGATGTTAAATGGCACGACGATGCGACCTCCCATACTCCACGAGATCAGAACAATCGATGGGTCTCCGAGATCCTTTTCATCGATGATCTTCCTGGTTGTCGCCGCCGCTTGCCTGCCCCAGTCGGGGATCCGGAATCTCGCAGCAGTGGGTGGCATGATTTCGGGCTCTGTTTCCAGTGGATACGACAGAGACAACACTGCATATCCATTCTCCGATAGCCAGTAGCTTACAAAGTCGCTGCTTTTCGAGCCAGAGTGGCCGCCATAGAAGATGCGGGCGAGATGTAAGGCGCCTGTCACGCAGACGATGAGTGGGTTCCCCTTACGGGCATTTTCGACGCGAGCGGGCTGGAAGTGGTATAATGTAGGAAAACCAGCGACATTGGCGAGGGACTCCCCGGGATATAAGGGGGTCATGTTGTGTTATGGGTGTTGTCTGGGCGGAGTTGGAGAAGTTGGAGACTGAGGGCGTTTGGGCCTCGCAGACCAAGAATGACAGCGATTCCTGCCCAATAAGATGCACGAACGAAAGAATAACATCAATGGCATGGTGCAACGGAGAAAATGAATCTCACCAATCGCTTTATTTCTATACACCGGCCGGGGATTGGTTTCGATTATTAATGGACGCCTCCCCCGCCCAGGGATCAGTAGGCAAGCCACGTTTTCTTACTCTCATTCCGCTGCCCAGTCATTCATATTTGCGATAAAATGGCGCCGAAACTATTAAAAGACGGGACTGTGATCTCGTTCGACACCAACACCAAGTCCATCCGGGTGCTCCGACGAGGCTCAGTGCTGATCGTGGACGATCGCATTGCTGCAGTCGAGGAAGACAGTGACGCCATCACCATCCCAGAGGGAACTCAAATCATCGATGTCTCAGGGAAGATCGTCTCACCAGGCTTTGTCAATGCCCATGTCCACATGTGGCAGTCGGCGTATCGCACACTGGGCCCTAATGTGACGCTGTCTCAGTATTTCGACTGGGTGAGCCAGAGCTCTCCGGGCGCACAGGCGGCATTCCGGGGAGATGATATCTACTTCAGTTCCTTGGAAGGGTATTTAGAAGGACTAAACGGAGGCGTTACTTCGTACGTCGAGCACGCGCACAACAACTGGTCGCCCGAGGTGATGAGGGCTGGCCACCGCGCAGCTGTGCATAGTGGCGCCAGAATCTGGTGGTGCTACGATGTCATCGACCATGATCGCTTTCCGATTGCCCAGCAATGGGCCGCCTTTGGAGACCTTGCCAAGTATGACTTCCCCCTGGTTCTCCCGGGGCTGTCGCTAGACGGCCAGGGGTTTACCATCCTCAATGGCGATGGCGCTGCCAGGTCAATCCTCCGCGAGAAGGAGGTATTGGGCCTTCAAGCCCTTACTGTTCATCATCTTGGAGGCCCCTGGCCACGTACGTTTCTCCCTGATCAGCTTGGTATCCTCAACTCATCCCTGACAGAGGGAAATACATCCCCCACTGCGCTGTGCGACCTGAACGAGTTGAACGAGGTTGATCTGCCGATTATCGTCTCTCACGCCCCGTTCCTGTCCAAGTCGGATATGGAAACAATGCGGCGTGATAACGTCTTCGTAGCCATAACCCCAGAGTCCGAATGCCACTATGGCCACGGACAGGCTACCGGCCATGAGATCTCCGACCAAGCCTGTCTCGGCGTTGACACGACATGGACGTTCTCTGGAGATATCCTCAGCCAGGCCCGGCTTTGGCTCCAGTTAGCCCGGCTGAGGAACTACACCAAGACCCTAGATAAGAGTCTACTGCCGAATGCGAATCCAATGGCGGTGGAAGAAGCTTTCCTTCTTGCGACCCGCCAGGGAGGGCGTGCCCTGTGGAGAGACGATATTGGCGTCATCGCAGTCGGCGCCAAGGCAGATGTGGTTGTTTTTAACGGGGACAGCCCCAACATGCTTGGATGGAGTGATCCCGTCGCGGCCGTGGTTCTCCATGCAAACCCCGGAGATATCGAGCATGTGATTGTCGACGGGGAATGGAAGAAACGGAATTTCAAGCTTGTGAATCTGGCTCGGCGCTGGGATGAAGTACGTACGCGCTTCCTGGAGATATCACAGCGGATTCAAGAGCAGCTCAAGACGCCGCCGCCTCTGCCGGACAAGCTCTGGGGAGTTGGCCAGTTTGGAGATGTGGAAAAGGTCTCCACTAAGCTTTGAGCGTGTTTAGATATCTTGTTGAATATTCTGTAATTAATAAATACACTGGTTTTGGTACAGCTGCGTGCTTCTCGGTCAAATGTCAATGTGTGGATCGACCCATGGATGCTGCACTCAATTGCGTCATAGCACGATCTCATCCCCACAACCTTAGACTTCATGCCATATCTTGCTAAATGATGGGAATGGGCGCGACAGTGAAATGTCCCAAGCAACAGCGCCAGAACATGGCAACTCGACCAAAAAGACCAGCTCAGTCTGGGGTCGATTCCGCAGCAATTTCCACATGAGGCCGCCAGACGATGACGAGCCTCAAGACTGGTGGTTCGCATCCACTGCAATTCCCCTCGCTGCAGCGACAACCGGTCCTCTCGCTAGCCTCATGTCTATCGTTGCGCTGGTTAACCCCTGGATAAGCAATATTCTCCATGACCAGGAAGGTGTAGATGGTATGCCGGTGCAAGTCGGCATTGGGGATCCTAGATGGTAGTATATTCCTATCATGAGAAGGCAGCGGAACTGACGTGCTAGGTGTGTCGCTTTGAATGCGACGTCGCTTGCGTTTGGTATACTGGGGAATTTCTTCTTGCTGTGCAATTTCACGCGCCTCGTGCGGTATATCATTGCGCTTCCTCTGTCTATCTTTCTGTGGATCTCATCGACGGTTATAGTGAGTATTACCACACGCCGTCGTAGTCAGCGACTGACGCTGTATAGATGACCGGGTTGACAATATCTATGGATGTGTACCATAGTCCCATCCCCCCAAACCAAACATTCTCTCAGGGGTACTGGAGCGCCGTCATCTCCGCAGTGCTCTACTTCCTCCTCTCCGTGATCCTCATGGTAAACATGCTGGGATACTTTCTAGGGCACTATCCCCAGAACTTCGTCCTAACCAGCGATCAACGAACTCTAATTCTTCAAACAACATCATTTGTAGCCTGGCTCGCGATTGGAGGAGTGATATTCTGCCACGTAATCGACATATCCTACGCAAACGCCGTGTACTTTTCCGACATTACAGTCCTTACAGTCGGGTTCGGCGATATCACACCCACAACCGCGGTGGGCCGCGGGCTGGTTTTCCCTTACGCTGTCATTGGGATTGTCATGGTTGGCTTGGTCATTTCCAGCATCCATAGATTTGTACAGCAGATTGAGCGCCAGGATGTCCTCGTTCAGCATGCCGAGCGCAAGAGGAAGGCCATTATCCGACGGTCCGATGAGACAGAACCATACGGGGAAATTGAGTACCAGCAGCGACATACACGACGAAAACCGATCATCAGCACGGTCCATGCGTTTAACTGGATAAGGCCGGGAAGTAGTCTCTCCAAGCTCACGCAGATGAGAGAAGAGCGGGACCGGTTCGACGCCATGCGCGCCATCCAAACTGAAACCGTGCGGTATCGACGCTGGATGAACCTCGCTATCAGTATTATAGCATTCGGGATTATGTGGGCAGTTGGCGCCGTGATATTCTGGGCGCTGGAGGACGATCTGACGTACTTCCAGGCGCTGTATTTTGGTTTCACTTCTCTTCTGACGATAGGGTATGGGGATATCACGCCTACTACTAATGCCTCGAGGCAGTTCTTCGTTGTCTGGTCCCTTTTCGCTGTACCGACGATGACTTCGCTTATCTCGAAGATGAGTGATACGCTTGTGGATGGTTATAAAAGGTGTACGAATATTGTTGCCGATTGGACTGTGTTGCCGCAGTCTGGCCTTTACAGGACTGTGATATCGCGATGCTCTGGAACAGTGAAGCGGATATGTAGTTTGGCACCATCTGCTTACAGCCAGTCTCAACTTGAAAGAGGTCAACAGGAGCAGACAGAACCTCCATCCCCCCCTCAAGAACAGTCCTCCGGCCAACTATCGCTCGAATCCCTTGCTCGATCGCCCAGGCCCTCCACCCATAGACTAGGACAGGAACTCGTCCTTGCAATACAGAAAACGATAAAAGACGCCGTCTCCGGTCAGAGGAAGAAGTATAGTTATGAAGAGTGGGTTGAGTTTACCCGGTTGATCCAGCTCACGCAGTCTAAAGGTGGCGACGGGGAAGGAGATGAAAACATTCGCATCGACGAGGACGAGTACGGTCTGCTTAACTGGGACTGGATTGGACAGCATAGTCCTCTGTTGGCCGAGAAGACAGAGCCAGAGTGGGTTCTTGATCGGCTTTGTGAGAGTCTGGGGCGGTTTGTTGCACGGGTTGAGCCTTGATGAGTCTTCTACTGTTACAGCCGTAGCTATGGGTTAGCATTTCCCAGTTAATGTCAGATACGAAATCATCTACTTTGTGGAATGACGAAGACCCTGTATACGTGAAAGACGGCCGGCTGGTGTTGTCATGGTATATTGCCGACTGCTAGCAGCACCTTCGACATCCGTCACACATATGCAGCCAAGAGCCCAATGATGCTGATGCAGCTCACCTGCATGAAGACCCCGACATCGCCGTCTTGATTCTTGATTCCTGACATGCCCCGCAGCTACGCATATATCCAGTCGACACTACCAACCGCTGCGATGGAGGAGCTAAGCCTAAGCCTTGAACAGAATATCAAAACCCTCAATGCCTATCTTGATGCATTAGATCTGCCTCGTCCCTCATTTGATAGAGACACTCCAGCAGTTGTCCTTCCTCACGACGCACCCCAAGAAGTCCAGGATGCGCGTCACCAGATCATGGATGCGTCTCTGCGTCTGTTCCGTCTTGCTGCTGGACCCAGCGAGTATATCAGCAATTTCCGAACAGGAGTAAGCTGTGGACCTTGGTATCATCCCCGACTGACAAGAGTAGTTCAACGAAATGGCAGTTATCAAATGGCTGGTCCACTTTCAAATATTCGACATCGTGCCGTCTGAGGGGACTATTACATATACAGAGCTCGCCGCCAAAGCCAACGTCGCTGTTGTCCATGCAAAGAGCATAATGCGCATGGCGATAACCAGTGGGCTTTTCGAGGAGCCTGAGCCACAGAAGGTAGGACATTCTGCTGCCTCACTCTGTATCCGGAATGATCAGAATGAGCGCACGCGTGCTGCATGGTTCTGTGACGTCTCTGCGCCAACTGCAGCAGCCATGGTATATGCCCATGCCAAGTGGCCACAGAGTCTGAGTAGAACGCACACGGCGCATAATATGGCGAACGACACCGATCTTCCATTTTTCGAGCATCTAGCTCAACACCCCGAGCGTAAAGCCCACTTCGAGAACCTTATGAAGGCTGCAGGGTCTGCGCGGCATCTCAGCACCGAGCACACGATTGCAGGATTTGACTGGGCTGGTCTGGGTGAAGCTACTGTCGTTGATGTATATCCTTGTATCCTTTCTACTATGTTTACTAATTGTGATATCAGGTTGGTGGTTCAACAGGACACGTCTCGATCGCCCTGGCCCGGAAGTTTCCGTCGTTGAAATTCATAGTCCAGGACCTTCCTGACGTCGTTGCGAATGCCCAATCTGGTGTCCTCTCCCTTCCCGACGGTGCTGCCCTTGGATCGCGGATCACATACCTCCCTCACAGTTTTTTCGATCCTCAGCCAGTTCAAGGGGCTGCTGTATACTTCCTCCGCATGATCCTGCATGACTGGCCGACCGACGATGCTGTCAAGATCCTCTCCCAGCTTGTCGCGGTGCTGGGAAAAGACTCCCGGATTATAGTAATGGACTCTGTAATGCCCGACCCTGGAGCTGTGCCGCTGCAGAGGGAAAGGGTACTACGTGCACAGGACCTGACTATGATGCAGAGCTTTAATGCCCAGGAGCGGGCAGCGGAGGATTGGAAAGAGATATTCCAGCAAGTAGATGAGAGATTGGAGATAAAGGCGATTAACCAGCCGATAGGAAGTGATATGGCATGTATGGAGCTGGCCTTGAGAGGTGTTGATTACGGCGATTGAATCTATTGGCGAGTTGGAGAGTTGGAGCAGTGCGGAGTAACGCACGTGAGGGATCGCCTCTCTTCCTTCGACTAACTGCGTCACTTGAAATTGAATTATTCCTGTCTATAGCTTATATCATGGCGGACCCTGCCGATAGTGCTGACGCTGCCCGTCCGTTCCCTTGTAGTGAGTGCTCAAAGTCGTTTACGCGGAGTGTAAGTGCCTTGGATAGAGCCCACCATTTCCTGCTGATCATGGACAGGAGAATCTCAAAAGACACAAGCTTGCCCGTAAGCATCAAGCAATTGCCTTTAAATATCCCTGGAACTCAATATATTATCCAAGGACACGGTGGTGCTTCCCGGAAGGCCTTCGAGTGCGCCGGGTGTCATGCCCGATTTTCACGGAGGTGCGTATCCTGCTGGAATTTCGTCTGCATTTATTAATCGCTTGAAGCGATGTATATAAAAGACATCGCCTTCGGTGCGGAGCCCAGGATCAAATCGGGCTGGCAAGTCGAGGAGATTCTAGTCCGTCGGAAATAGCAGAGACCATCGCCTGTCTAGCCCCGGAGGCCTTGTTGAACCCAGAGCATGGCCAACTCGACGATACTTCACACGTCCAGCCTGCATCTCCGCAATCTGTGTGCGTTGTTTTGTCTTGCAGGCTTGATTGTGAACTGACTGGTGGCTACCGACATAGGACCCGCGGGGATACTGCATTGTGTATCAAGGCTTATATTGAACATTTCCATCCAGCCTTTCCGTTACTCCATCGGCCGACCTTTTCCATCTCCTCGTCATCCGAGCTCTTGGTTAACATCGTGGCAGTTATCGGTAGTTTATACTCAACTCCATTCCTTTCAAGTGAGCTGGAAACATGTCAATGGCGTCGGGATACTTGGAAGCGAGGGAGCAGGCAGCTTCATGACATGGTGACTCACCAGAATGCATTGCATTCATTGACTGCTAATATATCGTAGGTCGCCGCAGATGGCAGTGAAGCTCGAAAGGTCTGGCTGTTGCAGGCCGGCATTCTCCATATTATCTACGGGGCGTACTCGAACGACTCCGCTGATTTTGACGAAGCAAAACGTTTGTTGCGGATTATTGTTGACGTAGGTCTTGTTCTCACGGTATAACCAATGCTAATAATGTCTAGGCCACACGAGAGCTAGGGCTACTGATACAAGGTATTGCAGCGCCAGACTTTCTATCCTCAACAAACGACCTAGTTCACGTTGACTCAGAAACGCCTTACATGCGGTGGACCTCTTATATCAACACGGAGTCGCTCAAAGTCTCACTGTACGCTCTGGTCCTCGTGGACGCCTATGTTTTTCTACCGTCCAATGCACGGCCCGTACTCTCGCCAATGGAGTTTGCGTGGGAACTTCCCTTCCCAAGTGATCTGTGGGAGGCCCAGAACTCCCAGGTATGGCTTCAAAGAGTGGCTGAGCATTTCGGGACACTGTCAGAGGACTACATATACAGTCCCCGCCGGATTGCAACAGCCTCTCTTTCGATAGCCACCCAACAGCTGATGTCTGAATCTCCAAGTCCAGAACTTCTCGCTGCTCTGGCCGCATCGCCGTTCGCAACATTTTGCCTGCTTGCAAATATAAATACACTGATAAGAGACTTCACTCGATGCTACTACCAAATGCCCCCGAGCCCAGCTGATCCATCCGCCTTCCATATCCTCACCCAGGCTCAAAACAAACAAGTCTACAGCGCCATGAGAGCGATTTCGAACATCGCGAAGAACCAAGCATGCACGAGCGAAAGCCCGCATTTTCTGCTGTGGAGGGCTATTGAGAATCTCTATTGTTTTGTCAAAATCAGCCTCTGCCGACCGGACCCCCTGCTTATCGGCGGGATTGTGGACAACAGCGTCGTTGCGGGACTGGCGACCTCTACTCATCTCACGCTCGGGAACTACGTCGCTGTTCGGCGATCGGCACCATTACTCCAACCGCATCTGTGGGGTGATGAAGGCATTCTGGCTCTGCTGGCTGACCTTGTCGGTGCGCTGTCCAAGATAGTCGGCGAGGGAGAAGGCCGATGCCGTGAACCGCCCTGGGCGACGGCAAGCAGCTATGGGATCCTGCTGTGCATGTGGGCGGCTCTGAGGCGTGCGAGTAAGGATATCCGGAACCACATAGATACTTTCAACGAGCTTCCTAGGACGTGCGAGTCGTCCATGCTGATTTTCAACACGCTTGTTGAGGCCGTGGTGGTGAGTGCTGGGGGAGAGCGAGATCCGCGGATCTGGTCTGCGGATCGCGATAGCTTTGTTGGTCTGCTTGAGCAGGGGGAGGGACTATACTTGTCTCTGATGCAGAGGGTGTGCAGGGACAGGTCTGTTTGGGGTCTTGGGCCGTCCATGGTAGCCGTCATAGAGGAGGTTCTGGCTGCTCCCGCGAGCACACTAGCGTGATTCAAACAATGTCAAGTTATTCATAGTACTAGTTTGCATGGAGTGGACTATCTCCAATGCAGTGGAGCTCCACTTGTATCCTGCCAGCGTATTCCATAGACCCCCTTAAGCCAGATCTTCCTCTTCCCCGATAATGTTCCAACACTTTTTACCAGCGCGACTACTAGACACCATGGCATCGAATATTGGATGGGTACGTATCCTCCTAAAATCACGGAACCATGCTTAACCAAACAGTTTGGCCTGGGATCCATGGGCCTACACATGGCCCTCAATCTGCAGAAGCATTTGCAAGGAAATAGCCTCCCTCCTCTCCACTACAGTAACCGGAGTATGTCAAAGGGCCAACCACTGCAAGACGCCGGTGCAATCCCAGAGAGCGACTTTGAAAGTCTCGTCCAAGCATCTGATATTATTTTCACAATGGTGCGGCACCTCCATAACGCATGCACACAACTCACCACTAATTATAATTACAGATCTCTGATGATGCCGTCTTGGACTCCCTGATCACCAGAGCTCTAACGACCAACAGCCTCGCCGGGAAAACGTTCATCGACACCTCGACAATCCACCCAGATACAGCCGCGGCCACTGCGACCCGCCTCGCTGAAAAAGGCGCGACATTCATCGCAGCACCCGTATTCGGCGCCAGCACTGTCGCAGAAGCAGGGAAACTCATCTTCGCAGTTGCCGGTCCCGCTGCGGCGATTCAGAGAGTCGAGCCGCTTATCCAAGATGTGATGGGGCGCAGGATTATACGTCTAGGTGAAGACGTGCGCAGGTCCAGTTCGCTCAAGATATGCGGGTGAGAATGTCCCTATACACCATGTCTGCTACTGCTGGCACACTGACCCTCTGCCAGGAACATCCTCGTCATAAGCTTCATGGAAGTAATCTCCGAAGCACACATCATCGCGGAGAAAACCGGCCTCGGTCCGGCCCTGCTTGAGGAGTTTATAGGGGACATGTTCGGTCCTGTGCTGCAGGGTTATTCGGCGCGGATCACGAGCGGGTCGTATGCGCCGTCGCCGGAGAAGGGACCAGGTTTTGCGGCTGCGCTGGCGTGTAAGGATATGCGGCATGCGCTGGCGATTGCGGGGGCAAATGGGGCGAGTTTGCCGACGGTGGATGTTGCGCTGGGAAGGTTGACTGCGGCGAGGGAGTATGCGGGCGAATGTTTGGATAGTGCGGCGGTTCATGGGACGGCGAGGAGGGAGGCGGGCTTGGGGTTTTGGAATGAGGCTTGTACGTGGAGGAACTAATCTAGTTATACTTGATAGTAGATGCTATCCGAGAAGTCAGGCCGAAATACATATCTGGGGTGTAAAGTATCCTTAAACCACACAATCACCAGAAGATGTAACATCTGAACAGCTCGTCTCGATTCTCTGTCTCCAAGGCCTCTGTACCCCAACAGCAAGAAATGGAGACGAGTGGAGGCTGGTGGACGCGGTGGAGCTCCACCGACAGGTAAAGCGTCATGTACAACGCCTGGATAGGTAGAAAAGAAGCCCAGATCTCTGAAATATACATCCATATAGTAGTTGTTCAAAATCAGCTTCAACATGGGTTCTATCGGGGTCACCCAAACGCATTCCAATGCAGGCTACCAGATCATCGAACAGCCCAGCCGCCTCGCGAGGAAGATCCGCATTGTGGTCATCGGCTGTGGTGCCAGTGCCATCAATTTCGCCCACGATGTGGATAACAGCGGCCTGGATCTGGACCTGGTCTGCTACGACAAGAATCCCTCGATTGGGGGGACGTGGTATGAGAACAAGTATCCAGGATGTGGCTGCGATATCCCGTCGGTGAATTACCAGTATTCCTGGGCGCCGTCGACGCATTGGTCATCTTTGTATGTTTCTTGTATTTTATTTCTTGAGTATTTCTTTGGTCGCGCGAGCTAATGGTGGCAGCTATTCGAGTGCCGCTGAGATTTTGCATTACTTCAAGTCTGTGGCGCAGGACTACGGTCTGATGAAGTACATGCAGCTCAACTGTAAGGTGATCGATGCCAGATGGGATGAAGATAAACAGCAGTGGCATCTCAAGCTTCAGAATACGATTTCAAATGAAGTTTTCGAAGACAGCGCTCATGTCCTGGTAAATGCAAGCGGTGTTCTCAAGTGAGTCTCCTGTCTCTCAAGTTTATACCCTGCTAAGCATTGCCAGTAAATGGAAATGGCCTGCAATTCCAAATCGAGAACACTTTAAAGGCCAAATGCTGCACAGTGCAAACTGGGACGACAGCATTCAGCTTCAAGGAAAGCGAGTGGGAGTGATCGGGTCAGGGTCCTCTGCTGTCCAGATTGTTCCCAATATCCAGCCAGGTTTGTTCCACATTACCTATCACATGCACAAGACTGACTGTTCAGTTGTTTCTTCTTTGAAATGCTTCATTAGAAGCCAGTCCTGGGTTACTGCCAGCTTCGGACAGCGCTTTGCAGGCAAAGGAGGAACGAACTTCAAATGTGAGCCAGCCTGAACCGTATATAGTGTCCATCTAACAAGACCAGACAGCGAGAAACAGAAAGAAATCCTAAAGTCCAACCCGGAAAAGTACCTTGCATACCGCAAGAAGATCGAGTCCGAGCTCAACTCGCGATTCCGCTTCATTCTCAATGGATCCAAGGAGCAAGCCGATGCAAGAGCAGTAAGTCACACCTTGACCATTATCTTCATAGCTAACAAACCAGCAGGCAGCCGAGAAGGACATGCGCACACGACTGGCCAAGAAACCTGAGTTGGCCGATCTGATCGTGCCCACCAACTTCGCCGTCGGCTGTCGTCGCCCAACTCCCGGGGCTGGATATCTGGAGGCCCTGTGCCAGGAGAACGTTAGCGTCGTCTCCTCCAGCATCCAGGAATTCACCCAGAAAGGTATCCGGACCGCCGACGGCGTGGAGCATGAGTTTGATGTCATCGTCTGCGCCACGGGCTTCGATGTCAGCTGGAAGCCTGCATATCCCACCATCGGGCGAGACTCGCGCAGTCTGAGCAAGGAATGGGCAGACATCCCGAACACGTATCTGTCTATTGCGGTGCCTCATTTTCCGAACTACCTGAGTAAGTCTTGAAATAAAAGGCCGGGATATCAGCTAATATTGACGAATTTAGTTTTTAACGGCCCCTACGGTCCGTACGGCCACGGGAGCTTCCTGCCAATAACTGAAACAGTGTCCAAGCATTTCCTGCAAATGTTGACGAAAATGTCTGAAGAGGGCGTTACCTCCTTTGACGTGAAGCCCGAGGCCGTGGCAGACTTTGTACAACACAGACGACAGTTCCTACCGCGGACGGCCTGGTCCTCGCCCTGTCGCTCCTGGTTTAAGCAGGGCACGGTCGACGGCGAGATCATGATGTGGCCCGGGTCGCGGATCCATTTCTTTGAAACGATGAAGGCGCCGCGGTGGGAGGACTATAACCTGACCTATACGACTGCGAATCGGTTTGGGTATTTGGGTAATGGCTTTGCGGCGAGGGAGTTCGATGGGAGTGATTTGACTTGGTATTTGGGGCTGATGGGTGAGGATGTGCAGCCAGAGCTGCCGGACGAGGACTTTGCAGATTTCATGGTGTTGTAGGTTATTGATTGTTTGTGTCTTCAATGGGAGGAGTAGTAGTACTGTTATACGTCAGCCTGCGCGTCTGTAAACCTCCCGTGGGGTATAGGCCGTGCTCCGCTAGTAGGACAATATCTGTACAAGATAAATGAATGGTTCCTGCTCTAGAAGGTAACTCTATTATGTGTCCTGTTTTTCATATATCGTCCTGATATGTAGCTACTAGCGGTCGCTGGTAAGTGTCTAGTCTGCCTGAGTATCTCTAGGAGTCTGCTGCTTCATGTCTGCTTCTCCTAAGAAACTAAGGTCGTTCCCACCAGAGCTTCCACTGGCTAGTATGAGGTAGGTCTTGTAGTTATTTTTGACACTTTCCTCGGACTTGGATAGAACAGGGGAGAGAGATAGGAGCAAAGGCTGTCTTGAATATTGAGTATAGCTAGAACATCAATTGCATTCACACAAACAGCAGCCCACCACTACCCATATATCCTAATCTGATACTTGATGCAGTTACTTCACATAGCGAAAGCGAGTCTGTTCAAAGTCGGTCAAGTCCATAAACTTCGACCGCTGCACAGCCTGCCTAGTTTCTTCATCATCCAGCCCAACTCCCTCCTCCGCCTGGACACGATCCCTGCGCCGATTCTCATAGATATTAACAAACCGCAGCACCAGTAAAACGACCGCACTCGCTCCATACATAATGGCCACGATGGTCTTTCCGCGTCTATACTCTGGCGCATCATCCGCCCGGAATGTCTGCGGGCCTATCCAGTTCCCCGCGGCGTAGGCTATGATCTGTAGCCCGTTCACGGTGACTTTCTTCGTGTACCCGAGGGTATTGTTTGAGATTGCTGCCATGATAAGACCCCATGCTGCACCGGCCACGCTGATCATGTAGTATCCGATTAGGAGTGCGGGCTTTGCGTCCTGCGGTACGACGATCATGATCACTGCGCCGGCCATGGCGAACAGGATCGCTAGGAAGGCCATCGCTGTGCGGTCGAGGAGACGGTCCGAGGCGTACGTGAACAGCAGCTTCCCCGCGATATCGAAGACTCCGGCTGGTGACTGCAGCAGGAGCGAGAGTCTGTCGGAGAAGCCGAAGGACTTGATCACCAGGGATCCGAAGGTGGTGATGCCGCCGTTGGGGATGTTCATGAGCAGCGAGAACAGCACGTAGAGGTATGTCCGAGGGTCGCGGAAGGCTTCGCGGAACTGCGACCATTTCCAGACTTGGCTGCCGATGCCTTGGAAATTGTCGCGGATGCGCTCGATGGCGATGAGTCGTGAGCGGTCGTCGAGGAATTTGGCGTTGGACTGGTTGTCTGGGAGGTACCAGAAGTAGATGACCCCGGTGGCGACGGTGAGAAGGCCCAGGATGAGGAAGAGGATGCGCCACGGGGCGAGATGGGCGTCTTGGATGGCTGAGATGCCGTAGCCGATGAAGCCCATCAGGATCAGGGAGACTCCGTTGCAGGCGAGCCAGTAGCCCATGCGCCGGCCTTGCTCGTTCTGTCGGAACCACATCGACGTGATAAGTACGAAGGCCGGGGTGACGCTCGCCTCGAAGGCTCCAAGGAAGAAGCGAGAGACGAGTAAACCGGCGTAGTTATTTGCAGCAGCATGGCAGGACAGGGCGATGCCCCAGCAGAAGATATTGGCCGCAGTATATTTGCCAACGGGGAGTCTGCGGAAGAGATACGTGGTAGGGAATCTGCATAGTTAGTTAGCTGCCAACGATGAAGGATATAGCATGTCTTACTCCCAAGCAAGGAAGCCCGCGTAGAAGATGCTCGAGACCCAGTTGTACTGATTGCCAACCAGGCCAGTGTCGGCCTGGAGGCCCATGAGCGATGCATAGTTGAGCGTGGACTTGTCGGCAAACTGCATCATGTAGACCCAGCACATCAGGGGCAGCATATGAAGATCGATATTCTTGAGCACACTCCTCTCTTCTTCAGGGGTGAACTCGACGACACCTCCACCAGTCAGTCGGAGGGCTGGATCAGCGTCCTCGATGATTTCGCCTTTGGCCACGTCGACATTGCCGCTGCCGTGTGTGGGCTTGTCCATTGTGAGGATTGTTAGAGATGTTGAATGCCTTGAGGAAGATAGCTGCAGGAACCGGACTATAAATGCTTTAAATGCTCATGCGAGCTTATCTTCCCCGCGTTTGGAGTACCGGCCCTAAATACGGGGTAGACGCCAGCGCCTGGCCCACTATCTACAGGAGTTATGAATGTGCTGCACGATATAAAACTACTACAGCACTCATAAATAGGCCCAGAGAACACTTCCAAGATTGTATTTAGAATAATGCACCATTTCTGTGTCCAAACCTGACCCAAAACTGCCTTGCAGTCTATGAGCGTGTCCATCTCAATCCCAAAGCGAGAGATAAGACTCCACCTCCACCTCCACCGGTCCTTCTTCCTGTATCTGTTCATGTGGAGCTCCACCAAGATAACAAGCAATTACTTCAATATTACCCCAGACCGGTAGTTTATTGTTGAGGATTGCAGGACCGCCTTATCTGCTGGGGTTAACTCCACCAGCTGTGGATATCTGGTCTATTGGTAAATTTCCTGTTGTCAGCACGGGTTAAAATCACCAGGTACAGATGCCGGAAGAATTTCCCGGGTCTCTGCAACCCTGTGGCCGTACTCCGCTGCGCCCGGGACATCTGACATCTTTCTTCACTCACTCGTGGGCTCGCAGGGTATTATATCAATGTTGGCTAATATCGCACCCACGGTGCATGTTCAGCTGCTCAGGCTATACCGTGCGAGAGACTTGGAAGAGGCGCTGGCACCGGTGGCTCAGCTTGCACCTGCTAGCAGAGTACTGTCTAAGGCTGTTATTGCTCATTATTCTGGCTATGGTTCTGCCAGGGCGTGCCTGGTTGCTCGCCCTAATATAGGGAGTCTCGATGAGTTTGTCGGGATGTTTGCCGAGGTTATTGGGCTGGAGCAGAGCATCTGAAAGGTAGCAATTCCTCTCGTCGAAGTATATAACTTTGCTATCCGTAATTGCGGTGGAATGGGCTAGTGATATGAAGCAGTTTAACCTCGTGGCCGCCAAGTTTGCGCGATTCAAGTCGGAGATTCAGGCTGGATACTTTCAGCTGATAACAGCTCCATCGGCCCACAGAAGGATCCTGTCGCCAGTAACCGTCTCAACGTCTGCTCCACTATGTACACCAAGGAATAGTCCAACGGCTTCGGAGGTTTTACTGACTGACTTGTAATAATTGTCAAGTGTGGTTTGGATAATCATTTCCGGTAATGAATGCATTCTCTAGCCTTCATACCATAAATATGAACACTGGCTTCATAAGCCGACGGCTGTATTTTCCGCATTGTGTGATGGGAAGAGTCTCAGCGGTGGAGCGTGCGCAACGTGGAGGCACAGAGGCCAGCGCTGAACGGCGAACCCCACCGTTTGAGGCCACTGCGCACTCGCTTACCAACGCCAAAGCAGGGCCTGGCTGGCTGGCTGGCTGGCTGTCCGTGCCTGGGATTTGGCCAGTTCCCGGATCGCGGTTCGGGACTCGACCGTCGGAGATTGCGCGTGGGGCAGGTCAGACTCGCCTGCCAGTGACTGCGGCAGACAAAGAATGCTCTTTGCTGGATGGACGATCAGCGGGGGAACGGAATGCAATCAAAGAGGGGCAGACAAAGAGTGAAAAGGAGGGTGTCGTGCTGTGTATTTCCTGCCACTGGCTGTCTCATGTTACATTGTAGACAACTACGTCAAGCTGACAGAGCACTTCCATAATATCTAGAACCAACAGCCACAGACCCCTCGCGTCGGCACCATTGCCGGTCTGGTATCTGGATGGTATCTGCCTCTTGCTGCTCATACACGATATTGTTGAACAACGGCCTCGACACGCGCAACTGCAGTGGGACCAGCTTCCAACAGCCGATATCGAGATCCTCTGCCGTCCCCACGCCCGCCGATCTCTGGCCAGGCGCTTTTAACCTGGCATTCCCGCCGATCGGGCCTGAAACTGCAGGATCGTATCTCACTGACTGCGAACGGGCTGACCATGTTGTCGCTGTCGCTATCGCTGCTGGGCAACCCGGTCCAACTGGGCTATACTGCACTCCTTTTGCTTGTATTTTCGGCTCTCTGGATATCTTGTAAACGACTGTATTTCCATCCTCTGCGGGATATTCCTGGTCCTCTCTTTGCTAGACTCACAGGGTGGTGGGAGTTTTACTTCGATGTCATCGACAATGGGACCCTGGTCAAAAGACTGCCAGGACTTCATGAGAAATACCGTAAGCTTTCGACTCTCACCTAGTATTAATTCAGACTAACAGTTCAGAAACTCCCGTTATTCGCATCTCGCCGAATCACGTCCACGTCAACGACCCGGACTTCTATCATGTGTCAGTCCTCGTTATTGCATACAACGCTCTGTACTGATTCAAGCAGAATCTATCGCTCCGGAACAGACTACGGCAAATCGCCTCATTTCTACAAAGCCTTAATCTATCCCGAAGCCCTGATTTCTATCATGGACTCGAAGCGCCATCGCATATACCGAAACACGATTGCGCCGCTGTTCTCGCCCGCCGCGATCGAGCTCTGTACCCCCCGGATCTTCCAAGTTATTCAACAGGCTGCGACGAAGCTGAAGCAGAAGCTTGACTCTGGCGAGCCGATGGAGATCCAGCGCATGTTTAAATGTTTTTCGGTGGGTATATCGGTCTTGTTCTGTAGGATGTGCTAATGAGTAGGTCGATATCATCTATGTCACTCTATTCGGACAGGCAGATGTCTTTGTCAAGGACTATGAGCTGGATCATCCTCTTATGACTAGCATGGACCAGATCACCCATGGAATGTGGCTTGGTATGTTTCCTTTTTTGTTTAGCTACAATATACTGATGTCTCAGCGAAACACTTTCCAATCATCAACGACATCGCGCCCCGACTTCCGGCCTCGCTGTCCTCTCCGAAGCTTCGTGGCTATGCACAGTTTAGACAAGTAAGCCGGCAGACCCGACATCCATAGTTTAGCAAGGGAGACTAACGAAACAGCAATGCATGGCGTGGGTCGAAGGCGTGCAAGAACGCCGAAAGCAGGGAAAATACACCACGCCAGACGGAATCACAACCATCTTCGACGCCATGTTAACGCCTAGCGAGGAGCGCGGATACAAAGCCCGAACACCAAAGGAGCTCATCGACGAGGCTGCCCTGTTCATCCTGGCTGGCAGCGATACATCGGGGTACTCGCTCACAACTGCGACTTACTATCTTCTTACCCATCCCACTATCCTCGCTACCCTCCGAAAGGAGCTTGATGCTGTGCAGTCGCATATTCGCGAATGTCGCTGGGAGGAGATTCGCAAATTGCCCTATCTGGTATGCTTTCCTTGATCTGGATAAAGACTTGCTAATGATGAATAGCTGGCGGTGGTTAAAGAGACACTGCGCCTTTCTACGCCGGTTCCAGGCATGACGCCCCGGATTGTCCCTGAGCCTGGGGTTACAGTGCAGGGCCACTTTCTGCCTGCAGGAGTAAGTCAATCTCCTGGGTGATATTGTATAAGCTAATTTGTAGACTATTGTTTCCATCACGCACCGCACCATCCACGATAATCCCGACCTCTTCGACTCGCCGGAGAAGTTCAAGCCGGAGCGATGGCTCGGCGAGAAGGGAAAGGCTCTGGATCGGTGGATGGTCGCCTTCAGCAAGGGGTCTAGACAGTGTGTCGGAAGCCCGTATGTATCTCCTGCCGAGTATATGGATATAGCTAATGAATTCAGACTGGCGTACCAGGAACTCTCGCTTACAATCGCGCACCTGTTCAGCCGGTTTGATATGGAACTTTTCGACACTAACGAGGAGAGCATGGAGTGGGTGGACAATGTCGTCGCCATTAATAAGAAGCCGGTAGAAGTCAAGGTAGTGGGGGACCGATGGGCGTAGGTATTTCAGTTATTTTCAGTCAGTTATAATGAGGAACGCTATTGAATACATCAACTTGATCAACAGGTATGTGTAGAATCAAAGCATGGCAGGCAGAGTGATGCTCTCAATCGTCCACACCTTTCCTCCCTCGCTCGACGACAATCCTTCGTACGTGCCACCACCGGCTGTGGCAATGGTGTCTCCAAAGGTGGTGTCGGCTTCGGCGAGGGTGATCTTGGTGTTGATGTATTTCTGGTCCGAGGAAGTCCCAGTGCATTCCTCGTTGCATTCGGTGCCGGTTCCGTATCTACTCAATTAGCATCCATCGCGTTAATCCGTTTCAGAGGCATACCCAGTCATGTAAGGCCCAGAGGCGTGGGAGAAGGTCGAAAGGACATCACCGGTTTGTGCATTCGTCACGGTCCTCCATTATTAGCGGCTACAACTTATATATGATTCTGAGGCTTACTGCGTCCAAGTATCATTGTCGTCCTCGAGCGTATACTCGATCTTTACCTGGTCATCCCCAGCAGCAACCCCAGGCTCACCGTCCAGCTGGCCAAAGCTGCCGAATACACTGGCGCGAACGCACCACTCGGTAGCCTGCGCGCCGCACCAGTCGTTACTCTCCCAGCCTTCCAACGTAGCCTGGATCAGGTCGCCGGTGCCGTTGCTCATGCCGGGCCAGAGGAAGAGGACGCCATTCTGGGTCTCGGGTGCTGGACCGGGGATGAGGGTTGTGACGGCATTTATGATGGTGGATTTGCTGGGACCGAGAGAGACACTGCCGCCCCAGGTGTCCTGGCGTGTGTTGAGTGAGGCGCACAGGCCCAGGGCTGGGAGGAGACTAGCGAAGAGCTTCATTTTGTAGAGACTATGTAGGTTGTAAGGCTGACTACTGAAGGACGAGACGATATTACCGGGAGAGACAGCTTTATAGGTTAGATCATGCGGTCAAGATGTCTCGGATGAATATATTCGAGACTGTCTCATGTTGAGTTTGACAGCGGCCTGAAACAGCCCTATACCGATAGTCTGCCCCTGGTGGACGGACTTTCTCCACCACGACAGCCACACCGGGGAATGTAATACCGAAAGCCTGTCATATCGTCTTCAAGACTAACTGTTCAGGGGTCAGCCCGCTCCTGTCCGGCATTTAGGATTGGGTCCAGGTGCAGACCGGTCTGTGCCGCCGGTGTTCAGGCTTTGTGCATCCAGATTGGGTTATTCAGAACAAGCATCAGAATCCAGGTATTAGGCTATTCCAATCGCTTCTCCGCGGGGCTAGTCGGGTTAAGCTCAGCTTCTACAACCCCGCGACATGGCATCGGCACTCCCAGTTGAGATTCTCTACCAGGTCTTCGATCGCGTCGACTGCTTCCTGGACCAAGTGAAGCTACTCAGGGTCTGTCGACATTGGCACAATGCCCTGTGTTCCAAAGTGTATTCGAGGATTGAATTCCAGAACGACGCGCCTTGATTGCTCTGGATCCAGCTCTCCTGAAAAACCCCCGATTGAGGCCTCTGATTAAAGAACTACATTTCTTGAGCAGCAATGGGGCCCAGTCTCCTGAATCCGGATTCTACGATCCCGGCGTCTTTCTCGAGTTCATAGAGCAATTCATGGACAGTGAGGACGAGGAAGGAGGGTGGGAGGAAAGACTTGATGTGGGCGATGGATTCTCCTGGATCTCGCTGATCCTGCAGCTGGTTTCCAACCTGCAGTATCTGAACATGCGCTGGGCAAATTGACGACTCGACCAGACAGTTCCCTGGATTGTTGACAAGATGGCAAACAGATCCCCCGAGGATGATCTCCAACTGCAGAATCTCCGGAAGGTCTCCGTAAAATCCGGTGATATACAAGACAACTTCCACGTTGACCGATTTATTACCTTCTTGAGACTGCCGTCCTTGGATACCCTTCACCTTGCCGGCATACATAATGACGACTCGAAGCAGCTCCCACCTTTTTACTCTGACCGGTATTTAGACTCTGAGCTCAGGCCTGGCAGGCTGGAGGTGCGCGAGCTGTCGTTTCGAGGCTACAACTTCCAGCACTGACTGTCCGAGTTACTCTCTGCTTGTGCCCGGCTCCGAGTACCAGTACTGCAACCAGGTTAAATGGGGGCGTACGTACAGGAGCTTCCGGTGTCGAGCATTCCACGAGGGACTGTTATCACAAACGGACTGTCTGCGCGTGCTACGCCTTAACGATGTTGGTGTCACCAGGTTGCGTGATACCTGCGAGGATGAGGAATTCCTGCAGGAGAATCGCGCCTCCAACGAACAAGCCTGGTTTGGTGGTCTGACTGGGTTTGAGTCATTGGAAAGCCTGAGGATACAGGTTTGGAATCTATTGGACTGGACGGATAGGGAGGAGCCCGGTATGCCGCTGGACGAGGTCCTTCCGCCTGGACTAGAGACTCTTGTTTTGACAAAGGTGGACTACATCGACTACGCGATGTTGGCGGGGCAGCTGAAGCGGTGTTTGCGATGCAAGGCGACTCAATTCCCTAGACACAAGATGATCCTACTCCAGCCGTTTCAGGTGGAGGTTATCGGCGGTGGATTCCAACCGGGACAAGGCAACTGGGGAGTTCCAGAGCTTGCAAAAACCGTCTTTCCGGACGTGGCCAAGAGTTGCAAGCTGCAAGGGATTGACTTTGGCTTCTGGGAGGATGAAGACTATGTGATCGTAGCCGATGGGGTGGTGGTGGATGAGACCGATAATTATTCAGGGCGGTTTTTGTTAAGTTGTGACTGAAACATGAAGCAAATATGTCGATATTCAATATGCAGTCAACCCCAGATACCTCAACAGACTACTCCATCCAGTCTGTCCTAAGCGAACCTGATACATACACTCTCGCAATTCACTTTCAAGGCTACGTACCACTTTCCATTTCAAGGTCCTCAATGGCCAGGTCATGAATAAATAAATAACCCCATGAACTATCAGCTGCCAATCTTCAGACCCTCTAGTAACTCTAATGTTTGTCAATAACGTGGCTATTGGTGATTATCTCTAACCTCAAGCAACTGATTCTCATGAACCGGTGGCTTCATGGTCAGATGCAAGATCAGCAAATCTAACTTATCGGCAAAGACTGCCAATGGGTATTTTATTCATTATATTGTCGTATCCCTGATCCCGTGTCTAGAACAGCCTGTTTTCCGTTTCCGGAGCCTTCCAACATTTATCAATCGTCCGACTTGCAAGATTCGGGTCGGAACTCTATTAGACTTCTACATTATATCATTTCCGTTCTCTGTAGGCGATCCCTGTATTATAAATTTCTCTTTCCACCCCAACGTTCATTCACACTTCAACCAAATTATTCTCTTATATCCCTAGAAGCCCATACTCCAAAAGGCAATATGGCTGAAACCAAGATCTTTGAAACAGATCTCTGGGGCGAGCATCGTGGCCGCCATCCTTCCATGCCCGACCTCAAGAATCGACTCTCCGTGGAGATCAGGGAGAAGCTTGCCAACGAAGTCGCGGGACGACCGGGGACAGCCTATGTTGACTACAAGGGCCGCATTAGAAAGGTGGCCGATCACGGAAAGCTTTACGATGACGCCCATGCAGAAGAGCTCACTTTCGGCCCGGACGGATCTGACACTGGCAAGAATTGGCATGGCTGGACTACCGCTCATTTGAAGGTTGAGTTTGACGTTGAGTCTATTTAATGTTCATACATAGTCTTCAAATTGATTAAGTTATCGTTACATACAGCCAAATGCAGTCGAGAGTACACCATCAAGATCGTATAACTAGAACTACTAACTGCTTTAATATTGAATTAATATGTATTATATTATAATATACAATGGCAGCAATATTCAACCTATTACTGCCGTACTCAGTACCCCAGTAACGCGACTATCTACAACAGACATATATTTCTCGGTTCTTTTATTCTTATACTGCCGCTTTACCGATACACGCCTATCTTCAAACTAGAATAACTGATAAATATTCATCTGCGTACCGCCAAGCCCCCAACAAAGAACCCTGCGTGTTGGATCCAATTAAACCCGTGTAACTGGAGGGTTCATGCACCTTGACTGTGCCGCAGAAAGACGCCCAACCACAGAGAAGGCTGAGAATTTGCTTTTTAGACTCAGGGGCAGTACTTTTGGCTGGATTGTGTGCTCACGACTCTACGCGTCTTTCCTTGCACAATGGCAGTTGCATCCCCCTATCGTGCACTTGCGGTAGGCCACGATGGCTGCGTCTCTCGTGCTCTTTTATCTAGCTGTAACAGCCTGTATCTAGAGCACCTCAGCTGACGATGGTAGGATGACCTTTCCCTCCCCCCCTTGCACATGGCTGGTGACTAAAACCTCCGTACTACGGTAGAGTCCCGGTACGTGGAGCACCCGGCGCACCAGGACCTCATGCCGACAGACGATGCCTACTTTGCCTGGCGCTGCGACGATGATTGCAAAGGCCCCGTCACAATCCGGATACGCGGAGACGATTTTGATGGAACTGCCTTCGCCGACTGGTCGGATAGTTCGACAACCCTGGCGCCCAGCTTCCTGCCTGCAATGAGACCGGAGGAGACTTCTGTCTTCACATTCTCACTGTACAGCTCTACCCGAATAGATGGCGACGACTTTGGAATTGGTGTTTTTGATAGCAAATTCTCGCTCTTTGCGCCGACTCCGACGACGAAGACAGTTACCCAGACGCAGACGGTTACCACAACGTCAGAGCATACTATGACACAGGCCGCGGAGACAAGTGAAATTCCTACTCAGGCACTAGACGAAGGGGAGGATGAGGGCACTGACGACAGCGAACGAGGTACTGGAGGACTATCCACTGGCGGGAAAGCAGGTATTGGTGTTGGGGTCGCCGTCGGCGCAATCCTTCTTGCAGCTGGGGCATTCCTCGTCGTCCGTCGTCGGAAGCGTGTGGAAACCGCGACGATACGCGAGATACCTGCTACCAGCGCCGTGAACCTGCCTGGACCTGGGCCTGGGCTCGCGTCGAATCAGGCCAATACGGCTGCGTCTGGACCGACCTATGAAATGCGTGGATAAAACATTCATAGTTTGGACTATGCTCTGTACGCGATATCTAATGTAATAATAGCGACGGCCGCGTGGTATGTCTTGATAGAGATTTGGAGTTCAGCATGGTACAAAGTGTCTTATATGTTGGGGTTAAGAACAGCTCATCGAGATGGAGATGGACGTCACCAGCCAAGGCACAGCCTCTTAAGCCAGTCCCTCACTGCCAATGCAAACGTCCTTCTCAGCGTAAAAATCCCTCTGTTGTCGGGTGATTTATGTAGGGTTCGGTAATTCAGCGCGGGCAATATCTCCTGATTTGTTTGCTACGTCATACCTGCTCCACCTACCGAATCAGCTACGGAGTAGGCGGACAATAAACATCAGTGCTACAGGTCCAAACCAATGCGGTTGGTATTTCTTTATTGAAACTACTCAATATGGCTACGGTAGACAGCTCAACCCGGCCTTCCGCCTGGTGAATTGACCCCAGGTTTGGGGTAATTAATGAGTTCGCGTGGTTGGGATATTATCACCCCGCTTTGTGCATGTAGCCTCCCCACACTCTGGGGTGCAGTATATAAAGGAGAGTTGAGCTGTTTGTACTTTTGGTTTGTTATTCCAGAAAGTGCAGGAGCCTACTCCGTAGTAACCAAGATGGTTCACTTCCCAACGGCTCCGGTGGCCTCAGGCCTTGTAGCGCTGCTTGCACTGTCCCCGGCTGTCCTCGCAAACCGTTCGTACTCTTTCCCTTCCTTTATTTCTTTCAAAGCCTAACTCCTTCTAGCAATCGTGGCAGAAGGTACATCCTTCTCCCTCAATGGCAAGACAATGTCCTACCGCTTCCACGTGGACAACGCGACGGGTAAGCTCCTAGGAGACCACTTTGGTGGCACCATCACTGGTGACATCCCCCAGGAGGAACTGGGCGAGCTGAATGGCTGGGCCGGTTTCCATGGCCGTGTACGTCGCGAGTTCCCAGAGCAAGGCCTAGGCGACTTCCGGATCCCCGCGGTCCGAATTCGCGAGTCGCCAGGGTACGACATTTCCGACTTGCAGTATAAATCGCACCAGATCACCCGTGGGAAACCTGCACTGCCGGGCCTTCCAGCAACCATGGGCGCGGAGGAAGACGTCAGCACCTTGGTTGTCCATCTATACGACAAGTACAGCGATATTGCAGCAGATCTGTCGTACTCAGTCTTCCCGGAATACGATGCCATTGCGCGCAGCGTCAATATCACGAACCATGGAAACGCAAATATCACCGTCGAAGCCCTGGCCAGTCTGAGCGTTGACTTGCCGGTTGCAGACCTGGACATGATCAGCCTTCGTGGAGATTGGGCAAGGGAAGCGAGTCGCGAGAGAACAAAGGTCCAGTACGGTGTTCAGAGCTTTGGAAGCTCCGCTGGCTACTCGTCTCACTTCCATAACCCCTTCCTGGCATTGATGGAACCTTCGGCCACCGAGTCTCACGGAGAGACATGGGGGTTTTCCCTGATTTATACGGGTTCCTTCTCTGTGGATGTTGAGAGGGGCTCACAGGGCTTGACGCGTGCACTCCTGGGGCTCAATCCCGACCAGCTATCCTGGACTCTGCCGCCTGGGGAGACTCTCACATCGCCAGAGTGTGTCACGGTGTACTCCAAGGATGGGATCGGTGGCATGTCACGCTCTCTGCATCGCCTATACCGCAAGCATCTTATTCAAAGCAAGTTTGCCACCAGTGATCGCCCTACCTTACTGAATAGCTGGGAAGGGCTGGTCTTTGACTACAACGAAAGCCGGATATACACTCTGGCGAAGGAATCAGCAGATATTGGTGCTAAGCTCTTCGTTCTGGACGACGGCTGGTTTGGCGATGAATATCCGCGTGTCGACGATACTGCTGGACTTGGTGACTGGGTGCCAAACCCGGACCGGTTTCCCAATGGCCTAGAGCCTTTAGTCAACAACATCACGCATTTAACAGCAGCAAATACATCGACGAACCTGCGCTTCGGTATCTGGGTCGAGCCAGAGATGGTCAATCCAAACTCCACCTTATATCACAAGCATCCAGACTGGGTGTTACACGCAGGGCGATACCCACGCACCGAGGGCCGCAGCCAGCTTGTTCTCAATCTCGCGCTACCAGAAGTCCAGGACTTTATTATCGAGGCCGTTTCGAATATCTTGAAGAGCGCAGATATCACTTACGTCAAGTGGGATAACAACCGGGCCATCCACCAGCTGCCTTCCCCAGCCACAGCCCACGCTTATATACTTGGCCTATACCGTGTGCTTAGTGAACTTACAGCACAGTTCCCAGAGGTCCTTTGGGAAGGCTGCGCCTCGGGCGGAGGCCGCTTCGACGCAGGGGTTCTTCACTATTTCCCGCAGAGCTGGACCTCGGACAACACCGACGCCGTTAGTCGTATATCTATTCAGATGGGCACTTCGCTCGCCTATCCACCCAGCGCGATGGGAGCCCACCTATCCGCCGTGCCAAACGGTCAGACTGACCGGACCGTACCACTAGCATTCCGTGGCCATGTTGCGATGATGGGCGGATCATTTGGGCTAGAACTTGACCCGGCTGAGATGCTGCAGGAAGAGAAGGCTGCTCTGCCGGACCTCATTACCCTCGCTGAGAAGGTGAATCCCATTGTGCTCACGGGTGATCTGTGGCGGTTGAACCTACCAGAAGACTCGAATTGGCCTGCTGCCTTGTTTATTGCTGAAGATGGCCAGCAAGCTGTGCTGTTTGTCTTCCAGCTCTCTCCGAACGTGAATCATGCCTGGCCGCGTATCAAGCTGCAAGGATTGGATGCGCAGGCTTCATATAAGGTCGATGGAGAGTCGGTGTATTCTGGGACAACTCTGATGAACCTTGGGCTGCAGTTTGTCTTTGATTCTGATTATGGCAGTCGAGTTGTGATGTTGGAGAAGCAGTAGACAGATTCTGGATGGGCCTAGGGTTATTTGTAGGAACAGTAATACTTTATTATCAAAGCCAACCCAACCGTTATTGAATCAAAATCCAGGGTTCATAGACGGGCAACGAAGCACAATGTGAATCTTTTCTTACCATCCTCTACGTTCAACATCAAAATCCCCCACTCTTCATCTCTTGCTGCTGTGGTTCGTACATCAGACTGGCCCATGTTGCTCCCAACGTCCCAATCCCAGCAAGGCACTTTGAACTAGCTCAATAGAACACGCGTCAAATATCTTCTCCGTGTTGCAGCGGTGATCTATGATGCATTCACACTGCCATCACCTCGTAGATTGTACGCACAATGACGTCCGCAAATTGCCTACCCACCTGGTGCCATCAACAGGTTAGGGTGGGTGCTCTTGCGCGTCTTCAGGGGGGAACCTTAATATCTCAAGCAGTATATTGTTCCCACTCGGTTTCGCCCTCCGTTGGGGTTAGACGACCCCAAGCTGCAAGTTATGAAGAGAAATTCTGGCATTGCTGACTTTGGTTGACTCCGTTTCCCGTCAGCCCACCACGCTCTCTGAATGTGATGTCTGCTTCCATATATGAACTCGCGCCCTCCTCCGTAGAAGTAATGACTGGGGTCGACCGCAGTTGTAATAGCCGCAGGTAACCGATCGGGAAAATATCCTGTATGTGATCGTCGACCATATGAGTTTTGGCCCCGGTGGAGTCCGGAGATTTTGGCATCACTCCGGACCGAATCAGGCAAGAGGTCAAATCGGCTGCCCGATCTCCGATTCGGACTGTGGGTCAGATCGCCCCATCTAAGAGCACTGTCGTCGTCATCCTGGAATACGAGTACCCCACTAGGGTTCGAGTTTGCGGCAGTTTTGGCCAGTCTGTGCAGCCCGTTTGTATACAGTGTGTAGATCAAGGGTCAGTTCGTCTGCCTGAAACGCGTGGATAGGGTGAGCTTATGGAATGGCGAATGGCATCACATTGTAAAGTTCGTCGTTGACGCCCAGTGGATTATGCTTAATTAATATTAATAAAAGAATGGTGTGTACAAGGGGCCATGGGGTGGTGTAGTTTCACGTTGACGAAAGGGTTTAGGGTTACTTGTTAAAGTATAAGAGGGCACGTTACTCACTGTATTCATAGCACTACAACAATCACTCATTCTTTCTTTCTTTCTTTCTTTCCTTCCTAGCTTCCCTTTCACTCGCTATTATTGAAAATGCTGTGCAAACAATCCTTCCTTGCCCTTCTCGCCTCGTCGCTGGTCGCCGGGCTGTCCTACGACAACATCGACAAGGCTGCTACTCCTCGCGCCAGGGAGCTGCTTCAGTACATCCAGTCCCAGTACGGCTCGCACTACCTCTCCGGCCAGCAGGACCCCGGCAGTCTGAAATGGGTGCAGCAGAACTTCGGCGTTACTCCCGCTATCCTGGGCACCGACCTCATGTACTACTCGCCTACTGCTGTCGCCAACGGAGGCAAGAGTCAGACGGTTGAGGATGCTCTCAGTTTTGACGAGCAGGGTGGCATCAACGCGCTTGTGTGGCATTGGTACCCCCCGACCTGTGTGCCCGACACCGAGGACAAGCCGTGGTACGACAGCTTCTATACCAAGTCCACCTGCTTCAACCTTGCAAATGCATTTGGCCACGGCTCAAACGGAAGCGCCACTGCAAGCCCCAGTGCATCGCCAACACCATCTCCAAGTGCATCCGCATCAGCAAGCGCATCCGCATCAGCAAGCGCATCCCCGAGCGCCTCGGCAACCCCCAGCGCAGGGAACGGCAACGAGTACGGACTCCTGATCCGCGATATCGACGCTATTGCGAAGCAGCTCAAGCGCCTGGCTGACGCCGACGTCCCCGTTCTCTTCCGCCCCCTCCACGAGCCCGAGGGTGCATGGTTCTGGTGGGGAGCGCAGGGCCCTGCCCCCTTCAAGCAGCTCTGGGACCTGCTCTACGACCGCATCACCCGCGTGCACAATATCCACAACCTCGTGTGGGTGTGCAACACCGCCGATCCCAACTGGTACCCCGGCAATGACAAGTGCGACATTGCCACCGTTGACCACTACGCGGAGGCCGGCGACCATGGTGTTCTCGAGCGCAAGTACCAGAGCCTGAAGCAGGTTACTCAGGGCGAGCGCGTCCTCGCTCTCGCTGAGGTTGGCTCCATTCCTGACCCCGAGGAGCAGGCTGAGAAGAACATCCCTTGGGCTTTCTGGATGACCTGGAATGATGAGTTTATCAAGGATGGCAAGCACAACTCGCGGGAATTCCTGAAGAGTACCTTTGCCAATCCTCGTGTTGTCACTATGGGCAATGGTACCACCAAGCACTGAGGGTTGAGGGCCAGCTAGTCCTTGTATAGCGATGTTTCGCTAAAGTCCTTCACTTGTGCTGTAACAACAGTATAGCTTGTATTCATTCTTTTGTTCCCTGTTATGGGCAAGGTAATCATCATCTGTTCATTCCTTGAGCACCGCTATTTAATTTCTGCAATCATTACTATACTTTTGATAAACATCATGTTTCCTCTTCTGGTCAACACTTTCCTGGCAACTCTTTCGACCGTCTAGGGGTCAAGGATCTTCTCTGTATTTATTTTAGCAGGGTGATATTGAAATGACATGATATTCCACTTCATTCAAATGATTGACCAATTGAGTTACCTGTACCAATACATATGTACTGGATTTTCTAGGCGGGTGGATGGCCTTCTATTTCCGTTTTAGTGCTCCACCCTCGCTGCTTTTTACTTACTGAGTAGATCGCAGCACGCTCTAAGCACGCTCTAAGCAGCCTGAGGCAATTACTGAGCACGAGGTGAGCAAAAGACTAAGTGCCCTGGCAAGGAACCTTAATAAACTACACACTAACTGATAATCCTCTTCTTGCCCGGTTCGCCATCTTGCACTCCACTTTTGCCCGCCACACTCCTCCCCCTTCAAACCCTGGCGCTGTCATCAGGAAAGCGACGCATAGGTGGAGCTACTATTCCTTCTGATGCCTGAGTAGGACTCTGCTGGAGGTGATCGCGTTTCGCCAACACGGCATAAGATTTTTGGCGGGCTTTCTCGGTCAGAATGGACAGCACAAGTTCTGATGTCCATGGGGCTCTGGATATCCCAAGAGTCAAGGGATCCCCAAGGATTATTTCATGTCTTCGGATTCGTTGGCGTTCTTGGGGGCCTGCTGTGCGCGCTCATCGACCTGTTATTCGAATGTTGTTGTCTAGACTGGCGGTTCTGGTTGCTCCGCGCCATCTAACAACAAATCAGTTGCTGCTCCGAACCAATAAATCGTCCAGGTAAGAAGAACGGAGGGAATGAGAATACCAGTCATCAGCTGCGCTACTTATGTTGTAGGACTAAGCTTCAAAGGTAAGCCTGACACACGAGGGGAGAAAGCTGGGGAGTGTGACTAGTTGGCTGTCAAATTGTATGAGGAGAGGAGCTTCGCAGTGATGGTGTTTGCAGCTGGCATTGCCAATTGCAATGGTAAATTACTGGGAATGGAACACTTGACGCCTCCTTCACGCCGCGCAATTTCAAGTACCGCTGCTCTCCTGAGAGGCACTCAAAAACAGCTCCAAGACCCCTCTCCAGGATTCTATGAATCCGGAACCTGCCGTCGGAGGAGGACTACCTCTTAAGAAGCTGAAATATGTTCCTGGTAGGCCAGGGGGTGGAGGAAGATATATCGGAGTTGCAGTTAGAGAAACAGTCAAGCCGAAACCAAAGCCGCAGCCTAGACTGAAACAACCCAAATTGAGCCGAAACACCAAAACTGAATCTAAAGGCAGAACTAAATAAATGCTACTGGCTCTGTTCACACGTTTTGGTCCGGAAGCATACATGGCAGATACATAGACCAAGAACCGGGTGTGCTAGGGCCGAACCTATCCCTCGCTCTCAAAGCCTACCAGCTCGTTCGATGCCTTCCAAAGCTTGCATGCAGACTCCTCGTCGTAAATCCACGGGGCATATCCAACCTCGTTATTCAACCAGTCTCCCGTAGTATCCGCCGGTCCCTCGTCGACGAGGTTGCTGAGGTACTTGCCGCCTCGACCTTCCCATTCCCTACTCAGCCCAGCATAAACAGCCCCGGCCGCTCCCTGGGGTTCGCTCTTTATGGTCTTGTGCCTTGTTTCATCCTTCAACATCCCCTCTACTATCTCCTGGCTGAGATGTTGAGAGAGATTGGTGGCGACAATACCCGGGTACACTGGGAGGGCGTGTAGTCCCTTGGACCCGTACCGTCTTTCGATCTCGTTGGCGAGGTAAATAGTGGCCGTCTTGGATTGGCCATATGACGCCCAAGGGTCGTAAGGGTCCTTTTCGAAGTTGAAGTCATGGAAGCGGACCTTGCCGTAACGATGGCCGGCGGAGGCCACAACGACTACCCGCGATTGGAACTCGGGCGTGGAAGCTGCGAGCAGATCGGGCTTTAACAGTTGGAAGAGGAGGAAGTGGCCCAAGTGGTTCGTGCCAAACTGTGTCTCGAAGCCATCCTCGGTCCTCCCTTCGGGCGTGGCCATAACGCCCGCGTTGAGGATGAGCAGATTAAGCTTGTCGCCCGTCTCGTTGAAGGCCTTGGCAGCTGCTCGCACCGAGGCGAGGGAATCCAGCCGCAGCTCTATGCCGTGGACGGGCGCATCAGATTTGGGGCCGGGTCCGTTCTTGACTTTGTCGACGGCCTGCTGGGCCTTGACGGCGTCTCTGGCAGTGAGGTAGAGAGTGGCACCGGCGGCGTGGAGGGCTCGCGCTGTTTCGACACCGATACCAGAGTTTGCGCCTGTTACAAGGGCGAGCTTGCTGGTGAGCTTGCCGATGAGGCCTTCGTCCTCAACGACCTGAAGAGCCGTGGGCCGCGCATCTCCAGGACCCTGGGGGTTAGTGTGGGAGGCGGTGTATCTAGACATTGCGATGGATTTATGATGGAGTCTGGCTTGTGCAGTAAGAGGATGAGATGGTGTTGTTGTGGTGGGTTGATGATGTGTGACTGTCAGTTTGAGAGAGGAAACAAGTCGTTTTATACCAGCAGTGTGTGTGAGCTCCTACAGAGCGGTTCCACTAACTGCCAGATTTATAAGCCCAACCTCACACATGCCTGGAACCGGAAACCTCGAAGCGTATGAATGGTCTGTGTCATGTCTATGACCCGTAAATTAAGGGGTGGATAACTTAAATCCCACTGTCATGGCGCGTCTACCTACTAGGTTCGCAGGGAGGATCCAAAACCGTCGGGTGGTGGCTTAGCGTTTACGCTAAGGCCACAAAAGGGAAACAATCTGATCTCTTATCTCCGGGACTAAGTTTCACAGCCAAAGGATCTACCGAATTTCTCCGCAACTTACCCCCTTCAATTGTTTCCCTAATTCAGACGACAACCAGCCGAACATACCGCCACCCATCCCATCGCCCTTTTTATGCCGACATTTGGCACCACATACATTCTCCATACGGACAGGAGCACGCCTGCAGCCCCACCTGGGTAGATATCCGTGGTTTTGCTTCCAACTGAGTGATACTGGCACCCTGGCAAACTTACTTCTTGCTGGCAAACAGCCTTGCAACGGTGTGCCCAGGTAGATTCTGTCCCTGTCTAAACGTACCGATACATTCCAACGGAACGATGCCCAAGGGGCCGCGAGCGGCTAAGGGGTTTGTCTTTGTCACCGCCGACGCCTATGGTCAGGCGGCAGCTGGAGATCGTAAGCTCATACGGAGTCACGTCATGCGGGGGAAGAATACCCGTACACGAGCTCTTCCTGGTGGAGTGAAGGGCCGTTCCCCGGCCGCCGCTGTGGGAATACAACGGCCGCAGCATGCTACAGGAGACAATGATTCGCCTGAAGAGTTACGCGGAGCTCGGGCACGAAGTGAGCTGCTCGACTCTGACGAGGATGCTCTGGCCCGCATCAGACATGCGGAAATGGTCCCCGGTGCTGCCGACATGTTCACTTTCATCACGTTCCCTGAAGACATTGATAGTAGTTCGCGTAGCTTGCTATGCGCATGTACGTCTCTCCCCTTCGACCATGAGCACGCCCTGCCCCTGACGCCTTTGTCCTCCAGATTTTTCGTACATGAAAGATGAAATGTACCCGATCGTGAGGTACTCTCGCCCTGACACTCCCAAGACATACTGGTTCCACTGGGCCCATCTCGACTTGGCCTACCTGCACTGCATCCTTTACATGACGTCTTTTTCTTTGGATAGTTTGAGGGGGCAGAAGAGTAGGAGGACGGAGTTTCACGCCTACAGGATGATTCGCGAGCTTAACGAGCAACTATCTGATCCGAAGACTGCACTGACCGACTCGACAACGATTGTCGTCATGGCATTGGCCTTGATCGCCGAGTCCTTTGGAGACGTACAGTCCGCCCACATGCACATGATGGGTCTCAAGAAAATCATCGACCTGCGTGGTGGCATAGAATCGTTTGCAAGTCACCCTCTGCTTCAATCCAAACTCCACCGGTAAGTCGCTAGTTCTCTCTTATATTCAGCTTCTCAGGCTCCGGCCAATCGCTGACCTGCCAACGCCGGAAGAACTGGTCTAGTCCACAGCATCTGCACCGGCGCGAATCTAGCCTTTCACCAAGATGCTGCGTCGTTCGACTCAGCTTTCGACGGATCATCCGAACTTGCCCGGCTCAAGCGATCGGACGCGTCCTGCTTCTCCCGCTCGCGCTCTGTGGCATGGACTTTAGACAGGAGGCTCTATGCTATCTTGAAGGATGTCCAGGGCCTCTCACAGCTTATCACCGATAGCCACGATTCCGGTCACAAGATACGGGAGATGTCTCTCGAGAATCTCATAACATACATTCAATCCCGGCTGCTCATGCTCGAATATGAGCACAACGACATTTTCCCCGAGCTTCTCCGGTTATCACTCCTCGCTTTCTTGACAACTATCTTCTGGGGTTTTCCTGGTGTCAAATTTGAGTACCCACGCCTGGCCGACCAATTCCGACAAGCTTGCATGGCCTTTACGCCCAGCACCGCCGGAGAGAGCTATCTCTTCGCCTGGGCCTTGATGGTGGGGGCAACGTCTGTGTCCCGAGGCCCTGATCAGACCTGGCTTCTGCAAAGACTGCGCCCTCTGATCCGGGACAGTCTTGGGAGGACGTGGTTCGAAGTAAAGAATCATTTGAGGCAAGCCATGTGGATCGATAGGATTCATGACCGCCCGGGGATAGAGGTCTTCAACCAATGTGTTGGGGAAACATGGGACAGAAGTATTGTTCCGATATAGTAATGGACGAGATCTATCTAGCACTCTGTTGACCTCTATGCCTATCCCTAGGCTTGATCATGGGTACTCTGCACTGACGCCCTTGTCGAGGTACAGATGTCTTTGCCAGAGCTGCAATGGAAAGCCTGGGCGAGAGCAGACCATAGAAATAGACTAGCTTACATGTTGTGTGAACTGACTCTGATGACCCGAGTGGACTCGTTGAGAAATCTGCCATGAATTGGATGGACGATAGAAGATTATAAGAGTTAGGGTTAGGGATTGAAGAAAATAACCGGGCATCTTCAATTTGAAATTCCGGGTAGGTCGGCCCTGTTCAGAGATCGGGCATGTCGCTGCTCTAGATTATCAACACTGGTTCTACTCTAGTGCAAGCAATTTTCCTACGGGTAATATCCATTGCGCCAGGGCAGGAAGCCTAGTTAATCCCGAGATCCAATGGTCAAGGGAAGGAATGAGAATGACATGTAGAAAGTAGATTGTTTTAGACGGCCGGGTGAACATGCCCGATCACGTTGAACCACCACGCCCCTTGGCAATGCCCAGGAAAGATGGAATGGGATCATCAAAATTTCCACCGTTCGGCCAGGGTACGTGATCTGGGGGAGGATCGTTGCCTGGTGTGGTGTGTTTAGCGTAGTTCTTTGTAGCTGGTGTTCTACGTTAATCCTGACAAGCTGCTAAGGGCCCCTAGAGATTTCCTTGTCTTGGCTTCAATAGATTCCACGTGGCGGTCCCATCGGAGTTCTTGTGAGTTTGAGGATTTGTCACGGCCTTCACTTTCTGACCATCTAGGTGGACCAGGCAGTCTAGGTTAACGGTCTTCATGTGTGTGCTGGGTGAGTAGATAAGGCTGAGCTTGGATACATGCTTTATTTCCTACTCTTTGTTGTTCCCCAATTTTGGAGGAAACTTGCAACCCATCCGAGCACCTGGGGTCCTATCTTTTCGTTTCTTCAGACTGTGGATCAGTCGGGGGTGAGAGATGTTGTTGTAGGTTCTAGAGATGCCCAGTGACAGGTTTAAGACAGTCCTTCTTTTGGCCTTTCTGTTATGTTCTGAATTCATCTTCCCTTGTAGCCAGTGAAGGGCATGGTAGGTCGAAACGCCTTTTCTCTCGCCCATGTGGGTGGCAGGGAGCAGAGGGTGTCTTTCTACGATTTCTGTTAGTCTTCTCGTGATCATCTTCTCCAAGACCTGGGTGTAGTCTCCCTTTCCTGGTTTGCATAGGGCGACTGTTTCGGTGATCCTGAAATGTTCTGGGAGGGAGGATATTCTAGCTCTACGGGTTTGGAGTACGTGTAGTCTTGTAGGTCTGAAAGGTCTGCGACCTTTGCGCGAAGGAAGAACTTTATTTCAGATCCTCTTCTATGTTTATGTTCTCATTGGTCCTTGGCCGACTCTCCAGGGGGGTGAAGAACTATCATTGCTCTCTGGCCTTGGCCCATCTGGCTAGTTTCCAAGGCCCTGTGTTCATGCTCGCATCTGGGCCTCGGTTGTTTCTAGTCTCCATCCAGAAATGGATCTGGGGCATACTCTTGATTCGGGCCAAATGGCGGTCGATGGCTGTATGGATAGTTTGAATCATAAGGTTGCCCCAAAGGCCAAGGACCTTATACCTGGGACTGCAGCATAATTATAGTAAGACTATATATTAACTCCCAGATTGCTTTAATATATATTAGTAGTGATAGATAGCGAGGAATACTAAAACACTTATATTCTTTAGTTAGTTAGAAAAAGCTGTAAGCTCCTATACAAAGTAGAATAGCTCTGAAAGCATATACAGGCAGTAGATTAAATATAGATATCACTGTTGCAGGCAAGCAGCATCTCGAGAAGAACCATAAATAATAAGACTTTATTAGTGATTGACCAAAGTCTACTGACATGGGATATATCGCTGAGAGCAACCGTTATCAGCAAAATATAGAGAGACAACTTTTTTTTATCTGTCCGTGTGCCAGAATCTTAGGTAAGCACTAAATATTGTCCACAACTCGAACATACGAGTACATAGGTCACTTGAGTCGAAACCACCCGCTTAGTGAGTCTTGACCGGTGATGAGAAATACTCAGTGAGCGCCCTCATTAAAGCAGCCTCATCCAAATAGGGAAAGTCTCATTGATTCTAGAAAATCAAGTCTGTACAGGAACATATATATATATCAATGTTGCATTACGCAGGGCAAGCCATCGCCGAACCATCCCAGATTTATCACCGCCACAATCAGCGCTCCAATGGGAACTCGACCATTTCAAGCAGATGCATATATTTAAATTAAGCATATTGTTCTATGGCTGCCCTGCCGATACCGGAGAAACGGACCAGCGCCGCCACGTGATAATACACGTGACCCGAGCCGCATCTCGCCTGATTACGTCATCGCCCCTTTTGCAGCGATTCCCAACTGGAGGAATTGGGGATTTCTCTTCCAAATGCAAAGGCAAGCAGCTATTCAACAACAGTCGCGTGTTTAGAACCCAAGCATGCGAGCAGCGCGGAATGCAGAATGGTTGGCGTTCCGCGCAGTCAAGGATGTGTGCGATGCATTGGCCGCAAGATCAAGGTCAGTCAATACTCCTTCAGTAGAGACCCAGCTCACAGTGTCAGTGCGACATGACGCGCCCGCAGTGCAGGCGCTGTCTCAGTCAAGGCATCGCCTGTCCTGGATATGACCGCGGCCTCAAGTTCCAGGACCAGACGCAGTCGCTCACTCGCAAGTACGGGCGGGTTTCCCGATCGTCCATGGACGAGGCCTTTGCGCCCAATTTGACTCTGGAGGCTCTTAATGTCCAGACCAAGGTGTCTTTCCAACATTGGCTGGACGATCACTTCCCCAGCTATGCCAAGTCGATGGACTCGCGTGCCGATGTCAACTGGATGGACTTTATTCGCACTCGTTGGTCGTTTTTCCCGCCCGCGCTGGTCTGGGCTTTCCGTGCCTTGACTTCGCTGCATATGGGCGCTCTGCACGACGACAAGGAGGTGATTATGTGCGCGCGCCATATGTACAGTCGCGGCATCCGGCACCTGGCTTGTCTTTTGCAGTCCAAGGCCGCCCTTTCGGACGAGACCCTGGCCGCTGCTATTCTGCTCGGAGGGTATGAGGTTTTAGACGGCAACACTGGTTATTCGTGGATCATCCATTCTCGTGGGATCCGCCATCTTCTGTGTGCTCGCGGCCCTGCAGCGCATGTCCATGGCGTCGGTCGCACGCTGATCCTCTCCTGGCAGCCTTTCATCGTCGCCGACGCGTTCATTAATTCCGAGCCCTGCTTCTTGGGCGACCCGGAGTGGGCGCGCGTGTCAGTGCGCAGCGAATCTACCGAAGACCAGAACCAGAGTGGAAGTCTCTTGGTTGAAACGATGGACCGCGCATTTAATGAAGTCGCTAGATGTCCCGGATACCTAGCAGTGACCAAGGAGATCGTCACCTCAGATAGAGACGCCGACCCTGTTGACCTAGCTGCTCTTTTGGACTGCATCCTCAGGTCGAGGCAAAATCTCATGTACTGTCGGAGCAAACTAGAAGAAAACCGTCCGCCGCCGTCTTTTATTGGCGAGATACCCGAGGCAACTGCACCGACTTTGGTCCAGGGGTCTCGCGGCGGGGTCGATTCTGCTATCGCGCTTCTTAATCAGTTGACGACGATGCTTCAGTCTCATGTCAACGGAAGAGCCAATGCGCTTTCGGGCCCGGCCTCTTTAAATAACCGGTCAGATCCATGGCGCATTGTTGCCATGAGGCCGGCCGTGGGGAGTGCAAGCCAGTCGCCCGATCCTGCACACTTGGAGCCGAACCCCAGTACCTACGTTGTCGGTGATCAGATGGATAAGTTCTCGTTGACGATGGGCATGGGCAGTCTAGCACCGGATGCATGCGGTTGTCCTCAGTTTTCAGCGCACAAGGCTATTGCTTTTTAGAGTGAGACACGTTCATGATTTATGACTGATGTATATACTTTAACTACATTGTATTGAATTTCTCAAACCAGATTAACTCCTTAATTGTAGGCTCCAGGTCCAGGCCCATCTTGATAGCTTTGCCGTCTTTAAAAACAAACTCTGCTTCGACTGCCTCGTCGGTGAGCTCAACCTCATCCGTCAGTATCGCAGTGTACTCAGTCTGGTCTTTGACGTGATGGAACGTCAGCGTGAAGCCCATAGAGCGATCGGTCGCGTCCACGAAGAGGTGCTCGTCTTTGACCTGCAACGTCATATGGCGATATCCTGGGTTCCAATAATCTCCTATATAATTCTCCAAGGGAGTCGTCTGCGGGGGACGGTCCTTATTCCGCTGGTTCGGCTTATTCGTCTGTGGTGCCTTGGTGTTTTTCGCAACGTGCTTCGCCTTTGATTCTTTCTTGTATGACGGACGCTCTTCCACAGCAACACCCAGGATCTCATCCATCAGCGCCCTGATAATCACCGTAGCAGCCTGCCCAGCACCAGCAGAATTCCCCAAAACCACCGCTCCAAATCGTAGGGCAGGCATGAAGACAAATCGACTCGCAAAACCGGGCTCTCTGCCGTCGTGCCCGATAACCTGCACTCCACGGTAATAGTATATCTCCATCCCAGCAGCGTAGATAGCCGGTGTGGTATGGGCTCTTAGTCTCCTTCCGTTCGGGTTCACGATTGACCGCAGCGTGGTTAGACCATGGTAGACTTTATCAGTGATTGGCCCTTCATGGTACAGCAAGGCTTTGACCCATTTGATAAAGTCGTTCCCGCTGGAAATTACAGACCCAGCCCCTTGGGCTTCCGGGCAGTTCTGGGGTGGTAGGCTTCGCCAGGTATTGTTTTCCCAGATATAGCCCTTGGCCATGCGGTCACTCCAGCCTTTGGCTTGCGTGGCTGCGGGCTGCAGTGTGGTGGAGGTCATGTTTAGCGGGTTGAAGATGCGCTCCTGGAGAACGTCGGCAAAGCTTTGCTGGGTAGTTTCCTCGATGAGATGCGTCGCGACGGTGTACATCTGGTTGCAGTAGAGGTACCGCGATCGCAGAGGAGCAGCTGGTTTGAGGTTTCGCAGGTTCCTTGTGATGGACTTTGGAGTGTCTGGATTGCTTGACTTGATGCCCATGTAGGAGCTGTCGTGGCTGTTTCGGAACTGGTTACTGACATGGATAGGGCAGGTATGATTGGCCGGGAAGAGAGCTCACCTGGCCATGCCCGTTCTATGACTGAGAACGTCTTCAAGGGTGATGCCCGTGGTATAAGTTGGGTCAGGCATGACGAAGTCGTCCGGCAGCAGGTCCGACATTAGGGCAGTGTACTGAACCTTGGGGAATTTTTGATCATCCACCAGCAATGCTGCCGCAGCAGCAGTCAAGGACTTGGAGCAGGAGGCAATATCGAACAGGGTGTCTCCGGTGCAGGATATATTGTCTTCATAGTTGGCCACGCCGTAGCCTTTGCAAGCGACTTCATCGTTGTGAACAACCGCAATGCACAGCCCGGGGATGTTATTCTGCGCCAGGAGGACTTCCACAAGAGCAGCCAACGTGGTAGACTCGAGCAGCTCCATTGATGAATGATGTTAAGAGAAGACGTTCAGCTGGAATTTTATGGCCCCCACGTGGGGAAGACAGTGATCAGCAGGAAACAGTGTATTATAAAGTTATATACCTTCTGGTTTCTTCCACGATAGATACTCCACATCGAGACTATTAGTGCCCGTCCTCTGATGATCGTCTTAGAGTATGAGAGCTGGGACTAGCTCGACGCTGGTGGCTGAGAAGGCTTGATGCTGTCTTGGCAGACGAGGCTGTACGCACGAGCGTCAGCTGCAAGCCCCTCTTTGCGCAATCCCCCATCTGCACGTACAAACCTTTACCTGACGAATGCTAGTCAATACGAAACTACTCCTGGCCGTCGCATCTTGCAGACACCCATATCTAGGACGAAGAGCGCACTCATGATCCGGTTTGTGCAGCCATGGACCCTCTAAGCGCCGTCAGCCTCGCGGGCAACGTGGTGCAATTCCTGGAATTCGGAGTCAAACTCATCTCTAAAACGCACGAAATCTACAAATCCGGAGAGGGCGCCGAAATCCGAAACATCGAGCTGGACGCTATCGCGAATGATTTGGTCGCTCTAAATGACCGGGTGCGCAATCGCTCCCGCAAAGTCTGCGAATTTGCTATCTCCGAAGATGAAAAGTCCCTGCAGGCTCTGACGGAGCAGTGCAACAGGGTCGGCGATGAGTTGATCAGTGCGCTCGAGAGTGCCAAAGTGCAGCAGTCGCGGAAGATGTGGAAAAGCGTGCGGCAGGCCCTGAAGAGCGTTTTGGGACGGGATCGCATTGCAGAGCTATATCACCGGCTTAAGCAGTATCGCGAGCAGATTGTGGTTGTATTGCTGGTCATCAATAATGCCAGACAGACTGCTGCAGACAGCAAGGTCGAGGAGATTGGGCTGGGCGTTGTGAGCTCGGAAAAGAGGATACTTGATGAAACACGCCAGGCGCGTTTCCAGATCCTTGACGCCATTAGCCGCTCGAATTATAGTCCTGCAAAACCGGAGGATGTAGCGACAGTGTCTGCACTACTCTCTGAGGTGGCTTCATTCGCTTCAGAGAAGCAAAGCAGGGAGAATGTCCTGGAGAGCCTCTACTATCCGCGCATGGGGGATCGCCGGGAGTGGATTTCGTCGGCACATAGGAAGACGTTCAACTGGGCTTTGGAACACAGGAAGGACGATACAAGGCCGTGGGATGACCTCAAGGAATGGCTGCTGCAGGGAAATGGGATATACTGGTTAAGTGGTAAGGCAGGGTCAGGCAAATCGACACTCATGAAGTACATTGACCAGGACGAGCGCACAACCCAGTTTCTCCGGGAATGGGTAGCTCCCATGGATTTACTCTTTGCGAGATTCTACTTCTGGAACCCTGGAACGACAATGCAGAAATCTCAAAAGGGCCTGCTACAGAGTCTGCTCTATGAAATCTTCACCCGGCGGCCGAGCCTGATTCCCACGGTCTTGCCCTCACTGTGGAATTCTCCATCGGGGGTTAATCGAAAGTATTCATGGACAACATCAGAGCTGGTGAATGCGTTCCAGCTGCTGGCGGATACCCAATTCGATACAAAGTTCTGCTTTCTCATTGACGGCCTGGATGAGTTTGATGGAGACCACCAGGTCCTGATAGACATGCTCTGCAACGTCTCCCGCAACCCAAACATCAAGATTCTCGCTGCTAGTCGCCCATGGCTTGTCTTCCAAGACGCCTTCCAAGATTACCCCAAATTGGCGCTGCAGGACTTAACCCGCGGTGACATCCAGGTCTTTGCGGACGACTCTTTGTACAACCATCCACGGTTCTCGAGGCTGCTGTCTTTGGAGCCGGAACGCGCGCCGCAGCTTGTGCGTGAAATTGTCGACAAGGCTTCCGGCGTTTTCCTCTGGGTCTACCTCGTGGTCAGGTCTCTCTTAGAGGGTCTAACAAACGCGGACCGCATGGCCGACCTGCAGAGACGATTGAAAGAGCTTCCGATGGACCTGGAGCAATATTTTCTCCATATTCTGACCAGCCTAAACTCGTTCTATCTCCAGCAGGCTTCACAGCTGTTCAGGCTGGCACTGGAGGCTCCTCGCCCCTTGGAAGTTCTCACCTTCTCCTACTTGGATGAAGACGATCCTGACTTTGCATTGCGAAGCGAGATCAAACCCCTATCGAACGAGGAAGAGTCCATACGCTGTGAAGATATTGAAAGACGGCTCAACAGCAGATGCAAAGGGCTCTTGGAGTCCCGTCGGCGGCAGGCGTGCGATGAATACTCGACCGTGGACGGCGTGGTCGAGGGAAGGACTTTATACGAAGTTGACTTTCTTCATAGGACCGTGCGAGATTTTCTGATGACTCCGACGGTCCATATTCAGCTTGTTGCACAGGATACTGCTGATTTCGATGCCAATATGGCGCTGGCAAGGGCGTACGTTGCCCAGATCAAGGGCCTTCGGCGTGCCTCACATTCAGAGGCGAACTTCCAGGCACTGTGGAGTTTAGTCTTTAGCATGTTGTACCATATTGGCCGCGTGTCAGACAGTGTCTCCCCGCAAGCACAGGTTGATCTGCTTGAAGAAATGGACAGAGCTGCGAGGGTATTCCGGCAGCTTGCCATTGTGAAACGGCGATGTCCCCAAGACGCACATTGGGTGAATACGGGCTACCGATTCGGATTCGAACCGGCCTGGAATAATAGTCTGCTGACGTTGTGTATCCGACATGGCTTGATGACCTATGTCTCGCAGAGGCTAGATGTAGGAGAGCGCAACCGCTCTGGTAGGCCGCTTCTCGCATTTGCAATGATGGTGCCTCGCACTACAGAACCAGTCACTGAGGACATGATTGCGTACACCGTACCGAGGGTTGACATGGTTAAATTGATTCTCAGCCGAGGAGCGAGTCCGAATGACTTGGATGAGCAGCAGACGATCTGGGCTCGCACTCTTATATCCATATACACGCTAGCAGCCAGATCTGAGTCGGGCTTTTCCGAGCAGGCAAAGAGCTGGTTCCAGATCACGAAGTTGATGCTCCTGCACGGTGCGGACTCGCAAGCCGTTTGTAAAATCCCATTTGAGTCGAGCAGGCTGTTTGATCGGGTGAGAGTTCAAAAGCACCAGACCACGTCGCACAAGAACCTATACTCCGCACTTGACATCATCCATATCGTCTTTGGCGGAGACGCTGCATTCGACATGGCCGAAGTGGAAGATATCTCGGACCAGGACGCACCAAAGCCTCGGAGCGTTAGCGACTCATACCTTGCAGTGCCTAGCAATGTGGAACGTTCACACTCTTCTGCTTCCTCTGCGTCGAGAGTTACAGCAGCAAGTTGGCAACATCCAACGGAGCATATTAATCCAAACCGCCTGCTAAAGGATTCCCAGCCAGCGTCCGACAAGCAGGCGCTGGCCACGGTACCAGTGGAGTTGGGACCCGATACTACGCCGAGAGAGAGCAAACACATTCGCATATCTAGTTGGCTCAAGAAGAAATTCACGGTCTAGTACCAATTATTCTGGATTACGATGTAACCCATAAGGATTTTACGGAGTATCTGATTATTCTAACGTAAAAAGGGTTGAGATACCAAGAGTATACATTTTCAAGGCTCATTGCTCTGAAGAGTAATAGACAGCCAGAGGTAATATTCCGCGTTACATAAATAGAAGACGAGAACTAGAATAGAAGAAAGACACTGTATTAATTATTGCAAGTCTAAACTTTTTATCTATTGTATCCTCTTGCCCGAAAACGGTTCAGCAGGCCAGCCCTGCATGGCACCCGTATCATCAACATGGTCCCCAGACAGGACGAGCGTATGCTCCAGCAAACACGCATCACTGCCCATCGACGCGCCAGACATCAGCCTGGACCCAGTCCGCAGGACACTCCTATCTCCAACCACCAGGGGATGCAGCTCAAACTCTCCACGAGTGTTCAAGTGGCAGACGACACTTGCATCGTCAACAGCGACCCTGTCGCCGAGGGTCACCATATCCGGCTCTGTGAGGAGGATGTTCGGGTCCCCGTTTGCGAGGAGAGCACAGTCCTTGCCAATCATTGCGCCCATTAGCCGGTAGTAGAATGAGAGGTATGCAGTGCCGCTGAGCATGGGCAGGACGCCAATCCCGCGGTAGCTGTCCTTGATTAAAGCTTCCACGGCGAGGAAGAACTGCCAGCGCTGGTTGTAGCTGCTGCGGTCCCAGTGGTAGGAGCCTTCAGTGCGTCGGCCCATCACCAGCCATTTTGTCCCGATCACCAAGGCAACGCCAATGATGGTCTGGACGAAGCTGACGGCAGCCACGACGGCACAGAACAGGCCGTAGACAGAGAAGGGCTGCCACCATTCGCGGTCAAAGGCGCGATACTCCTGTCGCAGAGTGTGTCCAAGGACAAGAAGCCCGGCGAGGACACCGAGAAGACGCCAGACCGTTGAAACAATAGTCAAAAATGTAGAGTATCCCACGATCCCGGGAATACCAATGACGAAGAAGTCAGCCATGCCCTGGTAAAAGGCCCGTCCAAACGGTCTGGTCGTGTCTCGCGGCAACGAGGCACTCTCGCCCGGCGATAGAGTCGACGAGGAAGACCAGCCCCCTGCCATCTTATCAGGCTTCTCGTTGTGGTTCGTGATGGTCGGGAACTGGATGGCGTTCCCATTCTTGCTGCCCGTCCAGACTGTATCAGGAGGGAAGAAGCCATTGCGACGCAGCAGCGAGCCTGATCCGACCATCGCCATCTCGCCAATCGTCACACCAGGGAGAACGGTCGCGCGATCACCCAGCATGGCGCCGTCGGCGATGACCACCCTTTCCCTGCCACTGCCATCGCTGGTAACCAGGTACGAGCGAGATCCAAAGACCACGTCGTTGCCCACCTCGACGAGGTCAAAGTCCTGGATGCCCGGTCCAACACTGGGCCAGTAGATGCGCTTCCCAACGCGACCACCCAGCAGGCGAATCGCAACCGAGACCAGCTCGTAGTGCTTTCCGATTAACCGGGTCAGGGGGCTGAGACTGCCATTGGGGATGACCTTGGCCAGGGCAGCTTGACGCACCTTCTGGCGCATCGACATCTTGTTGGCAGGGCCTGGCTGTGCGCGCCCGCAGGTGAGATCCAGAAGGGCTTTGATGATTAGAATGGCCACAAACCATACCAGCGGACCAACGACGGCGTAGTAGATTCGGGCGAGGATGTGGTACATGATTCGAGTTGGTACCGTGAACCAGAAGACAATCACGCGCAGCATATCTACATCCTGGAGGGGGTAATGCATCACAATGGGCACCAGTCCAGCTAACCAGGGCAATCTGTATGCAAACCCTGCGAGCAGCCCTAGGGGTTCAACGAGGAGCAGGGACCAGATCCAGTGAGGACTGGGGATGGAGGTAGAATTGAGATCCTTGTTCGCCTCTTCGGCGCCATCAGTCTCCCAGCTGGAGGAGTTGGGGCCGAGATATGTGTCTGGAGGAAGGTTTGCACCAGGCGCAATGACCGTGCGTAGTCCAATTGCAGAGCCCTTTCCGATGAGAATCGGCTGCAGGAGCATCGAGGTGTTTCTCTCCACTGCGAAGGGACGGATGATGCAGTTCTCGACGACGACGTTGTCTTCCAGCCGGATCAGGTCGTACTCGCCCAGGGAGGCATACTCGTGGATGCGCACGTTGCGGCCGATATGCGCTCCCAGGAGGCGATAGTACAGACGTCGACTCCATTCGAAGTAGTTGAACACGCCCTATGAATGTTAGTTAGTTGTATACTTGCTTAGAAGAGAGAAACATACCCTGCCAGCGACACGAATGGCCTTCTGCGTCAACCACCACCGCGTGTGGTAAGTCCCCCACATGGGATACAGTCCAGCGCGGTACCGACCGATCAGAAGCCATTTGAAAAGAATCGCACCAATGGGCGCGACCGTATTGATTGCCAATCGCGAAGCAAGTCCGATAAGCACGATATGCAGCAGACGGCCGATGAGAACGCTGTCAGGGGGGAACAGACGCGCCGTCTCGCCCATGAGGAAGACAAAGATGGTCCACTGCAGACCGGCGCGCATGGGGAAGAAGATGATCATGGGGATGAGCTGAATGAGAAGCACAATTGGATTGGTGGAACTGCACGTCTTCTCGCAGCCTGGGAGATCCTTGTCGCTGATCTCTTCGTCTGGGTTCTTTTTCGCACAGGCGTCTTCCACAATGGCTGTCATATCGCCCACAGTGCTGTGGAGGAAGAGAACATCGCCAGAGAGGCGGATTCCAAATTCACGCCTGAGCGCTGAAATTAGACGCCCTGCACTGAGACTGTCGCCGCCAGCAGCGAAGAAGTCTGTCGATGCGCTGATCTCAGCGACGTCTTGGTTTAGGGCTTGCGCGAAGAGCTGTCGCACGCGATACTCGGCCGATGAAGAGTCTGAATCCGAGGCATTCATACTGCGAATGGCATCGTCGAGAGCCTTGTCATCGACGTACCCGGCGGCGTCTCTGGGAATTGGGCTGTCAAGTGCTTTGACGCTGCTGGGGATGAGGTATCCATGAACGCGCGGGCGGAGCAGTTGCGCAAGTGTAGCGAGCGTGAGCTGCTTCTCGACCGGGTTGTAGACAACAGCCTGTGGGTATCCATCAATGGGATTGAATCGCATTGCAATGTCTGAAATTCCCAAGGCTTCTTCGATATGAGGCTCGGCTTCGTGGCCGTCGATGCGGCACGTTGTATGCGCGATGGACACGTTCAGACCCGTGCCTTGAGGAGGGCACTTGGCTTCAAGGTGTCTTTCAGCAGCAGGAACAGAGTCAGTCAATGGTTCCAGACCTAATCTCTGGCTTAGGCGAATACGCTGCAGCTTGTTGTTCGACTTTGGTACGCCGTTGTCCATGTAGACCAGCAGAACTGGCCACTTGGGCTGGAGCAAACGCTCTCCCAGTGCCTCATGCAGCTGCCTTAGATCAGGTCGCGACATTCCTGGGGGAGTAACAATCACTGCTCCAACGACCTCCTGGAGGACATCATGCGGAGTAGAGAATGCCAGAGCCTCAGAGACACGGCCATAGAGAATGGAAGTCGGGTCTCGGGCAGCAGAAAGAATTCCGTTCTCGACTTCAATCGGCGAGATGATTTCACCACCGCGGTTGATGACTTCCTTGCCCCGACCAGTGATGAATAGGTACCCATCCTTGTCGAGGTGGCCGAGATCTCCTGTATCGAACCAGCCAGCCTCTTCAAAGGCGGCCTTGTTGATGCCGTCATCTGTCAGGTAACCAGGGAAGACAGGGAACCCACGCACGCAGATGCGGCCGGTTGTTCCAGTAGGGACACGCTTCCCGGGGCTATCGCCAAGAATGGCGACATCAGGACCGCATGGACGACCAGAGGTACCCTCACGGTCAAGCTTGTAGTCTGTTGGTGGCGACGCGATAGGCGCACACTCCGTCATTCCATAACTGGGCATGACCACACATTGGAAGACTTCACGGAGCTGGACGGCAAGCGTGGCCGGAAGACCGCCACCAGCGTTGATAATGAATTTGATAAGACTCTGGCGCAGCGCATCAGGGCGGTGCTCGGACTCGGCGAGGATCATTTGGTGCATTGTGGGTGTTGCGTAGTACCAAGTCGGGCTCCATTTCTCGACGACGTCCCAGAAAAGACTCGGATCGAATGATGCACAGCAGATGGTGGTGCCACCGGCCAGCATCGGGGCGTAGAGACTGCGAACCATTCCGCCACTGGAGAGTCAGTAAGCTTATACAATGGGCAGGAAGCTTGAGACATACATATGGTGAAGGGGCATCATGTTGAGACATCGAGAGGACTCGGTGAGAGCAACGCTGTCCATGGTAAGAACTGCACCGGCAAAGAGATTGTACGCGGTGATAGGGACGAGCTTCTTCTTTCCACTCGTCCCGCTAGTAAAGAGCAGGACCGCGACATCGTCGGGGCTGTTGTCTGGGGGTGGCAATGTGGAACGGGCAATTGGCCGCGTAGAGGAGACCGTAAACGTCAAGTCTGCCTGGGGATTGACGACGAATATAGGAAGCTGGGAGTCAAGCTGAGTCTTGGACACATCAGACTCCAGCATCAGGATCGCGTCCGCATCGACATCTTCAAGGTCGGCCCGCAACTGCTCTGGGGCCACTGTCCTTGCCATCGGGATCATGGTATACCGATTGGCAATGGCCATCACTGCGAGGGCAAGGGTCGGGCCATTGGGAAGCATCACTGCAACCCTTGACCTGCCCTGTGCTGGACATGGTAACCCAAGGTCAAAGTCTTGGATGAAGCTTCGTAGCCGTGCATATGATATCTGTTGGCTGGATTGCGGGTCGATGAGGGCAGGGCGGACAGGGTCACTTGGGAGGAGGTCGGGGAAGGGAAAGGACTTTTGTTTCATGAGATCTTGGATGCGTTCGAGTAGTTCGTTGACGTTTGCATCCAGGCCATCTCGGATAGCTTCAGGCAAACTGAGCCAGATGGTCTGGTAGCACCGCAAGACGTCCATGGCCAGCCATGGCTCTTGCAGGTCCTGGTCACGAAGGAGACATTCCAGTTGCTCCAGGGAGCCTGGACCAGCTGGATGACTGCGCAGCTGCTGCAACTTGGCCTGCAACATCTTCGGAGATTTGCTCTGTGGCTCTGCTGGATCTCGACAGACGGACTGGTCTGTCCCCATTTATAGATCGCATTCTACTATCTATCGGGCACTCGTGGGCTCGGGATGCCTGCCTACGGGCCAGGTACCCACGCCATCTACATTCCACTGCTGGAGCGCGAGACACGTCGATCATTACGAAGACCCCTGGTTTCAATGTCCCTGACCCACTGCCTGTCTGCCTACCCATGAAGGGTTAGAACAGCTAGAACGCGATGGAACAAGACAATGCCCAGTGTATATGCTCAAACAGCCACTGTTATGCAGGCATTGTCCCATGCCCTACTGGCCCAATGGAGTAATAGCTACGACGAGTTTAGGGCAGGGTTTTCTGCCTCAAAAATTCGACATACGGACCCGCACGGTTTATTCTGACAGTTGACAAAAACTGCCAGGACCTTGCAGACAGGGGCCACGCTAGGAAGACGTCTGTTACGAGCATGAGATTGCGTGCTTTGTGGTTGTACATCACTCTTTATCATCGGCACTGGCGCGCATCTCATATCAAAACATCGACGAAAGAACCGATACCCAATCTATTATCTATCCCAACAGTAGTCCAGTTCAGTCGCGGATGGCGCCGGTTTATCCTCTTCGGTGTCCACTCGGTGTCCACTCGGTGCACTCTGCAGGACCCGAACCGTATAGCTACGGACCCGGGAAGCCGGCGGCAATCTTCAGGGCCGGCAGCTCAGGTTCCAGAAGGTCCACAAGCTGAATTATCTGATGCAGCGACCGAGGTTTGGCCGGTCTCGGCGAGTTGTGCTGATCGGCTTCAGCTTGTGAAGCATATCTACATTTTAAGTGAGCATGAGTGGAGTGGCATGTCAGAATCTGATAGTGCAGACTCGGATTTGCCATCGCCGCATTAGGAAACTCTGCGAGAACCCCCACCCATTCACAACAAGAAGACCGACAACGGACCGGCCATGTGTTCGGGCTTTATCCACAGCCTTATGCAGTGCGGTGCGTCATATCCTCAACACCCCGGTATACGATGGTAGCTGCCCGCCGGTAGAAATCGGACCCAAGCCCATCCGGTCCCACCGCCAGGCTTCGAGGCCCAGCGAGGAATCAGGATATTATATCATTAAATGTTACATCCGGCGACGTTCCTCGTCAATACCCTTGTTTCTCACGCTTGGCAGGGTCCTTGGCGCCACCTGAAGTCTCGAATGGTCGCACATGGTCGATTGATATATTCTGAACACATGCTGCCCTGCACGATGGCGAATGCAATCGCGTCGTTTCTCCGCTGTTCGGATCCTGCGGATTCGATATTATGCAGTGCGATTGCACCTGTTCGTGGACCCATGCGCAGCAAGATACGGTGCCCACTGCAGAGTGACTTGAGACGAGGCTAACGCGTAGTTGCTCTGTGATTGTGGCGAGTGAAGAACCTGCCAGCGCCAGTCGCGCCTGTCAGTGTCGAAATGGAATCTTCGAAAATTCCGTGTCAATGGCTGTGGTCAATCACTGCCATAGCGAGAAAGGAATCCACAGTCGGTACCATTGAATGCCCCCAGACGCCGAGCGTGCCGAATCTCTCCCAGCCTTATTTTGACCCATGTGATCTTCGCTCTAAGTGTACGCGTTCCTGCTGGAGCCGTGGCCACTGGACCTTGACCTCAAGGTTGGCTGGCCTCACTGGGCGTAAGGCTGCCTGGTGGGTATTTTACCCACTTGATAAGATGAGTCCAGCAAATCACTCCACCGCGTTCAATGTCGACAGGAGCCGTGAAGAGTTTGCATTCGACCTGGCCAGGGCTCACGCGCGGCAAGTCTTTGTAACAGAAATGCCGACCTGACCTCGTGGGTGGGATTAAGAAGGCAAACCACACATCTTCATGACGCTAGGTCTCGACAGAAACAACCCCTGTAGTCGATGATGCGGCATCCTCTTGGCAATGATGTCGATCCACGACCTTTACAGAAGCTCAACGCCCAATTGTGCTCTATTTGTCTAGTTTCTTGGCCCAGGGCTTAACGGTGTATCGTCAAGCTCCACTCCGCTGCCGCAGCCAGACTCCTTTTCTCTGCAGCCCTCGAACACCTTGGCGATGTAACCGAAGGCAATGGGCTAGGCTTATCTCAGGAGCTTGGCTATCAACGTGCAATGGTATGGATGTGCGATTGGAGCCGCCGTATCCCTGTAACTCGGCCGACATTGTCGTCAACTTGAATCAACGCAACCAGAAGATCATCGCTGCTGTTTGAGCTGAGTGGACCGTTGCCCTGCTATCTATGAAACATTCACGTGTGCAGGCGAGAATCTGCACACTGCGGCCCTGACTGTGCCACATTCGGTCCTGTTATCAAGGCAGTGCTACCCAACAAGCGCTCGGGCAACGGCCGTGGGCCCATCTAGAGCACCGCCAAGGTAGCTCTTTGGTGTTGAGTTTCGAACAGCTCCACTAATGGTTTGTCGGCAGGACCCCTTTGCCGCACTATCGTAGTCTATTGGGACCTGAAATATCTTCGAGTCCTTGTACTTCCTTTATGAGAACATGATCTACGCCTCGCGAGCTTACCATCCCACACCACCATGAGCGGACGGCTGAGAGGTATTTTACGTTATAGATACGGTGATCAGTGAATGATGCAGTGGAACTGTCCCGGCTAAAGTCGTGTATTGCGTATATGAAGTAGAGGTTTGTTGTTGGATAGGGGGAGGGTCCTGCAGTGGGTGCTGGACGGGCCAGTGCTCGCTTCTCACCCTTTTCGTGTAGCAGATGCTTGTGATCTACTGCATATCCATCAATCACCGCGTCAAGTTGAGACAAACCCTGGTGCCTGTTTATGTTTATCTTCAAGTGCCCTGTACGGAGTATCCCGGAGGTTTTTTTGACCTGGCTGCCGATGATTAGCCTGGTGTTGCATTCGGGATACCTACCTGTAGATTCTGATCTGCTTCAGTCTTCCTCTGTATGTCCATTGCGGTCAATAGTCTGTTGCTTGTTGAGATTTGACATGTTTCGTTGGGAATTCAAGTGCGACATGTATTCTCGTTCTGCATATCCCCGGTGGTTTAGCCATCCTACAGTTTGCAATCCATCGTAACCTTGTCGAGGTCTCTACGTTCATTTCCAAAGCCTATAATCATACACTCCTTGTTCGACTTGACGTATCACGTCCGGCCTTTTCAGGGGCTGATATGTTGATATTTGATAATCCGGGCTCGTCAACTCCAACCAGACCAAATGGTGACTCTCACAACCGTTTACTAGGAATGATAATGGAATGTATCATGGAAGAAGGCCGGCCTCGCCGTGAGTATCCAAGCATTAAATCCCCCCAGAATTGTTCTATTTGTTGTTTGTCCGCCCTCCTTCCCCGAACAGGGGCCACCTGAATATCGCGGCCATTGTTTATCTGTACTAACCTGGCAACCTAGGCTACAGGCATGATTATATCACCCCAGAAGCTCTGCTCGCAAATATCGGAACCGAGTTTATCACTGAGTTCGGCCGAGGTTAATAATGACGTCGAACGTGCGGGGATACTTGTGGGGAATATATAGAGGAACTCTGCTGTTATTCTCCAAGGTACAACTCAACATACAGAATGTCTCAGCTTCAGATCCAGTCCAAGGGAATTTACCTAGGCCTGCCCACGTTTCCGGACACGCATCAAGGGTACACGGCTGTCGTGGCGGGCGCCAACGGTATTTCGGGCCACCACATGGTAGAGATCCCACAAAATATCTATTGATAGATCGCTAATAGATAACCCTTAGCTGCGTGTTCTATGCGAGTCGCCAAACAGATGGAAGAAAATCTATGCTGTTTGCCGACGACCTCCTATAGGGGAGTGGCCAGTCCATGTCGAACACGTCTCGCTGGATCTCCTTCAACCGCCAGAAATTCTAGCAGCGGAGTGCTCAAAGCGTGGAATAAAACCTGATTATGCGTTCTTCTTCGCTTATATCCAGCCGAAGCCCAAAGAAGGCGAGGCTATTTGGAGTGCTGTGGATGAGTTGGTGAGAATCAATAGTGAGTTGAACATACAACGCCCGGTCGCGATTTCTTTAACGTTTATTTTCTTTTCTTGTTAGCACTGCTATTAAGAAACTTCCCCGAGATGTTCGCGTTGGCACAGACGGTCCCTAAGAGGGTTCTTCTTCAACTCGGGGCCAAGTATTACGGCGTCCATCTGGGGCCCTCGACAGTACCGCAGGAGGAATCCGACCCTCGCGTTCTGATCGAGCCGAATTTCTATTATCCGCAGGAAGATTACCTTGTCAACTTCGCTCAACAGCATAACATTGGATGGAATGTTATCCGCCCTTCGTGGATTCCTGGGGCTGTTCCTGATGCTGCCATGAACCTGTGTCTTCCTCTCGCAATCTACGCTGTCGTGCAAAAGCATCTCGGCAGGCCACTGGAATATCCATCGGACCTGGTGGCTTGGGAAACGAATCAGACCATGTCATCCGCAATGATGAATGGCTATTTGGGAGAATGGGCACTCCTCACCGACCAGGCAAAGAACGAGAGCTTCAACGCCTCCGACGACTGCGCCTTCACCTGGGAGAAATTCTGGCCTAGGCTAGCAAAGCGTTTCGACATGGAATGGAACGGTCCAGTGGACGAGCCATCGCAATACAAAGAGACTCAGACACAATATAACCCTCCCCCTCGGGGATATGGACCCCCGGCCACAGTGCGGACGCGATTTACATTGACAGACTGGGCGAAGCAGCCTGAGATTCAAGAGGCCTGGAAGGACATTGCGACAGAGAACGGGCTTACTGATACAACTTTGGGCGATATTGACCGTATCTTTGGATTCACAGACGCTGCCCTTAGCAATCCTTTTCCAATTCATTTCAGGTAAGTTACCATTAAAGCCTTGAAGCATACTACGCACGCTAACTAGGGCCAAATAGTACCGCGAAAGCCAAGAAGACGGGTTTCTTTGGCTTTGTCGATTCGAGCGACTCTATATTCCATGTTTTGCAAGACTTCGTAGCCCTCAAGATGATTCCGCCCCTCCCGGAGGAATCGGCCTAGCGAGGATCTGTTTTTTGATTGCTTTTCAAGTGTTTGACTATCCTGCGAGGATGGCTTCAAAGAGACCGTTATTATATACAAGAATTGAATGCCTTCCGTATGCGTCTATGACATATAAACAGTGCCAATTCCGACTCCTAGAACTGAAAGAAGGCTTTCTGCACAAAACCTAGACTATCCAGTGGTATATTGGCAGACTACGTCTATATTGATGTTCAACCCCACATTTCGCAAGGACGAAGTGGGGAGACGCATATATATACAGATGTGGCGAAACCACCCTGTCTTTGAATGCATCCAGTTTAAAAACCACTAATCCCGTACCAAGGCTCCTAGATCGACTATGATATTGCAAACTTGCGGGATTTGTTGGTTGTGCCAGAATGGAAGCTGACTTCTCGCCACGTTCAATGCTTCCGCTTCACCATGAGCCATACGGCCCGATCCGACCAGAGTGTCTTCGCGGAGCCAATACTGGCAAGATAGCTGTGGTCACTGGGGCCGCAAGGGGTATGATATATTTTATGGAAAAGAAATAGTGCTGACAATTTATAGGGATCGGTCGGGCTATTGCTATTGCGCTGGCAGTGTCCGGGGCGAAGCTTGCCCTTCTCGATTTGAGCCTAGAATCCCAGGAACCAAGCAAAACCGCTGTCAGAGACGTCAGTGATGTGCAGGTTGAGACATTTCAATGCGATGTAACCGACGAGGTGGCCGTGAAAGATACATTCAAAGCGATCGAGAGTACCCTAGGGCCGGTGGACATTCTGGTTAATAATGCCGGAATAGCACGAGGGGAATATGCAGTCACTGAAAGCTTCACGAATTTCTGGAAGGTCATTGAGGTTAACTTCAAAGGCACAATGGTGTGTACATATGAGGTTCTTCCAGGTATGGCGGAGCGGAAATCAGGGTGCATCATCAACATAGCCTCGCGCGCTGCAGGAGTCGATATGCCCAAGTGTACTAGCTACGGCGCGAGCAAGGCTGCTGTTGCTCATGCGACGGCGAGTCTTCAGGAGGAATTTGAGCAGCTCGGCCTTGGAGAGCATTTGCATGCCTACTCCTTTCACCCTGGAGGGGTTTGGGGAGAAATGATCCAGAGTAAGTTCGTCTTTCGAGTACATACAGTCCAAATTCTGACCTTAAAAGGTTTCACAACACCTGCGGAACAGGAGGAATTAAGGCCGATATTCAACGAGGTTCCAGAGCTGCCGGCGTATACTGTCGCGTACCTCGCAGCTGGACGTGCAAAGGAGATACGTGGAATGTATTTTGACTGTCGCCACGACATCGAGCGAGTCTGCAGATTTGGGAGAGAAAATCTAAAGGCAGACGGACTGAATAATCTGAGGATGAGGTTTGTGCCGGGATATGATAATGTGCCATAAAGATGTAGTTATATCTGGGCGGCTGCCCGGGTTTATTAGTTGAATCCTATTGATTTGACGTCAGAAACTGATTACGACGACATAGAGCATCGAGTGCAGTTTCTTGACGAACTCGATCAACAGGATCCGTCGTTGGCGATCATAACTGCGCGAAGGAAATGACCCATCAACTCAACCCCATGCAACGTCTTTATTGGACTGGAAACGGTTCACGGACCGGCTGGCGGGGTTCGTTTTCTTGCATTGATCCAGTTGAGGACGAGTTATTGTCAGCAGCCATGCATGAGCTGCATGAACTGCATGATGCGTGGCCATGTACGGAGTACCCCAGCTCAGCTGAACAGAGCAAGGGCCCTAGGGCCATTATTCCTTGCTCACCTCTCACCCTCAACTGACTCCATGGGACACCTGCAAGCCTTCCAAGTTCCTCATCTGTTGGCAAAATGTGGGCTATCAGCAGTACTCATAGCGCCTTTACAATTTGGTGTAGCGATGGCAGGCCAGTAGACGAAGCTCGAGGGAGCTCCGGGGAGTCTTCGAGAATCATTGTCGACCAAAAAGGATTCCTCGATATTACACAGTTAACTGTGAAGGCTGCAGAATACGTTCTCATCGATTCGGATCTGAACTGCAGCGAAGTGCAAGCTTCTCCATATGGTAGTACTGTCCCCATATGTTGTAAACTAGACTAATTCTCGCAGGTATTGATGCGAACGGTGTGAAACTATATCACAACGTCAGTGATGGACAAGAAGAATCCCCTCTTGCTCTTTATCTTGTGATAAATCCCGATGCCACATTTACTCTGGGGGTTGAAAGCAGCATCGGGGACATGGATACAGTGAAGGGGACGCTCAAGCCACTCCCACAAATATCAGCAACTGACGTCGCGTACCTTGACTCAATGATTGCTACGAATCTGATTCCCTATGCAGAAAATCCAGACTACCCTGGAAAGAGCCACGACGAAATCCGGGAATTGGGGAAGCGGTTATTTCCCTTTACTCCTCACAGCTTCCAGCTCGCCATGGCGGTCTATGATTGGACAACCCCATCCTTCGCACGCATGGTATTCTGGGATATGTTTCGATACAGCGGTCTTGTGGTGGAGGGAGTCACTCCAATCGATTATACCAGCCTAGCCAGAGCCATTTGGACAAGTAACTGGGGGTCATATACCGCGCAGAACGCAGACTTCATGGCATCACTGCTGATGAAACCCGCATGGTCGCAGTTGGAAGTTGAACTGCAGCTATTGAATGTACGCCAACATCTTAAAAAAGCCGTTGAGGTAGAAGACAGGCTTCTGGCCGCTGCCATGCAGTCGCTACCACGGACGTCGATACTGTCCAAGCCGCAACTGTTTAGTGGCCAGATCGATATGGTTCACTTGGAGATGGATAATTTCGGTATAGAGTTTACGGAATCTCCTGCGAATAATGGTCCTATCCAACAGCACTTAGAGGATTCCTTGCAAACCGCTCTGTCTACGTACCTCGCCGAAGGGAAGACAGTTACAACCAAAGTGACCTGGAGCTTTACGGATAACTTGCAAGATGCATTGCACTACTCCAATGGCATTTTTCTGGTATTGAATCCCTCGTGGGAATCTCGTGTTTGGGAAACAGCGTCCTATGTGACGGCCCTTTCAAACGATCCGAAGAAGATAGAGTATACAACTGCGCCAGGGAGTCGATTTCTTATACAGTCCGTTGAAGAGGCCAGCTATCATGGCCGGAAATTGCTCGTCCTCGGCCTTCAGCCTCTATCGAATCCGGCTGCCACGGGTTTAAAGTCACGGAGGTGCGGCGAGATCGAAGAGGCACTACCACTGAGACTCGAAAATGGCGATGTGGTTGATTTGATTGAAATGTCCACGCCTGATCAAGGGACTCCTCATACAGTGAGAAATAATTCGGGACGTCGATGCAACTGCATTACTAAATAGTGTATCTGCTATTGAAGCTGTCCGTAACAGTTCCTTACTGTGTTATATACTGTTATAATGATCCGGTGACACCCAGATGTGAAGCAGGGTTATAAATATTGAATTAAGCATGATATCATCAACAGAATTGCCAAACAAAAGTCCTAAACCTACTCCTCAGCAACATCTGCCTCTATCGCCATTACATCTGCAGTCCCTTTGTCGTTCACCTTGCTGTCCTTTCCGTTCTTCTCAGCTGCATCCAGTGCAGCGATAGCCTGAGCCACGCGGGCGTAGGATTCATCGCTAAAGGCAGCCTGCTCAGAGCTACCAGATGCTGAAACCCTGGTAAAGGTTTTCATGCTTGCAATTTCGGACAGTCGCGAGCGCCAAAAGGCCCATCGCTCGAGGCTCACGCCAGGCAGGTCTTTGCATAATGGACCGGCGCGGGTATTCCTCTTCTCCTCCTCGTCCAGAGGCCTTGTCGAGGTCATTTCTCTGTACATAAACGGCGCACCCTTGATAAGCCACTCGGTCGCTACCCATAGCTTGACTTCAAACTCCACCGCGTCTTCTGGCGCCGTCTCCAGCCCGAAACGTATCTCCCAGTATGGTATGACGGTCCATTGCGCGAACCCGCGAGTAAGAAGCTGACAGGCAAACGAGTTGAACCTCTTCCACGCAGAGATATCTTCAGGTTCGCAATCCTCCAGCTCGGAGGGGTCTTGAAAGACGTCAGCTTGTAACAGGTGGAGAGCGAGGGAGTCGATCGCACTTACCAGCCCACTTGTCAAACACGTACATTCTCAGATTCGGCAGGTCTTCCCAGAGGAGCTTAGGTCCACGCAGCTGCGAAACAGTCAACTTTATTCGAAGAGATGAAGAAGAGTGACTGACGTTCTCGGCTTCAGTGACTGCGCCGCCCCGACGTCGCAGTCCATCGACAACATCAATGAAGACGCGATGCCAGGGGTGGTCGATGGGAACCATCATGACCAAAGCCAGGAGGTTCATCCACAGAATCCACAGATTTCCATTCGCGACCCGTTCAGATTCACTCGGCCAGAAGTATTCACGCACGTCGTCGATGATCCTGGCGGTCGCCGTCGCAGGATCACTACTTGAGGTCAGGACATGCTCGAAGATTTCAACAATGTCCTTCTCGCTCTGCGGAGACTCGTCGTCAATCAACTCGGCAAAATCAATAGCTGCGGCCATTGCGTGGGTATTCGATGGGGATGATGAGGATGGAGGTGACTGAAATTAAGATAGAAACGAAGATGCAAGTAGTTATATTGGAGGAGTGAGTCAGTGGCCACATAAATCGTCCCATAACAGTCATTTAAGCGCTGGAGTTTGCCGCCCACCAGGCTGTGTCGATTTGAAAACGGTCGCACGATCAGCTTGCCTATCATTTAGCGCTCGCGAGTCAGTCGTCTGGTTGATCCCTGCAGCCATCCCCGCAATACCACATTATACGCGACACCCGATGCACAGCCAGTGACTATTTTCACTTCATTGTGCCCGGTCTAGCGCTGTGGCGGCCAGGATCGACCTCCTGGAGGCGAGGCAGACTCAGCTTCCGCATCCTGGCGTCAAAGCCATAGGGCGTCGTGTCTCTATGTATATTCTCGTGCCATCAAACGTCGATATAGTTTCACGATAGCCGCCGTCCTGACTCGGATGGTAGGATCGATTCGACCTCAGTTTATGGCCCTGGAATGGTACTTTGTATGCCTGTCGCCGGCACCTTGTCGGACTAAATGATACAAATAAAGGGCCAGGATAAAGATAGCAATAGTGCATGCCTCATAGCGAGTCCATCCAACCGAAGTTTTTGCTATGCGCCGACCAAGGCATGTCTGCTTGTATTTAAGTGATCCATAAACCCATTCCTCATCATCCTACCCAACCTTGTACACACTTACAACAGCTGGCTGATCTTCCGCGCTATCATTCTTCTCCCCCGAGCAGGCCTTGGGAGTTCTGTGTTCCCCAATATTCTCTAATCTCGTTTGAGCCTTCACCATGTCGAGCTTATTTAAGTTTTCCAAGTCTGCAAAGGGCAAATCCGATATCAAAGCGCCCGAGGATCCGCCCAGGCGCGCTCCGACGGACTCATCCTATGTGTGTCAACTTTCCAATTGCGCCATGTAGCCACTCAGCGCTGACAAAGCCCAAGTATGACTGCCATGGTATCATAAATGATACGACGGACCCAAACGCCCGAGCGTGGCACTATGCGAGAGACGTCAGGGCTCAGGTCCAAGCCGAAAAGCCTCGCAAGGCCGCCCGGGGCCGCAAATATCCCTCGTACTTCGCGAATCACGGCCAGGAAGTTCCCAATTTGTCTATGGCGAGACCCTACATGCACGTCCCAATCATCCCGGGACAGTCCAAGCCCTCCCACGCGCAAGGAGTCGCCCCCGGAGCACATCGTGCAGTCTACAACGACAAAAGGCGAGCGAGAGTGGATGTGATCTATCACGATCCAAACAAGCCAATACCTCCTGCCTCACGGCACCGCCCTTTCTCCAAGGCCGACTATGTTCCAAAGGCCTCGAAAGCAGTCACAACGCAACAGCCTGCACGTCTTTGATGTAGCGTACTCGCAGTCGTCCAGTCTCTTATGGTAGTTACGGTTTTATCGTTCAAGCTGATGGGTATGGAACGATGGTGGTGAATAGATGTAACTTGTAGGGTATTGTATATGAGGTCAAATTGAGTGTATGGTATATTCGTATTTCTCCATTTTATCGTTGTACCAACAGTCCTCTCACGGTATTCGGCTTGTAGAATGCAATTAGAGATACGGATCCAGAAACACTACCCTTTGGCGTTCTATGAATGGATGTATATTTGGTTTCCATCAGTGCCATCTCGAAGCAAACTAATTTGCTGCAATTTCCAGTATTTACTATATGCAGTATAGCAGCCACAAATGTAGCTTGACAGGCTTTAATAACTGAAGCCATCCAGATGGGTCCGTTACACCAGCTATTCACGTTCGCCGCCTCTACTTGGTACCATTTTCCTGCGTCTATACTGCACGGTTTGCAGGAACAACGCGCCAACCGCGTCAAGGCTCCGGTATCTTTGGTTTCAGGCAGACAGAGTTTTTTTACATGATAAAGGCGAGGAGATTAATGGTGCAAGCAAAGAAATCACGATGGAGGTTAATTATCCGCCAGGGCTCGACATTCTGCTGTCAAATCTCGCGCAATTTCCCGACTGTGATCAACAGCACATGCAGTTGTATGACTGTCGCTGATAATGATGCCCGGCATACCCCTGGCGAAAGCTTATTGCGTAGTTAGTGGACATGGTACAAAGCGATAAAGGTGTCTGTTTAGAAGATATCGGATCCGTCATTGTTGAAGGTGCCTTCTATGAGCTGGATAATACCTAGAATACAATTGTCATGTACAAGCCTTTGTGCCTATACTAATGCATTGATGTCTCCTGCCAGGGTATTTCACGTATGCATTCACACTCAGAGACCCAGATCAATGCAGCGGATAAAGTCGGGTGGTGCATGGAAGGCCTGGTGAATTCACTCTCTCTCGACCCTGACTCTCCATAAAGAACGTATGTACTTAGATGGTGCATATTAAGGTCTATAACAACTACACCATCCTGGTATTCGACTTCCATTCTCAGATCCACCGTACAGGCCTACTTTACTGACTATAAATGCAACATCCTGCCTCGATTGTGAGAACCCACTTTGTTCTGGAGTATTATACCCAAGAATAAACATGTCAGGCAATCGAGGACGGTCCGATCCCCCCAGGGAGCACACTCTCCCGCGACTATCCCAGCAACCCAGCCATCACCGGACTTACCAGCAGCCGTCATTCCGCGCTGAAACTGGCATCCCAGCACGTATGACTACGAGTACACACATTATGCCTGTGGTCGGATCCTGGACAGCCGAAGTTCCTGTGCCTCCGTATACTCATCCTGGAAGCACCGGCGGGTCGTTCGGCGTTCCCCGCAACCCCCCAGATCATAACCCAGGAGTCCAGCTGCCTACTATCAATGGTCGAAGCCGTCTGCCCCCTCTGTCAGAAGGAAATAGACATTCGTCTACACAGAGCCAGGGCGGCAGGTCTCGCAGTGGAACGCCTCAGTCTCCGGGGTCTGCCAGGTCCAGAGCAGAAAGTGGAACTCCGGCGCCGCAGCGTCATGTCGACGAGTTCAGGTCGGGAAGACAGTTAAGACCACCTCCTTGTCTGACGGCGGATGATCCTACTGGAGCAGGGCCAGTTAGGATGCCTCGTCATCAACCTGCACAGCTTGACGTTCAAAGACTATTGCGAGGTGAACGTGTTCCACCGAGACAGGTGAAGCCGCCGCGGAAGCCTAGTCACAAGTAGACTACCTATTTTCGCTCGCTTCGTTCCCTCAAGTACTTCAGTTATTTATTTAGAGAAGTGAAATACTAGCATTAGTTTTCCGTTATACCAATAGAAGTAAAGAACATTCCAACCATGTCCCATACAGCAGTCTAGATGTCAGACAAGCAGGACTAGGGTCTCAATGCTCCAGCTGTACCTGCACATCTGGCCGTTTGCAATTCCGTCTGAACACCACAATAGCCCTTGTTACTGCCGCCTATGAATAAAACTACTCAGTGGTGTGCACCTATGAAGTGAAAGAATGCTCACTTCCCCACTGTGAGCTCGGTCTCAATGCAATACATGGTTAAACCAGGCATCAAGGGCATGTATGATAGAACCCATGGAATGTATTGTTCTTTGTGATAGGAGTCCGAACTGCATTGAGGGCGCAAGTCTGATATTCCCCGAACAATGGACTGGTTGTGCACATACAAGTTGCATGGGGTCTAGAATTCATTTCGGGGTCCATCGACTATTGAGACAAAAGTCAGAGTATTGTAGCTATTCTATCAATCGCGTTACACGGCAGCATTCATAGCTTTAGTCTTCACAAACCTCCAGTGTTCGTGCTTCCGGGGTTTCATTGACAGTTTGTCCATCCATAAGGTACACGCGGTTTAGACTGTATTGGCGAGGTCCACTGACGATTGGAGCAACAATCAAAGGGTATTGTGGCCATTGTAGCAATAACCTTAAACAATAGCATTTAGTGACACCTTCTTCACGACGCTTCAATGCTTGTGTATCTGGAGGATGTACCCTTGGCTATAAAAATGCCCTACTTTCCAGGTATCTGGTGAGAGCATCATCAGCAAAACCACTGACAGTCATTGGAAGAGTCATACTACACCTGATCTGACCATCTATTCGAAGAATCATATTCCCACTCAAGTCATTTAACGATCAAAATGTTTGGTAACAAGGGAAAGCAGCCTGCATCCTCATCCTCCTCTCGCAGGTCTCCTCAATCGAACACACCACCGACTGGACCTGGCTACCGCCCTAACCCGGGACAGAACGTGCAGCTACCTTCGATAGTGGGTCAGCCCTGCCTTCAAAACATACCGGGCCAGCCTGCAAGGTCCCAGGGAGGTAATGCTGGGGCAGTGCAGCGACCTACATTGAACCCTGCGCCTAGGTTCCATCGCAACGACCCGACTTCACATGGGCGGCTTTACCCACCTAGGCCTCTCCCAGGAGGTCCGGCCTTGATCGACTCCCTCCCAGGAAGGAGGACGGCACAGCAGCCGCCATCTTCGCCGGGGCCGGCGTCGAGACAGCCATCAGCACCGATACAATCGGGGGGTGGTAGACGAAGCGCGTCGCAGGATCACGAGCGTCGGTCCGCGGCACCGTCGCCTCCTCAGCGACAGGCGCAGTTCACTGGGGCGTCGGGTGTACCCCCTGCCCGTCAGAGTCATACTCAAATTCCCGCCGCGAACACAGCAGCAGAGCCATCAGGTGGAAAGAAAAGGGGACCTGGGAGGTGAAGACGAGAGCAGGATTCGTTCTTTCATAGATTTGCTGATTCGTGGAACAGCTTTTGGTCACAGTATCTGTCATTCAGGTCGTCTATTGGTCTTATTTACTAGTAATTAAATGAAGTTATTGTTGTTGACAAAGAATATTTACCAGGAAAGTCATAATATAAACAAGTAGCTCTGTAGAAACCACGCCTAGGTCCTATGCGACTCCACTTCAGACAGCTGGATGAAGCCATTTCCAGACTCCAGGCGCGATTTGCCGCTGTAGTCCACCGAGTATGAGACTGTCTTGGAGATGTGACTCCTCACACCGGGTGCATGCGAGCCACCGCCAGTGTGAGTGCGCGTCTTGTACTGGTTCATCTGTCCACTGGAGGTGTATCCGCTTTCTGCTCCAAAGATGCCCGGGAAGACACGGACCAGCATTGCTCTGGTCGCGGGGAGACAGGCGCATATGATGGCGATCTGGCATTCAATGACGGACCACCGATTAAGAGCTTCCATGTCATCTGCATTTATTAGCATGTTGAGGTATTCGAAAGGCTCCGTACTCACAAGTGGGATTCGCCAGAGAGCTGTTGTGCGAAAACACAACAACTCGAACAATTCCGATAATCGTCAGGCTGCATCATGGTTAGCAGCTGAAGCGTATTAAATTGGAGATACCTACACTAATCCTGATGCAAACATCACTGCGACGCCAACTTTCTTACGCAGCGACAGATTGAGTTTGGAAACCTCGTATATGGGCATGACAACCATGACCGCGTCGACGATGATATTGACGATTCCATTTGCAAAAGTGGCTGCTGTAAAATCTATGCATTTACCCTGTTCTAGCCCCTCCCATTGAGTCCAGGCCAGATGCACTGGAATGCAGTGGAAGCTATCAGTGAGCATCCAGGTAATGGCAATGGCGGAGTTGATTCCGATCATAGCGTACGCAGTCCAGCGAAATAGCGTAGACCGGAAGATTCGGAGGAGGAACAGACAAACGGAGATCTTTGCAAGGGAGATCAATGCTTTGTATGCTAAAACGAAGGCGAAGAAATGCTGAAAGAGTCAGTTTTGCCAATGGAGCAGGGCAGTGGGCGCACCTTGTATGCTTTGGTGATGTTATCCTGGGGATAGATGTCCCAGATATTCTTCCCAAATCCATAATGAATCACTGGATTGTCAGAAACGAACTGAATAGGTTGGATGGGTCTCATACTTGATATATTTACAGAGAAGACAACAATTGCCAGTGCCTGTCCATGTTAGCTACATCGAAGACCAGATCCAGGCGTCTCACATATGCGACAGTCAATGTATAATCGTCAGGTCCCCAGCCCCCGCCCAGATGCATCGCCTTGGTGGCCATTCGAATAATAAACAGGATGGTCGCGATCGCAAACGGGATAATGGTGCCACCATCGGCTTCGGGATAGCGCTGCGGTATGGGGATGTCACATTTGCGAGAACCGACGTACTTGGCGACTGTTTTTATCATTAGATGAGGATGAAAGACCTTGCCAGATGCAGCAACTTACGCAGTGCATCTTTCATTGTGCAGTTGGCCGTGACACAGGTCGATAGGGCAGACTGGTAGTTCTCGTCGGCGCAGAGACATGATGTGTCGGTAGAGGAGCATGTTGTCTCTCGTGCAAGCAATTGCTGCTGACAATCGATCTTTATCTTGTTAGAAATGCCCAGGCGAGTCAGTAGGGTGCTTACAGCGCATTGAGGTGGGCTTGGGAGGTGAGCAGCAACAGTGCAGGCAAAGCCCAGCAGGACCAGGCTGTAGATGACGGGCTGTTGCAGGCGCATACTGACGGCAAACTGGCAGAACGCGAACGAGTTCACCAGATCGAGGGGCGACGCTGGATAAAACAGCCTGTTGGCCTCAGGGCGACCGAGGTGTCTCCAGATTGAAACATGGTTCATGCAATCGACGCGAAGTTTAGGAACCACAATGTTCTTCCATGATGCAACCAGTCTGTTGGAAAAGACAACCGATCGCCCTTGCACATGCCAGTCGCAATCTGGCACCCTCAATCAGGAAACGATTTTGCAGATTGTCATCGCCTTTGGGCATCAGATCGACATGCACTATTGGCGACACGAGTCCCGACAAGGTTTATCGCGTCAAAGACCTGCCACCAGACCCACAACAGCCCTTCCAGTTCGCCAAATGCAGGCGAGCGGTGACATTTGGACAGCTGCCAAATGGACTGACAGTGTGATTCCACATGCTGCATCGGGCAGGATAAGCCTACACCTCGCCACTGCGGGTAATCCCAGTTAACTCCTCGTGGCCGACCCACGGACGCGCAGCTAGTAGTTTTAATTCTTGCTGAACGCGAGAATCTTCATTCTTAGTGATGCTACACGCGATTTCTATCACGACGCAGGTACAAGCTGCGGTGCTGCACCGTAAACAGAGTATTGGCTCTTCCCATTGTGGTCATGGTATCCTGACACCTGCCAGGTGAAAGACAGCTCCTCTAGTGAAGTCTATCAGAAACTCACATGCCGAATTATTTTGCCTTTCGACTTGGAATATTTACACGTGTTAGACAATAAACATCGAGCTACAACACGCTTCGGGAAAGAGCCCCGTGCCTTGTTCGGGGTTTGAAGAGCCTTCTCTAAGGTCCAGTGGGGCGAGATAGGCTTCAATATCCAGACTATGCTTCAATATACCCCGCCTGATCTCCTCTCCAGTGGGGTCCTGGACATTGCCCGATAGCCCGTCCCGAGATATTTCCGTTCCCAGCTTGGTGGCCAGCACTTGGACTATTTATTAAAGCCTTTGCGGGCATGGGGAATGATCTACTTTTCTTTTGGCGATGGCGTTACTGGGTAGACAATGCCCATATACCTGGGCCAGGAAAGCAGCATTACCGGCCAGTCTGGAACTGGAGAGGACTGGCTAAGCGAACATTCGTTCTATTTTATGCTTAACGATTGCCCACTGCCAAGCTGATCTGCTACCCTGCGTAGAAATATATATTCTGAATGAGGGAACACTCGCACATATGTGATAACCCACAATTATTGTATACGCAATGAACGCAGTATGCTCCAGTGTTTGTTCTCCGGTTCCCCGTCGGAAAACGCGGGCGGGGAAGACTGAACTCCAACTTCAACTTCATCAACGCGGGGCAGAAGGACTGACAACATTCATAAATAAGAATGGCCAACGTCAAACCCAGGGTAGTCTTCCTCAACAGCCCCAAATGCACTCCGGCCTCGTACCTCGAGCAGTTCAGCAATGAGTTTGCCTTCTCCGTGCTGCCCGCCGCCAACCGCGCAGAGACCAAGGCCCTCCTCCCCAAGGACATCGCAGAGAATGGCCCTATCTACGCCTTCATCATTGGCATGGGAACAACTCCATACGAGCCATACGATGAAGATCTGCTTTCATCGCTAACTCCCCACTGCCGGATCATCGTCTCCGCCAGCGCCGGGTACAACGAGTTTGATGTCGAGTGGATGGCAAGCCAGGGCATCTGGTTCTGTAATACCGTCGACGCGGTCGCAGAGGCCACGGCTGACATGGCCATGTTCCTCACTCTCGCTGTTCTTCGGAATACGAGCGTTGCAGAGAAGAGGGTCCGCGAGGGACGGTGGCGGAGTCCGGAGTTGGTCCCTGCTAGGGATCCCAGTGGGCTGACTCTGGGGATCATCGGGCTGGGTGCTATTGGGAAGGTATGTATCTCCTATTTTAAAATTGAACTGCTCTAATGGATTGTAGTATCTCGCCCGGAAAGCGCAGGCTTTCAATCTCAACATCACATACCACAACCGGCGCCAATTGTCCGCCCAAGTCGAGAAAGAATATAACCTCACCTACGCACCAACTCTTACTGATCTCTTGTCGGTGTCGGACATTGTCTCTGTAAACTGTCCCCTTAACGCTAAAACAACCAACTTAATTGGCGCTGCAGAGTTTTCCGCCATGAAGGACGGCGCCTTCTTCATCAACACTGCCCGGGGTGCTATCGTGAATGAGGAGGCCCTCATTGAGGCGTTGAAGTCCGGAAAGGTCGCGAGAGCAGGACTCGATGCTTTCCCCGATGAGCCCAATGTGCACCCCTTTTTGAGGGAGAGTGAGAAGGTCGTTTTGCAGCCGCATCTGGGCGGTTCAACCGATGTGGCATTTCAGAAAGCCGAGAGAGAGTGCTTTGAGAATATCCGGGCATTTTTCAAGGATGGGAGGCCGCTGTCACCTGTTATTGAAATTTAACGCCGGAATCTGTAAATATACGTTATCCAAGTGTCAAGGGACCACATCTGCTTTGAAACTGTGCCTTGAAAGTAGCACTGGAAAGGAAGCAGAGGCTAGTTGGTATATATACCGGCGTTCCATAGTCACTGTAGTCTGTTTAGCCTCTATCTTAAAGAATTGGCCCTCGTTATGTTGCACTGGAGGAACGTAAACGAATACGAGGCAGAAGGGCGTAAATGAGTCATTGAGCAGCCTATTTATATTCGGGGTTGACTCAAATCCCAACAGTGCTTTGATTATTTCTGTTGACTCTACGTGCTGTCGAATTTCATCATGCAGAAGATTGCTTCATTTGAACTCCCTAGGGTAGATGGTTCTCCATTTGATAGTGTTAACATGCTAACAGGAATAGTGGATTGACCACCACAGCCAGGATACCTCGCTGATGCTGGCTGGGAGTGCGACGCCGGCCTTGTCTGTTCAGGATCTCATTGATCTCTCCACAGACAGCAAGAAAACTGCGGATGCACTCTCGGTAAATTCGCTGAAACTTTCTTTATCTACGCCAAGTGGAAGCGAGGCACTTCGCAGGCAGATTGCCGGGCTGTACAATGGAATCACTGCAGACCAGGTATTGGCTACTCAGGGAACGTCTGGAGCCAACGCTTTGGTTTTTCAGAGCCTACTCGGAGCTGGTGACCATATAATCAGCATGTATCCTGCCTATACCCAGCTTCTGTCTATTCCGAAGGCGATTCCGGGCGTTGAACACTCTTTCTGGTCTTTGGATATAGACAACACTATGCAAGCGAATGTTCAGCTTCTTGAGAGCTTGATTCAGCCGAATACCAGGATGATTGTCCTCAATAATCCGAATAACCCACTGGGGACTGTCCTGCCACTTGAAGTGCAACGCGAGATTGCAGCCTTGGCCCATTCCCGGGGCATAACTCTGCTTGTTGATGAGATATTTCGGCCGCTGTTCCATGATTCAAGCACTGCGTGTCCTCCGTCGTTTGTCGAGATTTCTGACAGCTACGAAAATATCATTGTCACTGGCTCTTTGAGCAAGGCCTGGGGGCTGTCTGGTGTTAGAATAGGCTGGATTGTCACTAGAAATCCAGACATCCTGGCGCGCTGTGTCAACTTGAGTCTCTACACGACCATGGCTCTGAGTACAATTGACCAGGTCATCGCTACGGAGGCTCTGAGCGATCGGTGTCGGCCAGCGATATTATCGCGACACCTTGACTTGGGTAGGAAGAATATTGCGATCTTGAGCGACTTCGTGGAGAGAAATCAACGTTTTTGCTCCTGGACTCGCCCAAGCGCAGGCGGGACAGCGTTTCTGCGGTTCTTTAAGGATGGGGCCCCTGTCGACGATCTTGACTTCTGCTTAAAATTGAAGGAGCAGAAGGGCGTTCTTCTAGCTCCAGGCAGCCTGTGCTTTGGACTTGATCGCGCTCAGGACTTTCGTGGGTTTGTTCGAACCCATCTCACGGTGCAGCCTGCGCGGATAGCCTCGGCTTTAGATGCTCTTGGGGACTTCCTGCATACTTATTTGAATAATTAAGATATTATTGGACGTAGGTATATAGATAGTCGAATGTCTTTTGCTCTTCTTAATTTGCCTTGCTGGTGGCAATAGTAACAATATGTCCGTGCATGGATCCGTGATTTCTGAGAAATGCGCCACTGAAATAACACCGAAACTACAATAGTGACCACGTGGATTACAATCCATCGCAGTCGTCATAGTTCCAATATTAGACGCATTTGGGCCTGTCTGGACACTGCCACAGTTGGATGATTGGTACCACCGCGGGAGGACTGGATAGAGTTTGCATGACAGAGACACTCCCAAGGAACTGCAGACCGCGATGACCTTGTGATATCGATAGCGATGGCAGTTGGATTTTATTGCGCGAAAATAGTTGTCTCTACTCGCATCCTGTAGTGCTTTGGTCGGGGGAAGTCTCTCGCATACTTCACATATTGGACCTCTAATGGCGAGTCTTGACTACTGGAGCACGGTTCTGGTGGTGGTTCCGATCGTGGGGATTTTGGCAGCAAACCTGTTTTTCATCCTCCGGCTCATCAGTCGGCACCTTTCGCAGCAAAAGCTAGACATTGGTGACCTGTTCATGGGCCTTGGGCTGTTGTTCTGCTACGCCGTGAGCTTATGTACTATCGTCGGTGTGTATAGCCTCAGATGCACGATGGAATCGAGCTGACATGCACTTCCCAGCTGCATTCAGTGGTAAAGGACAAGATGTATGGAGCTTGGATGTGAGGTCCAGTACGAGCACTCGGAGGACTCTGGTGGGTATATCCAAGCGGCTACTACACAATATACTGATATTAACAGCTATTCTGGCTGACGCAGACCTTCTGGCCGGTCTCGCAGACGTTTGTCAAATTATCCATCATCATGCTCCTGCGGCAGCTCGTAGGTCGAGTGCCCCGGTGGCCGGCCTTGCTCGCCCTGCTCATTGTGTTCTCCATCAGCTGGGGTATCACCGCATTCTTCGGCAACATATTTCAATGCTCTCCGCCACGGTACTTCTGGCTTGAGCCTTACATCAGAGGGTCGTGTATGCGCGGACAGATGACCTTCTATATGGTCATTGGCTCATTGTCGCTCCTCGAAGATGTCATACTCCTGGCTTTGCCGATTTCCATTGTATGGAGGCTGAGGATGGGCATCCAGCAAAAGGTGCAGGTCACAGGTCTGTTTTGCCTTGGGGGTTTGTATGCTCACCACACAAGTCTATCGCTGGAGACTAGCTGACTTGATACAGAGTCTGCATATTCAGTCTCCTCCGCGTGATTGCCTTTCATAACTATTTGACAAAAACCGCCGCTTGTAAGTGTGCCAACTAACCACTGGAAACTGCTAACAAGGACGTATAGCTAGCGGTTCTAAAGAAGCCCTATGGACGGTACTGGAGCTTGACCTTGCTATAATATGCTCCTCTATGGTGCTGATGCGACCATTGCTGGCTCGCCCATGCTTCGGCTGGATACACTGGAGGAGGAATTGTGAGTACCAGAAGTAATTCATTTCCAACACAACACTAATCCACTGTAGCGTCCAGCGGAGAGATTAAATAATGATATCCGTTTCTGGGGGTTTCACAATATCCACAATGGTGATTCTTGAATTTATCTTATGATCCACTGCGAGAATGTCTATATTGAGGCTTGAGCCGGGGATACCTCTATGAGCAACATTTATATTCCTGACGTTAACGATAATAAATGTCTCATACTGTGCCGCGATAATTCAGGATCGCCTTCTGCAGTAAAGCCAACTGATGATCAACGCATAGCTGACCCAGACCAAACCAGCAACAACCGAGTACGCAATAACTGCACCAACAGGTGCAATGGACAGTCCAATGCCAGCCAAGCGGAATCCGAGACCAGCATTGATCATGCCAAGAGTAATCAGAGTCCGCCCAAACCACCTATGGATATAACTCGCGATGCTTTTCTTGCCAGTACGGCGAAAGTAAAGATGCTGAGCGAGCCCCATTGCTGGCTGAAACAGGATCAAGCATGATACTGTTGTAATTCCAATGATCGGATGGTAAAAGCCTATCAGCTGTAGGTCTTTCGCCATGGAGATATCGATTCCAAGTCCCGCGACTGTCAACGCAAGAGTGCAAAGTTGCAAACAGGCGTGGATAGAGACTATTTGAGGTGATGGAACCACCGGAACTGCCAGAGCAAAGAGCGGCAGCAAAACAACAAAGGCGACTATCATGATGACTGCGTGGGCAATTCTTTTCCGCGAGACTGATTGCAGGTCGACGGTTGTGGCAGTCTGTGCAGTTGTAGACGTGCCAGAGTCCCCTAGAAATGGATTTCCAGAGCTGCCACCAGTGGCCTGCTTCAAGTCGAGAGTTGCAGTGCCGTAAAAGTCATGCATGGGAAGATTTTCAGAGGTATCATCAGAATCAAGGAACGGTCCATTTTTGACAGCCCATATCCATGGGCTTGATGAGCTCGTCACATCTGCATGACCACCAGGCCAGGTCACACAGCTATCACACCGGATATTGGCCGTCAGGATCCCGTCTTGGATCCCACTGCCGTCGAGAATTGATATCTGAGCCTGCGGGTTGTAAACAGGCTCGACGTGCTCCTGCTTCGCCAGGCGAGGCGAGACGGTTACATTGTTCCCAGAGCCATATACAATGAATATATTTGCCCCCTGCATCATGGCGCCTTGTCCGAGAGCCAGCCATTGAACCTGCTTCGTAGACTTTATTTGAATGAAAATAGGACCCGATTCAGAGTTGCCGGTGGATTGAGGGATATTAACGCTGTAGCTGATTTCACCTTGCCCTGGTGGAGTAAGAAGCTGCAATTGGGCAAGCGCAGTGCTGAGCTGCAGAAGAACGCAGACACAGAGGGAAAGTATGTTCGTCATATTGCAAGCTGGATAGTGGGGGAAGGGGGAACAGCGGCACAGAAGCAATGACCGCCAGGAGTTTGGCCAGGAGCATGGTTATAATCTTCTACCAGCTCTGATAATTTATTCCAAGGCTGTTAACAGGCCCAGACCACTTTCTGAGTCTCAGCCAGACCGACAATGCCCCAGATTCCAGAAACATGGTTCTTGCTATCATGGCGCTAAAAGCCTCACGAAAGCAAAGCCAACGGGGCCAACAGGACCGAGATTTGCAGAAGACGCGGCGCATTTCCATTTGGACTATGCCAATAGAGCACACTGCCTGTAATCTATGGTCACCTTGAGTGGCCGTTCGCACCGAACTCTGAATAAGTCAAGCCACCTCAAACCACTGCTATAACGTCCTAATCCGGCCACTGGATGAAGGAAACACTCGCAACAGTGGCTCACATCCAAAGACAAGCTTAACATCTTTGTGCAAGATAACTTGGAAACTAATGTCCAGTGATGTTTGTCAATGATTACAAGACATGACCATCTTCCATGGTTGGGAATAATCGCCCCCGCCACGTGGGATTGACAAATATTCCCAAAGCCGCCGGATTACGTGCTTCCAGACTCCATTCCCCGAGCAGGACTTCGAACTATCCAATGATGGTACTAAGAATATCGGGATATGGTCTACCATGCTTCCATGGGCCAGTCCATCACATGGCCGCCACGTGGCCACCGCATGCTACCAGAGTATATCGAACTCTAACTATCGCCTTATTGTGTGAAGCATGTCTTATAAGAGACTCTAATCTGTCAAGGAATGGATTGTTTGATACGTTAATCAATCACTGCAGTTGAATATACAATTCTGAATACAATGAACCTCTGTTTGATACTAGTCTGCCTCCCTCTGATCCACGCCCAGTACGGGAATGGACCAAGTAGTTCCACAGAAACTACCATGGAGACAAGCGCAAGTCCAACGCCAACCTCGTCTTCAGGTGCTGTTCACACTGTCGACGTGGGCGAGGATGGCTTTACCTATGACCCTGACACTGTCACTGCCGCCGCGGGAGATACGGTCGAGTTCCATTTCTACCCTGGTGACCACTCGGTGGTGCAGGCTACCTTCTCCAGCCCCTGCAAACCTCTAAACGATTCAAGTATATACAGCGGTTTCTTGATGGGAACTGCCGATGGAAACGTGAGTCTATCAATCCTCTCAACGAGTGGGGGCTAATGTACTCTGCGATTCTACAGCAAGACATATTTACCGTGACTATCAATGATACCAACCCAGTCTGGTTCTACTGTGCTCAGATCGGACACTGTCAGGCCGGCATGGTTGGAGTCATTAATCCACCGTGAGCTGGCACCCTATCGATTCCCAGAAATCTCATTCATTCTCCTTAGGTCCGGTGGTTCCGATACGCTTGATGCTTTCAAATCAGCAGCATCAACTGCCAGTGCTGCTCCAACGCCGTCTGCTGTTAACGGAGGTGTTTTTGGGAAGCCAAGCGAGACAACATCGTCAGCTTCGAGTAGCAGCTCGACCAGTACTTCGGAGCCTACTTCGGAGCCCGCCCCAATGAGCGAGGGTTCATCTCTTCGCGTCTGGCGGGACTTGAGCGTAGTTCTTGGGCTGTCTGTTTTGGTTGGTATATGCATGATGTAGTTACCATTCTATCTCGATTGGCATCATGGGGTTCACACTCAGGCATTCCTAGTGTGATTGGTGTGCTGTGTTTTGCTTTTCCATACTTGGTTATTGAATTGATCCGCCTGAGCTGGATGTACTCTATGCGCCATAAATTAAGAAGACTCGAGTAGTATTAGTTAAAAGTTATCACGTCTCCTGTTTAGCAGCCTAGATATTTGATCCTAGCCTTCTGAATTTACGCGCCAAACTGTGTTATAGACGCTATGGTGGGGACTGCATGGGCCTGTCCATTTATAGTCGAATGCTTCCAGCGGAGCCTACAAGGTTTGTCGAGAATTTGGATATCGATGGGCTGTAGCATTGTCTTGGGCCCCTACTAAGGCTATTGATACGTTGAATTCCTAGTTTTCTCTAACAATCCACAGCATCGCGCTCTCCCATAGCACCTGGCTCGAATTTAGCATTTGCGACAAGGTCAAAACCACTGAGGATGGTGATGACAGAGACTGGCCACAGAGTCGCGCAAATGACCAGGTAATTCTCCAACATCCACTCCTGTGGGCTAGAGGATGGCTCACTGGCCATCATGGCGAGGAGCACCTTGTACGCGACTCTGTCAGCCCATGCGCCGAGCTTACAAGCACATTTCTCGCAACAGGCGCTTCCAGATAGATCACTCTTCTTGGCGGCTAGAGCTGCCACGCGACGGATACCGGCGGCGATATTAACGGAGTCTCGTTCAATTACGGTTTGAGGCATCCCCGAGATGGCATGTATATGGTTTTCTCTGCCGATAGATGTGTGGTAGAGAGGTTCACACTGCGAGCAGAGACCGGCCGGCCTCATCCCATGTTTATCGAAAACAGCCGAGGTCGGTGCCAGTCTATATGCCTGGGTGACTCGGGGCGAGAGTCTGGACGGCGACGACTTGTCCATGGCTGCTGTCCAGGAGTCTCGAACTGGAATAACCTCAAGGTCGCTATCAGAAACCGCCAGGACCTTTCCACGCCGAGAAAGGTCCAAGATTCGGGACGCCTCTGGGGAGGAGGATGCTTGCAAGAGTCTGGTGTATTTGATGAACCGCTCCCATGTGCGATATCGAGTGTTGAAGGGAGCCCAGCTAAACGTAATCATATACACGGAGTCGCCAAATAGTAGGTCATTTCCATCAGGAAGTTCACGAATGCGGCGGGCAATGGCATCCAGCATTCCAATTGAATAGGCAACGGCTATGTCGTCCTTTGCCAAACCGGCACCAGCAGTGTACATCATACCTGACATCCTGTTCGAGGCTCCGTGATCATACAAGACATCGTGAATATTGGCCACAAGGACAGATGTAAACTGGCCAGGTTGACTGGGATCATAGTCTGCTTCTGGTATGTAGCCATACGGAGTCAGAGCTGCACAGTCACCACTCAGGGCCATGGTCCAGTCTCTGGGCGAGATGTTGGATGGCCCTACAATGGTGGCACCGTATCCCTCTCGAGCCCAACTCAGCTGAATGTCACGTACGCAATGCTGGAGGTCATGATTGAGCAGAGCCACCATCGCTCCACCTTGAAGTTTAGATCCAGTCTTGATGCAATTCCTCCCTGCAACGATGCCAGAGCGACTCATCCCGGGCTTGTGGTCTTCATTCTTGTCGAAGTCGTAATCGACAGTGCCGAGCAGCTGCATACTGATCATCTGAGAAATGTCCTCTGGCTTGACGACCTTTCTGAATAGCCCAGCCCAGCCGAACAGGGTGCATGGGGCAACGGCCCCAAATCCAGAGCTCGTCCAATTGTTCTTCACCTCATCGAATACTTTGTCCACTTTCCAATCATGTCCACCAAGGCTCTTTGGTCCAATTTGATTCAATGAGTTGGGGTCTGGTTGCGCGACGACGTGGATGGTCAAGCCATCGACCATTGGCCGTGCCGTATCATTCAGCTTGACACGGCGGTAAACATCAACCGACATGGAGACATCTTCGATAAGACGAGACCATAGACCGCAACTGGGTGCCGCCTTCGACAGACATGTCCAGCCAGCCAGCCAGTCCTTCTCGGCAGCGACATGGCGGACGAGGTCGGCCAGGGCAGCACTCCTTTCCTTCTGGGACGCATTCTCATAGTCAATGATAGCCCCGGTGTACTCTTGGACTACCTTGGCCAGGGTGGTAGGGTCTGTAATGTCCACCTGGCCCTCAAAAATGGCAGTAGTTGCGATACCAAGGCCGGTAGAATGCGCAGTGTTCAGCAGCTGCGAGGGTAGATTTTGGGCCGTGAAGCTTGTAGATTGGTTGTCGGTTTTAGAAAGGGGGTGCGCAATAACACCATTGCCAACTTCGCTGAGTATTTCAATCATCTTAGGGTTGAATTTGTAGAAGAGAGACGTGTTTGGAAAGATTATTTGCTTGATCCTGGGCCTCATTCCCATCGAGAAGGGGGTTATTGCGACTTTAAATAACTCACGTTCAGAACTTTAGACCATCGTGTCTGAATGATAGATCATCATGGCTCGCCTTGTAAACATCGGATAGGGCGCATGCAAGCATATAGATGCAGACTTTCAAATGCATACATGGAATGTTAACGCAGGCGGTGCCCCTGACCTCCTGCTGAGGCACTAACTCCTCATCGAGGAGGAGGGTGTTCGTCCGAAGCGAGTATTGTGCGTCTCTGGATATTACAGCGACGTTCATTGGCAACTTCGAATGCTGTTATCTCCCGCAAGGCAAATATGCATACAGACCGGAAGGGCACAGAGCGAACAGGAGACCCAGCCAACAACAGCCTAGAATAGATACGTAGCTTATCCGAAATCCTCGTCTTTCACAGATATTGATGCCAGGACCAACGCTCTGCGAGACACCCAGCAGCTGACCTTCTGACCGTCATCCAGCTAAGATAGACATGTTACTGGCCATTGTAACCTGTCCCTTGCGTCACCCCGCTTGCAAAATGGTGGCATATTTCAAACCAGCAAATCGGTTGCGAGGGTCTCCCTGGAACAGTACCGGCTACCTGCAGCCTGCGATGGAGGACAAATCAGGAGTACATTTCGGACATGCGTAACGGACCCGGCCCGGTCCAGTTTGAATCTATAAGCCGCAGTGAAAGGGCTGCACGAACCTACTTTGGGTAACTAGGGGACTTTAGGCTGCTGATCACTGCAGTACGTTTAGAAGGAGTTATTGGCTGGAAACAGCATCCTTCAATTATATGGCAGCATGGTATCTAAAGGAATGCCAGCTCTCCTCTTCCACAGCCTCGGCTTTTATGCTGCCCTATTCTAGCTCTCTGCAAGACTGCCCTTGCTGCAATAGTCCAGCGCCAGCGACCATATCCACTAGAGAAGCCAGTCTATCCCTCTAAGGGCAATTGTCTAGTACTAGGCTGGCGTTCTATTATAGAGGCACTGCCCGCAGTTAGGGAATCCATCAGAATAGAAGTTATCTTTGCCGACATTTAATATATCTCACGAAATAGATAGCCACAGTTATAGGCCGTTCTAAAGAATAGGCGCCCTGGTAAGTTCCCCCAGCTGCGTCATTACGAACTCCAAGTTCTGCCTGGAAGCTTGAGTTCTTGGATGGCCTGGTCCATATGTCCTGTGGTTCCACTCATGGCAGGAGACCAGCAGGGTCCTCGCATCCTGCGGCCGGTCAGTCCTTGTGTACGCAAGGCCAAGGTTGTTCATGAGGGCGATGGTCAGTGGGTTATCCTCCTCCTCTGTTCGTCGCAATGATCTGTATGCTTCCTCCAAAAGTGCCACCTGACGCGCAGTCCCCTCATCCGTCCCCTGTGATTTATAAGTACACGCAAGGTTCATCATGCACTTGACCGTTGTCTCATGGGCGGCGCCCAAGCTGGAAGAGGCAGCACTGACGGCATCCTCCTGAAGTTGAATGGCACGGTTGAGCTGACCTAGGCCGCGGTAATCGCCTCCAAGCATATCCATCGCGGCAATGGTCAATGGGTCGCTGCGTCCTAACACGCGTGTTCGGATCTCCACTACCCGGCTGCGTAGATCGGCAGCTTCTTGGAACCGTTCCTCGTTCACATAGCTGTTGGCGAGATTATTCATACTCGTCAATGTCGGCAGCGCTTCCTCGCCCTTGACGCTGATCATCATGTTAAGTGCTTTCTTCTCGAGGTCTAGTGCTTCGTGTTCACGTCCTTGGCCTTTTAGATCAAGCGCGACGTTGTTGAGGCTTTTCGCGATCTCTACGTGGCTGTCGCCAAGGAGCTGCTGTTGTCTAGATAGGACTTCTCTATCGAGGCGCTCCGCTTCGCCATACTGACCCTGTGCGCGGTAGTTGTAGGCCAGGATAATCTGGGTCAAGTGTGTATCCACGTCGTCCGGACCAAGATACCGATCGCAGAGCTGCAGCGCCTGGAGAAGGAGCGCAATTGACTCGCCCAATTGCCCGTTGTCTTCGAGGTTGGATGCCCGTCCAATCAAGGTCTTGATCTGGCTGCGTGGATCTGTGTCTGCCATGCTTGCGGGGCGGAATGCTGTACCATTTAATCGAATATTGCACAATTAGAGGGGGGCGCGAATTTAAGACAACAGGCACGCTTTTTGATCAGCATATGACTTGCGTAATCATAGGAGATGCTATCTTGAATGGGTTTAGATGTTCATATATCTGGACTGCTGTTGGTTCAATGTTCCACAAAAGTCCCACGCAAATAATTTCAATACGAGGCCAGCATCCTATCCGGATTGGTGCGAGGTGCTTCGTATTCTTGGCCAACCAAGTTCCCTCTCTTGCTTTGAGAATGGAAATGGACTGCAGTCGACAGGATTGAAGTTCTCCATTGCCTGGAGCCAGATCGAGAGGTAGTAGAGCAAGAATGTCAAGCCCGCGCCGTTGAAGGAGACCATCTCGACGACCGCTACAACGTCGAGGTCTCGCATCATCCAGTGGATATTCAGGAGCAACGCCGAATTTCACTGGACGGTGCCGAGGAACACCCATTGCATACGATTATGCAATGCCAGACTCGAGTTCCTGAAATATCCTATGATTTTGAGCAATCGGCCAACGTCTAGTGGGTGTCCTAGATATGCCCCAATACGATACCGATTGAGGTTAGACTGCTTGTCCTTGAATTAGACTCATGCAGGGCTTATGAATCAAAGATTAATAAGCTACGCGGCGTGCCTTTCTTATACAGCAGCAGCCAGTATACCCCATCTGGGTGGATTTATGCACCCTTCTATCCAGCCGAGGTTCAGCTTAACGAATGAACGAACCATTTCACGCTCCACTTGAGTCTTGCAAGTGCACAAAGCTTATAAATCAGAATTGATTTACCAACTACAAAAATACACCAGCTTCATTATTGTCCAGCGGTTAGAAACAGCCTCCAACGCATTCCATTTTGGTATTCTACAGATTAAACCCTACCATCCCTTCCAATCGACATGGTGACGCCCCCAGGCCTGAAGGGCCTGAGTGCGCCAGTCCCCAACATCAACTACTTCACCCCCAAGCACCAGCAGTCCCCTGGAACTCCTGTTACGCTTGATGCCTCGACACCCACACTGTTTACACCGCTCAACATACGGGATGTCACGCTCCGCAATCGCATCACCGTGGCTCCAATGTGCCAGTTCTCGACCGCGCCAGATGGCCCTTCTATTGGCAGTTTGACCGATTACCATATTGCGACTCTGGGCCACTTCGCGCTCAAGGGCGCCGCTCTCGTCTTTGTCGAGGCGACCGCTGTTCAATTCAACGGCCGGATTTCACCTTATTGCCCGGGTCTGTGGGATGACGCCCAAATCCAAGGGCTCCGCCGTGTCAGCACTTTTGTGAAATCCCAGGGCGCGTTGGCGGGTGTCCAGCTTGCACATGCTGGGCGCAAGGCAAGTACAGCTCCCCCGTGGGTGGCTGGAAGCACCCAGTTTAAAAAGGGGAGCCTTCGCGTGGGGAAGGAGCACTATGGCTGGCCTGACGATGTGGTCGGGCCATCTGGAGGGATTGAGCAGACCTGGGACGGACTGGGCCTCGAGGAACAGGGCGGTTTCTGGCCCCCCAGGGCTCTGAGTCAAGGTGAGATCAAGGAATTGGTGGCAGACTGGGGCCACGCGGCGAGGAGAGCAGTTGAGGCAGGCGTCGATGTGATTGAGATCCACGCCGCACACGGATATCTGATCCACGAGTTTTTGAGTCCCGTTACGAACCATAGAACGGATTCTTACGGGGGCAGCTTTGAGAACAGGACTCGACTGCTAGTGGAGATCATTCAGGCGATGAGGAATGAGATGCCCACCGGGATGCCATTGTTCCTTAGGGTTAGCTCAACTGAGTGGCTGGATAGCACAGAGGTTGGCCACAAGTACGGCACTTGGACCGTCGAGGACACAATCAGGTTGGCCAAGCTGGTCTCACCTCTCGGTGTCGACCTCCTAGACGTGAGCTCGGGAGGAAATCATCCGACGCAAACAGTCAACCCGTTCATGACCAAGGATTATCAAACCAAAATTGCTGCTCAGATCCGCAAATCTGTACGTGCGTCTGGCTCGAAGCTGCTGGTCGGTGCCGTGGGCATGATCACAGAGGCAGACCAGGCGCGAGATCTGGTTCAGGCGGACAGACTGTTGGCTCAGGAAGCGGCAGATGCCAGGAATGCGACCCAAGCGATGGCGGAGGAAGAGCCGTCGGCCGATATTCTATTGATTGGCAGGCAGTTCTTGAGAGAGCCGGAGTGGGTGCTGCGAGTTGCTTGGAAGCTTGGGCTGGACGTTTCTTGGCCGAACCAGTACCTGAGGGTGCGTTTCCCCAACCTGTAATGGATTCTTTACGTGTTGGAACTTGGTCGCAATCTAGATGCTGTGTCCGGTGTGGGATTTGTATATATTGTAGCCTATCGAGATGTGGATTCTTCATCTGTACGAACACGAATGGATCTTAATATGCCAGAAACTGCCCCACTCGTTTTCGTATTTGCGTCGACCCACTATATCCAGATACTCACAAAGGTATAAATACAGGACAATGTGACTGCATTTGCACCTCACACTTGCTCAGCATCAGGACAAACCATGAAATCCTTCAACGCCATCTCCCTTTTCACGGCGTTCCTCGCTGCCTCCGATGGAATCAACGCCATCACCGACACCAACACCAGGCCGCTGAGAGAGGAAGCAGCAAACAAAGGCATTCTCATTGGGTCTGGGGCTATCAATCCGTCGTATCTCAATGATACTCAGTTTGCGACTGTCCTTTCCGAGCAGTTCGAGAGCCTCTCCCCCGAAAATGAGATGAAGTGGGCGTACATCCACCCGACCAAGGGCCACTACAACTGGGAGACAATCGACCTCCTGGTCCAGTTCGCCGAAGCCCACGATATGGTGGTCAAGGGCCACGGACTTATCTCCAGCTGCTGCAACCCGGAATACCTGGTCAATATCACCGACCCTGCGGCATTCCGTGCCGAAATGACGGCGCACTTCAAGGCAGTTATGCAGCGGTACCACGACAAGGTAGATCGGTGGGATGTTGTTACCGAAGCCCTCGAGACCCAGGGCGGCGGACTGCAAGCCAACGACTTCTACAAGGTGCTCGGTCCTAGCTACATTGGTGACGCCTTCTGGATCGCCCGTGCAGCTGCCCCGGACGCAAAGCTCTTCATCAACGAGGCTATGGTCGAGGCACTCGCTGGAAAGCGGCAGGAGCTCTACAATCTGGTTTCGAAGCTCGTGGCGGACGGCGTCCCCATTGACGGAGTTGCCCTGCAGATGCACGTCACGGAAGGACTACCTGTCCAGCCGGGGGTAATCAAGGAGATGGTCGACTCCTACAAGGAGCTCGGGTTGGAAGTATCGATCGCTGAAATGGATGTCCATACGCTCAACAGCACGTTCCAAGCTGATACCTACAGTACTGTCCTCACTGAGGCTCTGGACGCAGGAATCACCGATATAAGCTTTTGGGGATTTACTGATAAGCACGCGTACACTTGGGTGGAGGGTGCGAAGCCGTTGATGTTCGACGAGTACTACAACCCTAAGGGTGCCTTTTACGCTACGCATACTGCGTTGGCAAGCTTCGATAATCAGACGCACGAAGGTCATCCGGCACCTCACAATCAACGAGGTGCAAAGGGGCTGTCCAGGTCTCTGAAGGGGCAGTAGATGGCGAGCTACTTTATCAGGGCGTCTGCGGAAAGTTCAACACTGCCGAATGTCGACATTTCTATTCAAGAGCTTTTAACAAGCTGTGGGAGACTTGATCCCCGATCATTCTGTATTCTATTGTATTCAATATTAATCAATAACCTACGGGCTTACAATATCCAATGGTTAGCCGTATACCAACATATGCATACTCGTACCCAGCCCATCTTAAGAGCCAGAACTCAATAAGCACGTCGACCACAACCCACCGCCAGTGAGATATCAATACGCGGCGAAGTATACCGGTGCACATATCAAGTCATTTGGACTCGAAGTCGTTCAGAGAATTCCTCGGCTTGAAAGGACGACCCTGTTGCCTGGAAATGCTCACAGTGCGAGGAAAGTGAATGCCCCTTCTCAAGGCAGAAAAGCAATGAAGCCTGGCCGTGCTAGTTTTTTAGATCTAAATGACACTCGTTTTCGTCTTTATATTTAATGGCAATAATAAAGAATGGACGCCCGCTTATTTTTTTCGGAATATCCTCCCCATTCTTCTCAGTTTTGATGTCAGGAAACCTTGATATTCCATGAAGGGCACAAACTTAGAACCTCAGTGTTGATTTATTAATAACTCCTGTTTCAAACTTCGCGACAGTACATCTCTTACTATTAGATGTATTCCACCCTTCAGATCTTCGCAAACCCCTCCAGGCCAAGGACCTTTCGTGGCTGGCTGAGATTCAATGATCGACATTCTGTCCAAAAATGCGACTGCCAACAATGGATATTATATTGATCAGCCGACACACTTGATCATCGCGTTACTACTTATTCAGGTTAGCCACAGCAACTTCAACTTCAAATTACTTCTAGCTCGTAGCTAATTTTTCATAGTTATGCTTCAATCTGATATACGGAGTATGGGTTCTCTACCACAGGAACATGTCCGAAATCCAGGGAGGGATACTTAAATACTCTAGCTCTCTCCCATCTCCCTTTTACTATTATCTATATTCTAATCTGCAGGCCCAGCTGCGTCCGTATCTCAATATGATGTCCAGGCTCTTCTTCTCTTTCGTCTTCGCTACGTTCCTCTTGCTGTGCTCTACAGCTCCAGCTCCAAGCACATGTGAAAGCAAAGTCCAGTTGGTTATGCACCAAATAAGAGCCTCTATTACTGAAATCGACAAGCTGCTCGCATCAGGAAACCCCGAACTCGCCAAGCACGAGGACGCTATTCATATTCTTCGCCAGGCCAGCACCGCCGGCCATGACCTGATCAATCACCCCGAAGATGAAAAAGAGCTATCCGATGCTCTTACAGAGATGTGCCTTGCCGACGGGAATGATCAATCTAGATCTAGTGGAGTGATTGATTCCACAGCGCTTGATGAGATTCAGAAGCGCGCAATAAGCCCGAACCTGCCTCGCAGGGCGGCAAATTTTTTGGCAGTATTATATCCTGTTACAAGTTTAGTAACAAGACTTGGACTCGGCAGTCTGGCACCTTTAACCACAATCATGGATGCACTCCTTCTCGCCTTATTAGGCCTTGGACCAGTCGTTGGAAAGATCCTTATACGTCTAGGTTTGATTAGTCGACAGTGAACAGTGACTTTTCAACCAATTCTACGTCGTCGACCTTTAGCGACCGCTAGGATTACTCAACCGACTGTTGGTCGGCGTCTACCCAGCCATCCTTTGTCACTTTGATTTCCTATTCTACTTCACTAGCCTATCCCTATTGCTCATGTATTTGCCATAGGATCGTTGCCAGATTCAATGCACAGACTTTCATGTTCATGTGGTTGAGTAATAGTGTAGATGCATGCCTCTGTTGCGCTTATCTTATAGAGTAACTATAGGAGTAATTTAATACTATTTATACTATAGAAAATACCTGTTATAATTACTTAGGGGCTAATTAAAGCTAAATATAATAAGAAGAAGTTATTTATCAGTGGAGATTTTGTGAAAAGAACCACTGCTAACAATTCGCTATTCCTTCGCGCCGATTCAGACGTAGCCGTGCATAGGTGCGGCCCCATTAGGCACTGCGAATATCCTTCGTTTCGTTAATTGTGGAGCGCAAGGAGCGAAGATGCTATGAGACAGGACGACCATCTGAGCGTGGCTTACAAGAATGAACAATCGTGATAGCGAATCAGGCCGACCAATGTGCCTTAGTTGTTAGGACCGAACCCCTCTGGTGCAGGATCACATCATAGTGGACATCACGCATTAGTGATGCGCTTTCTAACAGCGATGCTGCGGTCACATCTCCTATGATCAATAGCCTTTTCTGAATGCTGATCATGCCAGCAATAACTAAACTCAAGAGATTCCCCCACAATGAAGTTGGAACCATTTTAGGACTGTTGTTCACGCTGATGCGCTCGGGGTAAAAAGGCTCCGGCTGATTGTGGTGGTTGAGTGATGCCGACAAGCATCTTTCACTCAGCTGAGCAAGGTATATCACCAATTTATTGTGACTGCAGACAATCTCTCGTGTGTCATATTCCTGAACTCTTTACCCCATTGGATCTTCGGAGGCTGGATTTTGACCGCTTGTTTCCTCCAAGTGATGCTAATCAATGCGAGTCTTAAAGCCCTAAACTCCATTACCCTGTCACGCTTGCGAGAGATTCATGCTGTGTGATACAAGGTGCATTGGGCTCTCGAGCTCTGTGGACGATCCCATAATACATACTAGCTTGGCCACGTCACCAATGGACGATGAGACCTACTCAAGGGAGGATGAGCAGCGTCGATAAAGATATATAAGCCCCTCGGCCACATATGTGAAGTATAGACGTCCATCTCTCATCCGTTATCTCTTTCACAATGGGGCTAGGCGATATTGACCGTACACCACTGCGAATCGTGGATTCCATCGCTGCCAGCAATCCAGATGCACTCTACTGTATCCAACCTGTCACGTCTGACATTTCCGAAGGATGGGTAAGAGTCAATTTCAAGGCTCTCGCGAATGCAATCAATCGCACAGCGACATGGGTCCAGGAAAATGTCACAGCCTCGGAGGAGCCCGAGACCATCGCATATGTCGGCGCCAACGACATCCGCTATATAGCATTCATCTTTGCATGCATGAGACTGAGGCATACTGTAAGAAGCTACTGTCCTCTTTGAGAAAGGATTGTCCATGTTAAAGAAACCATCAGGCACTTCTTCTCTCCACAAGGAACTCGGAGCAAGCGTCACGACACATTCTCGCAGCCACGAAATCCACCAAGGCCGTGTACAGCTCAGAGAGAAGCCGACAAATCGAGGACCTGAGTGCAGCAGACCCCTCATTGAAGACTGTGCAGGCTCCGGGTTTGTGGGAACTTTTTGATCGCGATGGGGAAACCCCTGCCCCTGTGGTAAAAGAGCCGGCCGAAGATGCAGAGGATCGCGTAGCGATTTACATCCATAGTTCGGGAACGACAGGTAGGTTCTATACAGGGTCAATCAGAACAGGTAATGGGCTAACCACGATTATAGGAATGCCCAAGCCAGTCCCGATGACAAATGGCTATCTCCAGGCAATGGAAGATATTGGGACGGTCCCGCTCCCAGAGGGAAGAAGCAGTAGTTTCGCTCCTGTAAATGGCCGGGGAAAGTTGCACTTCACTATGAGTCCTTTCTTCCATTTGATGGGAATTCTCAGCATCATGATACCTGTTTTCTATCAGACCCCTTTCGTTCTGGGCCCAGAGAGGCCGCTCACGGATGAATTGTTTGACCAGATTGTCAAGGACACTGAACCCAAGATAGCCATCATGGCCTCATCCCTCATAGACGACTTGTGCAAGTCAGAGCTCGGATTCAACAGCCTATGCAAGTTTCATTATCTTACCTTTGGAGGCTCACCGCTACCCACGCATGTAGGAGACCGTCTCGCAGAGGCAGTACCGATTCAGTCCGTCCTGGGAACAAGCGAATGCAGCATCTTCCCAGCTCTCCTTGCGCAAGATAAGAAAGATTGGGCATACCTTGAGTTCAACCTCAATGCGGGCTTGCAAATGCACGACGTCGGTGACGGGCTACATGAGCTCGTCGTGCAACGAGGAGAGAGTCGCAAGGCTCAGGCGGTTTTCCATACTTATCCCGACAGGACGGAGTATCACACTGGAGACTTATTTGCCCCCCACCCCGTCAAGAATGGATTATGGCTTTACGCGGGCCGCCAGGATGACCTGATTGTCCTCAGCAATGGAGAGAAGTTCAATCCTACTTCGATGGAGGAGACCATTGCAAGCCACCCGCTCGTGAATCACGTTTTGGTGGTTGGCCAGGGACGATTCCAAACTGCTGCCGTTATTGAACCGGACTGGTCTGTATGGAGCGGTGACCAAAACTCTTTGATCGATGAGATTTGGGATTTGGCGAAGACGGCTAATGGAGCAGCTCCTGCCTATGCCCAGCTCATGAGAGAGCGTGTTGCTGTTGCGTCTCAGGCGAAGCCTTTCCCATTGACCCCCAAGGGTACGGTCAAACGTCGTGTTGCTGCAAGCGACTATGCCGCAGAGATCGATTCGCTTTATCAGGCTGGCGATCAAATCAATGTCGACCAACTTGACAAAGATTCTTCTCCTTCGGATGTCACGACATACATAACTCAGGTCCTGTCGGATATCCTGGGTACACCCACGGTCGATGAAAATGCCGATATCTTTGCTCTCGGCGTTGATTCCCTGCAAACTCTCCGGTTAGGTCAAATTCTACAGGCCTCGTTGCGAACAGCTCGGCCGGATTTGGAGGCAGCCTTTGGGAATTCGCAGCTTTACTCTCGCCCAACCATAGTCCAGCTCACCGGATATGTTCATGGCCTTCTACAGGGAAAGGACTCCGGGCCTGAGGCACAGGCTGTTGAAAGTGACGAGGATCGCGAAGCTAGAATTAGTGGGCTCGTTGGGAAATACTCCGACGATATTGGCGAAAGCCACAGTGTCATCCTCACTGGCTCGACTGGGTCCCTGGGTGCGTATCTTTTGCACGAGCTCCTCCGTGACCTGAGTGTCTCTAAGATCTACTGCCTCAATCGGTCTGACGATGCTGCCCCGAGACAGCTGCAGAGCCTGCGCGAGAAGGGCCTGGTGGGATTCAACAGGTTCCCACGCCGCGTTGAATTCCTTCAGGCAAAGTTCGGGGATGAAAGGCTTGGGCTTGATGAGGCAAAATACGAAGAGCTCCTGGAAAGGGTCGATACCATTATTCATAATGCCTGGAAAGTCAACTTTAACCATCACGTTGAAGCCTTCGAGCAACCTCACATTGAAGGTGTGCGTCGGCTCGTCGATTTCAGTATTGCCAGTGAGAGACAGGCTCATATCCATTTTATTTCGTCTATTTCCACAATCGAGGGCTATAGCCAAGGGCCCTCCATCCCTGAGGTCATTTTCACTGACCCTAGCTCGGTCCTTCGCCAGGGATATGGTGAATCAAAGCATGTTTCTGAGCGAATCTGTGCAGCTGCTTCAGCCAAACGTGGTATTCCAACCAGTATTCACCGAGTTGGTCAGATTGGAGGACCAACAGCGGAGAAGGGGATGTGGAATAAGCAAGAATGGGTGCCGGCCTTGGTCGCGACCTCAAAAACGATCAAGCAAATTCCGAATTCGCTTGGTTCAGTTTCTGTCCAATGGGTTCCTGTGGTACGTTGCGAATCTTCGGTCTATAAATCTATCTAACAGGCCTTCTCCTAGGATGTTACGGCCAAGGTCATCGCAGACATTGTCCGCACACGACGCACGACGCAGGAAGATGAGCCATGTGCAGCCTTCCACATTGTCAACCCAAGGAAGGCCGAGTGGAAGGATCTGATTCCCGCTGTGACGAAGTACTTTGATGTCGAGCCGGTTGATGTTCATACATGGGTACAGTCTCTCGAGGCCTTTACCACCCCCACGGAAAGCGATCTTAAAGATAAACCTGCTTTGAAGATCCTCGATTTCTTCAAGGCTATTACATCTAGTGATGAAGCTGGCCCATCTACTGAGACGACCAAAACTGCGGTTGCAAGTAAGACCTTGAGGAACCTGAAGGAGATTGATGCGCCTCTGTTCGAGAACTGGATGAAGCAGTGGAATTTCTGAGTAGTGGACCATTTTCTGTATTTACATTATATAGAAGGCCAAATGTCGACGGCAGTGATGGCTCCATACAAGGGCTGGTAGCTCATTGTCACCCGCACTCAGAGACGCGGCATCCTGGGACCCTAAATAATGAATATACACCTGCTGCGATAGCATTTAGACCCTGAACAATAAACCGCTGATTTGGACTGACCTACAGTGCTCCTTCATCCGCCCATCCATCACTTGTCAACTTAGCCCGCTCACTTGTATGTCTTATCAACAGCGCACCAGAACAGGGACTCGTTGCAGGAACTCTCTGTAGACTCTCCCGGGCTGCTTGTTATCAGGATGCAACTTCCACATAACTCTCCTATCGAGTAGTGGAACATGGCAGTACTGTGGGAAAGCCAGCAGAGAGGTTGACCAAGTACCAGCGCACGAGGTTTGTGTACGTACCTGTAAAGGCCTTCAAAGATCTATCTTGTTGCCTAGGAATTCCAAGAAAGTAGATTACAAGTACTCGAGGGCTGGACCTCGAGGATCTGCAAATCTCGGACCCACGCGTATTCGTATTGACATTCATGGCGAGGATAATTGGCTTCTCCGCCGTATAAGATGAAGAATGGCCTGTAGTGCTATATCCTACTGATTGATGGTCTCGATAACAATTATAGAGTCACTCCGGGGTAGGCAGGTCTCATTAGTAATCATGACCGGCCAGTTCAAACCCTCATTACTGTACGCAAGGTGTGCAGGGATGATCAAGAAGCGGCTTTCTCTCGGGTTCTCTTTCTAGAAAGCTACTAAGAAATCAATAGATACAATATTAAACAAGGCACCAATGCACCTGACGAAGCATAATATATAAGCTTGGCCACACGTTCCAGCCTATTCAGACCTATAACCTGGTCCACTACCTTTTGCAAGTCAATCAAACCGCGGAGCAGAGTGAGCCATCCTTCTGCTGCACCATAGACTCGCTTCCCACACAGTGGCGGCACCACAAAAGATTCTCCGGGTCGTACTTCTTCTTGATTGAAAGAATTCGGGGGTAGTTGGGACCCCAGAAAGCCCACTGCCAGTCAGGCTCCCAGGGGTTGGCCTTGGGATCACAGTCAGTATTGTACTCCTCAACTGAATAGCAGTATGTGAACAAACGGGCTTGTCATACCTCATTGTAGTAGACGCCAGAGTCGAGCGCCAGCTGTCGCATGGCATATCCGGTCGAATTTGTCACACGCGCAATAGCATGTCTGGCCTCGGAAGAAGGCAGCGTATCGTTCCATTCAACACCACTGATCAAGTGAACAGCGGCATTCCTCCAAGCCGGGTTCAAGGCGCTATCAACTGGCTTGTGACTGATAGTCATGGTACCCGAAATAGAGGGACTAGAAACTCCATCCTGCCAGGTTGAACTTCTTTTAGTATTTGCTTCGTGGGCTGTAATGAAGATAACTTACTGCGACGGTTTCATCTCTCTCCCCAATGACCTCAAACAACTTTGCAAGGGAGTCTGGATCCTCAACTATTTGACGAGGAAGAAGTCGAGTGGCGCGCGCTCCACGACTGACACCGGCATCGCCACCAACCGGTGCGATCTTCTGGATGAGATCCCAAGTAGGTAACCAAGAGGTGGATGAGGACGACTCCACAGTCTCGTTGTATCTTTGAAGATGTTTCGTGAGTGGCTCAATCAGGCGGTCAATTGACTTGGTATTAGTTGTGTTGGGCTGGAACATCGTATACTGGAAGCTGTAAGGCTCCCCGCCAGCAGTGTAATAGCCCATCACGCCTGCGTCTTGGAGGATGGTCATTTCCTTGTGAATGCTAGAAATGATCTTCCACCATACCTTACCAGATGTCCCATTACGAGCACTCATGGACACCGTAGCTGTCGACATTGATGGCGTGGGAAAGGCCTTGACGGTAAGACTTAAAATGACCCCAAAGGTACCACCGCCTCCACCCCGAATCGCCCAGAAGAGGTCCTTGTTTTGGCATTCGTTGGCTGTGATGAGCTCACCGCTGGGTGTAACAATAGCGGCCTCCACGATATTATCAGCGCCCATACCATAAACTCCAGTCAAGATACCGTGACCACCCCCGGTTGCCCAGCCAGTAACACCAACATCCTTGGAAATCCGTCAGTACGTTTTCAAAGAGAAAACGTGCGTCGGGCGCCTACCGAGCTAGTTCCAACGACAGCTGTTAGATTGCGCTTTGCTAGATGATCAACGAGCTCTCCATCTTGAATACCAGCGCCCACAGTTGCTGCAATATGAGGAGTTGTGGAGTTGCAATTTTCAGGCCTGAAAGACTGATGAACTTGAAACTGTTTCATGTGGTGTGTCCAAATTCTAATTTTGTCAGTAATATGTTTTCATTTTTGTGCAAATCAAGTTACGTACGACAGGCTTCCACTGGCAGAACTATAAAAATGGTCAGCTCGATAATCTTTAGCATTCAGGTGTTGGATAAGCCTACCTCTTCTCGGGGTTATGTCCAGTATTCTTGATATTGAGTCTTATATTGTACTTCCTCGCGAACTGCAAAGTAGCCTTGACATGCTGGGCCGTGGTTGCGTTCACCACATAGGGAGACAAATAACCCAGAGAGCATCCCTCGGCACCTGCATTGGGGTTTCCAGACACGCTGGTTCCATTGGGGTAAATCGGAGTACAGCTGCTGTTGGACCACAAGGGATCGGAAACCGTCATCGGGTTAGACGAGTGATACCGCGAGTCTGCCCAGTTTCTTATCAGATATTCGCAGGCTGATTGATTGTAATTCGGCTCGGACATATAGCAGACGGAACCAGGAGGTTCCGTCTTGAGCAAACGACCCGAGACGGTCTGGTTCAGGGACGACCAGTCAGCCTCCGAGGGCCAACAAGGATCCGAGGGAGCCTATCATTTGATGGATGGTTAGTTTTGAAAGCGATTGCAAGGTAATCAACGCTCTTACACATTTGCATTGCACGCCTGTAGCCGCCACGCAGTTAGCGAGTAGCCACACGGGCCACAGGGACATAAGTCGCATATTGAACATCCAGTTGATCGAGTTGCGTGTCTAAATGCTTGTCCAGATGATGGAGCATGTAGCGGTAGTGAGCAAGCTATATAAATGCCTCTGTACCGCCCCTTTACTCGTATTCGTGTCCATTGCCAGGTCAGCGACAACGTCTGTTCGGCTTTACATCAGTATAAGATCGACACAACCAGTAGGAACATGGAACGGATTCCTCCACCTCCAGCAGAAACCCTCATTTTAGCGTCTGGAATTGACCCTGAGCCCGCTAACGATACATTTGAAGGATTCTTCGTCGGCCTATGAGCATATCATAATGGTATGATAGAACCAGCACGGACGGATAACCCATACTGGAACAGAACGAGGTCGAACAATCTGGACGTTCAGCGAGGAAGGTATTTTCAAACTCTTCTGTTCGCATACTAGAATACAAAGCAGGCTGGGTCCTTGAATGAAGGAGCCAGAGTAACCCAACCCAACAACAGTGACGTCATCATATCGGCGCCGTATTCGTGTTCAAATTGCCGGATTCATCCATCATGTTCGAATTTCGCTCGTCAACCCAGGGGAACGGATGGATGAAATTCGAGCCTGTCCTACCTTTTGATGTCAGAAAAATTTCCATTTCAGGCAGGGCACACACTTACAGCTATCACCACTAGACACTGTCACAAGAATGGCTGTCAAGGATTCGCTATATTCTGACCCGTCCACCAGACTTATCATCGCGTTACTGCCTAGCTGGGTTGGATACGGAAATTGAAAGTAAAATGAGTAAGTATATAGTAGATGGCCTTCCATAGTTCTGCTTCAGAGCCCCTGGGGCTAATGGACTATGTGCTGGGGTACGGCCGAAGATTTGATATATATATTCTCTACGACAGGAAAATATCAAAGGAAACGTACCCGATATCCACGAGGGACACTTAGTCCTCCAGTTCTCCCATCTCCCTTTGACTAACTTCACCATCCCGTTCAACTGTACCCATATCCAAACTGCCTGCCCAGCTGGGCCCGTATCTCAATATGATATTTAAGAATGCAGTTGTTTGTCGCTGTATCATTCTATTGGGCCATGGCCAGGATAGAGGCTAGTCCTATATTAGCTAGCGCCCACCGCTTCTCCACTGGAGGGATTTTTCAATCCGTGTACCAGTGGGCCTGATTTCGTGGGCAGGCTTCCATGTTTCCACAGCAGGAGGACTTTCCGCCTGAGGCTCTCTCTTTGGCAGCTCTTTAGACATCAGCTTATTATTCCCATTAATGCCGGCTTCTGCAGTGCTGGCAAGGTCAACAACAGGATCATTAATTCGTAATATTTCATATTTATTGAGAAATAAAAGGTATAAAATATTCTTGAATATTAAAAATAATCTTATAGTATTAAAATACGGTGAAATAGAAGGTTTTATGTTCGGCTTTCTCCTCGCAGTCCGCCGTAGCTGGCCGGAACAGGCAGCGTCATTCCCCTGGAACCACGACCTCCCTCGCCCGACCTCCTGCCCACAAGCGGATCGTAATAGCTTCTGATGTATCAATATCATTATGCTGAGCTCTTATCTGGACGCAAACTCACACATGTCTGCAGATGCAGGCCGTAACAGCCAGCACACAAGGAAAAGACACCGCATACGTCACCGCAAATCTCGCCTGGGCTGTTTCTCCTGCAAGTCGCGACGAGTCAAAGTAAGTCTATGCTCTGCAATCACCCCTCAAGTGAACGCCTAACGCCTGTTTTTTTTTTCGTCGGCTGACCCGCTGTCGGTTTGGATGTGGTACAGTGCGATGAAGTTCGTCCTGTCTGTGGTTCCTGCTCTTCGCGCGAAGAGCAATGTGTCTTTCCTGATACACCAGCAGCTTCCCCCAAACCGATCGGATCCTCTCGAGAGCGGCGATATCCGCTGCGTCCTCGGAGTATCAGCAGTCCGCAACCCGTTCCATCTTACCTAGAGGCATGGGAGTCGCAAACGACGCGGCGGTCCGGTGTCTCCGCACCACAGGACGGTGATCTGCGCATGGATGACCTTCTGTCTATGCAGTTCTTCCATATGCATACTGCTCAGGAGATGTCTCTCCACGCCAAACGTAGCACTGTCTGGCGGCGGGTGATTCCCTGCCTCGCCGGTAAGCACCATTATCTCATGCACTTACTCCTCGCCTTGGGTGGCATTCACTTGGTCACCCATCGATTGAGGCGAGGACCTGGTGAGGACCACCCCTCGGGTAAGATAGAGCTGCAGTCTGTAATGAATCACTATCAGAAAGGCCTGCAGGACTTCAGAAAAGAGGTGGCCGTCCTGTCCAACGCAAATGCCGAAGCTGTTTGCGCTGGCTCCCTACTCCTTGTCGGCTTTGTCTATGCATCCCTCCAGGTGCCTGAGCTGCATCCGGCCTCTTGGACGAGTGAATCCGCTTCTCCTCCAGACATGTCGACTGTTCTGCCACCAATTAACCGACCCGAGGTGAACTGGCTGCACCTAGTCCGCGGGGTGTCGACAGTGATACAAGGTCATTGGCCTGCTTTGAAAGCCAGCTGCTTGCGCCCGATGGTATTGCACTTCCATGGCGATGAATTCTGGAAGGACGTTCCTTTCGATTCATCCTTGCCCGATCTCAGCCACTGCTCTCCTCAATTGCAGCTCTTCGCCCAGGGCGCTTTTCAAGCGGTCACGGATATGAAAGCCTTCCACGCCACCCTTCTGTCTACCGATAGTAACGAGCTTCATTTAACGCCCGACTCCTCTCCAAGCATACCGGAGTGGGGAGTGGATGGACCGTCAAGGGCCATAGACGTTCTAGAAGGTATCTATTCACGCGTTATCTCTGTGTTCCAATGTACGGCCAACGAGCTGGGACTTCCGGACGATGCCGAGATTCAATACAACCTGGAGGAGGCTGCAGTGCTAGGTTGGCCTAACCTGGTTCCTGATGTCTTTATTGGCATACTGGAGGTCGACGGAGCAGCAGGCCACGCCTGGGGGGTTTCTCTGGCTATATTGGCCCATTTCTATGTCGTCAACACACTGGTAAACCGCTGGTACTTGGGCGCTTTCAAGGAGGAGATATTGAAGATCCAGAGATCTGTCTCTAGCTTACACATCGCTGAGCTGGACCGGCTTTTGATATGGCCGGTGGCGGTTGCTACCTCTTAAGTCAACGTGGCTTGTTTTGCTGAACGACCGGCCGGTTTTTTTATCCAACGCTGGCACCGCTCCAATCTATAATATATCCAGCAGCACAGCCATAATCATTGGGATACCAGGCATGCTTCAGGTTGTCAAACGCTCGATTCCGGATCCAAACCAAAACTGCTACCGGTATATAACTGCAATGGGGCAGGGGCTGCTTCAGCTGCAGCGGAATCTATCTATGCAAGTAGGCGAGGCGAGACATTCAGCGTAACCAGAGGAGTAACTGGCTCCCTCCCCGCCAGCTCAGCACAATGAAGGGGTTTAACAGGGGGATATGAGGTGTACCCTTGATAATTGACAAGCATCGCAAACCCGATTGTCTCTCAGCCCTGGACATTAATCCTCTTTAACTTATACACTCGAGGCAATGCTCGCCTTCAGCTCCATTTAGAAATAGCTGCTCTAGCTGCTCTAGCTGCTACTTTCACTATGGCGTAGACTTACTCAGGCAAAGCAGGCATGGGCCCTCCATGCGCTGGAAAGTCTGCACTGCGCGCAACGTCTTCCCACTCGTCCACAATCGTGGTCAAATCCTCAATCTTCTGCCGAAGAAACCCAACACAGTCACTCCCAAACGGCACACGCAACGGAATGTCCTTCCCTTCAGCAATACCTACGCCTTTACCAATCTGGATCACTTTCGACACCAGGTCAACCGCGTTCCCCGGCTCGTTGCGGTAATTGCCTGCCCCTCGAACGCGACACGCGTCGTTAAGCGGGCGCCAGAATTCAACGCGGTGCGGGACGTGGTTGATGTTTTTCATTACTTCGGTACTGAAGATGCCGGCTTCAATTATTAAGGGTTTTATGCCCGGCGCGAGCCAGGCAAGTTCTTTGGAAAGGCTTTCGATGGCGCCTAAAGAATTAACAAAGGGCTTTCACTAGACAGCGGGGAATAACCGGAATCCATAATACCCTCGAGTGCAAACTTGCTGGCGCAGTAGGCAGCACCGGCGGGCTCTCCGTGGAATCCCGACTGCGAGCCCATGTAGATAATCAGCCCCTGGCCCTTTTCGGCCTTGCTGCGGAAATGCGGCAACGCGGCGCGCGTGAGGTTGATGGGGCCGTGGAAGTTGGTGTCAAGCGAGCGTTGCATATCTTCTTGTCTGTCATGTTCATTAGAATGGGCCCATTCTCAGTGTATTCAAGTCACCAACGTGAGTTCCTCAACCGCGCCACACTGGATAAACCCGGCATTATTAACGAGCACGTCGACACCGCCATAGATGTCAACTGCCTGCTGGAACTTGGCGTCGATTTCGGCCTGTGGAGCTGTGACATCAAGGTCGAGGATCGTAGCGCCCGTGTCCTTCAGGTAGGCGAGCTTCGTCTCAGCATTGCGGCCTGTTGCGACGACGTCGTCACCTAGTGCGCGGAGTTGGCGCACAAACTGCTCCCCGAAGCCGCTGGAGCAGCCGGTGATAAACCAAACTTGCTTTCGGGCCATGCTGTGTAGCCAAAGTGGTGACATGCAGAACCAAGTAGTCTGCGCGGACGCAGGGAGCAACATTTCATTTTATGCGTCAGCCCTCTCCGCAGTTGCGTCTGACGCCGAGCGCCGGGGTTGGCTTACGGGCGTGGCTTACGGGCGTAGATTATGTACGGCCCTATTCGTGCTGACTGGTTACTTGGTGGAAGGACCGTGGGCGCGGAGCAATGCGGTTCCAACTGGGCTCGAATCAAGGAATCACTCGACTTGGCGATGCGCATTGGAGGATTTTGGTTATTCTACAATCAGTATCACGCTGCGCCCTTTCCGACAGAGGAACAGGGACGTATTACATATACTGCACAATCCACCGAGCTTCTCCCATTCCGGATACTTAAATGACACCTCAACTTATAGAATGGCTGGTCCATTAGTAAATAAATTAAAATTGACTATTGAATAAATACGAAGCCTAATACCCATTCGTCCCGTTCGTATGCCCGGGGAGAAGGAAAGACTGGCTTGTCTTCACGATCGCAGTCTTGAGCAGAGATACAATTCCTTGTAACTCCAGCTCGGTTACGATATACGGCGGGCAGACGAGGACATGGTCAACCTGATATTTACCAGTGACACCCAAGTTACCAAGGATGTTCAATCCCAGCTCAAGAGATTGTCGCACGACCTGACCGCAAAAGTCCACCTTGGGCGAGAAAGGCGTCTTCAATTGTTTGTCCTTGACGAATTCCACTGCCCAGAATAACCCACGGCCGCGGATGTCCCCAACCAGAGGAAGAGGGCCGATTTCTTGCATCAAGAGGAATTCCAGTTTGCTCCCCATCTCGGCCACGCGGTCGATCAAATTATCCCGCTTGATGATCTTCTGGGTTGCAACCGCAGCAGCGCAGGCAAGAGGATGGGCCTGCGATATCAGATTAGCAATTGTAGTCAGTATATACAGCATGGGTGGTACCTGAAACGTATGGCCATGTGCGAGCTTTTTAGACCCTGCAGATAGGCCATCAAAAATTCTTTGATGTAGCAATACACCGGAAAGAGGAACGAAGCCAGCTCCAAGGGCCTTGCCAATTGTCTGAATATCAGGACCGGAGATGCCCTCCTGCTCCCATGCATGCATTGTGCCCGTTTTCCCCATGCCGCAGATGATCTCGTCGAGTATTAACAAGATGCCATATTTGTCGCAGATATCACGGATGGCTTTGAAGTATCCTGGCACCGGAGGCAGGCATCCTAATGTAGTACCACTGACGGTCTCGGCAATGAACCCAGCAACTCTATTCGGGCCTATTCGCAGGATCTCGTTCTCGAATTGGCGGGCAAGTCGTTCACCAAACTCCTTGTCTGACTCGTTGGGCTCCTTCATCCGGTACGCATAGCAGGGATCCAGGAACGACACATTATGAGACATAAAAGACTGATAGAACTCTCTCCTAGAATCATGGCCAGAGACACAAAGTGAACCAATGGTATTGCCATGGTAACTCTGCTTTCGGGAAATAAAGTGTGTCCGTTGCGGTTGTCCCACCTCATGCCAGTACTGAATGGCCAGTTTAAGCGCTGCATCCGTAGCTTCACTACCAGAATTAACAAATATCGCTTTTGATAGACCACCGGGTTTGTGTGACAAGAGTATATCTCCGAGTTCCTCTGCCGCGCTGCTGGTGTACGGCGACCCTGAGTAGACATAGGCGATATCATTTTTCAGGTGATTCACAATTGCATCGGTTATCTCAGGCTGTGTATGACCAAGACAGGAAACTGACGGGCCGCAACTGGCGTCAATCACAGTTTTGCCGTTTTCCAAGACGAGGTTGATGCCATCGCCAGCGACAATCTTGGCCGGCCGTTCGGAGAAGGACCGGTGGAGGATATGAGAACTCGCAACAAACTCGTCTGTTGTCATTTTGCCGGATGAGAAACACATAGATTGTTGGAGATAACTGAGCATGTAACATAGTAGGTCGCAATCTTAAATCGAAGTACACTGCACCAATTCCAGGCCTCGCTGTTCTCGCCGACGGAGAACCCGATGGCCCTTTGGAGGCGTCGGGTTCGCCGCCAGCACAACCGGGATATGCGGAGAATACCCTCGTATAAACGTCGAATGATGGACGCGGGGTTATTAATTAAATACATAGATTTTTAATTCAGATCCAGGTACGGAGTCAACATTCCCATCCCCCTCCCTAGCGAGGTAGCTGACAGAGCCAGAACAATGGAAAAAGGTGACCTCTCCAAAGCCGCATACAGAGGCGCAAAACTCCCCTCTGTGCCCGAGGATCTTGTGGTCTCTGGTGTTCTTGATCTCGAATGCGACGAGCGCCTCTGGGTCCCACAGGCCAAAGACGTCTGGTTCCGGCCGCTGTGTTTCAATGTCTCGCACGGCTACTTTGTTAATATCCTTCGCGTGCGCAAGAGCGGCATTCTCTCGAGGCACAGACACACCGGTCCTGTACATGCAACGGTTCTGCGAGGACGCTGGCATTATCTCGAACACGATTGGTGGGCTGATGAAGGTGGTTACGCATTTGAACCCCCTGGCGATATCCATACACTTGAGGTGCCGGAGGGGGTAGAAGAGATGGTCACATTGTTCCATGTAACGGGGGCTTATATTTACGTTGATGTAGACGGGGTTGCATTAGGGATTGAAGACGTGTTTAGCAAGTTGCAGGCGGCGAGGAAACATTACGAGCAGGTGGGATTGGGCGCAGACTTTGCGGACCAGTTTGTACGGTAAATGGTCTGAACAGTTTATCGTGTCGTTGTTCATTAAAATATACACTTCATCTTTATCGTATGTTTGCCGCATACGCATATTGTATGTTTCTATTCAGAGCCAATACTAGAATTGAGTTAATTATCAAATATTAATATCAGGAACAACAGTTACAGTGTATGTCATTGTCTATTAAATCTTCCTACTTGTGCTTCGCCTCGACCATCTGCCCCAGCTTAATCTGGGTCAACAGCGACAGCTCATCGTACACATTCCACTCGTCCACCACCCGGCCATTCTTGTAATGATAGTGAGTGATTCCCATAACCTGCAGCCTCAAGCCCGTTGGCTTTCCCAATTCACTCAGAATGCCATATCCCAAATGGTGGCCTTCCATGACCCAGCGCACAGCGACCTTCACCCCGCCCTCCTCACAGGGGTTAGAGCAGATATGCTGGGGCATGTACGCAGCATCAGGGATGGAACCCAAAAGTGCTAGATGTTGATGCAGAACGGCAGCAGGTCCATATAGCTCCGTCATCTTGGGTCCGTGGTACTGGGCGTTGGGGGCGTAGTGTTTCTCGACCCGGCCAAACATTCGACAGTTCCACATGTCGTGCAGCCATTCCAGAGTTTGTCTTTCGACCTCGTTGTTCGCAATCGATGTATCTGCCTTCCATTCGGGCATCTGCTGGCCGATGAGACGTCTGTTCTCACCGATGTCGATTGACTCCAGGCCCTTGTCGAAGAGCCCCTTCGCAGCCTCTTCAGCGAACACATTGGGGTCCAGACCCAGCTGCTTTATTATGGCCATGGTATCGGCTACAACCCATTCACGGTATATCCGATTACGATAAACCATGCAGTCTGCAATCGTGCGCGACACAAAGGTCTTGCCGGTGGGAGGACCAAAATGGCCGTTTTGGGAGTGTCTGCCCGCGCCGGTTACAAGGTGCGAGGTATAGAATCCATCCTTGTCGTTTCCATTCCAAAGCACTTGCGTGGCCATTCCGCGACGCTCGGGAAGGGAGACGAGCCGCTGGATCGTATCCCGGACAACGGCCTCGCGGTCGTAGATTGTCGCCATGGTGCCGTAGAGTACACAATTATGAGTGTAGTGGGTGTAGATTAGGCCGATATCGCGCTCGTCCCAAATTCGGTGCGTGCAGCGGACGATGTAGTCGACAATGTCGGTGTAGATCTCGTCGAAGCCTTCCATGGCATGCGCGCGCTTGCGAGTTGTTGGGGCGAGGTCGGTGTAATCATGCCGTTCGACCTGCAAGGCAGCAGTGGTGGTTGACGGAAATTGGGGCTCAGTGATATGGAAGCCATTGACCTTGGCTGCGATGGCCCCATCGTCGTTGTCTGTGTGGTCTGGAGAAGCAGCCATTGTGTAGTTGGGCTTTGGAGAGTGGAAGTAAATATGAAAGTCGGGAACCAAAATGCCAACTACGCAAATAACAAAGATAAGCGGCGGACAGTGAGCTCTCAAGTATCTACCCCATGCTCCCCGCAATGGGCCTCTGATACTCCGCTGCTATCAAGCCTTCTCCATCGGGACTGCCGATGGGGCCGACCCAGGAAGTTGGAGGCTGATGGCATCGGTGATGCCGACGCGTTATCGGCCCCTGAAGCAAAATTTCTTGGAGTAGAGGAGCTTCCACTGCTTGTCTGCCAATCGTTTACCTTAATATGATACACATCTCATATGGAACCATGAAATGCTTGGATTCTAATGCAGAGGGATAATTGATTACATGAAGTGGTATACAATATATATTCCGAAACTGTTAGATACATATTTGTTATATACTTGTGCAACGCAAGTCTCAGCTTGTAAAGTAATTAAACGCCGTAACTATAAAATAACAGACATCTGCATACTGAAGTCTCCATTACAGCATAATTAGTTCATCTGCTTGTTCCTCATCTCAATCGGGAGGAAGCACAGCAAAAACGCAGCGAGCCAGATACCACCAGCACCAAGCCAAAGAACGCCGGCCCCGCCTTCAGATATGTACTTCTGCCCAGCAAAAGGGGCGACGATGCCTGAAATACGACCGAAACAGGATAGCAGACCGCTTGCGCTGGCACGGTAGGTCGTATCAAACATCTCAGGCGCAGCTGAATACAACACCGCATTGAAATACTAGCAACGGGTCAGCATGGGGTATACTGTGTCTTTCGCTTCATTGTCTAACTTACGCTTTGCATTATATACTCCAGCGCATTCAGACCCACGTAGCCCGCAGTAGTCTTAACCTGGGTGTACATGGCCATGGACAGACCCTGTAGGGCGGCCGAGATGACGAGCGACCACTTTCGGCCAAACAATGGAACTTGGATAGAGAACAGAGCAGCGACCGCTCCTAGCACACCAGGAAGGTAGATGTATACGTATTGGCGGTATGTTTCAGTGACATCGTGGGCTCCGCTGTCCACGTTATTGTTGAGCAGCACAATCGGGAGGAAGTACCCGGCCAGGGTGAAGGACCAGTAGTTGCCCATATAAGCAAGACTAAGGAGAATAAAGCTGAACAATTGAAGCTTGCTGAGGAAGAGACCGCGCAGGAAGCCCAGCCTCCGGATCATGTCCGTGACGATGTTTGTCGGTGAACGAGCATCGCCGGTCTGTTGTTGCTGCTGCTCTCTGAAGCCCGTAGCGATTCCAACCTGGCGCAAGTCCTCGACCGTCAATGCAGGGGCCTCAGCCTTGTTGAACTTGGCAATCTTGTGTAGTACATCGATGGCATTTTGGTCTCGGCCCTGGCTGATAAGGAACTTTGGCGACTCGTAGAAGCTGAAGAGGAGATAGCGCGCAGAGAAAATAGCAAGAGCCATGGCTCCGATGATAATGACCAAGTATCGCCACCCCATATTGCTTGACATTGTGCAGCAGAGCTCACCCTCTGCGACTGCCATGCACGCAGGTAGGTCCACGGCACATCTGTACTTCGCGACGGTGCCATACGCGATGGCGCACGCGACGACGACGCCAATCGGCTGCCACATATTCAACAACGCTACCAGGTAACGCCGGTTCTTCGGCAGAAACTCCAATGCAATTGTGGCATCAATGGGGATATTGCCTCCTAGGCCAACACAGGAGAGAAAGTAGATCCCGCAGATCGCGCCGTAGTTGTCCTGGCTTGCGGCCATGAGCATGGCGAATACCGCAGTGATGAGACATGTCAGCTGGAAGGCCCATTTGCGGCCGATGATGTCTGTGATTATACCGAATCCGAATGCCCCAACACTGCCTCTGTCAGCCCGAGATCAAGTTTTGGATAGTCAAAGGGGCGGGTACGCTAGGCCTGCATTTGAGCAGGTGTAGATGAGGCCTTGCTTTTCGGACGGCACGTTCATTTCCTGGCTGTGAAACTCAGTTGTGGAACTATGTAAGATATAGGTTCTGGCACTGACAAAACAGCTGTGGCCATCAGAGCAACACCCTGCACCAGGCCCAAGTCGATGAAGTACCCCATGCCGCACAGCATCCAAATGCACATCTGGTACTTGCCAAACCCCAGCTTATCGATTTCGGCATTTACCAATGCCATCTTTCGCTCAAAGATAGTGTGCTCACTGATTGCCATCTCTCCATTTGACACATCGCCGTGCTCTGGTTTTGCCATGTCGGAAGAGCCAGCCTTGTCTTTGGAGGACATGTCGGGTGGATTGGGAGAGTGAGACATCGACAAGAAGAAGGAAATAACAAAGGAGACAGTATATCTCGCTTCTGCTTGGGATATCTTGGGAATCGAGAAGTTGGTCAAATAAGTCTGTGTCAATGCAAATGGCATAACTGACTGGTGGTGGCCATCGGGAAACCCTATCGCCGTCGGGGAAGCCGTTGGATAAAAGGCTTGGCCAAGGCTTCGTCCCCTCTTTGTTGGAGACGGTATCCTGGTAGTCTGATAAGCTGTGCTCCCGTATTCCTTCTTCATCATGCATTGGGAGGAGATCGCACAAGGCAAGGGTGCAAGTCGCGACGGGGCTATCCCGCCAGAATGGCAGCTCCCATCATGTCAGTTGCAGGATTCCCAAGTCGACGTCCGCGCAGTGCCAGCTGAATGTGGCATTCTTACAACTCGAGAGTTGGAGATAACAGCGACTGACGCGGTTGAACTGGTGCAGAAGCTCGTTCGCCGGGAATACACCTCATATGAAGTAACTCTAGCATTTTGCAAGCGAGCGGCCATTGCACAGCAACTTGTCAACTGCCTCAGTGAAATTTTTTTCCAGTTGGCTCTTGATGCCGCAGCACAGCTTGATGCTGAGTATGCCGCCACGGGTGTGCCTCGTGGTCCTCTACATGGCCTCCCAGTCTCCCTAAAGGATTGCTTCCAGATTGAAGGAACTGACGCAACCATTGGATATACGGCGTTCGCAAATAGTCCAACAAAGCAGGGCGAAGAGGCAGCAATCACAAATATCATGAGGAAATGCGGTGCGGTGTTATTCTGCAAGACCAATGTCCCAACAGCCATGATGGCCGGCGAGGTACGTTGTATACCGACAAACATACATGGTCTTGGGCCAAGCTGACCCACTTGTCTAGACCTACAATGCTATATACGGTTACACTTCCAACCCATATAATAGATTTCTTTCCAGCGGTGGCTCGTCAGGCGGAGAAAGCGCGTTATTGGCTCTACATGGATCTCCTCTCGGTGTTGGAACAGATGTAGGAGGCTCTATCCGAATCCCTGCCTCGTTCTGCGATCTATACAGCCTCAAGCCTTCCTCAGGTCGCTTTCCCATCTCTGGGATCCGAGACGGGATGGAGGGTCAAGAGGCAGTCAGTAATGTAGTCGGGCCCATGGCAAGGTCGTTGGCCGCGATTGAGATGTGGACCAGGGCAGTTCTGGGAACCCAGCCTTGGATGGCCGCTGATCCGGACTGTCTACCCATCCCTTATCGAGAGGCACAGATACCGAAGAAGCTTTGCTTGGGCCTTCTTCTGGACGACGGAATTGTGAAGCCTCTACCCCCAATTACCCGCGCTTTGCATCAAGTAAAGGCGGCCCTGGAAGCTGCAGGTCATACGGTCGTCGACTTCCGCATGTGGGTACCCCCAGAGGTTATGCAGATACATAAACTTACTAGTAGTCTAGTGATGATCCTCTCTATACGGATACCCTCAAACACGCGCTGTACCGCTCCGCCGCAGCAGATACAGTGAGCAGTACCCTCGCCAGAACAGAAGAACCCTGGCCCCGCGGAATGGAAATGCTCGAGGAAATGGTGGGCCGCAACAGGCAAAGCCCAACCACGGTCTCCGATCTCTGGAAAGCTCAGGCCAAGCGTACTGAGTACGCCAAACGGGTCTTGCAGGCGTGGGCGGCGACCGAGAATACGACCGGCACAGGTCGCGAGATCGATGCTCTGCTGATGCCCTGTACCCCGTGGCCCGCGTGCGAGAAGTACAAGTTTACATATGACAACTACACCAGTCTGTGGAACGTGCTGGACTACTGCGCAACCACTCTCCCGGTTACCCAGGTTTCAGCGGTCGACCATGTCGAGCCGGGGTACAAGTGTCGAAACCAAACGGAGGCGGGCATCTGGAAGGAATACCAACCCGAGACCATAGAGGGGGCTTCTGTTGCTGTACAGCTTGTGGGCCGGCGCCTCAACGAAGAGTATCTGTTGGCGGTGACGCGGGTATGCGACGATGCTACTGCTAGCTATGCAATATGAGCCATCAGTACTGCCATGACAATGATCGACAAGAATGCAGATAATTGTCCACATTGGGCTGGCTCAGGCATTTGGAAGGGGATTTCTCCACAAACGTGCGTTAAGAATACATATTTATTGACTTTTAGGCTCCCTCATGCCTTCCAAAGCATCATGATATTCAATAATTTAACTCCGAGATTGGCAGACAAGCCGGGTAATATCAGGTTAACTGAGCCATGGAGCAGCTTGAGCCATCCACGATAGCGAAATGTGAAGTCGTCAACTGCCGTCAATAGAAATAGCTTAAAAAGCCCTTTATAAGCAGCTCTGAATGCGCCAGTGGAGTGTACGAACAGGGTAAATGTATTGGTGTATACAGAATGCCCCAATCTCTCATTTTTCCTCTCCCGAATCGTGCTGAAAGTATCGTCGAAGACGACATTCGAGGATGCAATAATCCAATTGTAGATGCTCAATGATGTGTTTGTATTGAAATTCTGAATGGGCACTTGCCAGAACAGTATACATCCACGACCGAAATTCGTATCTATCATGAGACTGGAGCATCGTTCACAGCCAGCACTGTCGCAATAGCGTATTCGCCATCATGGCTAATCGAAAGCTGTGCAGCACGCTTTCGGACACTTCTACCATCGGTGGCACTTCCGTCGGCCTGTATAGATTGCGCATCATGGATGACCAACAATGGCTTCATTTGTCCTGCCCGAACCACTACCTCCGCCTGGTGCCATTTGAGACGCCGTGGAGAGACCGCTTTTATTGCCGCTTCTTTCGCTGCAAACCTAATTATATTATAACTCAGCAAATGCGCATAAATTCGCGGTTATGCGGCCAAATAGGCGTCCTTACCGACCAGCAACCCAGCTGGACAGCTGCCACAGCTTTTGATCATATTTGTCGCGTACAAGACTATCAATCGCGCTCGCCGGTACCGTCTCCAAACCGTCTCGTTTGCACTGCAATAATTTTTGATACCGAGAGTTGAATTCACCACGCTCAGCAGGACCGAAAATCTTCTGAGCGAATTGCTCCGCGTATTGTGGTTTCTCATTTGCAAGGATCCGTCGAATCCGGGGAATGTGGCAGATGTCGGTCCCCAGGCCCAAGGGGTATGGAAAGGGGGCGATTTCGGTTGCTTGCATTTCCCTTGCTGGTGGGTTTAGATTGTTAGGTAGTACGATCGGGGGGCGTCGATTCATATATATATTCAAAGTGAAATATGCAGGGTGTCTTATTCAATCTTATACGGCAAGGCACAAATTCCTGGATCATTGTCATCTGTAAATTAAATTACTGACTTAATTCTCGAACTATTCATTTTCCAATACCATAGTAACTGGTTTGAAGCGGATTCTTCAATTATCAACAGTAGTAGAGGATATCAATTGTTCAAGCTGCGTGTTGGCTGATATAGTCGATAACCGCTTGAACTGTCCGTAAATGTCATAATAAGCGCCCGCTACATCAAGAGAGAGGTAAGAATATTTACCAGTGGTGAATTTTTCACACTCTGCATCGGGAATATCGTTGTCAAATTCCTAGCCATTCAATCCATGAATTTGGAATCAGATTCAGAACTTTGTTATGGTATTTCTTACCTCTTCAAGTGCCAGAACAAGTTCAACAGTATCCAGAGAGTCGGCACCGAGGTCCTCAACGATGCTTGCATTGGGGGTGACCTGTGAAAACCACGGTTAACCGGACCTTATAGATTGGCAGGGTTACTAACCTCCTCCTCCTTCACACCGAGCTGCTCAGCAATTATCTTCTTCACCCGCTCCTCGATGGTGGCCCGCTTGATATAATTTCCCTGCATCTTGTATTCAGATATGCTGTCGACACTGTATGGCGGGAGAAAGCGCAGAGAGTTTGGCAGACAGAATTCGACAGTGCGAGTGATGAGGGTCTTTAATAGCCGTGGAGAAAACAAAAGTATAATAATGATAATCAACAAAAGTTTAAAAGTTGAACTCTGTATTTACTCATTTCACATGCTTGAATAAGGCAGCTAGGGGACCAGTCTTGTGAGTGGCGTATTTCGCCTGCAAGAATGCAATATTATTGAAAAACAAGTTTTTCTCATACCCTATGTAAGGGACACGAGGGCTGGCATGGACATCTTGTCGGACCAGTCGAGCCTCCTTACGAGGTGGTTTTCCAGAGGAGACGAGGAGGAAAGACCCTCCCCAGGCACAGTGGCCCGAGTCGCAAGCTGAAAAGACCTTTTGTCATTTTGCTAGCTGGAAGGGTGAATGGGCTATTTCAAGGTATACTGGGCAGCAAAAGATTTGGCCAACATTACTAAATATGTAACCTTCTGATCGCTAGCCACCAATTTGATTGATTATATATACGATGGACGCTCTAGGCTATGAGCATTAAATGGTATCTAACAAGTTCGACCAGATCATCGGCTCCAGTCCCGCTTGCTGCCACATCTCCCAGAGGTCTTCACCCAAATGGTTCTGCAGCTGCTCTGGCGCAAAATTGTTGGCATCCATGAATATAGCACTCGAATCGTTACTTGAGGAAGGGTTGTTGGTCTGTGCCTGGGTGTTACCAGATAATATCAGCCCTGCCATACCACGCAGAAGTGTCGAGTAGCGGCGTGCAAGGTGCCCTTCGGGCGGGCTGGCTGCCTCCAGCGTACGGGCGGCAACGTCGACAAGCCGGAAGAGCAAAGAAGCAGATGGGTCTATGTTTCCTGAAACGGGGATTTCATTCGGCTGGGGCGAGGAATGAGGGCGGAGATTGACTGTGGATGCTTAGCTTTGGGCTATGTCGCTGTGAACGGATGCTTACTGTCTATCAGGCTCACTAGCCAGCTATTGACAAGGAAGAAGGCCGCATACGCAATAACGACATAATAGTGGTCAATAGCAAAGGACATCATGTCAACCACACTCGGATCAGGCTCCAGCTGCACCTGCAATGGACTCCTAATGGCAGACAATGGCTTGGACAAATGAACGAGGATCTGGCTCGCCCATTCTACGGCCCATGTCAACACCTTCCCCGTCCGTTGAGATGGATCGGTGGCATCAAGAAAAGCGCAGGCATATGACAGCCGATACCACTGCAGTGAGGTAAAAGGGAAATGTTGGCTGAATCTATCCATTGATTGATCGCCCTGGCGCGCCATGAAGCGTCGCTCGATCAGCTGCACATCGTGGTCAAAGGCTTCGACACTCTCGATGGTTGTTGGTCGACACTCAGTAAAGTGAGTGCTGTAAGCTACTCGAAAAAGACTTGTTAAGCGGGTGTCCGTAGCCTGTACGTACTTACATCCAAGGAAGTTGGTGAGCACGTCGTAGAGGGGCTTCGGATTGAGATACGATGGCCGTCGAGCAGAGAGTGCGAGGCTAGGTGAGGAAATGAGTATATACAAGAAAGGTTAGGCGTCAGCCAGAGTACTCACTAGTGATCGCTCTCCACAAGATACAGCATCGTCCGAAATCGCCGTGCGTCTTCCTGGGTGACAGTCTCAGGGTGTAGGAAGCTGGTATGGCAGCTGCGTTCCAGCGTCAGGGATGTCGCCCACCGTATAGCTAATCCTAGACACTGCCACGCACCAGCTTCAGAAAACCGTGATTGATAACGCTGCGGCCCCGGGGCAAGATCGAAGGGCATCCAGTGCGCACACAACATTAGTGCCTGCACTGTTTCGAGGCGTTGGTCCTCATGTCTAGGGCGCAGTGTGACCCGCATGATTTCAGCATCGAGGAGCCGGACAAGGTCAGTATACCGAGGATGCAGCCAGCAAGAGCTTCTGATATAGATTAGCCAAGTAGGTGCAGTTGCAGGTGGATGGGGCTCCGCACTTTGAAGAAGCACTCCAGAACCGGGCACCGACTGAGAGTATCGCAATGAACAGCAAAGCGCTCCTCGATCGTACGCGATCAATTTCAGCATCAACATTTACATCAAGCAATGGCACATTGAGGTGGCAGTTCGAGAAATAACTGCTTCAATTAGCTTCGGTATTGCACAGGAGTTCTGATAATTCTCACAGGCGAAATATGACATGCGCTTCACCCTCTGTCAGCACTGAGCGAGTGATCGGATCATTTATTTCCAATGCACCAGGATCCTCCCTTTGCATACTGTTCAACGCTTTCAATGGTCCATCGGTGTTGACAGTTCCATGGGGGCTGGGCAAGCTTTGTGGGTTGGAATTGCATAGTAAGCCTACACTGCGTGGACATGTCAGTGCCGGGGTATCGCAACAACTTGGGCGGCTCTTCGACTTACGGAACCGACGAAGGGGAATCATAGCTCTGTTGAGTCTGGTCAGGTTTGGCATGATGCAGAAGCGATGTTCTCGCCTGGGAGCGTGGAGCAGTGTCCACGTAGTCTGCAATGCCGCCGTGGGCTATGCCGAGTCTTTGCTCTAACTCAGCGACACTAGCATCCTGTTAGACACGAGTCCAATATAATATATATCGAGGATAGAAACGCAAACCGTGATTGTAGCGAATCAACCTTCTTCGGAAGGGCTTCCTCTGCTGGTGAAGCATGTCGGGCATCCAGCTGTACAGCCCCACTGGCCAACGCGGTCGGATCTGAGACTAAGAAAGATGAAGAACTAGCTGCAGAAACGCGAGTATTTTCTATGCGCGGATCATCGAAATTGGCTGAAGGCGATCGCGAAGACCTGAGGCGGAGGTAGGGGTTGAGGCGCAGCTCCTTGACCTCTTCCTGGAAGCTGCATTCGACATTGCGATTGGTACATGGCTGGCACTTGACATCGTATGTGAAGCCTCCACATTTCTGTTTCCTGTATCGCGTCAGTGGCATGAACTGCTGGACTCGAATCATTCCTTCGGCGAAGCCGTCGGTTATTCCGGGAACCCCGAGGGGACTCTGCCTGGCATGGAATGAAGGGAGATTGCAGTATACCTGTGTCTACACTGCACACAAGCATGGCCTGTTCGCCCAGGCGGTAGTGTGTTCGAGTAGGAGTTGTGCGGAGGCATGTCAAACAGCAGTTGGTAACGAGGCATCCGTGAAGGCCCTCGACATGACCCCAAGACCCCAGGAGCCAAACCATATTGGTACATGGGTCTTAGGGGTTATCAACTCCAACGGTGTGCGGGGAAGCGGAATGGAGCGCCATATGCGCTAGACTTGATTAGTACGTAGCACATGTGTCTTTCTTTTAATCCTCGTTGTCTTATCTTGAACTCAACTGAGTCATATTACCCACATGCCTCTCTCTAGGTTTCCTAGCCCCACCACCTTGAAAAATCCCTGACAACATCCAAGCCTTATCAGTGCGACCACTTACGTCTGGCAACGATAAACCAGCATAGAGACAACAATGGACAATAGCCTGTGTAGGGCACCAAACGACGCCAGGGATCTAACAACTACCAAGCAATGTCAACGTGATAGTGAAATTCTAGTTTGACTAATCAGATAACTCTGTTAGAAACAGAATGAATTGCTTAAAGATCTGTAGAACTGGAGTATCTAGGGGTCTTATATAGGACCTCGACCCCCACGAGGGTGGTTCCCGGGGGCGGACCGTGGTGGGTGCTGACGCCTGCCTCAGCCGACGCCCTTCTGGTCAGGCTGTCATGCAGTTCCTCTGACAGATCCTTCCTATATAGGAGTGCACGAGGTCTTGGTTGCCTCTGCAGAATTATGATATATCGATCCCTTGGTGTTGACTGAAAGATTTCCGCTTTCTATTAGCCGACAAAAAGAAGAGGAAGACGGTTTGGATGTTGTATATAAGTTTGGAATCTGATTCGACGACCATGAGCTCTGGAGAGAATGTGTGTCCTGTGACCTGTCCTGACTGAAATAGCCTGGAAGTATACCACATGTCGATGGAAAGGTTAGGCCACACGTTCCGTTCAAATCTATCCTGATCACGTCAAGGGTAAATGCTGAGCCTTGCAAGCTATCACGATGAGAACTCCTTGCTTTTGACTCACTGTAGGATCGACTAATCAGTGAGGGATTTTTGGGATTGACGCATAATCTTCAACGGGACTATTTCAAGTACGCCAATTATACTAGAGATACACTTCATTAAACGAGATGCGGATCTGAATAGTTTCTGCGATGGAGAGTGAACGTGCAATACCCTAATTCCAATGACAATGGTCCATGGTTGGTTAGATTATGCCTGGTGATTGAGCCAGACTATCGATTCCCTAGATCCAAGCCTGTTCTTGCCTAAAGCTGGTGCCCAAACTGACTAGATCCGAGAAAAGAGGGTCGAGAGAATCATTCGGAATTTTACTAGATAGTACTATATATATCAAGATTAGATAAAGCACCCAGAGTAGTAAGAGTTAATTATAATCTTGATATAAGATATGCCTGTATGCTTATTAGCTGGCGTAAACTAACTTTAGAATCATAACTAGCTCGCGCCAGCTGATTTAGAGGTGGCGTGAGCCATACCTCGATTCCTTGGCGACAAGATACTAACATTATTGGCTATTGTTGCCATTTGGTCGGGTGTAAGAAGTTGGTGAGCGTTGTGAAAGAGGTCCTGCAAGTGTATACAGGTCACGTCACCTCAAGAACGCGGATGCGTGACACTCATCCCCTTCACAGGACCGCCAAGCCTATTAATCAGCAGAATATAATACGCGGATTTTTGAAATGCATGGTAAAACCTGCAAGATATAATGGATTCAAGTTCCCTAGAAGCTCTTTGAATCTGATTATATTAATAGTTGTACGCTATAAGTATACTCAAGTACCTCACTAACTATAAGTACCTAATAAGCAGTTACTAAGTACATGAGTATCTCCATCCATTAATATTGAGAACGTTGCTGTGGCTTGAAATAGCTATAAAGGGTATACCTGACTGCCAAGGCCAGAAACATGGAGCACGACCAAAAAATCGAGGCCTGGCCAACTGCAAGGCTGCAACCACCTCCACATAACTTCCTAACATTCGAATTCCAGGCTTCACTTCTTCCACAACAGTGAAGTATTGATATGAACGAAGCCTCACTGACTAATACTGCCAAAAATAAGAACCTTCCATGGCTACTAGTCCCTATAAGGAAGCCAAGAGGAGAAATCCTCCCAGGGTATCCAATCTCAGAAGACGACGAGTAGATCAGTGGCTTCTTCACTCTCGACATGACAAACGTCTTCTCGGGCCTCAAGATGGGATCTTGGCAACAATGGGTTCTTCTTGGCCACCATTCTACACACGGAAGTTAAGAGAAGACACACAGACGGTAGACACTCACAGGAGAAAAATTTCCCCATAGCAAGGCATCAAGAACAAAAATTCACCATTCCCCACGGATGCAAAACTTTTTCTCATAAATAAGCCGTCTAGGCTCAACCCTGTTAGCGATGGCTCTCATCTTTCACTACTCTGGCATTCTGTCAAGTTCCTTTTCTCTAATATCATGTCCAAGGAACGGGCAAACGGTGACACGCCCACCAGTGTCCCGGGGTGTGGCAACAGACCTTTAACGCGGCCCGCGCACGCACTCACCTGGGAAGACGTTGCTACTGAGTTAAATGCAAACCCCAAAAATGGTCTGTCGGCGTCCGAAGCAGAGGCTCGTATAGACCAGTATGGTCCGAATGATATCGGGGCTGTATCATCTACGGAACCGCTTGAGATCCTGATCAAGCAGATTGCGAATGCAATGACTTTGGTACGATTAGACTACTACACACACCGCGCCTACATTTGTGAGACACGGGTTGCTGAGACGCTTTCTTTAGATTTTAATCATGGCTACGGGCGTGAGTTTCGGCATCCAGGCGTGGATAGAAGGGGGTGTCCTTGCTGCCGTGGTGGTGCTTAATATTGTCGTTGGATTTGTGCAGGAATTCCAAGCGGGCAAGACAATGGATTCCCTGCGGACTTTGAGCTCGCCGAGTGCAAGTGTTTATCGGGATGGACAGGTTCATAGTATCCAGACATCGAATCTGGTCCCGGGAGATCTCGTTGAAGTTTTGACAGGGAACACAGTTCCCGCTGATATAAGGTAGGCAGACCGCATTGCTGCGGTTAGGTACGTGCATGCTAAGAAGTTTAAGAATCATAGAAGCGGTCAATTTTGAAACGGACGAAGCTTTACTCACCGGAGAGTCCTTACCAGTTCGCAAAGCTGCCAACGACATGTTTCACGATGACACCGGGCCTGGAGACCGTCTGAATATCGCTTATGCCTCGTCTACAGTAACAAAGGGCCGCGCAAGAGGTGTAGTATTTGGATCAGGAATGCACACTGAAATAGGGTCCATTGCTGCGGCTCTACGAGAGAACAAGTCTGGCGGACTGGAGGTTAAGCGCAGAGCTGATGGGTCAGCAAGCCCAGCAGCCTACGTGATGGCCTTTACGTACCTGGTCGGGAACATCATTGGCAATATCCTCGGTACGAATATTGGGACGCCATTACAGCGGAAGTTATCAAGACTTGCGATGTTCCTCTTCTTTACAGCGGTTATTTGTGCTATCATCGTCCTCGGGGCGAATACGTTTGACAATAACAAGGAGGTGATTATCTACGCTGTGGCCACTGGGCTTAGCATGATTCCGTCATCATTTGTTGTTGTCTTAACAATCACCATGACAGTTGGGACGAAGAGGATGGTAGAGAGACTTAGGGTTAGGGTTAGGGTTAGGGTTAGGGTTAGGGTTAGGGTTAGGGTTAGGGTTAGGGTTAGGGTTAGGGTTAGGGTTAGGGTTAGGGTTAGGGTT